ATGTCCGAATGTTAATACAAAAAGGTTTGATACACTTTTAAAGTTTTTATCCATATCTGTTATTCCAAAATGTCCAAAAAGTTTTTTAAACCGTTTTCTTGAAATATACAAAAACGGAAGATAAAAAAATAACCTAACCATTGAACCACCTATAGAATAGTACACAAACATGTATATTAAAAGTTAAGAAAAAAACGAGTATTACTAATAATTACTGAACTATATATATATATAAAATTTTATTTGTCACTGAAGTTTCTTTGTTGAATTCCTTTTATGGTAAAAGAGGATTTTCAACTTTACTATGGATATTATATTTCAAACGATTTACGATCTCGACTATGTTAACTTGTTCTTATGACGTCATAAAAGTATTAATTGACATTTACCTCTTTTGGCAATGATACGCTCTTCTAGATTTACGTACATACCTTATCGGAAACCAGTAATAGTTATTTTAATAAAACTATGTTTTACGGATTTACTGCTAGATATCATAATGCAACATTTTATCCAATTAAGAAGGAACGGGATTAAAGAATCTATTTGTAATTCTTTATTTATCTACTTTCAACTATTTCTTAATGTTTTCGAGTAGTAGATAGGTAAATTTTAGTTTAATTTAAATATATCCTTGCATTTGTTTTAAATATTATTTTATTCACAATCTGCTGGAACTATTGATAAGTTTTTAAAGTATTATTAAGATTATTTATATCTCCCATAAATTCTTATAAGCAATCTGCTAAAACTATAGCCGTTAATGTAATGATTTCTTTAATAAGACGTAACTATTTATGGCACGGCAAATTAGAATTGAGGGCCAACCTTATTATCCCTTTACAGAACAGTAGAGATAATATTTTTTTTTAAATTAAAACATCATTAGGAAAGAAAACCATTCATGTTATCATTAAACACAGAAAAAAAACATTAACATGAAAAAAAAAAACAACTTTAACAAAATTTAAACCGAGTTCCAGTTATATTTATGTTAACGATCTATTTTTAGGACAGTTAAATGGCCTTTAATGTTATCTTCTGCCGACGCTTGTTAATTTGTTTGATATTTAGGATGATAACTTCAAATGTACATAACCCGAGGCATCCCCATTGGAGTATTGGATATTGAAACGTTCCGATGGCATACAAAGACCCGAGTCATTTCACTAAAACCATGAGGCTCTGGCTGATAATGCAACCCACAAAACCACTTCCCTAATCTCCTGGAGGGGTCTGTATTAAAACCTTCTCAAACCTTAAAAGTATGCTATGTCTGTATAAAATAAAACCAAATTAAAGAGCTACTATCTATCTTTAACAGCAGATATTTTACTTAAAATAACTCTCAACTGAACTACCTTATCTTGGTCATATACGACAACATGTATGCAGTGGAATCATTGCTTTCAGATAACTTGTCTGCGGATTGGGAACGTGATTATAGATACGAACAGTAATTAGGTATTTTATTAAAGTGACTTCAGAATTAAAAAATATGTTATTTTCCTAACAAATATTGAAGATTTTCTGTAAAATGAAATATGATTTTTTCATTTTAAAGCTACTTTCGTTGGTGTGGTTCTTTACTTTATTTTCATAAATGATACATGCCACTTTTGTCTTCGGTTAGTCGATTAAGTATCTCACGTTTGCCGATATAATCTTTAAATTACTATTAACGCTTTGGAGTTAGTTAAAAACTGTTTAAAATCCACAGATATTACTTTGTACCACTTTATCATCGTTTTTCGCCAAAATAACAACCAAAAAATGTTAAAAACAATTATATAACGTCATGCCATTGGTATATTTACCAAGCAGATTTCTTGTCTAACACATTATTTTAGTAAAAAGGAAGTAATGAATGACCGAAAATTGTTTTTAGAAACAAAATATACATATTTCTTTGAAAGCAAATCATTTACATATTCAAAGGAGAATTCGTTTAAGAAATGCAAAATAACTACACTTAACATAACAATAAATATAAGATTATACCATATTATAGAAAACATTAAATTTATTTTAAATGAATGTAAGCTTTTTGGATTCGACACGTTTTTATAATTTTGTAACTACGTAGTCACGAGGTTAACAATTTAACGTCCCAATATGAATAGAGATAACGACTGGCATTTATTTAAAACCTGGGACCCCATTAAAGTATAAAATCTCATAACAGGGACCACACCGTAACACCTCAAGACAAAATAAGCGTATTCTGCGCGCATCCGGAACAGTACGCCAAGAAATTACGAAATCGTTGGTGGTAGATGACAAATAACAAGACCAAGTTACTGATAGACATTCACATTTCGTCCGCCCGTGAACATGGTTGCTGAAAAATAACAGAAAATTCGGGAGTATATATTTTTAGCTTTAACAATAATAAAATACCTAGTATAATCCGAAAAATATTAATACTCGCGAAAGTCTTTAGATCTCATTATGTGATCAAGACTAACTAACTGAGAGGCACCTTCATCTCGTCTGCACGTGATCACGGCTGCTGCAAAGAAACCGAAACTTTATTATTAAGTCATAAAATAATAAAACCGTGTAGTATTATCCGAAAACCCTAGTTTTATTAAAATGATTACTTGAGTACTCAAAAAAATGATAGAAATCGTGATGAAATTATTTTAATTATTTTTCAATTTTTTCTAACATAAGACGTAATAATCGAAGACTTGAAGAAAAATTTAAAGTTATATTTTTCTAGACAACAGGAATTTCAAAGTTATAGTGCTTTAAATTAATAAAGTTTTAAATAGATATATATATATATATATATATATATAAAAGTTTATTTCTCTTAAACTAAATTACAATATTAATTTATAAACATATTGACAGTGTTACCAGGTGAAAACCAGATGAAACTATGTCGGCTATAATTGTTATAATGATATTCGACTGGTAACACAGAGAAACAAAATGTATATGTATATAATACTAAACTACATATATAATTAAAACGATAACAAACATTTCAGTCTAAATTAATTCTGTACATGCAGGTGATACTCGTACATTATCGAAGATGATACGGTTTTAATCCCCTGAAGGTTTAGCTGTACCCTGAAGATAGGATGAACAAATCTGTTACTAATCTAAGTATTTTGAAATGTTTGAACACTTTGCTAAATGGCTTAGAAACGTCAACATGTATTTTAGGCTGTATGAATTTAAACCAATGCATCATTTTTAATGAGCTAGTATTAAAAAAAAAACATATCACACTATAATTAGTTTTGTCCAACAGTTATATGCCATGGTAAATTCCTTTCTCATACAACATGTATTTTAGGCTGTATGAATTTAAACCAATGCATCATTTTTAATGAGCTATTATAAAAAATACATATCACACTATAATTAGTTTTGTCCAACAGTTATATGCCATGGTAAATTCCTTTCTCATACCTTTACCGAGCATATTCTATATAGAACGTCCTATACTTCAGACACTTGATTTTATAAACGATTGCCTCTTAAATTTCGAAGTAACCGTATATCAATTCGCAATAAAAAATATATAACATTGCTTTGAAATACATCACAATGATTTTTAAAGCAAAGATTTTTCATTCAGTATTCGGATAGTTAAATATCTGATTTTCCTTACGGAATACTATTCCTGGTATTTGCGAGACAACCAATAATACTAGAGCACATCTTTATTTAAGAGTTCCAATATTTAATATTAAGGTAATTGAATCATTTGATTGCTTTATTGAATGAAAAGTAATTTTTAAAATGACGCATATTTGACACAGAACAATAACTTACGTTATACGTTTCACGTCAAGGAGTATATCCAGTTATTATATTTGGCAGATTTTATAACTTATAAAAATAATAGCAGCGTTATATTGCTTTCGATATTCATGTTAAGTCAAATTAGTTCAGTTTGCACGTATTGTCAATAACGCGACGTTTATAGAGAGCTGTTCGAGTTTATTACAATATTAAACATTCATATTGTTTGAAGAGCTCTTCAGTTTTATGGTGTTGAGTTATGAAAAATTTTAAGAGACCTGACACTACACACGTCGAGACATAAATTTTTTGAAATTAAATTAAGTTTTAGATTTGAAAACGTCTTATAAATTAATGAGATCTAAGACTTTCGCAAGTATTCATAGAAACGAAACTAATTTTTTTCGGATTAGATATCTCGTTTGCCTGTAATCACGCTTGCTTAGAAGTAACTGAAATGTCGGGAGTATGTAGTTTTTAAAACAATAAAATATGCGTAAGTAGAATAATCCGAAAATTATTAAGTTCATCCACCTTATAAATTACCTAAAAAGGTCAAAAATAATGTTTTTTTTATATAACAGATGTCTTGAAATAATCTATGAAAACTATAGAAATAAATATTTCTACAAAAAATGACAGTTATAAGATTATTTATTGTTGCAAGTTCCAGGCACTGTGAAAGCTCCTCTTCCTGCTACGATGGACCCGGCACCCGCACAGTTTATAATTGGGAATTCTGAAAATAGCGAACTAGCGCCATCTGTATATTAATTATGATACTATAATTTAAAGTTAATAATATTTCTCTGCAGTAATTTAAATGTCCAAATGCTTTACAATTGATTTAATTATTTATTATTAGACCTATAACATGTTTTACATAATGACTAATCTTTCATTAATTATCTATAGGTATGTAACTCTTGTGAAGGAAAACTAGCGCCCTCTATAAGATATGGTAACTTACAATCACCAGAATTTTTACCAGACTATTATAAATAGGATGTAACTGCTAGACTGAGGTTTCTTTTACAAGACGTTGAGAAATAAACATTGGACTGGAAAATTGCATAAACTTATTCCTGACAATACATAAAACAATCATTCAACTTCATCCAATCTTTTCATTTATTATATACATCAAACACTAAACCATTAGTGAGGAGATTAAAAAGGTAGGTTTTTTTAAAGAAACATTTAATATTGAAATGCATTAAGTTTTAATATCTTCATTATTGTATAACTTCCACAACAGATTCAGGTTTCTCCGACCACACTCGGTGATCTTTATTCTCATCTGCCGGATAACTTTTCTTCATACCACAGATTCTACATGTCCATACAATATATTTTGATTTATTTTTCCTTTTAATTTTCATTTTTGCTGTCTCACCATCTATGAGAATGCACCGGCACTTCTTACATATTTGTCGCTTCATGTCCGGATGTCTATAAGCAAAATATATATATATATATATATATATATATATATATATATATATATATATATTATATCAGTTTTTTTTTTAAAGAAAATATAAGTATTTACATTCATATCACAAACAGTTACATTTTAAGAACCATTTTCTTCGCCACATTAATTACGAGATTTCCGTAATACGCAGACAATACTGGGTATTTTGGAGCTATTTGCTTGCTTATCTGAAAAGAAAACAATTAAAATAAGTTGAAAAAATAACCATCCAATTTTATTGTAAATAAACAAACCTACTTGATATAAAAAGTTCATCCTTTGAAAGGAATCGTTTCCGTGAACTTTCCTCATGACTTTTATTAAACTTAAGACTATTTATATTAGATCAATCGTTTAATGTTCTCATTCCATTTATTAATGTTAAAATCACTTCAAATCATTAAAGATTTAAAGGTAAATATTATTGTAATGTCAATTTGATTTTTGACATAACCACATTAAAGGTGTTGAATACAGATAATAATATATATGTAGGTTGATGAACTATGAATTTCACTCCATTGATAAGTTTAATTAAATAAATTAAAATAGTAGTATTTTAAAAATATTACTTAGTCAGTCATATAAATATTTAAAATTCATTAATGTGTATATTGAAGTAAGTCACTTAAATAAACAGTGCACTTATTATTAGGCTTTAATAAACACTTTAATAAAATTTGGGACACACAGAGCTTTTTAAATGCAATTTATAACTTATTTAGTAACTTTTTATTCGCCTCCTTCTGTCTCAATTATGTTTTTAAACAGTATCAAAGTTATCTGACCATAATTTTACTCTATCTTCCGAATTTTAAGCAACAAAATGGCATTGACATTTATTTTGACATAGGATTTCAAATTCTTATTCAAAAACCAAATTTCAATTTTGTGAATTAGAAATGTTTTATCTTGTTGTATCAGTGAAACCTAATTCATAAATTAGTAAACAATAAGCCGCTCTATGTAAAAGAATTTTAATATAATATTATCTTCATTATTTTGTTCGTTTTCTTTACTCTTCAATATACAATAAAATGTTAAGAAAGAATCGCATATTTCTATCCAAAATGAAATATAGGAGTCGATATTATTATAGATTTCTATCCTCTCAAGCTCCTATTGGAGAAGTTGATATACCTTTTTCTAACGGGTGAGTTGAAAATATGCATTTAAGTTTAGGTTATATTGTTATGCCGACACTTTAAACTAAAAACGAAATATTTTAGAAGCATCAGAACATCACATTCTTAATTATTATGTATATTGTAAATAATTCTTGTTTTCAGGATTTCACTAAAGTTATCTACTGGTAAATACGCAAGATTTGCGGATGGTGCGTGTGTAGCAACAATAGGGAACACAAGTGTACTATCAACGGTTGTTTCTAAAGCGAAACAAAGTGCTTCCAATTTTCTACCTTTAGTTGTAGACTACAGACAAAAAGCTGCAGCAGCTGGAAGAATACCAACCAACTTTTTAAGGAAAGAATTGGGTAAGAATCTGCTATAAGTAACAAAACAGCACATTATGTTACAGTATAATATTTAGGCGGTAAATTGACATTATAAATGTGTGCCATAGAGATTTTTTTTGTTTATCCCGGTTAGGATGGGCAAAGAGAATGAATCCCATACAGTCGTAAAATACCGTAGAGATGCAATAAATAATATCACAGATATAAATATGTTAATACAAAGAAGGTTTTATATATATTTTTTGACAGAAAAAAGTTTTTTGTCCAGTCATAAATTCCCTCAAAGACTAACTTATTTCAATTTATATTTTATCATGAGTATGAACACATTTTTATCACACTCAGCTTCTTAAATCTAAGAAAATTGTTAGTTATCGTCACTATAGACATAAATAATTCCAATTTTCCAGTAATAACTTACAAAACCTGTCTATAATTTAAACATTTAATCATTACAGGACCAACGGAAAGAGAAATCCTCACATCCCGTCTAATCGACAGATCACTACGGCCGTTGTTTCCATCGAATTATAATTTTGACACACAAATAGTTTGTAATATGTTAGCCGTTGATGGGACAAACCCTCCCGAGACCGTTGCTATTAATGCTGCAAGTGCTGCACTAGCTTTATCTGATGTACCTTGGAATGGACCCGTAGGAGCTGTGAGGTTTGTTAATCTAGATAAATTCATATATAAGGAATTTAGTATCTTAAGTAGTAAAAATATATGTTCTACAAAGTTTATTACTCATATATATTAAGTACAGGCAGTCCTCGTACTTACGGCATGTTAGGTTCTTGAAATACGCGACGTAAATCGAAACGACGTAAGTCGAGACATATTTTTTCATATGTTTACATGTAAAACTCAAGGGTTAGGTTCCACACGGACTCGAAATAATAAAAAAAACTGCATTTATAACAAAGGACGTACTTTATTATTAAAAGTAAGTTCTTAAAATAATTATATATTATGCACTTATGAAATTGCTAGTTATTTTTGGTATTTGTGTGTTATTAATTTTAATAATAATTATAAAACTTATACATATGTAATGATAAATAATAAATTAAACTTTTGGCTTAAAGAAACTATCAATTCTAGATTGCTTGGCTTCTTTCTTCTTGCTATCATACAGATCTTGGTAACAGTGATAGGCTGCACAAATTTTGTTATTAACGTTAAAACTTCTCTCAAAATTAGGATCATTTTCAACAAAAATTTTCATGGCATTCTTCAAATTTGCAAAGGCTACGGAAAGTTTTTTTAGTGTAAGTTCTTTTTCAGAGTCACTAATAGAATAAGCTACTTCTTGTGACTCGAGTGCTTCCTTTTGTACTTGTGCCTCCAATTCAACAAGATCTTCATCAGTCAGTTCTTGCGAATGTGAGCTTAACAGATCATCAATATCATCAGTAGTAACTGCAATGTCAGGCAAACGGTTAGCGCCCCTCACGGACATTGACCTTGCGACAAGTGAATTCTCCGATATGCCGGAAATCGAAACAAATGACGTATGCTTGAGGAATAGTGTCAAAACATTGTTCGACGTAACTTGAAACGACGTAAATCGAAACGACGTAAGTCGAGGACCGCCTGTAATATTAATTGGTCATATATTAAATAACTAATAAGCTTCATTTTAAAATTCGCAAACCATTCTATAGTGTTGCTTTTAATTTAAAATGTCAATAATGAGATCTTAGATTTTCGCAAGTACTCATTTAAATGAAACTAATATTTTTCAGATGTACTATCCAACTTTATTTTTGATAAAAACTACATATTTCCGACGTTTTTTTACAGCTACTATGACCACGGATATACAATATGTGGAGATCTCGTCTGTCAAAATATTAGTTTCATTTAGAATATCAATAATTAATAATTTTAACAGATTCCATGTTTAAAATTGGATAACTAATATAAACAATCATTGTATTTCATATAGATTGGGCCTAATCGACAATGAGTTGATTATAAATCCAACGAGAAGAGATCTTGAGACATCAATACTGAACTTGGTTGTGGCGGCCACAACTGGGAACTTGGTCGTCATGATGGAGGGAAGCGCAAAGGTCATACTCCAACAAGACCTGCTGAAGGCTATCAAACTAGGTATGAATGTAAGTGTTTAAATTTATTCTACATTTGAATTGTTGAAAGAGGTTTTATATTTTACAAAGACTTAAACTTTAACGTTAAGTTCCTAAACAATAAAAAAAATTAGGAATAATTCTGATTACAAAATACATTTCAGCCTAATTTGCTTATTTCGGAATACTTAATACTGTTTATTCCAAGACAATGGTATAGATTCAACCATAATACATTTCAATAAGTGTCTAAATATTTCATACATATAATTGTGTGTATAAAGTATAATGCTAGACTAGACGTAATTTATTATTTTATAAATTTAATGCCATCATAAACAAAACTTGCCAAAGAGCACTCAATTCCCGTAACACATTTCTTCTTTCATTTTAAAATGTGAGATCTATTTATCCAGTGGATGCTTAAAAACCTTGTCCTAAATTATAATAAATAGCTAATCTAACAACTTACAGCGACCATATTAATATTAAAAATGTTGTATATTGAAATAATATACATTGACTTGGCAATTGCTTGAAAACACAATGTAAGTCAAACACTACATATTATCCCTACTAATATTATAAATGCGAAAGTAACTCTGTCTGTCTGTCTGTTACGCTTTCACGCCTAAACCACTGAACTGATTTTAATAAACTTGGTACAGAGATAGAGTTGACCTTAAGAAAGAACATAAGATAGTTTTTATCCCAGACTTTTGAAAGGTTCTCTTGGAAACGCGATATAACCGAACTCCACGCCGGCGAAGCTCCGGGCGGAAAGCTAGTAATATATAATATTGTTTAATATGATTCCAAAATCTTGCTATTGTTTATTGTGACTTTCGAAACTTGTTTTTTATTTTTACTCTTAATAGCAACTTAATATTTCTATCCTTAGGTGCCAAAGAAGCTCAGAATGTCGTACGTGGTATAGAAAAATTACAGAAAACTCACGGAAAAATGAAAAGAGAATATGAGATACCACCTGCCCTCGACCAAAATGTTGTAGACTCAATAAAGACATTATCTTCTATGAAGATTAGAGAAATACTTAGGTAAGACACTTATGATATTTATTATCTCACCAAAGACATGCCTGTTAAAAAGGGGGCCAATTTCCAATCGGCTAATTGTTTGCCTAAAAAAGGGTTGAAATCCAATCTTATGCCAAGTTTAGATGCACTTTGAAATCGATCATAATCATCTTCATCAACAGCATGATCCACTGGTAAACATTTGCCATTCCCAAGACTCGCCACCACACCCAGTCCTCTGCCTTCCACATCCAGCCACTACCCGCCACCTTATTCACGTCAACGGTCCATCTGGCCGAAATTCACTTTACAAAATACGTAGGTGCTTGGTTAAAAATATCTAAAATTATAATACTTCTAAATTTGAACTTGGCAGGTTTTCGTGCTGTACGTAACACTTAATTAATTGTATCATTAATTTATTATTTATATAATTAAATTAAATTAAGCGCTCCACACTTTTTTCACAATAATATTAATTTAAAAATAAATTAACAAACAATAAATGGTATTTTTGTGAAAAAAAGCGTGGGGAGCTTCATATATCAGTTCTTGAGAAGCGCCCCACGCTTTTTTTTTAATAATACCATTTATTGTTTATTTTAAACAATTTAAATTAAATTGATTTCCAAGGTTGTAAAGGTTAAATTAGTTTCCACGCGGTTTCTTTCATTAATGGAGCGTGTTTTTTAGTTTTTTTTTTAAACTATATTTATTTTTTATTTTTTAGTTTCATTTATCACCGATTGATAGATGTACTCATATTATTAATCTTCTATCTTCTTCTTCTATATAAAGGGTGTTTTTTTTAGAGATATACAACTTTAAGTTGCCAATACTTTTTTAACTGGCCAATACTTTTTTAACTGGCAGTTATTTTGATAGCTGTCCAGTGATTTGTGTTTAATTTGGTTTGGCAATTCATCATGAATAGACTAACACCTGAACAACGCCTCCAAATTGTGCAAATTTATTTTGAAAGTCATGGCTCTGTTCGAAAAACGTATCGCGCACTACGTCCATTTTACGGTACATATAGCTGATAAAAATTGATTCATTACTGGGAAAACCATAAAAACAGCCCTTTTCTATTTCCCATACAAACGTTTTTTTTTGACATTAGATTTGACAACTAACTAATATGTCAATCATTCTGTTGCACTTCAAAACACGGAGATTTATGGCTTACAGATAAACTCCAAAAATATAAATAAAAAAACGTAATAGAAACTTTTTGATTATAGGGCGATACGAAGTTCGCCAGGTCTTCTAGTTATTAATATTTCATTATTATGTATTTTATTGTGCTGAGCTGAGCGCCTATATATAAATATAGATATTATTCTATAGTTTTGAGTTTTAGAAAAACTTTTTGTCGTCTGGTCTGGATATTTTGCCGTCCCAATATTTTATCGTCCCGATATTCTTGCATTATTTTTATCTTCATGTTCTTCTCCTCAAACTCTTTCATTTGATACCCATATCACAGCAGTGCATAAGAAGCGTGCTAAAAAAAAAGGAGAGTTACATACATACAAACAAACAAACATACAAGTGATGCTAGTATACAGCGTGTAATAAAAATTCGATATTCGAATAAGCCAACTCACGCTTGACCGATTTCTTAAATTTTTTATTACATATTTTATACCCCCCCCCCCCCATTTCCACCGCTTCGTATTCTCATTGTATTCACTGGTTCATAAGTATTTTTATTAAAAATTCGATATTAGAATTGAGGCAACTCACGCTTGACTGATTTCTTAAATTTCTTAATTTTTTGTTCATCTACATATAACAAACAACCTGTGTACCAAATTTCATAATGCTAAAACAATAGGAAATGGCCTAAAGTTTTTGATTACCTGTCAGTGAGTCAGTGCCAAAATTAGCTATTTTCACAGGGTCATATTTCAGGATCTACTGAAGCTTTATCTATGAAATTTGGCATACTGCTTTAGAACTACATAGTATATGATTACGTAGGTACAATTTTATCTCTGTACTTGCAATAGGCACTGAGCTACAGGGGGGTCAAAAGTGGGTCGAAACGGTTCGTGTAAATATAGTGCACGGCATGCGCGCGGCCTGTTGCTGGAACTTGGCCGGCGCACTACCGTACGCTTAGATATGACCAGTCAGTGGTGGCCTAGTGGTTACAAAGCCCGCCTCTCATGCACGAGGGTGCAGGTTCGATCCTGGCCCTGGCAAGTGTCAATGTGATTTTTCCGAGTCATATGTACTTTCTGAGAGTATTTAGACATCACTGATTAATGCATTCCCAAAGAGGGTTGATGTCAGGCAGGCGGCCGGTCGTAAAAACAATTAGCCAAAACTATTCACAACATACAAATCAGACCCTGGCTACATGGTGGGAAATTTCCAGGTAGAAGTAGAATATTTATTATATGACCAGAATAAATTGATCTGTACAAATAAAGTAAAGGTATGTCCTACTGAAGTCACTATAATAAACTACCAAAAAGGTTACTACGAAATTTCATAATACTTAATTTACACTATGCCTTTAGCTTTAAAAAAATATGTGATATTTTCATTTGTTTACAAAGATTTTCTTATACATTCAGTGATGTTGGTAACACATAAAATTTGTAAATAACATATACTAAAACTGGACCTATACCAACTTATTAAATGACTATTTAAAACTTAATTTATTATTATTATTATATTTGTCATCATTATGTTTTATTATATTTGTAATTGGAGGAGGCCTTCACGCATAGAGTGGTTCTTTTCTAATAAGAGTATTAAATAGTTAAAATTTTTGAACCCTTTTAAAATTTTCTTTTAATATATTTTACAAGAAATAAAAGGCTTTTTGCAAGAAAAAATATTTCTAAGTCTCCATGTACTAAACGACGATGAGACGGCGAGGCGACGCGACGACGATGTAATCAAATGCATTAAAAACATTAAGCGCTGTGTACGAAACGGGCGACGGCGGAGCGGAGCGATCGAGCGATGCACGGGCGACGAAACAGCGGTGGAACAAACTATTTTGATTTCGCCGCTCGCACCAGTACAATAGTGTTGCATTTTTATCACAGTAATAATATGAAAATTATGGAAATTGACAATGAAGAGTTAATATCGTTTATTTTATCAAAACTGGCTATATCGGACAGTAAAAACGTACACCATAAAAACAAAAGAGGTATAATAAAGTGTGGGAAAGAATTAAAACATCATCTCTAGGTAATAAAAGTTCTCTCATTAGGAGACTAGGCTCCAATAGTTCTGTTCGATGTGAATTCATGTTTATCACAAGACTATGTATCTACGTTTGTTTCGTACACACGCAAGACACCGCTATGTCTTCGCCCCGCGCCGCACCGCCCCGCTCAGCCGTCGCTCCGGCCATCGCAAGTTTTGTAACCGCAGACTAACTCTTACTAGTCATCACTCAATATAGTTGTTAATATCCAAAATCATTAGTTCCTTCAAAATAGTTTTTGTTCTATACACTAATAATATTTTCTTGTGTCCCAGTGATTACAGCCACGATAAGACGAGCCGTGACATCGCTATATCAGAGCTGCGGCAGACGGTCCTCAACCAGCTGAGAGACACAGAAGTCGACGTGACCCTACTACAAGAAGGGTATAATAATAACGTGAAGGAAATCTTCAGGGATATGATATTCGAGAACGAGGTGAGGTGCGATGGTAGGGGACTGGATGAGCTCAGGAAGATATCCTGTGAGGTTGGTGTGATAATTGTATATGGAAAATTAAATTATTCAATTTTAGAAAGAAATATTTGTTGAAACTTCTCCTAGCTTTGTTGTACATAATACTATATGGTATTCAAAAAATACATTATCTATACTAATATTATAAAACTGAAGAGTTTGTTTCTTTGTTTGAACGCGCTAATCTCAGAAACTGCTAGTTCGAATTGAAAAATTATTTTTGTGTTGAATAGACCATTTATCGAGGAAGGCTTTATATAACATCACGCTGCGACTAATAGGAGCGAAGAAAATATGGAAGATGTAGAAAAAACTGGGAAACAGTTTCATCTTTGAAAGCTTGTGTCGCAGGCTCGGCTAGTTTTTAATATATAGATAATAACTCTTTGTCAGAAAGTCGGAACTTTTCAGAATATATATATATATATATATCCTGTAGGTAGGTCTGTACGAGCCTCTCCACGGCAGCGCGCTGTTCCAACGAGGTCAGACCCAGGTACTGTGTACCGTGGCCTTCGACTCGCCGGAGAGCGCGCTCAAGATGGACCCTCTCACTATGATCACAAGGTTCAAATTGCTTATCGTTTTTACAAAGATAAATAAGGCTTAGAACATACGAGAGAACCGAGAATATTTTAGGAAGTTTTAGAATGTTTTAAGAATACAATAACTGGTAACCGAGCTTTGCTTGGTATTTGGGAATTATTAGTATATATGTGTGTTTTTTTTAAATTTCTTTTAGGCATTTTTAAGTGAACTCGTTAAGAAGACACAAAACAATATAAATCAACAATTAATTTCTTAGTCTAACTTCATTGATTTTCTGTTACTTAACAATGCCATCTGCTGTTGTGTCGTTAAAGCAATTAGTAAAAGCAATTAGCAAAAAGCTGTATTACTATTCACCAATAGATGTCAGAGTCATATTTTAAACGACTCTTTTTGTTATTTTTTTTTAAATAAAATAACATTTTCCACAAATGATTCCTAGCTAGATCTTTTTATCGCCTCGAAAACTCCTATATACTAAATTTCATGAAAACCGTTGGAGCCAATTCGGAGATTCCAATAAGATATACATATATAAATATATTCGGAAAGTCCTTTCACATATAAAAACTGCATTTTTAAATCAGACAAAACAGAAAGTAGAAATTTTACTTTGAAATGTATAATGGAACAGATACGATTTCATTAATTGGAATTGCTCTCAGAATTAAATTATTTTTATGAAGAATAACTTGTATTACACATGTAAGGTTAAATTTTTTTATCAAATTTTAACTTATAATAGAACTAAAGATTAAATTTTTTTCTTCCAGCGGTGTAAAGGAGAAGAATTTCTTCCTCCACTATGAGTTTCCTTCGTACGCGACGGGCGAGGTGGGTCGCGGGGGAGGGGGAGGTGGTGGGCGGCGGGAGGCTGGACACGCCGCGCTCGCTGAGAGGGGGCTGCTGCCGGTCGTACCGCAACACCAGTGTACTGTGAGACTCACCGCCGAGGTGCTCGAGAGTAACGGTGAGCTCTAATAAAAATGGACACACCTTAATACCGGGTGTAATACGTATATTTGACATTCATGAAAAGGCGATAAATACAGAGATTAATAACGTACTCAAATCAATTAGGACAAGCTTATAATTTGGTTATCTTTATCACGTTTATTTATGTCGAACCGTTTATTTAACACAATAAAAATAGACACACAGTTACATAAAAGGGAAAGTAAGGCAAATACAAACAAATGCGAATCAATCTTACTCCATGAGCGCGCGAATGGAGTCTACAAGTCGCATGACCGTTCCCTTTCGTGTCCTATTTCGCATTGGAGAAAGGAAAGGGGTTTAAGCGCGGCGGTAACGCTCAGGCGGCTTGTATATACCTAGCGGGAACGCGACGCTCTCGCAATGGCTTTGAATATTGTTGAGGCGATATATCTTAAGATTTATCTTTCCTCAACTATCTCATGTATATCATAGTACATGTATGTCTATCCAGGTTCGAGTTCCATGGCGTCAGTATGCGGCGGGTCCCTGGCGCTACTAGACGCAGGCCTGGCGCTGTCTGGGCCCGCCGCGGGGGTTGCTGTGGGCCTCGTCACACGATATAAGGACGGAAAGATCGATGACTATAGGATACTCACTGATTTGTTAGTGAGTTCATGTTTACTGTACACGAGATATAATATATATATGTAATATAATAAGATGTAACTTCGCGAGTATTAAATGAAACTTATCCTAAAAGGATTACTACGCGTTATTTTAATCTTTTCTCGTCTCGTCTGACCGTGATCAAGGTTGCTGCAATGTAACCGAAACTTCGGGAGTATGTAGTTTAAATAAATAAAATAACGCGTAGTGATACGAACACATTAATTTTATTCAACTGGAACATTTTGTCCAGATATTACCATATTGTAGTAGATGTTTACCATCACTTGTAATTTCCACATAAATAAATATGTTTGAATCTTTTATATTCTCCCTTATATGTAAGCCTTTTAAGTTTAAGCTCTTTTTAAAGTTTATCTTTACATATAGAACTGGCCTTAAAAATGTAACAACCGTCTGTTATGACTATTCTGTCCATATTAAACGGTTTCATCATATGTGTTCGTAAGGAAATTTTATAGAAACGAAAAAACCCTCTATGAACCAGGCAGGAATGTTCATGATATCAATAATTGTATATCCTTATGTCTATATATCTTCAGGGTATAGAAGACTACATGGGTGACATGGACTTCAAGATAGCTGGTACCAAGAAGGGTGTGACGGCGCTCCAGGCAGACGTTAAGATACCCGGACTACCGCTGAAGGTTGTTATGGAGGCGGTACAGAAAGCCAGCGACGCTAAGAGCAAGATCATTGATATTATGAACGACTGTATAGACAAGCCGAGGTGGGTGTGTGTGTGAGAGAGAGTGTGTATGTGTGTGTGAATGGTTAATATGATAAAAAATAAAACGACCTGTTAGCCAGGAGTTAAACGGATACTGACTTTTATTTTACACAAAAAGAACGAACATTACTTTTATGCGTAAAGTTGACTTAGTTTGCCACAAGATGGCGTTAATGTGCCTATCTATATTTTGTTATTCACAACAGTTAAGTTTCTAACAGTAATCTTAACAGCTATCTATAATATATTCAATATTAACGTAAATAATGTAAAAACTATGTTTCAGAGAGGGTCGCAAAGAAAACATGCCGGTTATAGAAGAAATGGAGGTAGAAGTACATAAGAGAGCGAAGTTACTGGGAGTGGGCGGAGCTAACGTTAAGAGACTGTATCTAGAGACTGGGGTTCAGGTAGATAGTAGTATAGATGATATAGATAGGATAGATAGATAGTAGATAGGAAGGTAGATCAATGAAAATTAAATGACTTTCACTTAGAATGCATTTTTTTCTACGAAGAATAAATATGTTGTCATTTTTTTATAGTAAGTGGGATCAACATTTAAACCTAATTTCTTTACCAAATAAACCATGTTTTTAATCTAAACTGTGTCAAAGTGTATATCTCTCTATCAAATTTTTTGTGACAAGATCTACAACATTATTAATAATGTATATAACATTAAATTGATTTGATGTTTCATATACAACTATTCATAACTTTATACATATATACTTTATAATGTCACTATAAATGTGAATTCCTCTATCACAACATCGTTTTCCTGTGAAAAGTCCTACATTAATATCACATATAATTCAAATAGTTTATTATCAGTATTAATATCTTTATATCCACCAGATAACACCTATCGACGAGACTCACTACCGTGTATTCGCTCCGTCGCCGGCCGCCTTAGAGGACGCTCGCTCCAGACTCGCCGCTATACTAAACGCTACTAGAACACCGGAGATGGAATTCGGAGCTATATATACGGCTAAGGTATATCTATACAATACTTATAATACACTGTCTCACGTACCCCACTAGAAAGCGGCATGCGCTCGGCAGTCTCACGACTAGAACGGAGCAGAACGGTGACGTGCGCATGCGCTCTAGGCGGAGTAGTAGTGAGCCAATAACTAGTTATTCTTACATAGAGGACCAGAGGTCCAATATACATATATATATTTATATATGTATGTCAAACCTGCCTTATATAATAAGGGGTATATTATGGAAGTGTTCTGTCTTGTTATTTATCTTATTGAATATGTAAGCAACGTATATTTTAACGTGTGAACATTTATTGTGAATAGAATGGAAATTTATTTTAATGATGCCTATTTATATTAATTTAATTAATTTTATAGTTAAATGACATGTTATAGATGCTGGTAGATACTTTATTATATCAACATTATAGTGATGTTTATTTCCCAGGTGGTTGAAGTGAAAGACATGGGCGTGTTGGTGACGCTGTACCCGGACATGTCCCCGGCGCTGGTCCACAACACGCAGCTCGACCATCGGAAGGTCCACATTATATTTACTTTAAATACTAGCACTTACTGGGAGCTTCATATAAAACATGTAGCTCAATTGTCATCAGCCTATCAGAAGCCCACTGCTGAGCATAGCCTCTTCTCACATGGAGAAGGTTTGAGCATTAATCACCACACTTGCTCAAGACGGGTTGGTGATTTCAAACTTATAATTGTGAAACTATAAGTCCAGGTTTCCTTACGATGCTTTCCTTCACCGTATGTCAGTGGTGTCTAAATACTCTCAGAAAGTAGCTCAATCATATGATAGATATTACATTAAAGTCTGCATGATATTTTACATATCTTCTTCTTGCTGGCAATTTCCCAGCTTTAACCTTTCTGCATGATATTTTATAATACATATATTATGATCTATGTTGTTGTATCTGATAAATTTGTTTAGTAATTCTCAAAAATGGCGGTAACGCCCTCTAGTGGACGCTGTAAGCAAAATAAATTTGGGAACTTCTGTCTTTAAAGGTTCCTTGTTAATATAATGCATTAGTTACTTTGTATTTAGTCTTAAAGGACTTCCATTCGATAAGGATTTCATATTATAATCTTTTATATTGCATTTATTTCTTGGCCTATATTTTCTCAAATTTAGATTATTTCTAAGAATTATTTCTAGTGAAAATAAATATCAGTGTTTCTTGAATTGAAACCAGAAACTGGTCAATTAAACCAATATCATAAATGATGAACATTTACAGATAATGCATCCATCAGCGCTCGGCTTGACCGTGGGCTCGGAAATACAAGTCAAATACTTCGGTCGTGATCCTGTTTCCGGTCAAATGAGGCTCTCGAGGAAGGTTCTGACGTCACCTCCACCGGGCATAGTCAGGAACCACGACAAGAGCTAGACTATAATTACTTGATTGTTTTCCTTTATTTTGTAAGAATTTGATATATAATCTGTTAAAATATTTTGTTTGATAATTAATTTTCTGTAGAATTACTTTGAAAGTGTTCTTTTTAGTAAGGGCCATTTGTTACATAATTATTTAATGTTGCAAATGTTAGTTCTCAAACTATTTCCTATGATACTAATGTAACAGAAAAGCTTATCGGTAATGTGTATTGTAGATAGATTTTTTCAATGTATGTACATAAGTATGATTAAAAATGAAAGAGAATTAATCTTTTACTATCCTATCATGTGAAATCCAAACAATTGTGTGTAGTATTATTTTACTAGAGAAAGTGACATCAATTTTTTTTCTATAATTTATGAAAACTTTGCGAGCATTTCCACAACTAGTTACAGCAGTTCATGGCAATAAACTCTTTATATCAGGGGTGGCCAACTTGATTAGACGTAAGATCTACTGTTTACTAACAAAACCCTGTGCGATAGACTAAGTACATACTTCTTGAAATGGAACTGCATAGTTTAGTACACAATCATATCACATAGTCAGTGGCGGCTCAGTGGTTTAAGAGCCCGCCTCTCGTCGCCGAGGGCGTGGGTTCGATCCTGGCCCAGGCAAGTACCAATGTGATTTTTCCGAATCATATGTACTTTCTAAGAGTATTTAGACATCACTGATTAATGTTGATTCCCTAAAGAGGGTTGATGTCAGGTAGGAGGCCGGTCGTAAAAACAAATAGCCAAAAACTATTCACAACATGTAAGGCAGACCCTGGCTATAGCTGGGAAATTGCCAGGTAGAAGAAGATCACATGTGAGAAGGTTTTCTTAAATTTACTTAACATTATATGGGTCCTATATATTAGTGTGAGCATTGCGCCTGAACATTTTCAACTAGTTAAGCATAATCAGGTTATGAGGGTGTGTCAAGCGAGAACGGTGTTTAGTTTTGGTTTGTTTTAAGTACGAACATGCTGATTCACATATATATGTTGAAGCAAAACACGAATGAAGTTGTTCAACACATTTTTTCAAATTTGGATATTTTTCTTTGGAAACCAGTGCCCAGAAATCTTGACCTGAGCAAGACCTTGCTTTTAGAAATATGTCGCAGCGCAAAGTAATGATTTCGTTTTGTAACATCATTTGGTTCATTTGAAATGTATCTGCAAATTTTGTAGCCAATTCATAGATATCACTGTGGTTAATGGCATCATTAAACGGATAACTTATAAATTGAACCAACTTCTCAAATTGTCTGAAACCACTAAACCGAATTTCAAAGTCTGCTATCACTAATTTCTGTCGTGTACTTCTCAGAAATGAAATTATAGGTAGGATGTTTTTCCACATGATCCTTGATGTTTACAAATCAGGCTAAGGTAGATGCTTTTAAAATTAATGAAAAGTGAAAAAAATTATTGTAGTATGAAACCTATTAGAAAGGGAGGGGAATATTTTAAAAATTAAAGGAAAAATAATTTACGGGCGATCTGAGGCCGGGAATGGTATGAAGGTTGATATTTAAGGGCAAAAACTGGGTTTTCTCGATTTCTGACAAAACTAAACGTCCTACGAAAAAAAGTTATATGACAAAGTTGTAGGTAATAAAAAGATTCTAAACTATTGTACGTACATTTTTTTCACATAATCTCAAAATTTATGTGAAATATTCATAGAACCAAGTTTTTTGTTTTATATTTTTATCTCTTACAAAAAACAATATTTTGTTACGTAATTTGGTGAAAACTTATCTTTTGATGTCCCAAATACACTGTAATTTATTTGATTAGAAATATTTATTTTTTCAGCTTATTTTGAATAAATATCGAAAAATCAACCTCATTTTCAATCGAAAAATCAGCCGTCTAAATATGAGCTTTTTCAAAAATATGGTATGTTATCTATTTGTTGAAATCTCTATTTTCCGATGGTGTAGAACCGACCTCAGATCGCCCGTAAATTATTTTTCCTTCAATTTTTATAATAATTCCCCCCTTTTCTAATGGGTTTTATCCTACTATCATTTTTTTATGTTGTAAAAGCTATCGACACTGGTCTAAATTGCTCGAATTTTTTCTTCTGTATGTAAACTATCATAGATTCTGTTTAACTTTGAAACGCTGCAATAGAACTCATCATTTTTATTAATGTTTTATTCCTTCCCTGTAGATTCAGATTTAATGTTACTCAGTTTACCAGTAAAATCAGCCAAAACCGGTAAATCATACTGCTAGTCCAAATCACGCAATTGATTACAATCATCACCCCTTTCATCAAGAAATATTATTATTTCTTCCAAGAGATTTCGATGTTTGCAAAAAATTTGCTTTGGCTTAATTGCTGTTTAAAGAGTCAACTTGGAAGGGTTTTTCTTTTTATGGAATTTACAATTTTAAAAGAAATTAATGTCGTCAACTGTCACCTGACCGATTATTGGGTGACACGGGACGGATTGATACTTGAGACACGGAGCTCCAACGTAACCCACTCGCTTCCCGATTATTATTGGTCAGTGCGTGTCGAAAACTAAACACTATACTTTGTATAGTGCGTTTCATTTAAGCTGAGCTTTGCATTTGTGTGAATGCATACGGATAGTGTAGGTGTGATGTCAAATTTTTGAATACTCCTTTTTGAATTTCCTTTTTAGTTTTGAACCCGTTTATTCTGCTTTTACTTCGCCCCGCACCTTCCGCACTTCACCTTTTGTACTGGTAGCAAAATCAAATGTTGAAAACGCAATTTCAAGTGAATAAGAATTTGAAGTTATTCCAAAATTTTTATTAATCAATAATTTTTTTTCCGTAATATTTATAATATTTCCATCTAGCCTTTTACAAGTTTTGCTTATTTTATAGCACTTATGTTTTGTATCTATTTAAAATACAATAAAATTTAATTCTAAAAGTTTTTCGTCTAACTCTACTTTTACTTTCACTCACACAAAAGCAAAGCTCAGCTTAAGTCTAACGAACTATTCACTATAGAAAAGAGCATGAATAACGTGACGGAACAGCGATTGAAAACTGATACAAGACGGTGCTGCAGGTGTTGATAATTAAAATGCGCAGTCTATTTATTTATATTTTTTGACTGGCCACGATCGACTGGACTAACGATTGCGATTGACCGGTTGGCCACCCCTGCTTTATATTAAAATACTCCACATATTAAAGAAGCAGACTTAATGATTGAGTCAATGTAAACGGTTGATGGATTAAGACATTACTTATAAATAAGAAATTCATCACGTTTCTTATAACATCTTAATAATTGGAACGATTCGAAGCAATAAAATAAATTATTAATTTTAATCATTTTATTGAAAGAAATAATCTGTACAATCTATGAAAAATATTTATCACAAAAGGACGTTTCGTCGAAGGCACTGACAGTACTCCGAGGTTATAGACATACATTCATTTATAACAATTATTATACATTTGACGGGAGACGCTCTCTCCCGAATCACTTAACTAACAAAGTAATTGTCAAAAAATAAAGGAATCAACAATAGTACTAAGGCCGCCCACACACCGGACTATGATTAACAAAAAAATGTTAAAATACAACAATATAGTCACGTGTGTGAGCGGCGTTAAGATTAAATACATTTAAATATAATTACAAAAAAAAAATAACGTCAAATTCCACTTTAATACTTGCAGTCTTTGATTTCGTTGTGACTACCAGCATCATATAATAACTATTTACAAATACATATTCGATAAACTTCTACAGTTAATATAAATAATTCGAATAGGAATACTCTGCGCAGAGGATACATACACCTCACAGCGTGCATACAGTGGCAATAGGAACTTAAACTAGTTGATTAACATGGATTCGTTCGTCTGCGGCTATGATACAAAATATGGGAAGTCTCACACGCGAGCGATATAAAAAAAATACACCAAAAAAAATATTCTCCATTTAACAGTTAGAAACTTAACCGTACAGTAAAAAAAATACGATTAAGTTCATAACGAAATCTGTATAAAAAAAAACATCTGTCAACACAAAGTCTTACTGAGATCATTACGACTAAAGCTGCCATCTATTGCCACCATATTTGTTTTTATTAATCTGTGTCACTCTCCACAGATTATTAAATCATATTAATCATAAGGCCGTGCTACACGAGGCTGTAAAGCGTACAGATAAATAATTATTGCTTTATTATGCATTATAATATAAATGGCATCGGCTCCAAGTGCACTTGAAACAATAATTAACAATAAGCGGAGGCTCACACGATGGCAAGAAATATAAACGTTAATATATAGCCTCAGAATAATATACGGACCGCGGGTTACATAACAAGAGAATTATATAATAGTTATTATAAAAAAAAAATCATTCGAGCAAACCAGCGGTCCCGTATACAGTTTGTCATATTTTGCAAGTCGTTTTTTTCGCTTTCCAATTTCATCGACGCCTGAAGACTAAATAAATCTCTCAACGAGCTAACATTGGTATAAATATGATTAAATAATTGTCATTCTCTTATATTTAAGGCACATCCGTTTAAATAGGACCATTTTCATAGTATCTTCTGTATATGTATGATTCGATTAATATTTGTATAAAAATAATATCTCCTTGACTTGGCTAGTTTCGCCCCCCCCCTCTCCCCGCCGGTGTCGCCCCCTACTGGCTGAGTCCGAACAGTTTGAGCGCGTTGAAGGCCGTAGCGAGCGCCACGTCCTCGGGACTCTGCCCTAGGAAGCCGGCGACCAGCTCCACAACGGCAGGCAGGGAACACGGCTCGTTACGTTGGAAGGTACAGTAGCGGTTCACGAAGTTCATTGACCTGAGAATAATAAAATATATTTTAATATCCTACCAATATTATAATTGCGCAAAATTGAAAAAGTGTGTGTATGTTTGTTACTTCTTCACGCTCAAACGGCTGAACCGATTTTGATAAAATTTTGTATACAGGAATCTGACGTCCAGGAATAACATATAGGCTACATCCCGGAAATTCGCGGGTAGCACGGCGGGGCACAGCTAGTTTATGTATAAACAAATGTATTAGACTCTCAAGGACTATCTGTTTTAAACTAGTTGATGCAGTCATGGTAAAGATAATGAATGCTAATTAATGAAGTTGAAATTAGGTTAAATTTAGTTATTGTATTTCAGATGTATGAATAATAGGAATTTTCCATCTAGGTATTGTTGAAAGAGTTTTGTTAAATTTATAGTTATCAGTAATCACATATGATTATTACTAGAATATCATTTGTAGCACAATTTTAGTTTGAATATATGTATTACTTCTAATAGTTTTAATTTCTGTAGACTGTTCTATTATTAGGTTTTGCTCGTAATAGATTATAATTAATAAAACTATTCTTTATAAAGAGTATCTACATTTCAATGTCGTGATATTTATTAGTCTTTTTTATGGAAATATTTAGGATGATACATGAGATATATCACATTATTGAAATTCAGATAAAACCAGATAAGTCGCTTTGATAAATATCAACAGACACACTTACGTGTGTGTATACAGGGTGACTGGTGAATTACTATCGATATTTGAGGACGTGATATTTGACGATCATATATGACAAAATAATAATTAATATAACATAAATATTAATAAACTTCTAAGTAAAGTTAACCAAAAGTTATGTAATTAATTACGCATCGTGTGAACACCCTACAGATTAGGTATACACACACACACACGCGTCGGCGGCGTGGTGTTGTATCAGCACGCCGCCGCACGCGTCCACACTTGGAACACTTGGAACGTGTCCACGCTTTATTTATTTATAAGGAAATTTGGTCAAAAATTAAGAGCCTATTTTTTTATACATAATTCGAATGAGAAGCATGTACCGAGTATTCTCCTTAAATATTGATAGTAATTCACCAGTCACCCTGTATACATTTATTTTAAACTTTCTTTTTAATTGTGGTTCCTTTGATAACAAACTTGTTTTCCAGTATTCGTTAACGTTTCATCAATTTTAAGGAAATTATCATTGCGAGTGTTCGCCACTCAGGCGATCAATACACAACATTAAAACTTTAATTCTCTGTATTAGCTACTTCTACATACAATCGGAAATTAATATTTTTTTTTATTTACTGTCATTAAAAACAAATACAGTTATATCAATGTCTTCTGTATTTCAAAGCTGAGAATGTTTTTTTTCTTGTGCAGAAAATACTTATATATTCTTTGTAATAGAAAATACATACAAGTATATCATGACTTTATTGCATATCTGAGCTATGAAGAGTTCCTATCTAACTTATTAGATCACGCTGCGCAAGGATGAGCCGAAATCCTCAAGCGTTACACATTTTTGGTAGTATATAGTTTTAAAATAAAAAATATGCGTAGTAATCCGAATAATCTTAGTTTCGTTTAAGTTCCTATCTATATTTATCGTCTCTAGTTACCTATTTCCTTGTATTTCCTTTATAATACATATCCTCACCTCTCAGTCAATGAGTCCTTCACGTGTAGCGGCAGTTTGGAGGCTCTCATGTTAGGATACATGAACGGCGAATCAGTCTCCACCAATAGTTTATCTAGAGGCAGAATCCCTTCTGACAGCAGTCTTCGGATCCCACCATCGGATTTATCCTTACATATATACCCAGTTATACCCAGGTAGTAACCCTTTTCTATGTATTTCAAACCCTGCTCAACTGAACCAGTGAATGAATGTATGACCACTGGTGGTAAACGATTGGCGAATTCATCGAGGATTTTTATGAGATCCTCTTGGGCTTCTTTTTCGTGGACGAATAGAGGTTTGCGGAGATCGCAGGCCATTTCCACCTGGAAATTAAAGGTCTTTGTTATTTATCAGTTGCATTTCTAGCTGGACTTATATGAAGTTAGAGAACTTATCTCATATAACGTCTAATCGCCCAAAAAAATTAATACGAATGCAAAATGAATGATCATTTATATCTGATACATTTCGAGGTACAGTTTCAGACTTGTCTTTTAATGTTTAAAATTACATAAAAAATGTCTAAAGCCAGTTATAGTTTTCAAATACATGTTGATACTTAAATGTTGCATATTTAATTATAATGGTTCAGTCTTATAATTAATTATAACGTCATAAAAATAATTCTAAGTACATATAGTATATTATAATTACTACGTCACAAATGACGCCAATTGTGACAATATATAATGTCAAACATTTAAAGTATTTTAACACGCTTTTATTAACTTGGGTTAGTATTAGACTAGGGTGCATCTGACTTCATTTCATATCTTTCCTCTCATTGTTAGTTGCCACTAGAATGATTGTAACATTAAATATCAAGCATCTCACTCTTTTTACTCTGAATTGAAATTATGTGAATTATTTTCCATTTTCTACTTCGATTAGCTGTAAGAGTGTTTTTTAAAGTTTTTTTTAGCTATTATTTATGTAACATAATGTTTCCTCGTAGTTTTACAAGCTGTAAAGATCTGTTTATCGTTGGGAGCGTTAAACAGACGGCTACTTGAGATGTCTAAATATAGATCGTAACGTGTCATTGAACGTGTTACGGACAAACAGATTTAGGATACGAACATATAAGACTACTATAGTCATCATCATTTATATAAGAAATACTTCATAATATTCATTTTAATAAATCTTTCTACCACTTAAAATTCTTTAACTAATGTTTTTTGCTTTTGTTATGTTTGAAAACATTTCTGTTTTATATTTTTAAAACATTGTTGTATTCAATACGAGTGATGTGACTTCATCTGTTTTGATTATTAAGGTGTGTGTAAGGATGTAACAAATTTAATATTAAGAGACAAACCTTTCAACTTTCCATATATATATTATTTAAAGATAAATATTACTTAATATTATATAACAAGTATTTAATATAATAAACTTAATGTATGAGTGTATCCAGAGCGTTTAAGTCTCTGTTGGTCCAGAATGAGAGATGATCTAACGAGATGATATCAGTGATAAGGATATGACCTTGTTCGTGTTTGAGATGAATCCCTCAAAAGATATTTTTAGTCACAAAATATAAGATAATTTGAAGTGTTCACGTTTCATTGTTTTTGTTTCACGTTTAATATGTATTACTCAATATTACACTTCAGTTATGGCTCAATAATAATATATAACAAGAGAATCCATGGGAATGATCTGTATGTAAAATGATATTAAATGTTTTGTGCCGAGTTTTTCATTTATAAACCCAGTCAAGTATAAACGTAGGTAGGACGAGAAACGGACAACACTACGTATTTAGTGTGAAGACACATTAGAATAAGCAGATTTGCAAAAAAATAATTGGCGCTAACTTAATTTCAAGATTCTGTCAATTTGTATAACAAAAAAATTTTATGTAATGTATTTTTCATGTAGAAATTGTAAATGTAATCGATATTATCAATTTCATAAATACGACTATGGGAAGTATATAGAAAAATATATTGATAAAAGAAACCATTTTTAATATAGACACAATCCTACTAATATTATAATTGCGAAAGTTTGTGAGTGTGTGTGTATATTTGTTACTTGTTCACGCTCAAACGGCTGAACCGATTGTGATAAAATTTTGTATACAGGAAGCTGACGTCCAGGAATAACACATAGCCTATTTTACATCCCGGAAATCCGCGGGTAACATATGCATATATATGTGTGTGTGTGTGTGTGTGTGTGTGTGTGTGTGTGTATAAGTACGTACATATTATGTATGTATATGAGAATGTATATATGTGTGTGTGAGTGTAAGGAATTCAATTACAAAGTCTAGTTCCACAGCATTAAATACCAATATATTATATTACAAATGAAATATAAAGTTATGTATGTTACACCATTACAGAAAAACTATGTAACTTATATTAACATAACTAACACACGTATTTAAAATCGAAGAGTGAGTTTATATGTTGATCTAGTAATCGTACTAAGGTTACAGTTTAAAAATTAACACAATTCGTGAGGAAATAAATAGTTCGAATGAATTTTATAACGAGACATGATAGTGAAAAGAATTATAATCAATATATTAAAAAAAATTACAAACGGTATTGAAAGACGTGAGAAAAAATCTCATTTTATTATTAAGAGATACTTAGAATAATATTTTTATAATAGGTCGAATAAAACAAAAATTAATGAAAAAGGAGTTCTCTTTTTAAACATGTATTATTAATTTCATTAAAACATTTACAGATACAATCATTAACCATGTTAGCTCTTGAACAGAAAGATTTGCGTTACGTCGCGTCTCGTTCTGACGGCACACGTGCAGTTTGAAGTATTTAAACTTATACTAAAATGCAAGAAGTAAATTAGTTTTTATTTGATGTAACTTCTTACACGCGAAAGTTTGTCAGGATGTATCTACGCATGTTAGTTACTCTTTCACGCCAAAACTACTAAACTTATTGTGGTGAAACTTTACATAAATGTAGTTTAGACATCAGAATACGACATAAACTATAATTCCGTGTAGTTACTAACGGATCGAGGCATAACGAAATGTGTATGAAGTAACATCACGAAGACTAAAAAGTCTATCGCTTTTTTAACGTTATATTTAGTTTTAACACTACATAAATCTCTGGGCCTTGTTTGAAGTTAGTGGTGGTCTAGTGGTTAAAAGGCCCGTCTCTCATGCATGAGGGCGCGGGTTCGATCCTGGCAAGTACCAATGTGATTTTTCCGAGTCATAACTCATATGTACTTTCTAAGAGTATTAAGACATCACTAATTAATGCATTCCCAAAAAGGGTTGATGTCAGGCAGGCGGCCGGTCGGTCGTAAAAACAATTTAAGTTAGACCCTGGCTAAAGCTGGGAAATTGCCAGGTAAAAGAAGACAAATCTCTGGGCCCTATCCCGATGTCGCAGACAAAGTCGCGAGCAACAACTAGTATAAATATATCAAAGTGATTGTACATTAGAAAACTTGAATATAAACGCGTTCTCTGAAGCATGGTGAGTGCTAGTGAAAGCATATCGTTAAATAACTCACAATTATATAACACATTATTTATATATACTGTTAGCTGGTACATAGTTCCACTAGATGGCGCTTCAGCGTTGTAAAGATTTAGGTATTTTAATGATCTAGTAATATTTGTTCCATTATATCTAAATATGTATATATGATCATATGTATCTGATTATGTTGTTTATCAATGATGAACTCTTAAACTACTTAACCGATTTTTATTTTTATTTGCACACCGTTCAGTTTGATCCAACTCAAAAGATAGGATAGCTTACATCTTCATTTATAGCCTCAATATACAGGGTGACTGGTGAATTACTATCAATATTTAAGGAGAATACTCGGTACATGATTCTCATTCGATTTGTGTAAAAAAAATAGGCACTTAATTTTTGACAAAATTTCCGTATAAATAAATAAAGTGTTGACACGTTCCAAGTGTTCCAAGTGTGGAGGCGTGCGGCGGCGTGCTGATACAACACCGCGCGCGTATGTGTGAGTATGTGTGTATACCTAATCTGTAGGGTGGTTACACGATGCGTAATTAATTACACAACTTTTGGTTAACTTTACTCAGAAGTTTGTTAATATTTATGTTATATTAATTTTTATTTTGTCATATATGATCGTCAAATATCACGTCCTCAAGTATCGATCGTAATTCACCAGTCACCCTGTATATATCACGACTCTTCGTAATATTTTTAATCAACAAAAAATATATTTCAATATAAATCTTCTTATATAATAATAACTAAAATATTCACCTTTGAAACTAATAACTGACTAATAAATTTATCTTAATGACTCAACTGTTGGTAAATAAGAAAGTAAATATATATTTAAATAAATTAATTAATTATATTATTATGTATAAGGAAATTTCTTACATACAGAGAGAGAACAAAAGAATATATTAGATATGTGATATTCAAACACAACTATATCCAAAATAGTTTTTTTTGTTTATCATAATGATGTAACAAAAGTACAGACTAACAGATTCATACAGCCGGTCATGTCATTTAAAAGTAATCTTTATCGAGATAAAAACACATCACTATATCAATTTATGTAATAATACAATACAATTATGCATATTACTATTAAACAAAATAACCTTTTTTGCCTACATTCTGTTGTGGGAGAATATATATAAATACATATATAAATATGTATGTGCAAGTATGTGTGTGTGTAAACAATTCAATATACTTTATTTCAATTCTCATAAGCACTTAAAAAGCATAAGCTATCAACATATATACTAAAAACCTAGCTTAGATTAAATATTTGAAGAAAATTCTCAGGAATTATATGTTTCTATGTGACTTCTACATACATATATTGTCCTCGACAAATATCTACTATGTACATTTAATAAATGAAGTACATAGTGTAAATTATCAGTTACTCTCATGCAGAAGGCTTAGGAACATTTGTGAGGCTTCAGAGAGCTCATTAGATGAAGTGGAAGCATGTAACGCGAGATTAATGTTCTAATACATCCTATGTGGAAATACAAAGTTGTCATTGACAGTTTGTTAACAAGAAAATTACTCCATTAATTTTTCTTCCTGGCAATTTCCCAGCTTTTAGCCGGGGTCTGCCTTACATTTTTGAACATAGTTTTGGCTAATTGTTTTTACAACCGGCCGCCTGTCTGACATCAACCCTCTTTGGGAATCAATATTACCCCACTACTATTATATATATATATATATGTATATATTTGTGGTTGCATTTAAATACAAGCTTTATTTCAAGCTACTTCCATGCAAAAGTGTTATGTATTATTACTTGATGAAAATACTTGTTCGGTTCATTATTAAGAATAACCCTTAGAAATGCCTCTATATTATTAAAACATAGCTTCTATCAATACTAGTAAATTATACAAATAACACATACATATACTTTCTATTACATATATGACTTAATTTAATATTAAAGAAAAAAATTATCAGCTACAACTTAAATCAAAAGTATGTATAACAAACAACTAACCTGCCGTTTAAACACCTCTCTTTGTACACTGGGTTCCGAGAAGTCCTTGGTGTAATTAAGACCACATTCTCCGATGGCCACACATTCCGGGGCAGCTGCCGTACTTGCTAATTCCATCCAAAGTTCTTCTTCGGACATCGATTTTGCATCATGAGGGTGGACACCTTAACATGGAGGTATAAAATAATCAATTTGAGGTTATAGAACAAACTATACACATTTTCAGTCTTCTCTTGAAAAACATGGAAGCTTTTAATCTTAACAATCTTTAAATAAAATAATTCTTAAGTACCTACTAAAGTTTTATACAATTAAGCAGCAAAATTAATGTTTATATAGTAAGATATCTCTTAATTAATAGAATAATTATATTATTAAGAAAAAATTGTATTAAAAGTTAGCTTATACATATATGTATATTATATATAAATAATTATGAGTTTTTACCTGCGGTAGAATATATAGTGCTGGGGTAGAGGCGTGTTAGTCTCAATGCTTCTTTGCTACTTCGAACGGATGTGCCTGTTACCATGATCTTCTGGACACCTATGAAATCATTACAACTATAAATAAAACTTATCAAATCAAAATTATATTATAGTTATAATTTCATGACTCATTATTTTCCTTGTAAATCCAAACAGATTCTTATTGGAATTATTGTGTTAGTATATTTTCTCTTTTAATAAAAAATAATAATACGACATTATTGTATTATACATAAAGATTTTAGAAAGTACTTAGAATGCAGCATATGTAAGAATAAAACAGTGAATAAAAACTTATTAACATTAATATGTTTCAACATTAATCATAGAATGAGGCACTAATTACTTATTATTACGTTCAACACATATTTGCACGCGATATCATATACACAAACATTTCTATTCACCTGCATCTTTTGCCCTTTGAATAACAGAATCGAGATCACGGCCGTATTTCTTGTTCGTCAAGTTCGCGCCAATGTCGATTACAATGAGATTTTCGTAACATCCCTTCAGCTCTTCAGAGATCGGGACTTCTTCAGACGTCATGCTTAATTTTGTATGAAGCTTATTATTGCGGTGTTTACCTGCAATAAAATGGATGTTATTATATCAATCTCATTTATGAAATATTATAAGATAGATCCTTACTTACAATTTGTATCAAACACTCCTGCTTGATAAGCTTCCTGAAATTTTAATGACTAGTGAAAATGAACACCCTATTCACTGAGATGCCACCATGTTTTTAAAGAATTGTTGAAGTTTCTTATGCTGCGAATGCCAACTGCTACTTTAAATGTCATGAGAAATCATTTCCGATTGGTCTGTTGATTTATATTTCTGTAAAGTTATTGGTAGTCATAATTGTACAGTGAAAACCAAGTATCGTATCTGTTTCGTTCTCAATTATTTTGTATAGGATATTACAAAATATTAAAATATTATAAATCGTAACAGATCAGGTTTTTTTGATCTAATATTTCTATTTGTGTTTTTTTATAATTTTTACTCTAAACACTTCTAAAAATAAAACCAAACAAGGAACACTAGTGTCAAAAATTTTAAATGACAACGTCAACTTTTCACTGACAAGTGACAGTCTAGGCTGTCTCCGCACATCTGATTCTTAAAAAAAGTATGAATTAAAAGAAATCTCAAAAACATATTTGCGAAAATGAAGATACGTACATTTGTTTCGAAAAATTTAGTAGCGATAGTAATGGTTCCTGCAATCATTGCAAGTCATTATGGCTGGCTCAAGTTACAGGAAAACAATAGCCTTGTGTCTCCTGAAGAACGAAAAAAGCTCGCTATATACTCGGTATTTTTATTGTTTTATTTAAAGTATTTAGTAATAAACCATGACGTTTTACATAAGATTTTTGTGAATCTAAGACAACTTTAAATAAAAAACTGCGTATTAAAATATTTTTATTCAAGAATAATATTTTATACAATACAATTACGTACAATGCTTAAAATTATTTTCTTTTCCAGTTGCTTAAAGACGACTAATAGAAAAGTGGCAGCGGTGTAAATAAGGACTGTGAATGGAATAAAACCAACACTACAGTAGTATCTTAGATTTTAGGCAAATATTAATGGTATATAATTCTGAAGTATTTTCTATAATAAAACATTTAAACACAATTACGTATTATTCTTTGCCTATATATCTATTTGTCACTTACTAAATGTTATTTTACATAAATACCATAGTATGTATACTTAAACTGATATTTGAATCTGAAACCATAACTTTTATTATGTATAAAAGCTTCTATATACATTTAGAGTTTTCTGGTTTTATTTTAATTGATGATAATCTTGCTTGCATTTGATAGTTGATGTAATATTTTAATTTTTATCCTTGTGAATATCTGCCGATGCCATGCTCTCTAAGTTTGGTATAAGCTAGAAAATATCTAATGTATAACAGCAATAAAAGCCTTAACATACCTCTGTACTTACAAATAATTATATTCTTTTTAAACCTTAATCTTTTAAATTTATTCCAGATCATAGAATTGATACTATTTGTTCCTACAGTGAATTTGTTTTTTCATACAAAAATTAAGAGATCTTATAGATGTTGAAGTCTCGCCTCAACAAGACAATCATTTGTTGATTTATATATAAGTACTTAATAAAATAGTCAATTATTATTATATTATAATCCAATAGAATGAAATACACTTGGAATACGTCCAAGGAGTTTTTACATTAATGAGTTTTTTGTTAAGACATGTGAAAAAAATTATTGTAATCATGGAAATGATAGTAAAAAAAAATATAGCTCAAGTTAAACATGCAGATTTATGTTTAAATAGGTTGATAGTCCTATAACTGAATGCTGTACACAAAAACATCCTATTTAATGACGATTAGTTCTGCTTACAAGCCAATAGGATAAAGGCTTAATCTAAGAGATCTTTTCAGTACAAAGATTACTGTATATCTTTAATTAAATATTGTAAATGACTAAACTGAAATGAAATTTTCTAATATGCAGATATTCTAGAGATTAAAGTAACAACATGTTTTGTTTTCTATAAGATGATCTTCACAAAGTCTATAGTACAGAATGTGAGCTAGTAATAATTCCTAAAAAAAGGAATTTCATGTCAAATTAGGCAATTACCATCTATGCAAGCTGTTCAATGAGATGATATAATTAATTTGCAATAAAGAATCTTTACAACCAATTATAATGTGTGGAAGCTTATAATTTGAAATTTAAATACGAAAATAGTTTCTTTGAGGAACTCTGATGACTTAAAACGATCTGTAATGAAAGCATCAATAACATAAACTTAACTTCTGTTTACAAAACGAAATGTCATTTAGCAATAAGTCATATGTCAAACATGAAAACAAAAATCAGCCATTTTATAAAGGTGGCACTTCACTTGGCGTTTATTTGTTGTGTTCAGACTATAGTAATAAGACTATGCGTGGAGAATTTATTTATCTTCATTTGACATATTTGCACAAATAAGCGAAAACGCGCGTGTTATTGGCATGCCAAGTGTGGATGCCGTGTTTGCACTATTTGGACAAATGCGGCGAATACGCAACGCCAAGTGAAATGCCACCTAAAAGAACACAAATGCTTAAAATATGCATTATTAGTTACACAATAATTTATTATATAAGAACTTGATGCATACATTTTACATAAATAAATAAAAGTGCGTTATAATATAATTTTAATTTTGTAATAAATAATTTTTAAAATTCTTTTTATATGTTGATATAAATATAAGAGACAACAAATAGATTTTATTTAAATTTATGTCTCGCGGGCGCTAGTCATATGGTGGGGAGGTGTGCTCGGCCGTCCAGGTCAGACTTCTTCCTCGGCTGCGTCCTTTCAGAGATTATCAGTTGTGGCAGCATTGGGGACGATTGTGTCTGGAGGAAAAAGTTAGGCATGTTTCAATATTCTCCACAGATTAAAAAGAAAATTTAATATAGTCCACAGATTAAAAATTACACCAAACAGTTTTTTTTTATAAAAAGTTAGAGAAAAAAAAAATTAATGCATGACTGTTTTCATTAGACTGCGATTATAGATATTGGGCTGCTATTATAGACTTGTCGAACTAAAACATTACTTTTTTTGAATAAAATTCTCATTTAAAATTTATTTTGATTTAGCTTTTATATGGGACATCAAAAATCTAATGCCGCTTATGGAAATTATACACGCAAATTGGACAGAACATTTGACCTTCTCACATAATGTATATGAATCCGCTATGCAGTGGTTGCATGACCGTTAAGACGATGGTTATCTAAAGCTAATCGGATTAAATTACTACGTTAAGGAATCTATCAAGATCAATCTGACAAAAAAATACGATTATTATCTATATTTCCAACATTTATAAATGAAATTTATTGATAGCCATATTCTATTACATAACTAAAACTAAATTCTTAATACAAAAATATATACAAAGTATTATATCGATCTAATTATTTAGTATGGAAATACGATCAAAAAGTAAGTAACCCAATAATTATTACATCTTATTAGCTCTAATATAACTTCAATAAAACCATTAATTCTTTAAAATTTACTTCTTTATAAATAAAACGAATATTTTCGGATATAACTATATTATTTGGAATCTAATATTTTTTTATCTTGACTAATAGTAAAACATAAAATGTGACAATGAAACTGGCACGTAAAATAATATAAATAAAAAATAGATCCGAAAATATAAGTGTACTTAGTACTTTTAAGCTAATCGTGAAGATTTTTGGATATTAACTTGCAATTAGATCCAAGGCACAATATATTTAATGTCACTTCTTTTTACTCTTCTTAGCTTGTGTGGCGTTAGTTGGAGTTATTGTGGACTCATCATCGAAATTAGTTGCAGCGCAATCTTGGAATTCTTGCTGTTTGTCAAAATTTAATATATTTTTTTGGCATTCTTTTATATAAATAGTGACTCCTAAATCTGGGACGTCTAATTCCTTTCACAAGTTTATTATTAGAAATGGTTATATATAAATCTGTTGATAGTATATCAGAGGTTTAGTAATCAAAGGCAGCTAATATATGCAATCACCATTATAGCTTTCACACTAGTTGCTAACTGTAGCGAAATGTACAACACCATAATCGAGAATATTACCATATAAATACATCAAATTTAGCTAATACAATGAGACGAAACCTTTCATTCAATGTATTCACTGTGCGTGTGTCGGGTCCATCGTTGCAAGGAGAGGAGCTTCAACAGTGACTGTGACATGTGACCCAGGTGTAGGTTTAAGGGACTCTAAAGCGCGTTAAACGCTCACCTCCACTGTCCAAGTCCCTTTCTCTACCAACTTTGAAACGAAACTAAGTACGTGCTTTCGAAGAACGATTCAAGAACAAGATTTAGCCTTTACACCTATTTATTAGAGTTGTTTTTGTCACTAATGTCTCTTTTTATAATAATATACATTTCTCAACGCAGAAACAGACTGGTATAAGTGTTTCCTATATCTGGTAACCTAAGACAAGAATAAGATTATCTTTCTTATACTATATCCCAACCTGTGCTCGTCTAGCCTTCTCGAAGTCATCATGATCTGTTCTAGGGACTGCGTATAGAAAGTTCTCGAATATAGCGTGACGTAGTAACTGCTCACACGTGGCGCGGGCTAGCGGGTCCTTGTCCAGACACTTCTGTAACAAACATTTAGAGGTAAGTCTTAATATCCTACAATCTTAAATATACGACTTATTATAAACCTTTCTTAATACTGTATATAAAAATATCAGAAATACATTCATATACTTCTATCTTGGGATGGGATAAAGAAGCTTACAGTCGGTATAATATTCTCTATTAAGAATATCTTTTTTTTTTTCTACTCGTCGGTGGTAACCAAAATCTTATTCCTTAATACAAATGACGAGTACTAAATATTCTCATTACTGCAGTAATTTGAATGGAATCTGATTGATATTTGAATGATAAATTTACTTACGTAACCAAAATTATTTAATTCATAATATTTATTATAAAAAATTCTGTTTTAAGATATAATTAAGAAATTAACAATTGTGGGTACCATTGTTGTACGTCCGTACCCAGAGCAAACTTTACTATAAAAAGTACTAAGCTCCTCAGAGTTTTCCCGCACAGTAGTCGAAATCATATATTTTTTTATAAATATGTATAAGCTTTTAATTTACAAAAAATTTAACAAATCCATTGTGAATGGAGCCATATTATAAATACTATCTGTAAATCATATTACCTACTACTAGAAGACCTTGCGAACTTCGTATCGCCCTATAATAATCAAGAAATATCTGTTACATACGTTTTTACCTATTAAAGCCATAAATCTCCGTGTTTTGAAGTGCGACAGAATGATTGACATATTAGTTAGTTGTTAAATCTAATGTCAAAAAGAAACGTTTGTATCAACAACTACTAATAAATTAAAAATTAATTAAAAAAACTTTGTCCAGCGGACCAAAATTGTGAATCTAAACAATTCCCAGATCACCTTGAACACACACAAAAACTTTCATCAATATCGGTCCTGTCGTTTGAGAGAAGTTCATTGACATACACACTCATAGAAGAATTATATATATTAAGTTAGCTTACCTTTAAGAAGTCTAAGACCAAATCGTTATTGGCGTAACGTTGCGGTATTTTTTTCTCAAGGGGCTCCAGACTAGTCGGCTCTGGCAACTCCATGCCCTACGACAAACAAAAAAAACATTATTAGATAAATCAACATGTCTTTTAAAAAGAAAATGTCTTTAAAATATTGGAAAGTTAATTTAAATTAATATTTTACAATTAAGAGTTGTTAAAGACTCATTAGAACTGCAATTAGTTATGTATGTATGTCTGTAAATTCTATTTTCTTGTGACAGAAGAGAAAGAAGAAAAATTATCCAAAGACGATGTATTACTATTTATAACAAATAGTTACTTAAAACATTTGTCACATGTCAAAATTCACAATACATTTTTTTAATAATTGTTTATACAGGTTAAAATAATATAGGGCAGAGGAAGGCAAAGAATCAAACCAATTCAGCCAAAAAAATTAAAATGTCATTCATTCACATATCATCTGCCCATGATCACGTTTGCTGAAAAGTAACCGAAACATCAAGCTTATGTAGATAAAATAATAAAATACACATAGTAACCCGAAAATATAACGTTCTAAAATAATAAAATCAAAGTAGTAGTCGAAAAAATAATAGTTTCATTCAAATGTATTCGCGAAAGTCTTAATTATTATGTAATTAATTAACCTGAAAGAATGTATTCTGTGAGAATATCGTCATGTGTCTCGGCAGCAGGTCGCCCAGCGTCTTACGGATCAGGTACAGCTGGTCGAGGTCACTCTTACCCGGCCATAGAGCTTCACTTGACAGCAACTCAGCGAACACACAACCTGGGAGATATACCATAGAGATGGAATTATTTTTATATTGTACAAAAATTAGTATAGTTTCTTTACTGGTGCAAATATTACTTTAAACTTATTCCAAATTAGTTCGTTTAGATTTAATATTCACACAAAGTGTGGTTCTATAAAAAATTATATTAAACATATATATTTTAATAGAATTGCTTTGCTGAAAAATATTGAGTAATTTATTGTTTTGTTTCGAAGGACATACCTAATATAATATTTTTTTTTTTAATACTTTTTACCTATAACCCGCGCGTTAAATACGAGTATGTACGTAATATGTATACTTCATATTCAAAGAGTGTCAGTTTATCTGATCTTATGAAATAAATTACAAAACATACAATTATACTGTTATCTTGTTAATTTGTAGCACCAATTATAAATATCATATAATTTCAAAGCAAAAGTTTTAATGTCAAGCAAGCTTTTAATTTCAAAGCAAAAATCACCAGCTTCGAGTAAAAAACGTAGGTATGAAAAAATAAGCTATTAACGAGGGCGAGGATGCGGGCAATAGATAACTAAATGTAATGTTAATGCAAATAGTAATTATATATAATATGATGTGAAAAAAATGTCTTCATAAATACTAAAAGTACTTCGTCTATACTCTTTTAACTCCGTACAGGTAAAAAACCTGATTCTCTTTCTTATTAGAATTAATTATATTCACAAAAGCTATTTCTCAAACATTCATATTAATTTAAAATTTAGTCGTGATGTCAAGTTTAAGTTGTCTCAAATTGGTATTATCACTCCGGCGTCGGGACGTGACGACCCCATCGCCCACTGGTGTATTCCGGTGCAATCAGTCACGGGGGGGAGGGCTGGGGGTACAGCCCTGGGAGTAAGACGGTCACGGATCTGGCAGGAGGCCGTCCGTGGCTGTCTTGGGGGGGAGGGGATACTCGGGTCTCTCCGGAGGCCTGAGTTCGCTTGTGGTCGGTCGGTTTCCTCTCTGTCTGCCGTCGGGCGCTTGCGCTCGTCGGTGGGTGGTTGGAGACTGGCCGCGTGGGCTTGGGTGGGAGGGGTAAGGGGTTAACCCTCTCGCGATTAAGCAAGCCCGCCAGGCGGGGGGACACTCCTGGTCACTTGGAGTGAGCCCTCGGGGGGGGAGGTGGCCGTTCGCGGCCCGCCGCCGGATCGTCGCGGATGCATGCTTCGGCGTTTCCCGTGGCGATCCACTTGGCGGCAACGGAGAGTGACCGCTGGTGTTTTAGTGGGTAACATGGGCCCTTCTGGCCGTGAATCCCACATAACCGCCTCTGTCTCCCCTAGACGGAGGGGTAGGTATAAAACCTTTCACCGCGATAACAAAAAAAAAAAAAAAAAAAATTGGTATTATCACACAATTCAAAGCGAGTTTTCATTCACACATTCCTTCATAATATGCGGGAAGTTTTGTTTGGAAGGGAGAAAACTATGGGAACCCTACTAATATAATAAATGCGAAAGTAACTCTGTCTGTCTGTCTGTTACGCTTTCACGCCTAAACCACTGAACTGATTTTAATGCAATTTGGTACAGATAGAGTTGACATTGAGAAAGAACATAGGATAGTTTTTATCCCAGACTTTTGAAAGGTTCTCTTGGGAACGCGATATAAGCGAACTCCACGCGGGCGAAGCTGCGGGCGGAAAGCTAGTTATAAAATTAATTAATTAATATGACCTTATATAGAACATGCATATACAGGGTGACTGGTGAATTACTATCAATATTTAAGGAGAATACTCGGTACATGATTCTCATTCGAATTATGTAAAAAAAATAGGCACTTAATTTTTGACAAAATTTCCGTATAAATAAATAAAGTGTTGACACGTTCCAAGTGTTAAAGTGTGGACGCGTGCGGCGGCGTGCTGATACAACACTACGTCACGACACGCGTCTGTGTGAGTGTGAGTGTATACCTAATCTGTAGGGTGCTCACACGATGCGTAATTAATTACATAACTTTTGGTTAACTTTACTTAGTAGTTTATTAATATTTATGTTATATTAATTTTTATTTTGTCATATATGATCTTCAAATATCACGTCCTCAAATATCGATAGTAATTCACCAGTCACCCTGTATAAAAAATATGCATATATAAAAAAAAAACAGGAAATGTATGTACTTGAGATATATAATATAAATTTTTGTCAGGTTAATGAACCCGTATTGAGTGGCGTGAGGTTAAAACGTTAGTATTAAAACGTTAGTGGCGTGAGGTTAAAACGTTAGTTATATATATAAGTAGTTCACCTATAGCCCACACGTCGACGGGAGTGCTGTATAGCGTGTCACCGACTAACAGTTCCGGAGCCCTGTACCACCTGGTGGCCACGTAGTCCGTGTAACTCTCGCCGGGACCTGGACATGTTGGTCGAAATACAAGATTATTATACTGAACATATACATTCTTCTTCTTCCTGGCAATTTCCCAGCTTTAGCCAGGGTCTGCCTTAAACTAAACTGAACATATACATTTAGACAAAACTAAGCTTTTTGGATAATACGTTTTTATTATTAATATTTTTTAAGTACATAATCTTAATGAGATCTAAGACTCGCGAGTTTCATTCATTTAAATGAAACTATTAATTTTTGGATTATTACGCGTGCTTTATTTTTGATAAAAAACTACACAATCCCGACGTTTAGGCTACTTTTCACGGCGATCACGGTTGCTGAAAGGTTTTTATATATTAAAAAATATCAGTTTCATTTAAGTACATACCGAATCTTGTTTACAGCAACCGTTTAAATCTGTTTAAACGTCGTGATTATAGAATTACAAAATAATAAAAAACGTAATATCCAAAAAACTTAGTTACATTTAAATGAGTACACGTAAAAATCTTAGATATTACTATCATAGATACAACTAGAACTTCAATGATTCAGTCACAGCTAAACTAATCAAGGATACAACATGGATTATCTATAGTTATACCTACATGGTTTTAACTTACATTATATCTACAAGAAGAGTAAATAACAATAATACTACCATTTTCCACTGCTGAAAGATTCGATACATTTCAAATAATTCGTTATTTTTTCAACGAAAATTTGTCAATAAAGATATAAGCTGATTCCATTTTGTTATTTCAAAACCTACTTTTGTCCTTTAATCGAGTCAAATAACTATTTGCTAAGGAAAGACTAGTAGCTATTTATGCAAAGACTTTTATAAATAACCACATACAAATCGCAGTGGCATTTCTGGTGACCTTGCACGCTTTATCTTAGGGGTAGTTTGCAACACGCCACTGTCTTATTAAAGGTCGAAGGTCACTGAAGGAAATAGCTCACGGATGTTAATCGTGCCATTCGTAGGAAATGATTTACGTTGATATAACATGATGGTGTATTTTCCTTTCGTTCATAAAAAATATGAACATTGACTGACGATCTGTACCAATTATCAAATGTTTTGAAGAGTAAATGAAAAATCAAAATAAGTATAGTATCATTTTTCATAGGTTTTTGTGGATTTTTAAAGTTATTGCTGTTTTCATTTCTCTTATTATTTTATAGCGATAAAAAAGATGGAAAGAGCCTTTTGAAAATGTTTGCACATCTTATCTGCTTCCGATGACAATGATATTTTGTTTTTGATGTCTAAATATTTGAGAAAAAAATTACCTCAAAATCTACTAAATTTAATGTAGGTATAATGGGAAAAATGTATCTCAATTCGGTTTTCCCACCTAGATTAGATAATTTGAAGAGAGTTAATCTTTTCAAATATTCGTTGAATCTGAAATGTACCACATATGGTATATAAAATGGATAAAAAACTGGAAAAAAACTCAAAATACATTCTTTGCTAGATACATATAAGCTGTAAGAGCTATACAGGGAGACTGGTGAATTACTATCAATATTTGAGGACGTGATATTTGACGATCATATATGACAAAATAAAAATTAATATAACATAAATATTAATAAACTTCTAAGTAAAGTTAACCAAAAGTTATGAAATTAATTACGCATCGTATGAACACCCTACAGATTAGGTATACACACACACACTCGCGCGCGGCGGCGTGTTGTTGTATCAGTACGCCGCCGCGCGCGTCCACACTTGGAACACTTGGAACGTGTACACACTTTATTTATTTATACGGAAATTTGGTCAAAAATTAAGTACCTATTTTTTTTACATAATTCGAATGAGAATCATGTACTGAGTATGCTCCTTAAATATTGATAGTAATTCACCAGTCACCCTGTATATTACAGCTTATTATAGTTTTGAGCTATTTCCTATCTATTTAAGTATCACTCAGGTCAATAGTTCATGATTTATTACCCCGACGTACATATAAGGCATGACGTCATATCTTGGATCAAACCATAAATAGCTCAGAAGCCTCGAAATTCTATATTTAGTAAGTTCATTTCAAACTTGGCAAGGTTTATGCATTATGGACCTAAATTACATTTAGATAACAAAGTATTTAATAGAAGAAAAGTACAAAAGAAATATGTCGTTATATTTATATTAAATTTTCGTAACATAAAATAATAACAAAATTAAATAAAAATATTAGTTCATTTATTAAGCTATCTTTCAAAATACATACTGTAATTGAAGCATTCAGTGTAATCTTTTCACGTATAATGTTGCCATAAATAGCAAATCTAAGTTTACAAAAACTATCATCACAAAAGGCCGCGCCTTCTTTGAACTTGCCAAAGGCCAAGGTTGAACCTATAATGCATCTTCATTAGTTATTTTTTTATTGACATTAAAGTCATTGATATAGAAACCTTTTTATACGTCATGATTTTTTTCTATTCAATAATTCTTAGTCATAATAAAAGCTTATTTTTTGTGAATTTAAGACCTAATTCTATATATAGACAATAGCAATAAATGCTTATGGAGGTTACTTAGGTATATTTGAGCTAAATAAAAAGTTAAACTTATGTTTACTTATTTCCCCTTAAAAATCATGGATTAAAAATATCAATCAATTCTCTATACAGATTTCGTTATCTAGTCCCAAATAATAATAAAGAAAAAAAACAACTTAACTTTTAAAACGATACAACTTCATATTTAAATTACTTTTCAAAGTACTAACAATGGTTATTTGCAAGTAGGCCTACAAAAAAGGTTTTTATCACACAACCTAACAAATACTTTCAATTGAATTATTTTAAACGTAACAACTAAAACAAAATATTATCTTTATATCAATTTTATTTCAGGGTTGCCACAAATTTCTTTAAATAATGTAATCATAAAACGATGTTATCTTTTAAATATTCCGAGTTTGCCAATTACGGTTATATAGTTGTTCTAGAACCGAGCCAGCTCTCAGTGTGAAGCAACATCTTGCAACAGAAGTGACATTTGGATGTCGAGAACAGTTATCGGAGTCATGTGTCAAGGTCGCTGTACTAAACATTATACAGTAGAAACTCGATTAACCGGACTAATTTTTGTCAATAGGCATTCGGATAATCGAAAATCCGGATAATCGAATGTATGAAGAAGCCGGTTTTGTGCATATGTACATCATATTATATGTTTATTTAAAAAAACAAATACATATCAACGAAAATCAATGTTTATTAATAAATAATTAAAGGATACATTTTCTTCTTTTCAATAGCGAATTCGACTTGTAAGTTTAGTTATTTCATTGGTCAGTAGTCCGGATAATCGCGGATCCGTAAACTGAGGGCCGGATAATCGAGTTCTACTGTACTATTTATTTTAACTTAGACTAATTATGGCGTATATTTTTAAAGAGAATCAATACATATTATAAAACAAAGTCTCCCGTTTGGTATGTCCGTCTGTCTGTTCGCGATAAACAGAAAAACTACTGCACCAATTAACAAGCGTCTTTCATCATCTTGATTCTTAAGGAAGGTTTTAATATATAATATGTCAAGGTATTGTATTGATTTGTGTGTATATTAACGCTATTTGTTGAAGATGGGAAAAAATGAGCCGTCTGGAATCTTTTAACTAAAACGCTGAAAAAACTCTTTGAGATATAACAAAACAATGTATGGTGGAATTGTATAACTAATATAGGTCTACAGAAAAGTCCGCGATGGCATATGTCTATCTGTTAAGGATAACATACTATATCCATTTTACTACTTTTAAAAATTGACATACATGGAGCGTTTAGAGGAAAGCTATATACATAATTACTGTTTAAAGTCTTATCAAAATAAATTACTTTATGTTCAAACTTACATCAGTATCTATAAATTACTTTTTGAATCATTTAATACCATTTGAAAGTTATCAGAAATTAGTCTACAATATTTTGTATTCAGTTTTGACTATACAGCCAACTTATATAAGTTATAAGATCATTAAAACCTCAAACTCTTTAATGTCAAATTTAAATATTATCTGTACTATGACATTAAAACTTAGGTTCACAAATTTGAGTACTTGAATTTAGTTTGTATTGATCTGATAAGAGATTATATCGTTGTAATGTTGCTGATTTAGGTAAATTATAGCTCAAATTTTAGTAGTAAACAGTTTATGGCTCTGTTAGTTAGGAATTAGGTCTCAACAGTAGTTAGTAAGTGGAGCGATTGCTGCCTGTGATAAACGAATGGTTGAAATACTCTATCATTTGTTGAATGTTCTAGAAGAAGTTAATATCTTTAGTAGCTTTTAACCATAACCCACTTTATTCAAAGATTATATGATAAATAGTTCATAATTTATTTTAATATTTTATTGAAATAATGAAATACTTCATGTTTATTAAAATGTCTAAGTAATTTTGTGTTATCGATGGAAAAATCCTAAATTTTTAGATATCTATTAAGTATTGAATATTGATATAAGTATGAGATTCACGTCTAAAAATATTTGAATTACTAAGTAGTATTTATTTATGTAATATAAACTGGTATTAATTACGAACGAATTAAAGTTAATCACATAATAATAATGAAATTAAAGTATTATTACTTCAATGCTTCGAGTTATCGTTTAAATTAAGTTAAAAAAAATAAAGTCTATTTTTTTTATGTTAAACATCGCAAACGAACAGACGGTCTACTTAATGGAAGGTAAGTAGTTACCGTCGCCCATAGACATGGAAACACAAAAATTGTAGATGCATTGCCAAACTTGGATTTTTAGGAATATGGAGAGGTGGGAAAGGGTGGGAATAGGGAAAGGACAACCGTCTTTCTCACTCATCGAACGAAACGCAGCCATTAAAGGATCACGCCGATCTTCTGTGAGAGGGTGGTATGTACTTCCAGCACATTTTCGAGCTATAGTAACTGACCACAGCTAGGCTCTACCATCTAATAAACTTTAACTATCTATATTGGAATCAGCTTACATTTGTAATAATATATCATATTTTATAAACTTCTAATACTATATATGGACATAGTATACAGGGTGACTGGTGAATTACTATCGATATTTGAGGACGTGATTTGTGACGATCATATATGACAAAATAAAAATTAATATAACATAAATATTAATAAACTTCTAAGTAAAGTTAACCAAAAGTTATGTAATTAATTACGCATCGTATGAACACCCTACAGATTAGGTATACACATACACTCACACAGACGCGGCGGCGGCGTGTTGTTGTATCAGCACGCCGCCGCACACGTCCACGCTTTGAACACTTGGAACGTGTCAACACTTTATTTATTTATACGGAAATTTTGTCAAAAATTAAGTACCTATTTTTTTTACATAATTCGAATGAGAATCATGTACCGAGTATTCTCCTTAAATATTGATAGTAATTCACCAGTCACCCTGTATATATATATACATATATTATATATGAAATTTTCGTATACTATTTATATAGAATTATAAAATATATTTATCAAATAAGATAGATACTGGCTCTCCGTCGTACGTCGACTCCGAATGGTATCATAGTGTGGACCGAGTACTCAGAAGAACAACTGCCGCCTGGGTTAAAAGATTAGAAATAACACATGCACCTTCAAAATACACTTAATAACTTATCAATAGAATACCGAGGAACATTATGACGTCACCATTGATGACGTCATAATGTTTAAAAACAATACTGGAACATATATTCGGTCATATATAAATAATACAATTCATAATTAAAGCTTATAATGTGATACAGAAAATTAAAATCAAAAATCAGTATGCTTAGTAGGAGTTTGGATTACATGCATACAAAACGTTGTCCGTTTTATTCGATAGTTATACTACATTTGTGACGTTTTTTGAATTAAAAGCTGTTAATGTCTGTAGCGTGATGACTGAATTTGATGTAAGCATATTACATATAATGCGTATTAATTTTAAAGTTATAAAGCGTTTGTGAAGCCAAACTAAGCATAAGAGGTTTACGCTTTTATATTCGTAAATACAGTAGACGTGATAGTTATGACATAGATTTATATGTATGAATGAAGTAGGAGAATCTGTATGTTTAATTTGTAGGTGAACACTTATGGTAAGCATAATTCATAACAATACTATTTTCACTTCAATATAAAATGAAATGAAAGTGGACAACAAGAGGCGAAAGAATTGCTGGTGAAAATAAAATTATACGTATATAGTTGATCAGTATGTTTAGTCTGAATTTGAATTTCTCAATACATAGCTTTAATAGCTTTTCCTTCATAAACTTCATTATTATAACACTTACATAAGTAAGCTTGTTATTATTTTTTAAGAGGAGAAACGTCTCGTATGTCGTTTGACGCTAACTTGGACTAAGTATAAGACATATATCGAATGCATATAATCTACGTATTTGAGATTTAGATTGAATAAGCTTCAATAAGCTTGGCTATAATTATATATATTTAAGCACGCATATACTAAAACCCACGAAATCTGTTAAAAAAATGTTATTTCATATAATTATTATTCATTATATATATAAAACTAATACGCACTTATCATTCTCGCAAATCCAAAGTCACACAGCTTGACGACCCCGTCGCTGGTCAGCAAGATGTTCTCAGGCTTCACGTCGCGATGAATACAGTTGTGTCGGTGGCAGTAGGCTACACCCTGGAGCGTCTGCCAGATTATCTGCTTCGACAGCAGTTCTGGACAACCCTGGATAAAGACAGATTATCACAAATACTATACTTACTTTAGATGTTTACGTCAGGTCTAGGAAGTAATGATTTCGCAAGGATTACGTCGGTTTTAAAGGTGATAGAAAATAATTTTCGTAATAAGAATCATTTTTATCAACAATGTTATTATTTTGATCTACTACATTTCGTCTTCGTGATTGTTGCAAATTAATCGAAACGTTAGAAATATGTAGTTTTTAAACATAATAAAATACGCGTAGTAATCCGATAATATTAGTTTCATATTATGTAATTATAGTTTGATATTTAGATCTAACCAATTCGATGGCAAAAATATAAACCTAAAAAGAAATAGGAATAAACGAAACAAATGAAATGAAACCAAAAAATACTTAGCATTTTGATTGTTAAACAATAACACGCAACCACAACAGAATGTTCATTGAAATTTGAATAGGTACACGAGTTCCGGGATTTTATTTTAACGAGCATACGTACTTGATAGTAAATTCATATCCACAATCTACATAACACCCAAAACACTGATGATAAGATTACTTTAATTGTATTTGCGATCGAAAAATAAATATTGACAGATCAAACGGCGCCAAACGCGTGACGATAATACAAAACATTTAGAACAAACTTTTTGAAGATTAACGTTCGGAAATTAATATATGTATTGCAAAAAAAACTTAACATTTGAGCCGTATACACAATTTTTATTATAAATGTATGCCAAATTGTGATTATTATTAAGTAATATTTAATGATATATTTTTAGCCAATTGCCATTCTTGGTGATAATCTTGTGAATTCCTAGAGGTCTTTCCCATTTTTCGTATCTTCACTTAGCTTTATTTTTCCTTAAGATTATTATGTTTAATATCGTTCATGAACCTTCTATAAAAATATCATATTATTATTCAATAACATTAAACTTTTCCATTTCGGACCTAATACCGTTCTATCGTTATCATTGATAAAATATCATTCTATTGATTTGTCAACACAGCCTTCATCGAACTTCATAATATCTTGTACTAAATATGTTTATGGTTTATATATTTAATGGTAGTCAAAATTTACTGAAATATCTATCTTATCTGTGCATTATGATGATAATTTACTTCGATAATTATAAAAACGTTGCTACATATTATTAATACATATATTTTAAAAATACTACATTTGCCGAATTTTTGGCAGATAGTTAAAATGATCGATGACTAGCTATTGTTTCTTAAAATTTGTGCAGAAATGTACATTTATCAATTACGTTCCAAATAAAAAAAATCAAGATACACAATGTAAAAAATTATATTCCGACAAAAAGAAAATTTTCCTTTAGAATTAATATTACATATTCACGTAATAAAAAACACACCCTTAACAATTATTATTGATATAAATGCAATCTCACGCTAATTACGAAGAACCTCCTGTTTTTATAACTTAATTTATGAATGAAAAATCCTTAAGACTAATGTCACGATAAAAACTAAAGTAAATATGCTTACTTAACTGTTGTTGATGTCGTAGAGACAAAAACGAAGCCAAATTTTTCATATTCATAGCATGCATTTTATAAAAAAATCACATCAATCAATTTTGACAATAAATTATTATCAATCGGATGATCGAATAGTCCTTTAAGATGATATTCTATTTTATTTTAATTTCCTTATAATCTATTCAAGGACTTCCTTATTTCTTGAAATTATTTTGAAATAAGGAAACAAAAATTTTTATATTTATTTTTATAAAAGTCACGTGACGTCATGTAGTCTGTAATATTTTGTTAAATTGTATATGTCATTTGTATGATCAAAGGAATTAATAAACTCATTATAATCAAAATAGGTGAAATCAATATACGGCTCAAGACTAGTCCAAAATTTTACTAATGCCACTTAAACCCTACTTATACAATTGACTCTTCACCCTTACCAAAAGTGGACTTTGTAAAAGTACTTACGAACAACGTCCAATTTATTATTTGTAAACCCATAACTCTACTATCATATACGTAGATATATGAATGAAAAACTGGAATAGTCTCGTATCCACTAACTATGAAAAACTCGGACTAAGGTGATAAGTATATAAATTTAACCAATTACTATTAATAATATGTCAAAACAAACTGTCAATTCTAATTAAATTTTTAATTACCATTTTTTATTTCTTTCGTTAGGAATTTCAAATATATCCAAACAGTACAAGAATTTATTTCTCTTTCTTTTTAAAATTTGTATATTATTTACAAGATGTATTTCATAAATACATATTTCAATTAAAAAGCAAATAGCAAATAGTAATACTATAGAAATCCTTAGCATATATTTTTGTATGAAAAAAAATCAAAATAAATACTCACTGAACCGGTATCATGACATTTGATATTTATAGACCGTGCGGCCAACCTAACAAAATATATAATATGCAAATTGTCGATATTTTAGATTGATTATGTTAAATTATTAGTTACAACAGAAAATATATATAAAAATATCAAGAAACATTAAATAATTACAATAAAACGGATTAAAGAGTCTTTTTTTAATACAAAAGTTAGTCTTTATAAAAAATAAATAAATAGTAGAACAAATATATTAAATAGGTTTCATATTATTATGTGCTTTAAATGAAACTTCCTAGCCTATACATTTCCTTGGGAAATATCTGTCCACCGATCGATATAAACGTAGAAAAAAGCGCGAATTCAGACTTGAAATTTCACTTCGGATAGAGTTGACCCTCATGTATCCCATGGTGAACCATTAACTGAAAACCACCAGGAGTCCATTAACATCAGGACACGTCTAAGCATTCCTAACATCAAACAATCGACTTAGAAAGTTCATGATGACAATTTAGAGGTCCTGTTGAAGCATCCGAGCTCGAAGCAGGAATTGAACTCGAGAGTAGAAAGTCTCCAAAATACTGTTTACGACTACTTGAATGAGCAAAATCCACCTTGAAATCGTTACGCTCCTTAACAAAGAAAAATCTTTTAAGGTAAAAATGAGGAGGAAAATACGGGAATTAATAAAAAAATCTACGTATAGCCAAAGCCTTAGGCGCCACTCACCTTAGTCATCAATTAGCTATAGGGAGTTAAGGTCAATTCTAAAATTAATTCAAGGAATATCGGCGCCAAAAGGAATTTATCACAATAATTTTGACCGGGCTAAAAATGAAGATTTTGATAAAAACCATTTTGAGTATTGTAAAACCAATTCGATAAATGATAAAGTTCCGAAAAAAGGTATATTTCCAAAACAATTTGATTTCAGATTTGTGTTAATGATTTATTTCAATTATAAGGCATATCTGTTTAGTATATATAAGACATTTAAATAGGCTTACTTTTTTTTGACATTATAAATCAAAGATTTATATTTAATCTGTATTTACATATATAAGCATATTCACTTTACCTGTTTATTTTTTTAACATATTGTCATGTAAAATTAAGATAAATATTTTTTTGACGTGAGTAATTAATGCAAATTAATTAAAAGGCCTTCAATGTCGTGTATTGTATCACGAATTTCCTGAACCTGATCAGCTGAAAACTTGCCAAAATAAGCTCGGCCTACGTTCTAAGGTTATTCCAACAAAACAAAAAACTTAATTCCGTATATTATAAATATTAATGATAAATTGTCATAAGAAAGTAATAAAAATAACTATCCAAAACCATAATTTAAAAGTCAAGGTCAATTCTAAACGTTTAGAAACGGAAGTGGTAACATTACTGCGTTTCTAAACGAAACAGGTTTTAAGATATATGTTCATTAAGTGCATATATTTGTGTAATTATTACCAGAACTAAAAGAATTTCCGCAATGTTCATTTTAAATGAAGGTCTTCACGAATGTGAGAAATTTCAAAATTAATGACATCTAAGACTTTCGTGAGTATTCATTTAAATAAAACTAATATTTTCGTATGTCATATTAAACCATCCACATATACTAACGGACATGCTTTAGAGATGAGAATTGTGGCACTCCGAAAGAAAGAGAGGAAACGAAGTTTCGGTCTATCTTTATCTCTCTCAAAATAGTACTCTACTTAAGACGCTATGAGCCCCTTCTGGATAATTTATATGCCGTGCTTGTCATGAAAACTGAGCGCCAATCATCTGTGAGGAAAGAGATAGTGCTAGACCGAAAGCATAGGCCATCTCTCTCACACTTTTCAAACCAAAAAAATTACTGTAGATTATACGCGTACGGCATCTCCATTAGTATGTCGATGTATTAAACTACCTACTCCCAACGTTTCGATTGCTTTGCAGCAACCGTGATCGTAGACAGACGAATTAGAAATGTAAATATTAATATATACCATTTGAGTGTACAGATATAAGTGCTAATTAGCATAGTACATTTACGGATTAAATAAATATCATTTTAGAAAAAAAAAACTCGTTCTAGCACCTATTAAGCTATCCTTCATAAGAGGAACTGTTTCTCAAAATAAACTAGCAATTATTCGTAGTGACTGTTTAACTTGAAACATAATTTTTACAGAATAATTATGCCCTCATATTCTTCCTAACTTCGACGAATAAGTAGACGAGTCTTCTAAACAATACCAAAATTATTGGAGAACACAGATGTCAAAAGAACTGTCATCATTACGTTAATTATAAACGTCATTAGGCTCAAAAGGACTTAGATCCAGAGCCGTAAAAACATTTACAAAAAAAAATAAACGTCATTAGGGTTAACAGCATTGAAAACACCATATAGGACCGCTTTGCTTAATTAGAACAGTTTAAATGAACATTTTAAACTCGTTTTAGTGTTATGTCAAACACGTGATTATTTTTTGTAGGAATTATTAAGTAAACGGTCACAACACTCGCGGTACAAGATTGCTCACTCTTAGCTAATTCCGTATAACCTAAGTGACAGGCGTTTGACATTTTGTGACATTTATAAGGTACATGTAACTTGTAATTAGCTCGTAAATTATAGCTTCTATAATTTTCAAATTATAATATAAATACTTCTTGCTAATTAATGTCTCAGTCATCAAAAAAGGGTTATACCGACATGTTTAATATATAAATAGATACTAATTAAAAAAAGTAGACGCTGCCACTTATTTTCGATATTACTTAAAAATATATATAACCTGTTTAAAACAAATCAGATATCACGTGATATCCACAAAAACACATATCAGAAGTTAGTTTTGCACGTGTTTATTTGTAATGCGTTGATACGAAACGGTCGAACGGCGATAGTTGTAACGACCGTTCGGTTGCGCAAGGAGGTTGCATTCAGTTCCTAATACAACTATGAAGGTTGTTTAAAAGGAGGTGTAATATGAACAGTTTATATGACATATTGGAAACGTTTGGTCTGTAAAATATATGTATAGTTTGAAACTATGTATTAACAAATATTTAGTGACGATTACTTGGTCTTGTCTTCTTAAAACTATATTTCACTTAATTTTAATCAAAACGTTTAAAGATTTTGACGTTCGGTTATAACATTGTCTATTTGTCTATAAAATAAACCAGTAGGGACTTTCGTTGATCTAGAATCATTGGATTTTAGCAAGAAACAATGTTAAAGAAAAAATCTAAAACGATAAATGTGTAGTGACGTCACAAATTAATAAAACGAATAAACAATAAAAAAACAATTGAAAAGGGAGACAAGTTTATCTCTCAATATAATTAAACTTTCAGTCAAAAGTAACTTTCTTTTTTCTTTGGTTGGCTTTAGTTTTAGCTTCCTACTGAACAAAACTTATTGATTGGTTAAAACATTCACTACAATTATCTTCATTGTTTATTAAGCAACGAACTTCCGGTTTGTAAGTCAGGATTTTGTATTTATTTTGTTTTATTAATAACTAGTTTTTGTCCACAACTACGTCCGCGTTAATTTCGAAATTAGTGATATAGGTATAGCTGACTGGGCGAACTGTATTTTTCCTTAGAAGCCGTAAATATCTATATATTGGAATTAATTAAATATTTCTTCCTTTTCGATCAAATAGAATTAAATATTCTATGTTGCATGCAGTGTTTGCTTTTAACTGATTTTACACAGTTTATGCATGTTTTTGATTTTATATGTAACGTTATTTAAATATACATTTGTGTAAAAATCGCTAGCGCACCTATAAATAACTAAATGTTCACCTCCTAGTACTAAGCTATCCCCCCGCTAATTTTCAGACGCATCCCTACAGCCGTTCTTGAGTGTAACTAACACAACTTTCTTTTATACATATATATAGATAACTCAGTCGTTTACTCACTGCTGGGTATTTCTCCAGTTCGTGCAGGACGGTGTGGTCGCAGTACTCGAACACAAGGTGCAGCTTGCGCTTCCTTCGGAAAACCTCGATGAGATTCACCAAGTTTGGATGCTTCAGATTCTAGAACAATCGTCACTGATTACCAAATGATCGAAAAATGCTGTTCCAAATTTAAAACTCAACAGACAATAGACAATTTGAAAACATAGACTGAGTTGTCAATATTGACACTTTTTTTTGTATGTTTAAATTATGCCATAATAAATTTTAATCTGACAGTCATAAACATAATACCATAATTTTATGCGTAAAAACTAATATGGAAATCGATGATCAAACAATATGACATCTAAAAAAATATTCGTTAATATTTTTCTTTGTCTGTTATAAACACGTTATCCTTGGTATTATGAGTTTTAATTGTTTGTATAATGACTTCCTAAATATACTTTCACGCTCAATATCGTCTTCATCCTTGACTCGATCGGACTGCGGCAGTTTATTGAATATTTCAAATAGAATATTATTAAAAAAAATTAGGAAGCTAAACAAATTAATGTGATAACGTTACAATATTACATGTATAATTTCAATATGTGCATAATCATAATGGCGAAGGAATAATGACAAGTGACATGTCATTTTGTAATAACGCACAATGGCAACACACGATTGATTAGCTGTACCATGTTTAAGGATAGATTATAATGATAGGTACATTCAAACAATTAAATAAAATAACAATAAGTAAATCTATTTATTTATTTATTGAACTATATGCGAGCTATATTCAATTTATGTTTATAATGACTGTTTATATCATACACAATAATTGCAGTGCAATTAGGTATTGACTTTACAACTGGGTTTTTGAATAAATTTTTTTTTTTGTGATAAATGGAAAGATCATATATAAGTTTTATAACAAAACTATTTTTATTTTATTTTTTTTTGCAATATTTAAAAAGTTATTTCAAAATAAAAATTAAATTTTAAATTCAGTACCGAAAACAAGCCGACAGCTCGGGAATAAACCCGAGCGCGTGTGACGTCACAATGTTAGTTTTTGCTCATTGTAGCATACAGAGATATAATAATTAGTACAGTGTTTTGAGTTTTTATCTAGTAAATTCTGTTGGCATTGTTAAATAATCAAAAGTTTTGTACCATTATGTACAAAGACTACAAAAACAACTCCTGAAAAAATGTTTTTAAATGTTCCACAAGACGAAAAAACGTCGAAAGAAATGGTTTCAAGCAGTGCATCGAGATTATTCAAAAACAAAATCATTTTTTTTTTTGTTGTGAAGATCATTTCGTTGTAAGTATTCATAATAGTATTGTTATTAATTATTATTTATCTAAGTGTATAAATCGAATAAGTATAGTTCAATAATTAATTTTTTTACCTGGGCTCCAAATCATAACCTTTAGAATCGTAGCATTAAAAAATTTTAATTGATAATTCAAAGCGATTAAATAGTAAATCTATATGTATGTTTGTCTAATAATTGGACTTCAATTAATAGATATTTTCATAATTTTATAACATTCTAGGTTCTGTATCAGACTACATTTAAATTTTTAAAGTACATATATGTTATTTTGGTTTTTTTATAATGTTATAATAACATTTTATTAATAATGATTTAATGAAATAATTATTAATTATATTTAATAGAGAATAAATACTTATTTTCATTTAGAATATTATTTTTTAACAGACTTACCTTGATGCCTTATCACCTCGAACTTCAGCAGAATTAAACCGAACGTCATTTTTTAAAAAATTAGTTATCATAAATATATCAACATCAGGAATATTATCCGATTTTGCTTTTATAAATCCTTTATCACACATAGTCGAAATAAACTTTTCAAATCGTTTTTCACTAATAAATTTGAGATATTTTTATCAAGTTAAAGATAATAGCCATAAACACTGTACTATTATGAAATTGCTTTAACATTATGACGTCACAAGTATGCTGACCAATCATGGCGCGTTTACAATCACGTGATATATTTTTGAATTTTATCAATTTTTAATTGTTTATAATTAATTTAAAAAAAATATTTCAAGTTTTTTGCATTAAAAATCCAATATAATTAATAATAAAGTTTTAAAATACATAAAAAAAATCAATACTTTTTTTTTTTTCAAAAACCCAACTGTCAAATTGTATTTGTTTAATGAAATAATACACTACGTAAATATTATATTCTTCATCAAATTGTAACATGTCGATAACAATATAGAGATAATATCTCATCTACAGAATTTAATAGCCCTAAACGCTAATAAAGTGGCTTATAAAATTTATATAATTTTGATTAATAGTGCAACATTTTGATTACACTTTGAAGTAGGCTCAAAAGGACTCGTATCCAGAGCCGTGAAAATATTTTAAAAAATACTTTGAAGTCTAAAACTGTATCTCTGTTGTTTGACGTTTTGTTTACCAATAATTAAGATAACAATCAAATAACACCGAAAATCCTACCTTCAGCATGCGTATCTCCCTCAGCGCTATTTTCCGTATGAGAGGATCGTCCTCGTTCTCCACAAACTTCTTCACGGCGACCACTTCCCCCGTCTCTCTGTTCCGACACTTGTACACCAGCCCGTACGAACCCTCGCCCAGCTTCGCAAGTTTCTCATAACGCTCCATAGCTCGGCTGCTGGCCCGCGATCTGGTACATTAAGACAAATACACTCAAATATTTAATAAATGCTGTTTTTGGCTTGTCTTAATATTATTTTTTATTCCTACAGTGATATCTGACAGCGTAATATTTATTACTTAAATAAGACAATAAAGACTGATAGACATATTACGTCCCCCAAAGATTTTTTAGAAAGGTTGCGACTAAAATATTAGAAATTTCATTTCTTTAATTCAACAAGCTTTTTTATCTAATATTATTGAACTTAATATTCGACTACAGTTTCTATGGACTTTCTTCCACTAGAAGCAATTTGGACTTTGGTTCTTAACACATATTTTAATGTGAATATTTATGACAATGCAATGTACGATTAAACAGCACTCAGCAGATTTACCTCTTAAGCTAACTCAAACTACACGAACCGGTAGATTTTTCCTAGAATCATTAATATTTAGGATTACGTAATTTCTCAATAGAATTACCTGGCAGTTATGACGTATGGGGATATTATGGAGGTGTTGATTTTTCCCCTCATTATGTCACAGTAATTTCATCTTTACACCGAACGATACTAAATTCACTTTAGATTGCAAACAGGCCGTGAATGCTCATAATTTATATTAGACGACGAAATCCAGTATCGTCAGCTTATCATAATCAAATAACTTATAAAATATCTATTCTTCTACAAAGCTATGACATTTAAAATGTCATAAAATTAACTTTATGTAGGTATAAAGAAGATTACGTAAAAAGAATAAATGACATTGGCAGAATATTTCACGATTACAATGCGAATGAAGCCATAGGGTTAAAAAAAAGAATGCATGTTCAGGTACATATTATATAGTGAAAAGGTAAATGGTAAAAGGTAGAATAATATTTAATGAGATTAAGCGAGGATCATATTTAGAAGAAGTTTATTTTAGTAAACTTACAATAAGTAAGATGTTTCTAAAGCAAGGAGGTTCGTTAAATATATTTTTAGATACTTGACGATTTAAGAAGTATCTATTTATAGAAAGATTAAGGCCTCGTATAAGCCTCCGTATTTATTTAACCGTAATTCTATATTTGTAGTTCGCTTATAATCTCTAGTTCACTTTTTATACAATCTTTATATTTGTTATTTAATATTTTTAATAGAAGTTCATGACTTCAACAAATATCGAACGACAGTCATTGAAAACCGTTAACCTTGTTTTTTGTTCTCTTCACTTAAAAAAAAAAATAAGTCTACTTATTTAAATGTATGACTTACAATTATAGATTAAAAATATTTCTTTGTTGAAGTAAGTACAAAGAAACTTTCTTTACTAATACCTACTCTATAAATCTTATCAAGTTTTCGATAATTATTACGTGATTTGTAATATATGTGGCAATAAAATATATTATGTTCATACATAATTATTATCAATATTTCTAAATGACGTCAATTATTTTCCTACCTTTATAATTTAATTTACGTATATACTTTGAGGCTTTTTCCTACTATACTATATTAATAAAATATATGTTTATTTTTATTTTTGTTCTAAAATAGAAGTATGTCTATATCATAAAATGTACCAGTTTTCTGGAAGTTTCGTTAGTCGATTGAATTAAAATAAATTATTATTTTTTATATATCATACCTCCTTGGTAGTAACGGCAGGTTGTTGCCGAATAACCACAACCGTTTATCACCGAACCATTTCTCCATGCAGGACGCCACGTTGTTCCACAGTTTGCTTGTCAATAATATATACACAACACTATTCATTCGCGTTTCCGTACGGGAATGTCAGCATTTCCCTCCAATTCAATTATGACGTTTTGAATATTTTATGTTTTTTAAATATTACAGGCAGATGTTGTCGTGGCGAAAGCTGGCGTGCTTTTACTTAAAGTATGGTATAAAATCGATAGTGGTTTTGTTTACGGTTTCTGTCGGCCTGTGTACATGACAACCGCAGCGGGGCAATGATTTCATTGACTGTTGAACTCGTTAACCAAATTGGTTAAAAATTAATACCACAATCATTGTGACCTATGAGTTATTTAATAATTTAATGAAACCATAAGAATTTTATTATGGTTTGTATCTGTTCATTTTAAATTGGAAAACGTACTGATTTTAGATTTATATTTACATATATTATTTTCAACACGTAAGTCGTAAAGCAATAATAACTAATTTTTAATGTTAAATTATATATAAAAAATGAATTTAACAAAAAATTCTGGACCAACACTCTTTAGATAAAGTTTTTGTTTTCTTTTATTTTAATATAGTTTCCATTACAACAACATATGCATACATCGTTATATTTTATAAAATTGAATAACTATTTAGATTATATCATAAGAAAAAACAACAAAAGTAGTAGAACGAATTAATTGATATAAATGTATACTGTAATCTCTTTAAAAACAAAATAATTCTGAATATGAATAAACTTTTAAATTATTATAAACGTTTTAATATTTATTCAATTGTTACTGTATATACCAAAATATGAATAATCACCAATTGTTGAGAAACATACATACATATACATTTAAAATTAAAACTCGAATTATGTTAAATAATTTTAATTAATACTTTTGCAAATGTCTAAAAATCCAGTAGTTACAGTACGTGAGATGTCATGTTTAGGTTGAAATTCAAATTTATTGTAATCAATATAACCAAAGAATTATCGAGGTTAGTTACGTAGATGATCACGTGACTTAATATCACGATCAGTCTACTACGAGTATGAAAAAAATATTTCAAGTTCAATATTTATACTTTACCATATATATAGTATAATGTATAAAATATTAAGACCTGAATAAAACAGACTTTTAATGTTTTATACTTGTTAATACAAAAAATATTTATCAAGTGAATCGCCACTATCAGGATTCGAACGTCCTGAGGCGCAATATCCCGGAAATTACAATTGTTCAACATTATTTATATTTCTCATGTATTACTTATTGAAATAAAAATATAGTATTGTATATCAGAAGAACATATGCTAGGAGGAATTTCATATTAACCCGAGGTTATTATATTGTTAAATTTAATTACGAAAGGTTTGAAATAACAGTAAAAAGCATATTCCATTCCTCTTATCAGATGTATCCATCTCTCTCTGACAAGTCCTTTCACTCACACCTAACTGTCACAGATTTGCGTCAAACTTCACGTCATTGCCGCATTATTTTTCATTCCCGTTCAATCGTTCAGTTCCAGTTTATGCTAAGTGTAATCGTTCGCATTCTGTCAAATTACGTTTCACTGAGTGGACCGAACCTCCTGTATCCTACAATCTCTGATAGTGTTATTGTTGTGATTACATATATTATGGACGTCTTATAACAGTTTATTAATCGATCTATTGTGAATAAGGTTAACCATTAGCTTGTGAGCAGTGGATGGGTGCAATCGAGTCTTGTAATTAGGCAACGTTACCGCTTCTTTTTGTTGTTGAAATTTGCAAAATAAAACATTTGGTGACGGACAGAATGTAAAGATTAGAATAATCTTGTGCTGTACTGAAGTGAACTGATGTATCCATTATCTATATTTTCACGTATATTCGCGAGTTCAGTTTTTGTTTTGTGACAATATACCTATCAGACAATGGGTACGACTGGATTGACTTTGGCAGATTTGCCGAATATATTTATTATGATAGGTGCTCTAGTTGCGCTTTTTGTGATGCTAGTCATATTACTCAGGTACGTTGATAAAAACTTTATAATTTTCTTATATATTAACCAAGCAAAGGAAGCAAAAATAAAATTGGCAGATGACATTGCCAGTCACCTGACCTTTACATATATTTGTAATCTTTTTATTAAATATATCTGTACTGGAATCCAATTATATAAATAAGCTAAATAATTTGCACTATTTTAAAAATATACACAAATTAAATGTTGGATGGAAAAATAATTATAATTGCACAATGAGACCCTGTGTGAAGTATTTAACAATTAGTTGTTATCTTAATATTTTGTTGAAACAATTCATATTGCACACAAACATGGTCACATCTTTAATATGAAAGATTACAAAACAGTTAATGGTTTTCTTTAAATTTAACTATTGATTTTTATTATTACTGTTAAAGAAACTGTAAAAGTTTAAATAAAACTTTAAATTGTTTTTAGACATTAAAATGATCAAAAAAACACATTTAATTAAAATCCCAGAAGCATTTACACTATAAAAAACTAAAATTTTTAGTCATGTTTTATCAATCCATGTGTTTGATTAACTGTAATAATTATAAATATTATTTTATTTTTCATAAGTCTTAACTTATAGAATAAATCTTAATACAATTAATATTAAAAGTATAAATTATATTAAAATAAATGACCCAAACTTATTGTATGAAAAAAAAATTAATATTAACTCCTAATATGATATTTTTTATGACATTTATAAACCATCACATAAATAATTATATGTATTGTATACAGTGTAGATAAATATAAATTATTTCACATAAAAAACAGAAATTATGACAAAAATAATCTACTTATATATATATATATGTATGTGTGTGTGTATATATAAGCAGTTCAATAACTAGACACCAATTTTGCAAACTGTCCTTGACACCCCAACACGAGCTACCTTCACTTCCCTCGTTACAAAACATTCTCTATGTGTGAACATGGGATTTTTCTCAATATATAAACCATTATCATAATATAAAATTAATAATTGATATATTATATTGTACTCGTGCTTAAAATTGAATTTGTGAAAGAATTTTCAAATATTTTGTATATTAATTCAAAATTTGTGTAATAAAAATAATGTTATTGTGTAGAATAGCCTCTTGGTTATTTTGTTTTAGCAGTTTCTTATGGTTTGATAAGAAAATTAATTGAATAATGGTAATAATAAATATAAAGAAATATTTTTTTAGGTTATTTTAATACAATGAATTTTTTTTTCTAAAATGTCATGACAAAAATATTAGTAAATATTCATTTACAGTGTTCATTAAAATTACATATGTGATTTTTGGAAATTCCCAAAATGATAACTTGAAGTTTTAAATTTATTATCATTTTACTCTTATACTATAATTTTCATTACTTAATTATAATTATTTATACTTCAAAATATTCTTGTATTCTAGTTATCAATGAATTTTATAAAAATAAAATTGTATTCTATTCTATTCTATGATGTATTCATATGTTGGTTGAGGTCATGTTTGTCAATTTTGTTTTAATGGTATGCCGGTTGTAATACAGATAAGAATATGGTTATTTGAAATTATTGTGAAAAATAAACATTTGTTAATATGGAGAAACATATTGTACTTGAATTGAATACAAATATTATGAAATATATGTTAAAAAAATTGTTTTTTATATCTAAAAGATCTTATATACAGTTATTTAAAGTTGTGATTGCAGAAATTATTGCACAGTCAATCTGTGCCCTGAATTACCTCTTAATGTGTTATGTTATTAACAAATAACACTAAACCTTCACATAGATACTTATATTGTTTGTATATTGTAGGTAAATATAAGAAATATTTAAGTAAAAAAGAAATAATTATGACAAAAATTGACTTTCTATAAAAGTATTTGGACATAGGACTAATTAAAAACAATTTTTAATGACCACATTAAATTTAGATACTATGATACTAAAACTCAACATTTTTCTAACTAAATTCTTTAAAATATTATTCTGTTCCAGGAATATGGAAGTTATAGGTATAGTGGGTGAAGGTCGGGATGATACCTGGCCGAGGGCAATGCAGCCACCTCGCCTGTTGATGCAAAGGGTCCATATACCATTCACATTTAAACTACAAGAAAACAAGCCTATAGGATACAGCAGTGAGTTGGATTTGATTAGAATTAATTTATAAGACGTTTTATTAATACAAATGATTTGTCAATGTGTGAGGATTTTATCTTCTGTTTGAGATTAGTTCTATTAGAGCAGTGGTTCCCAAACTTATTTTGTGTACTGCCTACTTTGAGAACAAATTATTTTTTTGTGCCTATACGTTTGATCTACTGAACGAACCACTTAGACTTATTTTAGCTAAATCACCCCCTAGGCCTCTACATTTTTTTCTGGGTCTCTTACCACCCCCTTTAGACCTGCCAGGGAGTATTATCACCCACTTTGGGAAACTTTGTATTAGAAGAAGTAATTGAAAAAACGTTTTGTTTAGATGCATTTTTATTGTTAGACACGATGGCTCACTGTTTACAGTGACGGCATTGTTTATTCGTGAGTCACAGGTTCGATGTCTTAAGTATTTTTTATTTTGATTGTTTGCAACTAAATAAATAAACATAACTTGTTTATATTTTAAGAGTACTTGTTTTAGCTCTTTATAATTTATATTTTTACGAATTACGTGTATATTATGTGTTTTTCATTTGCTACGTTTCTCGCTACCCCACCTACGAAATTTGTTATTCAAAAGAGTATTTCAACAAAATGTCAAGAGGTATTTCGTAAAATATAAGTTCAGTTAAGCTTAAATACAAAAGTAAGTCCACTAATCTAAATAAAGTGCAAGCTCAATATAATAAATCGGAGGGGAACAAGAAATTATTATTTATATCAAGTAATTAATTGAACTAAGGTTAGTTTGGTCTAAAATTTGTTATCAAGAGTTAAAAAATTGTGTATTTTTTAAACTTAAATCTTTAACAATAGCGACGAGCAAAATTGTTTACATTATTTTCTATCAAACAAAAATGATTGTTTAATGAACAAAAACGTCGAAACAAGTCGCGATTTGTATCACATACTATAAGATTAAGAATTATATATTGGTGGGAACTTTATTTTAATGTTTTGGGTTGACTTATTTGTTAACTAGAAGAATATATATTCCATCTTAATCGTTAAAAATTCGTTATAAAGAGGTTTTTCACAAAAAATGTTTATTTTTTACTGACCCTTATAGACAATTCAAGGGAATAATGAGGAATTTCTTAAATCGAGGAAGTCGTTATATTGAAGTTCGTTTAAGGTTGCACTCTATATCCATGGGGACTTGAAAGAAAAAATACATTTAATTCGTTTTAATTTCTAACAGAATATACAAAAAAAAATATTTTTTTAGATTCAACTCGAAAAAACAAGGATTTTCTTTCTTTTTCAATATAATTGTGTATTGCAAAAGCGTATATATTTATGTGCGGGTAGTTAACAATAAATTAATTGCTAAATTATAAAATTTATTTATTGTTATAGTAAAGACAATTATTTTAATAAGTGTGATGATATCTCGACTTACAATGGAACTAATTAATACATCGCTGTACATTACCTTGCTTACTAAAACATTCAAGGATTTTCATTAATATATATAGTATAGTATTTTTTCTATTCATATAGTTTTTTACTTATTTCGTAATATTGTTATCAGTTTATCTATTTAAGTGATTGAGAGATAGTTCCCAATCAACTTACATGTTTATTGTTTATATATTATTTTAAACGCCTTTCGTGTATACTAACGGTATTTATGACGAATTATTTTTGTATTTTTGATGATAAATTTTGTTATTTGTTTTGTACTTTTCGTAATTCTCCTCCTATCCTAAATATGATGAAAGATAGAAGTTGTAGACACAAAAAATTACATGTCTCGATGCGAATAAAGTAAAGAGCATTTTTTCGAGATTTTAACAAAAAAAACTATTGACGTTGATATTATATAGATCAAAAGATGTATTTTAAAACGGCTAAAATAATTATTTTTTACAAACCAGCCAATGTGTAACGATGTACAAAAATGTCCTTCATTAGCGTCTATTTTAAAAATAATGATGTTTTTGTCTGAAACGTTCTAAGATAAAAATATTTTGAGAGTCACGTGAGAGTCAAAATAATCATCATCTAAATCTCCTACAATATTAGACTACGGTATACAATGAGATTTATTCTTAGCTCACAACTATGTCTGTATTTAAATGAAACTAATATTTTTCGGATATACTACGCGATTTTTATTTTTGATAAAAACTACATACCCCCGACGTTTCGGCTACTTTACAGCAACCGTGATCACGGGCAGACGAGATGTGGGAATTTATTGTGGGTGTCAATTTATAATAAAAAGTATCCTTATTACCTTGAGAGTATAACCTTATTGTTGAAAAATATATAAAATGAAATATTTATATCTTAATAATAAAAAAGAAAGGCGTGCTAGTTACACTATTTATAAATCAAACACGGCCGTAGGGATATGATTCAACATTGGTTGAGAGATAGATTAGAACCAGGAGATGGACATAGGATATTTAATACTGTTTGATCGAGAAAAAAAAATAGTTTATCAATACATATCTGGTTATTTAGGCATTCTAGGGCGGAATAGAGTTGGCCCGGTCAGCTATACATATATTACTAATGCCGAAATTAACGCGGACGAAGACGCGTACAAAAACTAGTCATATATAAAAAAAGTAATAAAATTATTTCGTATGGTGTTATGTATTAAACGAGAGTTTATAAGTATCTGAATAATGAGAATACAATTGATGTTTATCAAAGAACACTTCTCCGGATTCTGTTTATCTTAAATTAATATATATTATTTTTGTATAAACGTCTGTTATCCTAAATTTTACCTATGTTTTTGTATCTTGTTTTATTTAAAATATAATTGAACTCATACTAAAATAAGGCTGTAAATTTTCTTTTGAGCCTTTTCTTTGTTTTTTTCTTTTTCTTTCTTAAACCAATTGATAGTAGAAGTTCTGCTATGATAAGCCATTTGTTGCGGCCATTACCTGAAACAAAAATACAATTAAAATATAATTACTAAGTAACGTCAAAATTATACCTATTACATTGACTTTACTATTTATATTTAGAATGAATATTAAATTGTCTTCAATAAGACTTTTTATAGAAATAAAATTAATATTTTTCGTATGTACTATGTACGGCTTTTAAATTATTTTTTACTGGTCTGCTGTGATCACGGTTGCTGCAAAGTAACCGAAACGTCGGGAGCATGTAGTTTATAATAATAAAAAAATGCGTATATAAAATAAAAAATATTATTTTTATTTAAATGAATACTCGCGCATACTTAAATATTATAAAGAATTTTAAAAGTAGTTATGGAAACAATTGTTTTTTTCTTTAAAAAATAGTAAATACTTTTGTAGTTATAACTACTAAATTAATCGTAACAATACAGAAAGTAACATCCAAGGTACAAGGTAAAAGTGACTTAAAACCTGCGACCCTGACTAAGTAGTTGTGAAGTCCTTGAAGCGTGGTGTACATCAAACATTTCATGCATAAAATATTATTACAACTGAAAAGCATATGAAATTTAATGCTTCTATCATATCCGGCATTCGATAAATAATTATTCTAATAAATATGATTAATATCGCCGTTGAAATAAAACTTTTTTGACGTCCGTTTCCGTTATTTTTTATAAATTCGTTTCTGAACGGTGTGAAAAAAGAGTATTGATAGAAATATAAGAATCTTCAGCGTTTTCAAATTATTTCAATATATCCATTATAATGAAATAATTTGAATTCGGTTTCTGAACGTATGTACATTTTGTTTTCGCAAAGGTCTTCATATCAATGCCAAAAGCCATAGTTTATTGATTGTATTATGTAGTACATTTATAACAATGAAATACTAGTAAAATTTTAATAAGTTGGAATTATTGCTAAGTAAGTACCGTTTATATATGATGCGTGGGTTCCGTTATAATTACATCTCACGATACGACAAAATTATCGTATGTTATAATAGAGATTATCCCTACTAATGTTATAATTGCGAAAATAACTCTGTCTATCTGTCTGTCTGTTACGCTTTCACGCCTAAACCGCTGAACTGATTTTAATGAAATTTGGTACAGAGTTAGAGTTGACCTTGAGAAAGTACATAGGATAGTTTTTATCTCAGACTTTTGAAAGGTTCTCTTGGAAACGCGATATAACCGAACTCCACGCAGGCGAAGTTGCGGGCGGAAAGCTAGTAAAAAATAATTTAGATAATACGAGATATAATTCAATCTAAATAAACTTTTTATTTTGTATATGTAAATTAATTTTATTATTATGAAATATAAAGTCGTTTGTTATAAATTAAATGAAACGCCAACGCGTCTTTGACTGCCAATACACCCACTACGGCTAGATATATTATAACGTATATATACATATATATGTATATATGTTGCCAAAGTAAGTCTTTGTTCAAATGTCAAGTAAACAGGTGCGCTGTATAAATAGCTGTACTGTAATATTTTTATATTATTAATAACAATAGCCAAATATAAATCTTCCATTTGTATGACAATTACAAGGTTGTATATTTTTCTTTATTTATCAAGCATTTTTGTGAATTAGGTTTTAAAGCAAAAATTTAATTTGAGATAATTTCGTAACAACTGGTTACATTTATAATTTAGAATACAATACTATACTTATTTTCTTTTTACCTATTTGTATACAGATGTGTGAGGAAATAACTTATAAATACAATTACAATAGCTTTTTCTGATTAGTGAATATTAATACTATTTGGAACCTTTGATTATTAATTCTATTAAATTAATATTTCAATTAAACGCTCACCGAGCTGTAAGAAGAACAAAATCGATCTTTTTAACCGACTTCAAAATGGAAGAGGTTTCTTTTTTTCTATAAAATATGTTTCAAAGACACACACATACACACACACACACTCATACGCACACACACACACTACTTGTAAAATAGAATATAATTTGGTTTATTTAACTTGGACTATCAAGTAAACCAGATCTACCTGTAACCTATATAATAATGTTAATATCTTATTCTTAAAATAGATATGATAATTTGACATAATATTAATTGATTCATTAATAGGCTCTCTGGCATTTTTTTCTGCTATAAATTTACTAAGATAATTTTGATGAAACTTCTCAACTTACGACAAAGTCATATTTGGTAAGATCATTATAATCACAGATAAAAACGTCATTATTTCCGCATCTGTCAATTACTAAACAAAATTCAATAAAATTTTGCTTATCTATAGTCAAGGCTTAAGAGCGATATCTTCTTTCCTAATAATTCATACTTCTCTCAATATATGTAACGATAAAGGTGGAACTTCACTTGGCGTAGCGTATTCGCCGCATTTGTCCAAATATTTGTACGTAGTCCAAATATCGCAAACATGACATCCACACTTGGAATCATAACACATCTTTACACGTTTTCGCTTATTTGTGCAAATATATCAAATGAAGAGGAATAAATCCTCCACACATGGTCTTATTTGGCCGAACATAATTAAACGCCAAGTGAAGAACCTTAAGAAGATTAAGATTTTTTTTATTATTATTTTTTTTTATTTATTTATTGGGAAACAAACAGCATATACAACATCATTATAGTTTTCACATATTAAAATAATTACATAAGCCAACAAAGTTTCCACTTTTGCACAGTTTCATGGAGTGAACATAAAAAAAAATACTTATAATTATAACAATTTAAGAATTATAAATTATAGTAATAAAAGAATAATATATGTATGAACGTCATCAAGAGATATTTCTTAATCAGGTATCGTTTCATAATACAGTCAAAACTCAAACGTATTGTACATAATCGGGTTAATGTAATCACCTCGTCTTGTGACACTTATATTGGGTACGGTCATACATTGCATTGTTTACCTTCATATATATTTTTGTTTCATATAACAAAATCATATATAAATTTAGGTAAATAGGGCATAGGAAGAAATTATTTAGCCTTGATATCCCATAATTATCCCATAATATTGCACGCTTTTAATGTGTTTTAAGACTTTCGCGAATATTTAAATGAAACTAATATTTTTAGGATTATTACGTGAATTTTATTATGTTTTTGAACTACATATTCCTAATAAACTAAAAGGCATTCCAATCAACGTATTTTTTTAACAATTTCCAGTACGTACTCGTTCATATAATGAGGTCTAAGACTTTCGCGAGTATTCAATTATTGCATCCTTTTATTTCGGGATACCCTTTCTATCATTGGACGCCCAGATACGTCTTCTTCATCCTTTAGTAGTAGACCTTCCATATATCTCGGTTACATATACCCTTCATCATGCTAAGGTTTCAAATATTTTCCCAGCCACCGTATTTTCATACTATTATAATTTGTTTGTCTTTAAGACAAAAGATATCGTCTGTTTTTGAGATAGTATGTTCACCATCTATTATTATCAGTCCATCAGAGCCCACTGTTGAACAAAGGCCTCTACTAGCGAGTATTCATTTAAATGAAACTAATATTTTTCTAATTTGCTCGTAATCAAGGTTGCTTAAAAGTAACTGAAACATCGGGAGTATATTGTAGTTATTAAAATAATTAAATACGCATAGTAGCACCCAAAATCTTCCTTACATTTAAGTCTTCTTTAACTTCGTATTAAAATGATTGGTGTATTGTACCATTTCTTTAATCGTCTTCTTGTCACCAGGTGTCTCCAGCAGTATATCTTCAACAGTCCGCTACTGGAGCGCCAGTTGGTGGGGTGCTCCGGTGAGGGACCTGCACCAGACGCTCTGGGGCACCCTGCCAGAGATACTAGCCTCCAAACACCTGGATTTCACCAAGTAAGTCTAATTCTATCGCAATACATTCAATACTTACTATAATAACTTATTTTTTTATAATATTTTTGTAATCAGCTAGACAGTAATCTTCAGCAGTGCTGTGTTCTATAATTGGTACACACTTCAGATAAGTGTCAGTTTTAAATGTTTAATGTATGTATGTACTGTTGATATGCCATTTAAATAAATAAATAAATAAATAATGACGATCGTCTATCTCTTTGTTCTAAAACATTGTTCTTGCTGTGGGTGTACAAAGATGAATTTTAGGTCTTTATATTAGAAAATACTTTTGTTGGGTCAAAAAGTATTTAAAATTGTTTTTTTGTTTGTACAAATATAAATTAACTTTGTACGTTTAATATACCTAATAGTAGTCATGGTTATATTATTCTGCAGACTATTTTCGCTTAATTCTGGGTTATTCATTCGATTTATTACACATACATACATATATGTTTCCATAAAAAATTAATAATGTGAAATTTACAACATTTTTTGGTCATCACGATATTTATTTAATGCACACTTTAAACGAAGCCACTGAAAAAACTACTCATTATTTATTATGTGCAAAATACCACAACACTTGCTTACAGCACTTACGCTATTATAAAATTAAAAAGTAAAGAAAAAACGAATTAAAAATACACAAAGAGTTTAACTACTAGAAAATTTAGTTTTAGAATATAACAAAAAAATTAAATTAACTTTATCTATGTATACAATCAAATAATTAAATATGTAATTGGCGATCGAAATCTAATAATTTGCATTTTGACTTTTTTTTACTACAATAACTTGTACTTTTTCAATCAATTCGTTTTTTTTAACATGTTCGATTTAATTAAATGGTATATTGTGCAAAAAATCATTAATTACGCCTACTATTTGTTTTCTTCATAAACTAAATACGTACAGTTTCGATGTATGTAACCTATATAAAGTTGAAAATTACGGTCACGATCAAATTATCTACGACTTACTCTACAGAGATATGTTACTCACTTAATAATTATGATTTTTTTCATTTTAATTAATAATTACTTATTACTGCACAATGTTTCTCAGTTTTTTTACAAATTAATTTACATATAACCAAATCTATGTATTTTCTTTTTTATCCTTACTACATGTTTCATTCGTCGCACTAAATACGCAGCGTTGACGGTTTTCCACGCATGAATCTTCGTATTATAGTATTATTTAATTAAAAACGTGAAACGTTTCGTATGTAGTGTGATGTTGCGAACTCATACTAAGCATACAGAAGATATACTCAAATATCAGAACGTAGTTAATTCAATAATATACATAAATATGAATTAAAGAAAATTATTAATTTATATGAATTAAATGTAACTTTCTTCATACAATATTTTACTAATAACATATACTAAACTCATTAAAATTGTATTTAATAAGAAAGTTCGTTGTTAAATTTTAAATATAACTCGTATTAAAGGCAGTTATATGGAGAAGACAGGCAAATTAACAAAAAAATTGCCTAAATAAAGTCTCATAGTTCTCAAGTCAATTAAAACCACACCAATATTTGTATTAGTGTCAAAACCATCAACTACTAATGGAAAACGCCTCATTATAAAGATCAAACATATAATATTACAGTTTTCAGAAAAGTCACTTACCTATATAAAACAAAAAAAACTGTGTTGTAAATTAATAACATAGAGAAATGAGTGATTTACTCATTAAAATATTTAAAATCGATACTGTATAACGTATTTTTGATAAAAAATCTTAATTTTCAATCTATCTAGACTTAATTTTTAAGTGTATTGTAAATTATTATTAGAATAAAAGGGTAATTAAACTATTTTAGTCTTACAGTCTTATGTTGTTGCTTTTATGTGACACACACACATATTTATATATGTATATACAGGGTGACTGGTGAATTACTATCGATACTTGAGGACGTGATATTTGACGATCATATATGACAAAATAAAAATTAATATAACATAAATATTAATAAACTTCTAAGTAAAGTTAACCAAAAGTTGTATAATTAATTACGCATCGTATGAACACCCTACAGATTAGGTATACACACACACACACACACACACACACACACACACACACACACACTTGGAACGTATCCACACTTTATTTATTTATACGGAAATTTTGTCAAAAATTAAGTGCCTATTTTTTTTACATAATTCGAATGAGAATCATGTACCGAATTCGAATGAGAATCATGTACCGAGTATTCTCCTTAAATATTGATAGTAATTCACCAGTCACCCTGTATATAGTAGTCCTCAGGCCTTAACCTAACGCGATATATATGTACATATATTCCTTTTAATAAATTCATCGTTTACAGAACTTGAATAGAATATGTCTATCAATAAATAGAGTAAACAAATAAATTAGTACCGTCTGTATGTATTTAAAAAATTAGCATTTTTACTATAGACACGGCAGACACAGTATATACGTATAGCAACATATTTATATATTGTATGTCTGTGCGTCTATTTTTAATGACTGGACCGATTTAGATTGCATTCCCATTGGCAGACAAGTAATGTTATACAGGATGAATAGAGTATTTTTAACTCAACAATTTTGTATTTTTAATAATAGAAATAGTTAAAAATAACTATTGCAAACAAAGAAGTGAGGAAGTATAGTTACGTAATTAGACAAATTAAGATGAAATTCAATGAAAGGAACTAGGAATTTAGTTAAGTATGTAGTTAAATTTAACCGCTAGTTTAACATTGTATAAAAAGTTTTAACCTCATACCATTCAATACGGGTTCATTGACCTAACAAAAATTTATGTTATATATCTCAAGTACATTTCCTGTTGTTTTTTTACGCACTATTTTGTTCTATATATGTATATGAGGTCATATTAATTAATTAATTTTATAATTACCAATGACTCGTTTATTTGGTTACTTGATAAAATAGCTTAAATTTTCATATACCTTTATATGTATGTATAAAAGAAATTTGTGTTAGTTAAACTAGTTATAACTCAAGAACGACTGTAGGGATATGGTTGGACATTGGTGGAGAGATAGATAAGAACAACGAGACGGACATAGGATATTTAATACTGTTCGATAAAAAAGAAAAAATCTTAATAAATTTAAATATTTGGTTATTTATGGCGTCTACTGCGAAATTGAATTCGCAAGGTCAGTTATACATACATATATGTATTACTAATGCCGAAATTAACGCGGACGAAGTCGCGGGTAAAAACTAGTTCTTATAACAAATGCTAAATTATTTTACTCGAAAAATATTTGACACATTTTGTGTATAGTTTTCACTTATGTACACGTACAAATAAAATATGTACCTACAAGCTTTTAGTCATCCTTACCTTCCGTGCAGTTCCCGTGGGAACACGTAGTAGTATTTTGAAGAAGTATTTCTGATGCTGCTACCTGTTCAGTTCATGTTAATTTTATTTGATCTCAAATCTGAAGACAGGTGAAGTCGCGGGCAGAAATATTCTCATACAGGGTGACTGGTGAATTACTATCAATATTTAAGGAGAATACTCGGTACATGATTCTCATTCGAATTATGTAAAAAAAATAGGCACTTAATTTTTGACAAAATTTCCGTATGAATAAATAAAGTGTTGACACGTTCCAAGTGTTCAAGTGTGGACGCGTGCGGCGGCGTGCTGATACAACACTACGTCACGACACGCGTATGTGTGAGTTTCAGTGTATACCTAATCTGTAGGGTGTTCACACGATGCGTAATTAATTACACAACTTTTGGTTAACTTTACTTAGAAGTTTATTAATATTTATGTTATATTAATTTTTATTTTGTCATATATTATCGTCAAATATCACGTCCTCAAATATCGATAGTAATTCACCAGTCACCCTGTATAATAGTTATATTTAATACGATTGAATTTCAATACTGTCTTTATACGCTATTTTCAGAGTTTTGTTCAAAAAGACAGTAATTTTATACATTAACGTAGTGGTCAACTCACCTTCAATAATATTATTTGCTTCTAAACCTAATTTTTCATAAATTTACTTATCACTAAAAATTGAAATACGTGTCAAAAAGTTTTCAAACTTATAATCTATCTTCGTTTCACTCATCAATTTCTGTTCAGCAGTTGTAACTTAATGAATAATGAGTAACAACAAGTCAAACACTCATAATAACATAATAATATGTTTGAAATTAAATTATCATTATATATGAATACTACTAATTTCATATTTGTTATATCTTGACCCAAATCACTTGACCAATTCTAAAGAAAACCGTTAGATGTGTTCTCGAGTAACCGACATTTGAAGTGCAAACATATTTTACTCCTCTTTACCGACTCCGCAAAAAGAGGTTTCTAGTTTCATATTTACACATATACTGCTGTAATATCATTACTATTTTTTGTGTGTGTTTGTCTTTTGTAAGATTACCCGAAAACTAAAAATCAGATTCTCATGTTTATCTTAGTATTTATTTTTGAACGGATGATAGTAAAAGTTTTATCATAATCGTTACAGTACTATTATTAGACAATATAAGTATGTATATTTATGTACTACTTTTATTAACAAAACACATAAAAATATGAAAAAGATCTATGAATAAAATAACAGTTTTAAATATTTTATTTCAATAGAATCCCGTTAATTTTAATATAAAAGATTTCTATATATTCATAACTCTATGTTACAATATGATTCACACTGAAGTATGTACTGTTTGTATTTAAATTTTACGGAACATTTAGTTTTTCGTTGGATTACGTCAAAGCATGGGTTATTGGAATGACGTGATATAAAATTTTATAGAACTGTAAAATATCCTTAGTACGAGACTGAATAAATTCGTGACGGATAGTTACGACGTATATACACTGGAACTGGTGATAATTGATACGAGTAGTGAAAATATTTAATAACACAAAAATAAAATACATTTTTACACATACATATTGTTAAGCATTTTAAAAATTTATAACTGTCACACATTAAAAAAGTAATTAATCTATACTAATATTATAAAGCTGAAGAGTTTGTTTGTTTGTTTGAAAGCGCTAATCTCCGAAACTACTGGTTCGAATTGAATAATTCTTTTTGTGTTTTATAGTCCAGTTATCGAGGAAGGCTGTGGGCTATATAACATCACGCTACGACCAATAGGAGCAAAGATATAGTGGGAAATGTGTAAAAAACGGGAGAAATTATTTCATCTTTGAAGCCTTCCGTTGCGTGCGCCGTGAAAACGGTTCAAGATACACAAAAAATATATATTAAAGAATAATAGCTCTTTTAATGATCTAAAAAACAGTCCGCGACAGTATATAGTCTATCTATTAAGATTAACTCAGAAAAACCGTTTTTATGGTACCTAATTTGGTCGAAATAATTTTATAAAATCTTTATTCAAATAAACAAATAAATATGTTGTTGGTTAAGAGTACTTCATTGTGAATAAAAAAAAACATAGGTTTTATCCTGAAAACTCTACGGGAACTCGACCATTCCGAAAACCCAGCAAGAACGGGAACTATGTGGGAAGAACCAAAAATCTGCCGGAAGTCACTATTCCACGCGGACGGAGTCGCGGCAAAAGCTAGTTTTTAAATATATAGAAGACTATCATATATATATCTTCTTCTACCTGCCAATTTCCCAGCTTTAGCCAGGGTCTGCATTACATGTTGTGTATAGTTTTGGCTAATTGTTTTTACGATCGGCCGCCTGCCTGACATCAACCCTCTTTGGGAATATATATGTATGTATATGGTACTCATTATTTATTTAAAAAAAATGTATATAGTAAAAATTATTATGGAAACATAAAATATTAAGTATCTGTTAAAATTCAATGTCATTTATAAAATCTGAACATATTAGTCAGTTTAAATATCATTGAACTAAAGTTATTGAACCGTTATAAGTAAACAGTAACAATTATCTCATCACATACTCGGAAACCTGACTCCATATATGGTTTGATCGTCTTAAACCAACGGACAGACAGACAGACTTGTATAAATATATATAGAGCGTATACTATATATTTTTTAGCCTATCGGAGCCCACTGCTGAGCAAAGCCTCTTTCTCTCATGGAGAAGGTTTGAGCATTAATCACCACGCTTGCTCAAGACGGTTTGGTGATTTAAAACTTATAATTTTTTGAAATTCTAAGTCCAGGTTTCCTCACGATGTTTTCCTTCACCGTCTGTCAGTGGTGTCTAAATACTCTTAGAAGTGCATATGACTCGGAAAAAGTCACATCGATACTTGCCCGGGCCAGGATCGAACCCGCGGCGTCGGCAACGAGAGGCGGGTCCTTTAACCACTAGGCCATCACTGGCTCCTGTCGGGGAAGCTGGTGGCAGTGCGAAAGCGATCCCCCGCCCCGACACAAGGGCCGTCGTGGAACACCCTTGGGTTTTTAGTGGGTAGTGGCAACGAGTCCCACATACCCCGCTGTTTTCTAAAAACGGCGGGTATGCGTAAATGCATTTTCCCAAGGATAACAAAAAAAAAAAAAAAAAAAAAAAAAAAAAAAAAAAAAAAAAAAAAAAAAGGCCATCACTGGCTATTATACTATATATCGGTCATTTTAATATTACATACAGACGGTAAAATTTTATATATTTATTCATATATAAAAACTTCATAAAAAATTTATAATACAAATGTCTCGTTTAATGACTAACCACTAAATCGAGACGAGTCAATGGACTCTCCCGTTTGTTAACGAGTCATCCAACTTGTGGGACACTAACACACTATATGTTTTTGTCTACGACTTTGTCCGCTTGGTATTTGTACTAATATCCATGAGAAATATGTTAAATGTACTAAAATTATATTGTAAATAGACTTCGTGTCGTTACTCCATACACATTACTATTCTTATGCCTCGATCCATCGATAACTACACGGAATTTAAACATATATTATAGTCTATGTCGTATTCTGATGTCTAAACTACATTAATGTAAAGTTTCACCAAAATACGTTTAGTAGTTTTTGCGTGAAAGAGTAACAAACATGCATACATACATCCTTAAAAACTTTTGCATTATTTTATAAGATTCACATTATAAATATTGTATTTAGGTATTAAAGATTTCTTATATGTACGCACTTGAAACCTAAGTATATCATTTTTAATTTATTTTAATATACCTACAATGAATAATATTTTTAACTTAAGTCACTTTTCCATACACATTGAATATATAATTTTATTAAACATCACTTCAATATTACTTTAAGAAAACTTAACTGTAAAACAAAAACATTACTATAATCCTTATTATTTCGTATTTATAAACTGAACAGACAGTTTGGCGTCTAAATTCACTTAAAGGATAATATGTGTGAAAATTTATTAATGAAAAAACTAGATTTCGACCGTGTTGAATGACGATGGAAACTTATGGTAAGATTTAAACTCCAAAACTGTAAGTAAATCTTCCTCATCTCGTGTCACACATATAGTACGCGGTTATTTCAGTACATTAAATCAATTGTAATAACCAACATTGGAGTTCGTTGACCTCGTGTAACAATTCGAATGGTTACATAGTAAGCGGATACGCTAAATGAATCGTGTGGAAGTTAATTAATTTCTCTTATTCCTGTATACAAGGAATAACCGGAGTAGCGCGAGTCGGAGTAAACAACGAGGGTTCCGTATAAAATAAACATAGTTATTTATGGAGTATTAAGTATGCTTTAATTTTATCAAGATAGAACCCTATAAATATAGATTTACCTTGAATAAGGAAGTGAGGGAAAGTGCTCATAAAACGTCTTTTCACCGTGAAAGGGTGTGACTTATAACTAATAGCTTTTTTATAATGAAAAAAGCTATTATGTACCCTTAAGGTCAACTGACTCGTACAGACCTTGGAGCTATAATACACTTATATCTTAATAACCCATTAAAATTATAATTGTTGTCATAATATTTTATATACTATTAATATTGTAAAATTATATAAATCGTTACTTTACTTGAATATGAAGGCTTTATGTTTTATGTTTAGTGCTAAATGCAAACTGACATCGCCTTTGTCGGAACTACAGTTATAATTATATTAAATAAATTCACACTTAGGTGTGACAATATATTCTATAATATGAGCATGAATACTTAATAAGAATAATTTGCATAAAAAATTAAAAAAAAATACATAAGGAAACGTATTTAATAAATGTATGAGATCGGATTTAAATATTGTCTCAATTGAATTTTTTCAATTAAGCTTCCGTAGTTTTACATATATATTTTTTATGTGAAACTAGCTTTCCGCCCGCAGCTTCGCCAGCGTGCAGTTCGGTTATATCGCATTTCCAAGAGAACTTATCAAAAGTCTGAAATAAAAACTATCCTATGTTCTTTCTCAAGGTCAACTCTATGTCTGTACCAAATTTTATTAAAATCATTTCAGTTGTTTAGGCGTGAAAGCGTGACAGACAGACAGACAGAGTTACTTTCGCATTTATAATATTAGTAGGGATTTGGCAAACGAACAGACGGCAGTATCACCTTCGCCCATGGACATCCACAACAAAAGAAATGTTGCGGGTGCGTTGCCAATCTTAGTTGTTGAGGAAAAGGGAGGAGTGGGAATAAGGAAATGGCAGGAAAGGGTGGGAATAGGCAAACGGCTCTCTCACTCATCGGACAAATCGAGCCAGGCCATGTTCGAGCTGTAGTAATTTGACCACAGCTAGGCTCTACCACCCAATAATAAGAATATAAATATTTTTCTATAGAATTAATCATGATATTATGTATTGAACTTCAATGAACTATTAACTCGCGTTATATATATTTATGTCATTAAATATATGTACATATAATATAGAAAAACATTAGGTATTTAGTGATATTACCATTGTTTATAATTTTCCTATGACCCGAGTATGAGGTATTGTTTACCGATACTGAATATTTAACCCTTAAATGGACGATTTTTTTTTTATGTTTTGTAAAAATATATTTGTGTAATAGACATGTATTACTGTCTAGGAAAAATGAGTAAAAAAATCTAGACATGAATTTACTATTTTTTTTTTGCAATAATGTGAGTGTTGTTTATAAACTACATTGCGCATTCAATGACATTTTGCAAGTATAAGTAAAATAAGAGTGGATATTGTTTTTGAAATGTGTTTATTTATTCTAAATTATGATATTTATAAAAACAATTGCTTTTTTTCGTATCACATAAAGATACACGACATTTTTGGCACATTTTGAACGTAAATCCTGAACATTTCGGGAATTTGCACCTCTGCTGCTTATCCAGCCAAACTGCCCAATGACATGTCTGATCCAATCTGACGTCTTTCAAAGGAATTGCTTGAGCTGGTCCTCGGAACTTCTTCGTTACAAGTTCTCTTTGTATTGTGCTCCCACTAGGTCGACCACGTTTAGCGCCATTTGCAGGTAGACCCAATTTGCAGAGGGTTTCGGCAAGTTCTAGTCTAAATGTACCCAAATTGAGAAGTTGATCATTTCCTTTTATATTATTTACCTTCTTGAACATAACCCATGAATTTATAACTGCGAGGTCCAGGAAATGATAAAATAAGCGCATGGTCCACTTGCGGCTCTTCATTGTGATGTGATAACGACCTATAAATGAGTCTAATAAGTCCACGCCCCCCATGTGAGCATTGTACTCCTTGATGACTTTGGGGCATGGAATAGCAACTCTCTCTTTCTTCGATTTATCAAAGCGCGTGACTGTGGTTGCTGGTTCTGCTCCTACGTAAGTGGAAAGAAGGTTAACGGGCTTGTTATCTTTCCACACAACAGCACTTACGTCAATATCATCCACAGTCGCCACGTTTTCCTCATAGAATCCTCTGGGTACGTTCTTTTTCATTATAGTGTTTTTGTCAGGCAATTTGCAGTTTCTCAATCGGTTTACTCTTACTGTTCCCAGTGAGAAAATTCCTTCCTTAGCTAAATAGGTGACGAGAGGCACAGAAGTATAGAAGTTGTCGAAGTATATAATGTGATTCACATTGCGTGGTACCATTCTAGCTAACCTGACGACTGTATTTCCAGACTCTCCCAAATCTGGCTCACCAGGTAAGATGTTATTTTTGGAGCCCCCTCCACTGTAAACCTCAAATCTATGAGCATATCCTTGTAGACTGCAGATGAGATATAATTTGAACCCCCACTTGTGGGGTTTATTGGGCATGTATTGTTTTTATGTAATGGCTCATTTTGGTTGCACACATCTGCTCGTCTATGGAAAGCCTTTGGTCTAAGGGAACCTTTCCAAACTGGGAGTTGAGCATTTCCTCAAGAGGTCTTATTTTGAATAGCCTGTCATAGTCTGGATGATCTTTGGGTAAGCATAGCGTATTGTCGGCAAAATGGAGAGTGGATCTTATTTTTTTCAAATTTTTTTAACGGCATCGTATTTTTTATGTGATCATAACCAAATTTATCACTCCAGTAAGCCCTGGTGTTTGGAAATTTTATGACTGAGGTGTAAATCAGAATGCCTAGGAATTTATTTAGGATATTTTCATTTATAATTTCAGGATTGGATATTTGTTTCTGGGCCGCGTATAAGTTACTTTGTTCTACAATTTGCTTTTTTAGATCTGATGTAAAATAAAATGAAAAAAAATCATACGGCGTGTTACAAGACATCAATGCTTCCGTTATCTGAGTTTCTCCCCTAAAAATAAGGCTGTCTTTAGCAGTAACAAGATTCCGTTTTCGCCAAACCAGAGGTCGCTTAGAAATTTCTTGTGATCTACTCTGGGGTACTGCTTCTCCGGCTTCCAAAATAGGAGGGTCTGGCATATTTTGATCGTTGTCAATTACGCGAGGAGGATCAGCATCCACTTCATCAGACTGGGCATTCTCACCTTCATCACTATTTTCAAGGTCCCGAAGAACATCTCGAGCTGCTTGATAATAGTGACCTTCATCCTCTACTTCGGAGTCCGAGCCGTCTAAGCCATCTTCTGAATCTTCAAGAGTTTCTAAATACTTTGTAATTTCGCTTTCTAGTAATCGCGGCATGCTGAAAAGCAAAATAAAAACCCTTCACCAAACATGCATTTATTTAGCAGGCAATGCGCATTGTAGTTTTCCTACAACATACCAGATTTCGCGTAATTCGACAGCAGCATCAAGTAATTTTCAATGTTTTACAACATGAACATGTAATTGAAGATATAATCAAGCAAATAAAAATATGTTATATACTTACATTATATTTTATCAAAGTCCGAACACAGCTTCAAAACTTAGTTTCGCGCCACTAGAAAAGTTTTCTTCAAAGTGACATTTGACATTCATTTATTTTTAATGCATAAAAATATTGGATAGTGCCAACATTAAAAAAAGTACAAAATTCGTTCAGAAATAAGAACTAGTTGTCAAAATTAACAAAAAAATAAAATAAAGATAATTTTATCTGTGATGTTTAGTATGTTGTTTAAAAACAACATTGTCCATTTAAGGGTTAAATCACGGTTATATGAAGAGGCGTATCATGACCTCGTTGCTGGTTAGTGTTTAAATCGTCTTTATTTTCCTCTTTTTAAAATATCGTACGCTCGAACACAGTTTTTATGTTATAGATTATATTTTTTATTTATAAATATTAGTTTTTGGTTGAGTTAGTTAGTTCTTTTTATAACAAAAATTGCCAATATTTCTTGCTTCAAAAGCAGCCCTAGTTGGTTCAATTCAAATTGTGTTAGGTAGAGAGGAGCTTGGACGGTAGAGGTGAGCGTTTTACGCGCGTTAGATAGGAACCCCTTAAACCTACACCTGGGTCACAAGTCACAGTCACTGTTGAAGCTCCTCTCACTACAACGATGGACCCGACACCCGCACCGTGAATACATGGAATTTCATCTGTCTATAGCCATGAGAATATTTACAGGACGAAAACTCTAATCTTTAGTTATAGAGTTGGGAAATATTGGTTATCGATTTGCTTATCCTTCCATCTTTAAATATAAAATTTTAAATTCTTAAACAGAGACAGTACACGGTAGCTCAATTATCAAATCAACTGAAACGCATGATTTCCGACATCACGGATTCGATTCCTGCTTGAATCGAAAGTATGATCTATCTTTATTATATGTATAAAAATTAGCATGATTGTGAATTTATATTTTAATTAATAAGTACTTTTTTATATGTATATTTTTCTTTAAAATTTTAAAGATAACTTATAAGAAGTCTTATACTAGTAAGATGTTGAAGATCGCGGCTAAGCTTACACCACACCGGCTTCTCTATACTGTTGAAAGAGACTTGTCTTGTGTACTAGTTGAGATGCATTTATAAATTAAACTGTTACTATTTTATATATATTTATATTGAAAAGTGATGGTAGGTGGTATTTGTTACATTAGTTTTCGATAAGACTTTTTGATTACAACATTTAGGGATACGGCCTAAGGGAATGGTCTTAATGAAAAGGGTATTAAAGCTCCCTTTATCTTAACTCTAATGATATCTAAGAATTTTTTCTTTTACGAGAATTTATTATATAATTTTACATTTAAAATGCCGTTTCGATTGCTTTACAGCAGCTGTGGTCACGGACAGGAGACGAGTCTGTTACAGACAATAGTATGTCCGAAAAGTTGCAGTTAATTTTAAACGATGGTTTGTCAAAAATAAAATAATATTTTTCGGATTTACTACGCATTTATATATGTATTTTTTAAACTACATACTCCCGACGTTTCGGTTACTCTTCAGCAACCGTGATCACGGTCAGACGAGATGTGAATGTCTGTTAGTTAGTCTTGTTCTTCGTCTTTCGGATATTTTTACCAATTTATATGTATATGTATACATCAAATCAGTTATTACTGTATTATATATTTTATAAACTTCGATTTGGACCCGAGTGAGATAACATAAACGTTAATACTGAACGCCGCAATGTTATTAATTTTCATCAATGATGAATATGTATTGATTATGATACTCGTTACGCTTAGCACAAGTTTGCAACGTCACACTATAATGTGTGAAGATTTATGAATGAAAAACTTTTAACGCTCCGTATGGAGTGTGGCAATGGATAACTTGGTTTTGCGTTTATTCGTCAAGCTAAACGCTTATCGTCAGTTACAACTATAGTACACTACAAATATTGTATACTAGAAGACCTGGCGAACTTCGTATCGCCCTATAATCAAGAAATATCTATTACGTTTCTTTATTTATATTTTTGTGTTTAGAAGAGCGACAGAATGATTGACATATTAGTTAGTTGTCAAATCTCATGTCAAAAAAAACGTTTGTATGGGAAATAGAAAAGGGCTGTTTTTATGGTTTTCCCAGTAATGAATAAAAAATTTTCAGCTTTTATACCTTCCCTGAACCTCCACGAACATTTCAAGACTAAGATAAGATAAATCCGTTCAGCTGTTCTCGAGTTTTAGCGAGACTAAGGAACAGCAATCCATTTTTATATACATATATAGAAGATAACATAAAGTAACTGTACTATTTGATTACAGTAGATTTTGTACCATTAGTGTAGGTTTTGCATCACCTATATATGCAGGGTTACTGGTCAAGTCGACCTATTCCCGTTAAGGGCGTGAATTTTAAATTATTTCTGACAGATTTCACTACGAGCCACCCTATCCTAAATCTAACCGCTTTCGAGATATTTGATTTCAATTGTGTTTTTACAAAAAAATCCCGATTGTGGCTATTAGCTTTGGATGTTTTAAAATGTGTAATTTTTTTTATAACTATTATTTAATTTTTACATGTAAAATAAGATGCTTTATCACCTTAATAACCAATATTATACGTATAAAAGAGGTTTTATATTTCGAAGCTCCTTACATAATGCCAAATATATTTCATCTGTATACAACAATAAAATTATGAATGTAAACAATTAACATGAGTTATTTCGTTCCCGCTCACTTGATTTAATCAGAATAACTAATTTCATACGCACTTAAATAATTTTTTATTATTCTACTATATCGTAAAACACTTTATGAAGCTGGTGGTGCGATGTAATGAAAAAAATATTACTATTTCAATTGCATACGTTTCATTTTACTATTATTTATGTTACCAGGCGAATATTGATTTTTTAAGCGTATTTTTTAAAGTTAAAAATACAATCTTCAAGGACATCATCGATCTTGTAAAACGTTAACGATTTTCCTCGAAAACGCTATTTATAATTCAACATGTTGTCCGGAGCCTTGATAAGAATTGAATAAGTTGAAATAATATTATAGCAGAACGAAAAATACATATTATTAATATGTGGTTTACTCCAATAAAATTAATGTACAGGTTATTTTAAATCTTCAGAATAGGCAGAAAGATGATATTTAAAAACAAACCAAGGACTTCTACAAAATACATAAAAAATAATTTAAATCTTTTATTTATTATTTCTTGTTTTTAAATCTATTTCTTAAACATTTCACCCTTTTGATACAAGAATTTTAACTATAATATTAAAGCCATTCGTTACTATTGATATGTCTTAGAAAATGTCCCTAATATAGAAATAATATATGTCAGTACTAATAGGTTCAAAATATTTCATCAATTCCCCAAAAAACTTATCTTCTATGTAAAATAAATGTTTTTTATTACACCGAGTCACCTAACTTTGATAAAGTGATTCAAATACTCGAGTCAGTTGCATTGATTGCTTTATTCAAAGAAATACGCAGCCCACAATCATAGACAAATGCATATAGATTTTTTTCCTAATAAAGTATACAATACTTTATTAAATTTACAATCTAGCCTATTGACTAATAAGTATATAAATTTGACCTAAATTACTACATTAACAATATGTTCTATATAATATCAATAGTCTTTGTTAATGAGAAGACATTTCGTTCATGTGTTAAAAATGCATCATCATCATCAGCCTATCAGAGCCCACTGCTGAGCAAAGGCCTCTTTCTCACATGGAGAAGGTTTGAGCATTAATCACCACGCTTGTTCAACACGGGTTGGTGATTTCAAACTTATAATTGTGAAACTATAAGTCCAGGTTTCCTCACGATGTTTTCCTTCACCGTATGTCAGTGGTGTCTAAATACTCTCAGAAAGTACATATGACTCCGAAAAATCACATTGGTACCTTTAAAAATTTACATTAAAAATGCATATATAACACTAACCAATGCTTCTCAGGAATCCACCTCATGATGAGCAAGACGTGAAGTTGTCTTCGGAGCCTCTACAACTTGGTCCGCCTCCAAGAACCCGCTACCCTTTAGTGGTAATACTAGCCAGGGACCAAAGAGACACGTCTGAACTCAGGCCAGATGATACAGTAAGTAATGGACACATTATCATATATTACGTCTTTGTATATCCATCGGTAATTATATTACTGTCTGGTAATATTTGACCTGTAATAAATAATCATCAATCTGGATAGTATATATCAGAATCGGAAAAAAGGTAATCTTAGAAAATATGTGCTTATTATTAGTAGTATACTGAGATACCTCTAAAATATATTGTATATTTCTAACTTACAAGAAAAAATTGTATCCTAATGTATCCTTATGATTTAAAATAATGTATTTAAATAAAAATCATTTGTATTTTAGTTTATATATCCAACTATTTTGTTGATTTCTGTTCCATTCGATAGTTTGTCTTCAAATCGAGTAATATTAATATCACACAAATAATGAATTACAAAGAAATTCATTCTTAATACTACAAGAAGGAACCTAGTACCTACATATCATATAAAGCATCATATATATTATTTTTAGATAAATATGACAGTCAAATTAAAAGCACTCTCCTGATAACAAAAATATAGATAAAAATTCTATTTACGATATGGATTTAGATTAACGGGATTCATTACGAAAATTTCAAAAAAATAATTCATCTTTACTTGGGTATACTTAAATCGTCATTACTATCAGATGAAATCTTCATTGAAGCTGTAAGGTCATTTTTATTGGTCTACAACACTTTCTTACTAAATTAAGCCTTAATGTATTGGGGAATATTTAACAATTTTCATTTGTATACACTAAAGATAAAACTATGATTGTGATAAAAACAGGTAAGTCATATATACAGTGTACTTTGATTTGGTACCAAAATGTCTCGATTTGTTTTTGTAATAACGCTACAAATTCTTTAAAATATCCTTCTCCATTGCATTAGTGAACAGAAATGTATTCAACAATTTTTTTTATAAATATGTCAGTCAGAAATATATCAATAAATAATATTCAAATATTTTCAAATTCAGTATAAAAGGTAATCAGTTAATAATATTTAATACATACAACGGAAAAACTACAATAATGGCTTTGAAACGTATGCGTTTATACTTCCTATACTTCATAAACAGCACCGTATTTCCCTATATAATTTGTAAGATTATTTATTACCTATTTTATCATTAAGTTTCGTTATTTCTCCACCAGGTGGCTCTGATAACGGTGGTACATATTAGAGACGACCAATGCCCACTGCCAAGCGGTATTATAGCACAATACCTAAAACAGGCGAACGGACACCTCTCCTGTCTCAAGGTAAGACACACACAACGACCACGAAACAAAATAAATCCCTACTAATATTATAAATGCGAAAGTAACCCTGTCTGTCTGTTTGTGACGCTTTCACGCCTAAACCACTGAACTGATTTTAATGAAATTTGGTACAGATATAGAGTTGATCTTGAGAAAGAACATAGGATAGTTTTTATCTCAGTCTTTTGAAAAGTTCTGTTGGAACCGCGATTTAACCGAACTCCGCGCGGGTGAAGCTGCGGGCGGAAAGCTAGTTATGTAAATAATTTTGCTATACATGTTGCTTGTTCGATGTTGTTACCGTCTATCATATAGTGCCAACGAAACAAGATAAATTATGTTAACAACTTGCTATACATGTTGCTTCTGAATATTGATAACATATTAATTCTTTTAATACATTTCCGATTTGTAAATTCCTCACGATGAAAGTCGCAGTTAAAAACTAGTCTAATATTTCAGTCGTAAAATCTCCATAGAAAGTACTCACTGTCTTCACTTAACCAAATTAACCATTTCCTACTTCCAAAGTCTCAGACTAACTTATTGTTCCTTATAACTTTTAACTATTCAATAGATTCTCTCACAGTAATTATTTTATTTGACTCTATAATATGTATTCTATACTTGACATTGATAGTACATCATTTGTATTCTTACCACGTGTTCTCGTCACACTATATACCAATCGTGTTCTGTTTCTCATTCAATAACCTACGTTAATAGTTTACGAAGATTTATAAATAAACAAACTTTTAACGCTCCGTCTTTTGTTTTAATTAATAAAATAATCGTTTTTGTTTTCAAAACAGTAAATAATCGATTTTGTTTTCTAATCAAAAATAAAACGCGAAGTAAAATCCGAAAAATATTAGTTTCATTTAAATGAGCACTCGCGAAAATCTTAGATCTCATTAAAATAGTTAAATATATTTTTTTTACTTTTCAATATAAACTCGTTAAACTGACTGACATATACACACATACACACATATACAGGGTAACTGGTGAATTACTATCAATATTTAAGGAGCATACTCGGTACATGATTCTCATTCGAATTATGTAAAAAAAATAGGTACTTAAATTTTGACCAAATTTCCGAATAAATAAATAAAGTGTGTACACGTTCCACGTGTTCCAAGTGTGGACGCGGGCGGCGGCGTGCTGATACAACAACACGCCGTCGCGCGCGAGTGTGTGTGTGTGTGTGTATACCTAATCTGTAGGGTGTTCATACGATGCGTAATTAATTACATAACTTTTGGTTAACTTTACTTAGAAGTTTATTAATTTTTATTTTGTCATATATGATCATCATATATCACGTCCTCAAATATCGATAGTAATTCACCAGTTACCCTGTATATATAAAAAAGTCACACTATTCATAACTTAAGTGGAGAGATAGCTTAGAACCAGGAGACTGATATAGGATATTTAATTCTATTCGATCGATAAAGAAAAAAAAACTGAATAAGTCTCAAAACCAGCTTATTTAGAACCTCTAGAGCGGAATAGAATTTACCCGGTCAGCTGTACATATATGACTAATTCCCAAATTAACGAAGTCGCGGGCAAAAACTAGTCTATTATAAAAGCGAATCAATCCCTTCCAATATAACAATCTCAATATTCACCTACAAATCACAACTGTACATAGACTAATGTGTGTGTGTGTATGTTTGTTACAAAACATAAATTATCTTAATACTTGGATATCACAATATGATTGTCGTAAGTCGTCACATGTAACTTGTACAGGGTGTAGCAATGATTGCGCCACTGATGCTTTCAAACTACCTTACTATAAGTGACAAATATTTATCAAGCCTCTGTTACAATTACGGGAATACTTTAAGTTTAATAGTGCTACTCGTATGTTATTTAGTTTATACTACAGATTTGTTAATAGGGAATTTATATACGTCAAAGCATATGTTTCTAACGAGGTTATCTAATGTTTGTTCATTTCACACTTGCGAATTAAATTAATAAAATTCTTAATTGAATTCTTTGTCTTAATTCTGATAATAACTGAAACTGTAGCTTTATTTACAAATCATCATAAATGTATTGTAATGTATAAAATACTACGCGTTTTTTATTATTTTATATCTATATTCTACATGATCGCGACGTTTCATTTCATTCAAAGTAAGCTCGACCAAGGGCAGATAAGATAAAACTATTAAAAAACAATTCAATCAATTAATTATTATAATATACAAATTCCCTTACAAGAATTGTTTTACAACTGAAAGTTTCACACATGAAGACGATTTGGGCATTAATCACCACGCTTGCTCTAGACGGATTCGTGATGTCAAACTAATAGTTTTAAATTGTAAGCCCAAGATTTCTCGCGATGATTTCCTTCATCTGTCAGTGGTGTCTTAATGCTCTTATAAAGTACATATGACTCGGAAAAATCACATTGGTACTTGCCCGGGCAAGGACGAACCCGCGCCCTCGTGCATGAGAGGCTGGCCTTTAGCCTTTAGGCCACCACGACTACTAAGACCTAATATATTCTTCTTCTTCTACCTGGCAATTTCCCAGCTGTAGCCAGGGTCTACCTTACATGTTGTGAAGTTTTGGCTAATTGTTTATAAGACCGGCCGCCTGCCTGACATCAACACTCTTTGGGAATATATTAATCAGTGATGTCTAAATGCTCTTAGAAAGTACATATGACTCGGAAAAATCACATTGGTACTTGCCCGGGCAAGGACGAACCCGCGCCCTCATGCATGAGAGGCGGGTTTTTAACCTTTAGGTCACAACGACTACCAAAGACCTAATATATTATTAATAATATTCCAGCAACTGTACGTATCTGGTGAGGTTGGTGACGTCAGTAGTGACGTGTCTCCCGAGTCTTGTGGGGGCTTCGGTCGGGAGGCTCTCTGCTGCGTGTGCGCCTCCGCCCCGCTGTCCAGAGCCCTATTGCCCTGCCGGCACGCCTGCCTCTGTGCGAGGTGCCTACGTAAGTATACTTTGAAATATATAAGTTGAACTGTAACATTACATTTGAACATTATAGCTCGAACTGTAACATTAGTTTTTGAACATTGTACCTCGAACTGAAACATGCCTTCTAGAACACTATACATTGAAACGTTTGAGTTTCAAATAACACTTCATGTCTCATACTGTTTAGCTTTGACGCGTTGTCTACGTGTAATTTTATTTACTATTTACAAATATCACATAAAAAAAATCATTTCGCGAAATACTTATAAATATTAAATATCGGTAGACTTATTATACAAATAACTCTTGATTAATTCTTACATTTTTTTTTTTCTAATTAATACGTAGAGATACATAGATTTCATTTTTGTACAAATCATTCTTCTCGATATACTTTTAACGCGATGTTATTTTTAAACTAAAAATTAAGTTATAAAATTCTTATATTTTTCTTTTTTATAGTCCATTTCTTATTTCAAATAACGCTATAAAATATTTTGCTCTATACATTCTGTTGGTGCCAAAACAATTTCTAAGTATATATTTTATTATTATTTATATATACATAATAATATTTCCCTTGGTTTTGTCCGCTTGCCTGTTTCTTACGTCATTCTTGGTACCTTCCTCTTTGTACACAAAAATTCATTGAATCTTTTATATCGCTACAATAATTATTTCCTATTATCAATATTAATTAATAATATTGATAATTATATGTTCTGGGAAAATATGTCGTTAGTAAAACCCAGATTTAGTATCGTCGCACTAAACGAATATTTAGGAGTTTTCCCTTTCCCTTCAAATGATAGTCTCAATACGTATATATGTGATTGAAAACTTGAAACTTTCTGTTAACTAGTTTGACAATAAAAACTCATCCTTAGGATATATCAATGTTAGTATAATAAATAAAATTTTCATAATAAATCATAAGGTGACACTTCACTTGGAGTTTATTTGTTGTGTTCAGCCAAATACGACCATGTGTGGAGGATGTAATCGTCTTGATTTGACATACATATTTGCACAAATAAGCGAAAACGCGTAATGACGTGTTGTCGGCATGCCAAGTGTGGATGTCGTGTTTGCGCTATTTGGACTACGTACAAATATTTGGACAAATGCAGCGAATACACAACGCCAAGTGAAATGCCACCTAAAATGTTAAATATAACAATGGTCATTATATCTTAAGACCTATCTTAAGATAATGTCTTGTATTTTTTTTTATTGATTCAGAGTAAAAATTAAATAGATAAATGAAATTCAATAGAAGTTATGTTTGAATAGCCAACTTACATGTGTTATATTTTAAAATATAAATTATTTCTGCCTTGGTTTTTATATGGTTTATGAAAGTTTATACGATATCAGTGCTGAGACAGACAGTTAAGAATAAAAAGAATCTTTTTGTTTGCAATTGTATTCAACAGATTTTGATTAAACTAGCATTAAACGATAGAGAAATTTCTAGAAAAATATAATGACAACGTTATATCCGATAAATATTTTAATTTACCTTCATGTAATTCTAAAATTTATAAATAAATGCACTAAAATCAAAACATTTTATAATAATTTTAGAACCAAAAGCATCATTACGTTATTTTGAGTATGGTTAGTACGAGATCGCATTTACACTACAACTTACGTTAATATTGATAAATAATACATATATTCATTAAAATAAACTATTAACTCTCCGTGCCCAGTAAAACAAAGCCAACTTAATGTTAGCATACTGAATTAAATAATTATAGAAATATAATGTGGATAATAAAATAAAGTAAACGAAGTCAGAAACAAAAGCTAGTATAAAATTTATAACATAAAATATTTCTTTTTCATACAATTCTATCAATGATTGTTCCCGTTGTAATATTTGCACAACGATTTATAAATATTATGAAAAATATATTAAATATTGACGTCGTTAAAAAGAACAATAGAAAGACGATTTAAAACAATTATAGATATATATATTTCTATACCCATCCCTACTAATATTATAAATGCGAAAGTAACTCTGTCTGTCTGTTACGCTTTCACGCCTAAACCACTGAACTGATTTTAATGAAATTTAGTACAGACATAGAGTTGACCTTGAGAAAGAACATAGGATAGTTTTTATCCCAGACTTATGAAAGGTTCTCTTGGAAACGCGATATAACCGAACTCCACGCGGGCGAAGCTGCGGGCGGAGAGCTAGTAGTATATATGTATTCATCGCGCGTCCCTAACTCGGATAAATCTCTCATAGTATATTAGTATTCGATAAACGTGTGTATAATACGAAGACGTTATTGTAATATATGTAATGTATCCTTGATGTGATGTTCTAATTGATTCTATTTTATAGAAACTTTATCATTATTGATTTTTACTATATACAGGGTGACTGGTGAATTACTATCAATATTTAAGGAGCATACTCGGTACATGATTCTCATTCGAATTATGTAAAAAAAATAGGTACTTACTTTTTGACCAAATTTCCGTATAAATAAAGTGTGGACACGTTCCAAGTGTTCCAAGTGTGGACGCGTGCGGCGGCGTGCTGATACAACACCACGCCGCCGCACGCTTGTGTGTGTGTGTGTATACCTAATCTGTAGGGTGTTCACACGATGCGTAATTAATTACATAACTTTTGGTTAACTTTACTTAGAAGTTTATTAATATTTATGTTATATTAATTTTTATTTTGTCATATATGATCGTCAAATAACACGTCCTCAAGTATCGATAGTAATTCACCAGTCACCCTGTATTTTTTGTCGAGAAATGAAAATACTTTTTTTAAAAAAAAGCTTAACGATTACCTTTGTTGTATAACTTTAACGTAATTATTTTTTTTTAACTCAATAAAGTTAATAAATTCGAAAATATATTCTTTGTAAACTCTTTTAATATAAGTTGTCACCTATTTGATATACATAGTTAGTTCACAAAACAGTAAATATTTCATCATATAAAGAATATTTGTATATGTATATCAAAAGACAATTAGTCTAACACCTTCATATTTTTAAATATTTATTAGAACTATAATAAAAATAGTATATTAATACGTTACAAGTCACGTCACGCTCGCCCCGGGTCGGGCGGGCCGTGCCAATGACGCTCTGACCTCACGAGTCACGGCCCGAGACCTCGACTCTTACTACGGATAACGATTGATCCGTGATCACACGCACACACACGTACAAACACACATACACATACATACACGTGGTAATACTTACTATGAAAGTGTTCCATCAAAGTAAAACAAGTTTTTTCAGTCGACAAACAGATTACATTAAAAATTTTGGCGCCCTTAATATGTGACATTCGTTTTTTTTCAATGTCTTGTTTTTTGTTTTGTAACTTTATATGTTATACCAATTTAAAAAATTCCATCCAAAACACAGGATATATTTTGTTCTAAATTTAAAATCATCACAATGTGTTATTTTTTTAAACTTAACATATAAAACTTCATACTAATTGTATGTCAATTCTAACTTGCAGCTAAGCTGGACAAGTGCCCTATATGCCGCAGCCCCATCAGCAGCTACTTCTGCATCAGGAACGAAGACGAGCCGCTGTCGGACCTCAAGCAGAACCTGACCACCAACAGGCGGATACTGAACCTGTTCCACTACCACTAGGGCCGGTGAGGTCATTGACCCCGCGAGTGACGTCATCAAATTACGTCATACATTTGTGACAAGAAAAGTTCTCCTTCCTACATTGAGATTTGTTTTTTTTCGTTCTAGAAGGAACCGCAGCTGCGTTCTTTTTTTAAATCTTATCTATTACGTATAGCTCGTTCAAATACTGCCGTTGTACCAAAATAATGTATTTTTTAGTTTAGTTTGTATTATAGCGTCCTATTTCATTTTAATTTTTTTAAACATGCTTGGCCTATCGTAAGTTTAAAATTTCGTTCGTCATTAGATATATAAACGACTGCGGAAAGTGATTGTGATGTAAATAAAAGACATTTGGCTGTATGATTGTGGACTGTAACCATTATTTATTTATTATAAAAAAAAACTTATTTACACTATTCTTATTTTGAACGCTTCATATTTTTTTTAGTTGTGTTTTATCTACATTTCTTTTATATTGGAGATTAGTATTTCAGTTGATATGAACGTGTGGTTGTGTTCGAACTGTTATGAATCCTATTTGTAAAGAGTCGCGCGATGTATGCATCTGTGATAATTGCTTTGTGAATCCGCTGATTATTTTACAATAATTAAATATAAAGTTATATTAAAATAAAGTATTATAATAATATGACATTTTCATTATACCTGTCATTGTCGTTGCTGTAACGATTCCCTGAGAAATAATTTTCATGATTTCAAAACGAACGGCCTTTAATTATTATCGCGGTCTTCCAATTATATGAACAGATATTTTTTTTATATGGCTGATTGTTTTTCTCAGTATATCAAATGTGGCAGTTGCAATATATACGAAATTTATCCAAAATAATGATAAAAGTTACGTCAAATTTCGGAAGCCATTTTGAACGGCTGACAGTTACCGTCCAGTAATCAAGTTTTCTGACGCATTTGATATTTAAATAAAAGCAATAATTGTTCAGAAACAGACACTGAAGTGACTTATTGGGGTTAACGAAAATGTTTTTTTTTATTTGGTAAAATGTAACATTGTAAATAAAAAAATTGCCAAAGTGAGTACAGCATTTTATTTCGTGTGGTAACATTCGGACTATCAGACAGAGATCGAATCATTTACAAAGACTGTAGACAAATTATCCCTTAAATAAGAATAAACCTTAAATGCATATAATTAATACATTGTAGGAAAACAGTGACGACAATATTTTAGGTGTAAACGAATTATCATTATGATATTTAATAGTATTAATTGCCGACAAAATCAAGGGTATTTCAATTAAATAAAAGATATATTACTCAACTGCGGATACATTTCTGTACAGTTAAAATCTTACACATATAATTCGTCCACACTGACGTATTATGGAACAGAGAAAGACCTTTTTAACCAGTCATACTCTTTTCCTTCTCTCTTTCAGCAAACAACTGAGAGTTTTTGACCGCTGAATACAAACTAAAAAGCAGATGAAGCGCTTGTATCCTGTCATTGACAGTGTCACCGTGTACGGGAATGTCAAACAGCGCACAGATTATATCCACGTATTGTGACAGCGAGCAGTCTATATTAGCGGGAGGGACGCCGACCTCGTTTAACGTATCCTCTATGGTATCCGGCCATTCTGCCATTAGGTCGTCTATATCTGGCATTTTCCTATAAAAATAACATACATAATTATAAAAATAATATTAAATTCTTCATATGATCGAGTTCTTTTGTGTGTTTACATAATTTAATGAACGAAAATTCCTATTTTCTTAACTTAAACCTTTCACATCTAAGTGAATGATATGAGAAAACACCAAACATTTTTCACACTTACAACAATGATACATATCGTGACAATTCCGCTCTGATTTCTCTGGACAACCGCGATTATTAGATTATGCTCATTAAAATATCTACGTGGGAAGGAGTATTTAAAACGTAATACAATGTTTGCGTTTGGAATCAGCATGTGAAAGAACTTTGCGTCCCAGAGATATAGATAGGGGGTTTATATGTTTTAAACTTTAACTAATTTTGATTAGTTTGTTATACTGTCTAATATATATTTAAGGAGAAATTATTGTCAAGTTTGCAACGTTTTCCTGACTTATTAAGAAAAATAGTTTTTAATTGACACATTAAAATAAACCTATATCCAATTTGTAATTAAATCCATTAACCAGTATCACTTTTTGATAACTTTGACAAAAATCCTTTAAAAAACTAAGAAAGATATGTATAGGTACAACCTTATAAGGTTGTAACGAAAAGAGTACTTACATTTGATTTCAAATATAAAAATTATTATAGATATGAAATTAGATCCTTATAACAAGTAGAATCTATTGATTAACTCATTTAATAGAAATATAAATGTGACCTTTTTTATATGTAAAGTTTTTCAATAAGTTATTATTATTACCGTGTGTACGCGACCGTAGCCCGGGAGCGCGTCGCGTGAAGCGCACTCACATCACGGATCCAGCGATCCAGCGCTTGAGGATTGTTCTCAGCGTTCTCGAGTTTACGTGTCATCTGAAACGTAGACAACAGTTCCCCAATTATAAATGGCGTTACATATTTTAAAAAACAAATATATATAACTTCGAAATAATAAGGCATTTATCCGTTTTAAATAATCTCATCGCTAAAACATTAAGTATCAATTGATGTGATATCTGACCACAGTTGACTTGGCGCTTGTCGTCTTGGAGATCGCTCTCAGTTGGAGATGAAGTAACGCAGCGTCACTTTGGTCCGCGGAGGGTTCATCCAACACAGTCAGACCTATTACAAAATAATATATTACCTCAACACTAAGAAATTTATCATTTTAATCAATTAGTTGCTTGCTATTATTTACATATATAATAATTAGGCTTAGTAAAACAAATCCATGATGAATAAAGAAGAAATAATAAGTAATGTTACAACTACAATATGATAAACATTTCTACACGTAATTCACAACAGAAAAAATTAAGTTGAAATCATTAAGTATTGAGACAATTAACGATTGGAAACGAGCTATATATGTTCAGTATATGACAAAAAAGTTATATTCTTGGTATTGGATTCACATCTCGTCTACCTGTGATCACGGTTACTAAAAAATCACCGAAACGTCGGGAGAATGTAGTATTTTACGTAGTATATCCGAAAAATATTAGTTTCATTTAAATAGCCTTAGCATCTCACCCAAATTATCAATAAAGTCTAATGCATTGTCAGCTAATGCTTTTCCTCTCAGCCCAGAAGCTGGTGTGGTCACCTTGAGGAATGCGTCCGCGTCTCCAACAGCGGGCACGTACTCCGGGATGAATGGATGGAGCTTGAAATCTATGTCGATCTTCTGAGGAGTATACCTTGTGAGAAAAGATACATGCTTGTGAATCAATCAAGTGTTTATTTTAAACTTTAATAGATAGAATTGAGATAACATAATACTAATCAATGTATTCGGTAATATTCGCTTTATTTTTAATATGATATGATTTTGATGGTTGATATATCAAAAAATATTCAATTATTTCAACTAATATTTATCATTATCGATAAAAAATTCATAAATATTTAATATTACAATATATAGTAATTTGATGTAAACGAAAAGGTTCTCACTTCATAATATATTGAAACACATTATCAAGTTCGGGCGGCACCTTCAGGTCCGCGTAGGCCTTAGGATCATAGGAGCCCTCTGCCGGGATAACCACGCCACGTTTCTTCCCACTGCTGGCTTCCACTTGTTCCAAACCCACATCGCCGCTATCTGATTCTTAAACATCATATATTATTAGAATTATTACACTAAATGTTATAAATTACTTCGTTCTCAAAACATATTTTTATAAGTAGGTCAATGATCCCCTAAAATAGACTGTTATGCGATATATTTTCTTAATCGTATCGATATATCAAAACATTTATTTTGTTATGAAACATAATAGATACCGGAGTTGGAGGAGTTATGTTGATTGCTGGACTGTCTTGATACATCGCTGCTGCTTTTTACTTTTTTCTTCACATCTTCAATATCAGACTTTCTTTCTGGAGACTGTAATACAAAATACATTAATATTGGGCATGATTCGTTATAATTTACTAGTTACATTTCGTCACCTGATCCTCTTCTGTAAGATTATCAAATTTATCAGGACTGGAATCGCTCTCGCTGTCTGAATCGAAGTCATGTCTAGCAGTGTGACGCACGGGAGGTTTGAACTTCGACATAGCTTTTATACTCTCCTCATCGGAAGTCGGAGGGCTTTCAATCTCTTTGGCGTTAACCTCCACGGTCTCGTCATACATTCCTTGGACCTCAAGCCCAGGAATGGATTCCAACTCCCTATTAAATGCTACAGTTTGACAGAGCTTGTGTTGTTTGTCCTTGGTTGTCATAGCAACGTTAAAGTGTATCGCCGGGCCCGGCGGAATGGCGGCAAATGTGAGAAAAATGCATCTTAAATGGGGCGTCCTTATTAACCTGGCACTGTGAGGTACGGGGCTTGGCGTGTCTGCGATGTGTGTTGGGTGTGTGACAATTTGATATCGCAATTAGCTATGAAGGATTATCATATTAAGTAGTATATTTTAGTGTTAAAATGTACAGGCAACGTACATTACACATAGATTTGATTGACTAACACTGGTCTTACCATCAATTAAGTAATCGAATGTCGACTATTAATTTTAAGAAAAAAATCTATTTTGTCCAAAAATGTTATATGTATTAGTATATTGTAAATGAATTCTTTAAAAACTGATTGACTTGTACTTTCAGATGTGAGTAGAAAGCAGGCTAAACATTATATGTATGTATTATGTAAAATAAAAACCAACAGATTCTTTAATAACCGATAGTGATTATAGGAAATAAAATTTAATAAAATCAGTTTTTAATATGATTCTAAAGGAATGATGATCTAACGTAAGTGTTAACTTTTTAAGAGAATGTAGAGGTCGTAATAAATAAAAGATTACAAACAATACATTTATTAACTAAAATAGTTGGTATTCTGAAATATATTGTACAAAAATAACATATACGAGCATTCAACACTTCCACATGCATGTTCACTAAATAATACTAGACACTAATCAACATGATATGAAGTTATTTAAAAAAATTGTCAGTACTATAAAAGATACGTCATAAATCACAATTATTTTATTCGAGGAGATTTTAAAACCATTAATTAGTTAATACAATGTCACAAAAATTTCACCATTAGAAAAATAACTCTCTTATACAACATCGAAAAATATTCAACTATACATTACAAAATATATTGTCACCTGTTTGTTATTATGTGCATTAAAATTATTACGACATCAATTATGTCCAGCACAATTGTGATGCGTAATATGAGTAACATTATTAGTAAATAGAAATGTTTTTATTGCCTAATCAAAATTGTCGAAACGAATGGATTCTGTATGGTTCGACCATATTTCAATGTAGCAATCAGTCTTTGTCTATCGGTAAACTATATATTTGGCACTCATTTATAAACTTGTTGCTACTTATATAACAATAAGAGCACAAGTGTATCATGATTGAGACTGAAATAGTTCATCCTACTTTATTAATGAGCTCATCGCATATGGCCGTCAATTCTTCATTGGCCTTGGTCTTCTGAGACAGCGATTCTTCCAGTGACGTGATATGTAATTCCTTCCTTTTAATCATAGCGTTTAGCTTCAAAACCTCCGCCTCATGACTCCTGTTGTACTTCTCCAATTCTTGATTGGCGTGATTTAGCTTCGATGTCGCATGCTGTTTGAGTAATTCATAATTGTTCTGCATTTTCAATAAATTATCTTCGAACGTCTTCAGAGATTTCCTGTATTTGTCCTCGTTGGCCTTCATGTTTAATATAATCTGCTTACTCTTCTCGTATTTACTGTGTAGATCTCTGAAGGACACCTCCATGCTCGCGAGGTGGGCTGTCTGTTCATCTCTCTCGCTGATGATTCTCTGTCTCTCTTCTGCATTCCTCTTTCTGTCCTGTTCCATGCCTGCTATCAAACGAGCAATGGTCCGTTCATATTCTTCGACCACTGCAGCCAGACTCTTGTTAATAGCATTCTTTTCAGTCAGTCTTTCGTTGAGCTCGTTCACTTTTCTCAATCTTTCTTTGCTCTCGTGTTCTAAGCTTTGCACTTGAGTTTCCATGTTTGCTAATCTTTCTTTTAATTCCTTTGACTCTAGCCTTAAATTATGCACGTTTATTTCTTTCTCCGCCAATAGTTCTCTGAGTTGGGTCAGGGCGAAATCTGTCTCATTGTAGTGTCTGGGTAAAGGTACAGAACTTGCTTCATCTAATCGCGAAGAGTTCCCGCTGAGAGATAACAGTCTATCTATAACAGCCATAGCGGGGGATGTAATATTTAATGAACGTCTATTGGCTCTTGGCGGAGTTGTAGATTTCCTCGGCGAAACTATGGAAGCCACTGCGGGATTCACTACCATCATTGGTTTAAATGTCGTTGCAACGGGGTCTTCGACCACCTCGCCGGCCACTGGAGCTGTACCTATTGTGATAGTTGAATGTTCTGGTGAGGGACTGTCTTCTTGCACAATCGGCTTCAACGGAGTCGGTTTCTTGGGAGTGCTTTGTCTATTTTTAATTTTGTTCAGAGCGGCAACTACTCCGTCGGAGGAAACTCGTTTTGCAAACAGTGGATCGAATTTAAGAAATAGACTTTCTTTACCGCTATCAGCGACCATATTACTTTTGTTTTGGTTAAGCAGAAACTCAAATGCTTCAGCATCGATAAACATTTCTCCATTTTCATTGTTATCATCATTATTGCTTTGTGTTGGCAAGTCGTCAAAATTCATCATATCTTTTTCGATTTCTATATCAGTAACTTTAACAAAATCAGCGAAATCCTCTGCCTCAAGAAAAGGGCCTTCTTCCGTATCTTCATCTTCTGTGTGAACTTCTCGCACTGTTTCATTTTTTGTGTTGGGAGATGAACAAGTTACATTGCTTAAATTCGATGTTAAATTCTTTTCTGATACTTGCGCGTTGTTTTCTTCAACATTGAATGTCTCATCCTTATTAACCATTGCCTCTTGTAGTTCGGAACGCGGGAAATCATTTCGATCATGTGTATAATTTGAAATATTCTCAGATTGTTTATCGGGCGACAGTCGAATTTTCGTTTTAGTTGCAAATGGATTAAAGTTAATGTCATGTATTTCAGGCAAATTAAATACGTTCTTACTGGTTGAATTTGTGCTTACAGATTGGTTCACTTGGACATTTTCCTCAATTTTCATATGAGGGTCAACAAAATCGTCTTTTTCTTTAATAATATCATCCATTCTGTTGTCATCCTGATCACCTTCAGGAATTATAGGACTCTCTTGAATTCTGTCAAAAGTCTTATTGCTATTTATAACGCAATCAAAAGAGGCATTGCTTTTCTTTCCAATATTTGGCTTTTTCCGCTCTTGACACGATTTTCGTCTACTCGATAGCTGTGGTTTTTTCATTACCGTTCGTTTTTCCTTAGGTTCATTGTTTACAAAATTGTCTTCAATGACACTAGGTGGTGGTGACATTCTGATATTCGATTTTGTGGCAAAAGGGTCACCTATGTCATCAAAATTAATATTATATCCTGTATTTCTCAACATCGAAGAGATGGGCGGTGAACATCTTTCAACAATTTTTGTTTCAAACTGGTTTTCTAAGTTTTCTTTGGCAGTTGCGAGTTCATGTTCAACAGTTTCGGTGGAATCATCATCACAATTCGCTGAAGAGATAATCGCATCTTGTACATTATCATTAGTTGTGGATGTAGTTTCGACAGCGTATCCTATAACTAATTCCTTATTGTCACTGGTGGAAATTCGGGTGTCAAATGTTCCTGCACTCAAATTGTTTTCTTTCAGAGTCTCAATATTATCTATATTACAATTTGATACAACTTCTTCAGTTCCTATAATGTTATCACATGCGGTTGTTTCGTTTAACTGATCATTTGTCTTTAGATCAATTTTATTTACAATCTCATTTTCTACAGGTGTATCAAGAGGTTCTTTTACTGGACTTATGTGATCATTTTCATTAGTTTTAAGAGAATTCATATTAATTTCTAAGTCATGTTTAGATACATCTACTTCCATATCTATTGTAGTATTAATGATCGCTTCAGGAACACTTTCTTCACCAGTGTTTTTATTTGTATGATTAACATCCAGCGAACTATTAGCAGAATCTAGTTTCAGGTCGACATTGCCATCAATCTCAGCGGATTTTATTTCAAACGACGATGTGAGCTTGTTTATAGTTTCAAAGGGATTCAAGTTACTGTCTAAGAAATATTCAGATAAATCTACTACCATGTCTATTGTAGTATTAATAGCAGTTTCAGTTGGATTCATTGCATTTGATTCTTCAGTTTTGTGTTGTTCAAGCAGGCTTTCGGAGAAATCTTGTTGCTTTTCAATTTTGCTACTTATTGAAGTGCTTCCTATTTCAAATGACGATGTCAGTTTGTTTATAGTTTCAAAGGGATTCAAATTACTTTCTGAGTCATGTTTAGATAAATCTACTTCCATATCTGTTGTAGTATTAATAACGGTTTCAGTTGTTTTCATTTCTTTAGCTTCTTCACTTTCGTGATTATCAAGAATACTTTCGGCGAAATCTTGTTCCTTTTCAACTTGGCTACTAATAATAGAACTTTTTATTTCAAATGACGATGTCAGTTTGTTTACAGTTTCAAAAGGATTCTCAATATTTTCTAACTCTCTTTTAGCAATATATTCTTCCATTTCAATTGTAGTATTAGAAATAGCTGAAGGACTAATTATTTCAAGAGTTTCTTCATTCTTGTTATTAACATCAAGCAGATTATTAGCAGGATCAAGTTTGAGGTCGGCTTTGTCATCAATCTCGGAGGTATTTTTCTGTAATGTCAATGTGAATTTACTTTTGTTTTCAGAAGTATATTCGTTTGTCTCCGCCTTGGTGACTGACATATTATCACACAGTGGAATACTTTCATCAATTCTTACACAATTATCATCAATAGTTTCTTCGTTATTCACATGTGCGTTACTAACACAAATGACATCTGAATGATTTTCAGTTTTTTGGCCCATGTCAGAACTGTCTACTACAGGAGATAAGTTCGAGTTTAACAAATTCTTACTGTCTTCTGTCCTTGATTCTAAAGCATCTACAGCATTATCGAGAGGAGCTTCTTTGTTTAAATCTGTTTCTTGAATTAATACATCGTTTTCTGGACAAGTCATGGTATCATTTACGATACTGTTATTTGGCGAGTTCATTTCCGTATTAAAATTCTCAGTATTATTAAGTACTTCTAAGTGAGATGTTTCTGTTGTAAGAGTATTTTCTGAAGATATGGTAATGTTTTCAGGACCCTTAATATTCTCAACAGGTATTGCAGTATTTGTATTTTCTTGGCTGTAAGACTCATTCAAATTTGTGTTTTCAGTTGAGTAATTTATTGTTGTATTGTTTATTTCTTTCTCAGGTTGTTCGTTGTTAAAATCTTCGCTGTCACATGGTAGTGGTACTTGTTCTGGTGATTTTACAACTTCATTGAATTCAGAGACATTCATGATGACTTTCTGATTAGAAGAATCTGTTTCCTTATTTTCATTTATTTCTTCTTCACAAGGCTGTACAATTTCAGGAACTTCTTTAATTTCACTTTCAATACATATATTTTCTTCAAATTTAGTTATTATTTCTTGTTCTTCCTCTAGTCTAACATTATTCTGTTCATCATCTCCTAGACACTCTGAAGACACACTTGGATTGTCCGTTGTCAAATGAACACTTCTCAATAATTCATCACAATTTTGTTTTGAAATCATTTCATCTTTCATTTCATTATTACCATTTGTTTGTATAATTTCAACTCTATCTAAACTATTGTCTAAAACACATTGAGATGTATTATTAATTTCATTTGATGTAACATGACTGTCATGCTTTATGTCTGCCGGTAAAACGAGTTTTATATCCTCATTTAAATTAATTGTCTTGTTATCACAATGGAGTGAATCATGTAAATCTTGATCTTTGGGAATGTTTTCTTGTATAATTTCATTTGAAATATTTATATTATTAGTAGGTTCTATAATAATTTCTGCTTTTAATAGATCAGTTTCGAGATTCTGCTTGTAATTTAAATCTGTTTCTTCTTTTTTCACATCAATCTCATTATTTGTTATTGCAGTGTAAGTCTGTTCAATTGAGTTGCAAACAACTTGAGGACAAGCATTACTTTCACAAATAATATTTTCTGGTTGAAGTGATGGTTTCGGTGAATTTTGAGATGATTCCGTTACTCCAGATACCATTTGAATAGTATCTTCGATAACTTTGCTGTCATTTTTAGTATATGATTCACAGTCGAGAAATTCACAATCAGATTCTGGAGTATTTCGTCTGTCACGAGTATATTGAATATGTACATCTTCGGTTATAGTTTTATTATTTTCAACTAAAGAATTATCAAATGAAACATCCATATATTCAACAGTATTATTCATATTTTCATTTTCGATAGGTTTGATGTTGGTTTTATCGGAAACAGTGGAATTGGATTTGAAAAGTAATTTGTGTATTGGAATTTTTTCTTCCTTAAAAACTATTCCCGTATCGTCTTTCCATGATAATTCTTTTTCCAAATCATCGTGAAATACAACACTCTCTTTGAGAGAACTATTACTTCTTGAATTATTTTCTTTATTCTTGATAACTGTGGTTGGAGTTGACGGTGAACTTGTGGTATGCTTTAATGAATCTTCCTTTTTTTGAGGGGAAGCTAGATTATTTGTAACGGTATCTTCTACTGATACAGGGCTCTGTGATGGTCGGAACATATTCAAAACACTTTTCAACCCGCGCAGGATCGGTGAACCACTGTCTTTTGGTATTTCTTTAGTCGGTGTGGTCGCTTCAGGTGTGTTAACCATTGATGATGAATTACTCGGTAATGATAAATTGTCTTCTATATTGTCAGATCCGGTTAAAGTTAGTGTTACATTATGACATTCTATATCAAGAGATCTGTTTATAGGATTCCCATTTCCATCCAAGAATTGTTCAGTAGATAAGGCTTGTAATGGAAACTTTGATGATTTCATGCTGCTGTTCATTTTAGTTATAGTAGAATTGAGTGACCAAGTCAAATTCCCACTATCATTTAATGTTGTATTGGAACTGTCATCATCACACATATTATTGTCTTTAGAGTTCGCTGTAAAGCTTCTGGACATCGGAGAAGAAGCAGGAGTCATGGAGTATCTTAGTTTCATATTTAGTTCTGATACATCAAGATCTTCATATCCTTTTTCAGTTGAAGGAGTTTTCGGCAGTACATTACCGTTCTGTAATGAGTTTTCTTTATCATCAAAATCGGTGCTGATACCATCGACGTCCATCGGCTCCACTTGAGCCATATTTTATTATTTCCGCCGCACAACACTCTTAGAATATTAAAACGCTACATCCACTGCCTTTTCTTATATTATTTAATCGCGCACAACGCACACAAAAAATCAGTCCAACGTTTACAGTACCTGGTTTCAGAGTTTCACTCAGATTTCTAAAATGTATCACTGTGAAGACGCCGTATGTATGTCATATGAAAACAAAAATGTCCGACACGCAATTCACTCTCAAAATCTATTTTTAACCTTTTTGTACTGAAAGCAGTGCGACGTTCATTCTATGTAACGCGCGCCCGAGGGACTCTTGCCAAAAAACAGTTACGGACGATTCGAACGCATCCACCGGTCGTACATAGAAAACCGTTTGAATTATATTTTTCAATTTTAACTGTCACTGTCAATCATTTAAATTTTAAGATTGTCTATGGATGAATATTTGTAAATAAATAGTAAACAATTACATACCTAGATGTATTTTTTTTTTAAATAAAACTTAATATCACAAACTCAGTTCATTAAAATACCCACATTTCATAGACATTAATGTTATAAAAGTCGAACTCTAGCAATGGCATAAGAACTTTTTACATTCTCAATGATCCATACACCGATTCGGTGGTAATTTATAAAAATTAACTTAACTTTTATTAGAAATGTAATCCCTACTTTTATTATAAATGCGAAAGTAACTCTGTCGGTCTGTCTGTCTGTTTCGCTTTAACGCCTAAACCACTGAACTGATTTTAATGAAATTTGGTACAGAGATAGAGTTGACTTTTGAAAGGTTTTCTTGAAAACGCGATATAACCGAACTCCACGCGGGCGAAGCTGCAGGTGGAAAGCTAGTTTAATATAAATTAACATACATCATAACATTATCTTAGAATTAACCATCGACTTATACTAACGGACATGCCTTAGAGATGAGAATTGTGGCACTCCGAAAGAGAGAGTGGAAACGAAGTTTCGGTCTATCTTTATCTCTCTCAAATTTATATGCCGTGCTTGTAATGACAACTGAGCGCCAATCATCTATGAAGAAAGAGATAGTGCTATACCGAAATCATAGGCCATCCCTATCACTCTTTTCAAACCAAAACATTACTGCAGATTATACGCGTACGGCACGTCCATTAATATAAGTCGATGGTATTAACCTTTAATTTAAAAACACTTATTATGTTATGTTGAAGCGTGTGATTATTAGAATTTACAATTTATGACAATTATTTTTTTTTCATATCATGCATATTTTTGAAAGATTTTCTAATCACTTTAATAAATAATCGAATTAAGTTATTTACTATTAGACAAATAAACTGAAAGCCTTTTATGTCTTGGAGGAATTATTACAATCTGTTGTTCTCATAACGACTTTCATGTCAAGAAATTCATCTTTAGTCTATGGTTAAGTATAAAACTGACATCTGACATTTTAGTATATTTGTCATTAAACGCGAAAGGTGGTGGGTGCTCGAAGTCTCCCTGAAATTGATTCTTTGATTTCGTGAAATACGAATTCGTCTCATCACTCATGTGGTTGGCGGCAGGTTGTAATGTATATAAAAATGCTTTCTTTAATATCACTTAACAGAAATTGTTATTTTCATTATTTCATCTGAAATAACCTTTGATGATGTTCGTAATACCTATTTATTTACTTAAATTACATACAATTAATAAAATAAAAAATTTGGTATCAAATTACATATCATATGCACACTTTTGCTAAAGTCATTATCGGTAAACCTGTAATACAAGTTCATAAACCCTAATTACACTGCTCGCATTTAAAGTGAAAGTCATTATTAAATCATTTGGTTTATTTTCAGAATGAAATATGGAAATTGATCGCAATGTACGTGTAAAATTACTATTTTTCGCTAAATCGAAAGAGTTATCTGGTGTTAGAGAAACAATTACGTATTTACCGAATAAAATAAGTTATGAACGTTTATTGAATTTTATAGCCCAGCAATATAATTTGGAGACTATAAAAAAGAATATACTATTGGCGAAGAATGAAGAGGTTTGTTCAGAAAATTGTGATTTAGAATTAAGAGAAAGTGATAATATAGCTGTGATCCCTCCGCTGAGTGGCGGATAGAAAAATGGATTATTTAAAATTAACTTCGGATAAGCTCTCCGTTGAAGCTGTCTCCGAGATGGTTGTTGATGAAAAATGTGGAGCCGTTTCTTTATTCGTTGGTACTACAAGGGACAACTTTGATGGTAAAAAGGTAAATTTAAACCTTAAATTAGATATAACACATAAATATTATCTTTAACTTATAAATTACTCATTATATCTTTAGAATAATTTTATATAGTAATTTTTTGTATTGTCAGGTTATTCATTTAGAATATGAGGCGTACGAGTCTATGGCGATCAACGCATTGAAGGCCATATGTAATGAAGTGCGGGAAAAATGGCCGAATGTACATGGAATAGCAATGTACCATCGGTATGTATATAAAATTCTATGAGCTACCTGCTTGTTTTAAATTTGCATTTCTACATATATACTGTGTTTTACTGTAATGCCTAGACTTCTATATATTCAAGGATTTATACTTACCATATGTAGGTATTTGAGATTGATAGCTTATTTTATATTTTTCTAGTGTTTATTATAAAAAGCTACTTCTCATATGCTGGGTAGTTATGTGTGTGCTTCATCATTATTGTAAGTTTATCCCTATCAGACTAACTACTTGGCAGTGAGAGTTCAATCAAAATCAGTCAATGTGTTTCAGAGATGACTTCCTTATTTATAACAATAAGACAGACAGACAGAAATTTAAAAAATATATATATTGTATACATATTTATTCCTCATTATACAGTTTCTTAGATAATATGGGCCACAGAATACCTCTTCTACTAACATAATATGTTAATTCTGTACTTATGTACTGCATAATTTGCAGTGGAAGTATCATTGTAACTAGTTTTATTCACTTCAATATTACAAATGAACCATATTATTTCATTTATCTTAATAGATTATGAAGTCTTTTGTAATCATTGTAGTACATTACAATAGTTTCTCTCATTATAACTTATTTGTTACATACAGTTGTAGAACAACCAAGGCTGTATGTTAATAACTGCTCCAGCGACATTGTGTTATCATTCTGTTTATCAGTCATTTAACAAGGTTATCCATTCTTAACTTAAAAATTAAATTATTCTTAGTTTCAAAACTAAGTAAATATGTTGGATGGATGGGTATTTAATATTTTAACAGGTGTTTTGGCCATATGTTTTGTTGAGACTCATAATTTAAGTATTTTTCATAATGTATAAAAATTATTCTAATGTAATAAATTATATTAATGATTTGTCTTTGTAATATGTAATAAAAGTTTTCTATTATTTAAATGAATAAAACTCGCGAAAATCTTAGATCTCTTTACTCTTCTATCATGCTTAAAAGAAAACACAATAGTGCATGTTATTTTGTCTACATTTGTTTATGAAGCAATTGCTCATTTTTTTAATTCAAGTTTTTAAAATACTGTTACCAAAAAGGTTTTATTTTTTTATCTTATTAAAATTGATGATAATTCTTTGTTCTATACAAGGAAAGTGAAAAAAAAAACAAGGAAACTGATGCTATTAATCATAGTTAGTCTAGAATTTTCTCTAGAAAAACCAACAATCGTATTTTTAACAAGCTAATTAAGTGTCCTAAGTAATTTAGACAGCTGCCAAATAATTTTATACACCTTTATATTATCATTATATAGATATAGGACATAAAGAATTATAATAAAGTACCAAGTCATAAAAAACTAATTGTTTGTTAATTTATATAATCATTTATTATAATATATTAATTGATAATATATGCAATTAATATGATAATTATGTTTTTCATATTTTGTTGATATAGACCAAAAAAGGAGGACAGAAAGACATTTTGCTTAAATGTTTTGCAAATTATATTGGTAACTAGCATTCCGCCCGCAGATTCGCCCGCGTGGAGTTCGGTTATATCGCGTTTCCAAGAGAACCTTTCAAAAGTCTGGGATAGAAACTATCCTATGTTCTTTCTCAAGGTCAACTCTATCTCTGTACCAAATTTCATTAAAATCAGTTCAGTGGTTTAGGCGTGAAAGTGTAACACACCGACAGACAGACAGAGTTTCTTTCGCATTTATAATATTAGTGGGGATACTTAAGCAATCCAAAAAAAAGAGTGTAGCTATTGTCATTCAGGATTTGAGCACTTAATTGTACACCCAACATAAATTATCCTTAAAATTCTCTCAATATTTTGACCCATTTCATTGTTTTGTGTTTTAGACTTGTTTTAATATATCTGATACATAATTATGTTTTCTTGTATCTGCTTCACGTAGCTTGATAACAGGCTTCTTATCAACAATTCGTGTCATGTACGATATTGTTAAAAATTATGTATGTATTACCCAATATGTTAAACATATGACGTTTTATTTATTATTAGTACTTATTTGTACCTATTAATAAAGATATTTGTTTGTGAAGTCTCTCTGAAGGGAAGACGTGGGACTTCGTAATGCTGGAATGAAAACAGAAACGGGTAGAAATTGATTTTTAAGGAATTTTTAAGGTTTCTTTAGGATACACGTTATTTACATTACTTCCAAATCACAATTGATTGTCTACATTCGAGCGCCACTCATTCCCTCTTGCTCTGTTACCCCGGCGTTAAAAGTTTAACGCAACCTGGTTGCAAGTCGCATAAACAGTTTAACTTCAAAAATAAATTATATTCATGTGAACAGGTCGTTAAGGAAATAGCTTTTTACAATGATAACATACGATTACTTTACAAAGTACTATGTATACTGGTCACGGTTCGCGGATGTACGGTCGACTAGTGTGGAGTTAATTTGCATTGCAACAAACATACCTAACACATATAAAAGTTTTTAAGAACAAAATAAGATTTAACCTGTAAACATTACTGATCAATACATAAACCGAGGTAACGTCTTATGGTCATTGTAATCAATGAAGAATATTTATAGTTACAAATACTCTAAATGAAAACATCGCTACTTCTAAGTTGAACTTGACATAATACTGTACCCTTAGAACGAGTTTTTTTCGACAAATTAAATAGTCTTTCGAGTTCAGTCATAAATGTTCGAAAGTGATAGTATTAATAGGAATATTCGTGTTTATTTTGACGCTGGAAACTTGTAGTACTATCACTGGACTAAAATCTATTTGAATACTATATCTATTTATTTATTTCTTCCAGGCTGGGTTCCGTACCTTGTAAGGAGGCGTCAGTGGTCATAGCAGTCAGTAGTCCTCACAGACAGGATAGTCTAAGCGCTGTGTCGTATTGTATAGATCAGCTCAAAGCGACTGTACCGATTTGGAAAAAAGAGGTGTACGACGGTTGCGAGCCCGTGTGGAAGGAGAACAAGGAATGTGCGTGGTCCAAACAAGGATAGAAAATATATATATTTACTAGATTTGCCCTCTAGAGTGATTCTATTAATATAGAAGATATATTTTTATAAGAGTTGTGAATTTATATTGTATTTATTCAGCCATCATATGTAGTTTATGGTTATGTGCAATATTTTTTGTTGATACATATATTATTATATCAGGCTGCTATGTCTTGTTTTGAACAAGGAAAATTTTAATGTTTACATAGGTATTTTAAACTATTTTTTAGTGCCACTTAAAATAATTACATGGGTTGTTAGTTGTTACTGGCCATTTTAAGCACTACTTTATTAAAAGTACATTAGTGTTTTAGATCAAACTAGTTATGTTTTGGGTATTTTTTTGTTTTCTATATAAACTATTGAGATGTTAATAAATGAAATGTTTACTTTGAACTATTGTTTTTTTTCTGTCCTTTCTTACGTATTCACTGACCTTGCAGGTTCATCTTCAGAATCACCACATCCAATAGAGTCTAATACATTAGAACCGTCCGTAGACAAGAATTTAGTACAAATAAATGTTTCAAACGAGGAATTGGAGAAGCGAATAAGAAATTTCATCGAGAGGAAAAGGGATCAGGTGAATCTGAGTAACATTCAGGATTTTATACCGGCGAAGAGTGAGAGCGAGAAGGAAGATACGGACACGTGTGCTAGAGTGAGAACGATGTTCGTGAAGAGAAGCGACTCGAAGGGACATCTGAAAAGTGGGTAACATGAGCATCGGAATGAGTAGCTAGATGAATATACTTAAAATGTTACGTTTATTAACTTGAATTCATTCATAATTATAAATATACTTGAAAATTCAGCAGATCAAAAGCAAAATATCGTACATATTATTAATGTTTTGCTATATTTCTAGTTCGTAAAGTCCACAACGAGTGGGGTCCACAAACAGTGCATCAGGAAGCACCGAAAATTAAAAAAGATGGCGACTTGCCGCCCTCTATATCTGAACGAGTGTGTGCTATCGAGAGTTATTTAAACACCGGACCCGTCTCTAAAGATATTTACAAACGTCTGAAGGACATGGAAGACAAAATAAATCATCTTCAGAGCATATCGCCGGAGTACGCAATGTTCTGGGTAGGAAAATACTTAAATGAACACAGATATTACAAAATTAAACTAATATTTTTCCGATATATTACTCTTGCTTCATTTTTGCAAAAAACTTCTCGTCTATCCGTGATCACGGTTGCTGAAAAGTAACCGAAACTTTAGGACTATGTCGTTTTTTATATAAAACACGCGTAGTATATCTGAAAAATATTAGTTTCATTTAAATGAATACTCGCAAATCCTAGATCTCGTTACAATTTGATAAAATATTCCATGTTACAGAAAAATAAAAGGGAAACAGAAATAAAGCAGGAGCCTAAAGTTGAATACACGTATACAGCGGACGACATCGGTAAGAAGATAGAAATGATCGAGCGACAGACTGCGGTGGAGTACTCGGACTGAACGATTATGGACCTTATTGCTAAATAAATACTGTCCATATTACTATCATGACTTTTATTATAATATAAATACAACACGACCATCTTCATCATCAGGTCGAATGTTTATTGAACCCAATATTCATACACATGTAAGTTATAGTACATAATAAAAATAAATAAAGTCTGAAAGGAAATTAACTTAAAATATCTTTATTTACAAACATTACATTAACTGACGCCATCTTGCGGACAGATGTCGAAACATAATTAGAGCACAGATAATTAATGTGACAAAAGATCAAAACTGACTTACGTCAATTTGAATGAATAACAATATATCAAAGCGGCACTCTTATTCTTGTCTATGGTTACAAGTAATTACCAAAATTAGTTTTCTAATGGACTATCTAACCTATTAGTCTCATTTTGGTTTTAAATATTGCAGCTTACAATCATATATATATGTTTTAAGATCAGTTGACTTGTTGGTGCGGTCTTCTCAAGTATATGACGAAGCCCAGCGCTCCTAGCAACGCCGTCATGAGGTAAAGGTCCCAGTTGGAAAGAAGCATTGAGTCTCCAGATATGAAGATCACGGCCAGCGGACTCTGAGACAGCGACTGAAAAAATAATATACATCTTTATATATATAATTCTTCTGTGAGTGTGTATGTCACTGAACTTATCTCAAACGACTGGACCGATTTTGATGAAAGTTTTTGTGTGTGTTCAAGGGGATCTGGGAATGGCTTAGATTCACAATTTTGTCCGCCTGACAATGTTTTTTTAATTATTTTTTAGTTTATTAGTAGTTGTTGATACAAATGTTTTTTTTTTTGACATTAGATTTGACAACTAACTAATATGTAAATCATTCTGTCACACTTCAAAACACGGAGATTTATGGCTTTAATAGGTAAACTTCAAAAATATAAATAAAAAAACGTAACAGATATTACTTGATTATAGGGCGATACGAAGTTTGCCGGGTCTTCTAGCATAGTATATAATATATTGTTGGCATTGACGACATATAAGGATCAGTGTTAGGAAACGGCGCACTCATTATGGGAATAGTTTCATATAAAGAGTTACTACTTACTAGCGAAAGCTCTGATAGTTTTCATAGCTAATTTGCCGTTACTCGGATGAAATCTTAAAACTATGTTTGTATAATCATTGTGTTCAATAAGATTTGTTTATGAGGTAATTGCGATAACTTAATTAATATTGAAGTATGTAGTGTAAAACTAATATCATGTAGCTGTTTTATTTCTGACTTTTAAAACGAAATAACCTCTTGTTTCTAAGAATATAATATTAACAGTAATTTTTATGTTGTTGTATGGTGCTGTTAACTATTATTTGTCGAGTCTGTGATATGTTTTATTGTTATCTGTGGTATGTTCGTACTTCTAGTAGGGATTCGATGGCGGAGTGTGCGTGTAGTCGGGCCAATGCTAGCGCGGCGGGCAGGCGGGCGTCAGGGGAGGCATCCGCTGCCAGGTCGTAGCATCTTTTAGCCAGATGCAGGTCTCGCACTAGGCCCAGGCCCCGTTCGTGCATGAACCCCAGGTTGAAGGTCGCCTGCGCTGAGTGCAAGTGTTCCGAGGCGAGTCGGTAGTGATGCGCCGCAGCGTCTAAATCCTGCGGCGTGCCGAGCCCGTAGTAGTGGTAATCTCCCAGCTTGACGCGCGCGGCGGCGCAGCCTTGAGACGCGGCTCGCGACCACAGCTGTAACGCGCGCGCGTGTCTCGTGTCTGCGTCTACACTGGCTTCTCCGACGTCCAGGATGTAGGCTGCATTGCTCTGCGCTACCTCCATGCCCCTCTCAGCCAGCGCCAAGTACTGTAGTAGAGCGGAGTCCGTGTCCCGCGCGCTCCACGCCGCGTGCGCCAACATCAGGCGCGAGCTCCATGGACCGCGCTCGCATACATTCTTCAGCAGCTATAACAATACAGATAATAATCAAGACGAGATGAAACCTCATCATTCTATTCACTGTGCAGGTGTCGGGTCCATCGTTACTGGAGCAGAATCTTCAACAGCGCCTAGGACTTGCGACCCAGGTGTAGGTTTAAATGGCCTATCTAACACGCTCTAACGTTCAAATATCATGTTTAAATGCCATATTGTCCGAACAGAATATCTTTACTACGAATAGTTATTAAGATTGTTATTAACTATGTATGTATGTGTGTGTGTGGTACCTCCACGGCGGTGGCGCACGACCTCATGACGCCCAACCCCTGCGCGTGCATGAGCGCCAGGTGGTAGAGCGCCAGCACGTGCCCCGACTGAGACGCCAGGCTGAAGTACTTGTTGGCCAGCTTGAAGTCGCGACGGACGCCGATACCACCTAAATCATGATAAGAATGAACATTAAAACACTTTAAAGACATATATGGGAGAAAATATATAAGTTGCGGCGACATAATATTTATTTATCTAAATACTAGCCTCCCACCCGCGTGGAGTTCGGTTATATCGCATTTCAAAGAGAACCTTTCAAAAGTCTGGGATAAAAACTATCCTATGTCCTTTCTCAAGGTCAACTTTATCTCTGTACCAAATGACATTAAAATCAGTTCAGTTGTTTACGCGTGAAAGCGTAACAGACAAACATAGTTACTTTCGCATTTATAATATTAGTAGGGATATCTGTATTAAATTATATGAAATTTTCAAAAATTACATATTTAGATACATATACTGCGTTACTTTATCAGAATAAATTTGTTATATGGATGTATTATCAGTATATATGCACAAATATATTACCGAAATACATAAACCCGAGGTGTAGTTGTCCCTCAACCCAGCCCTGGTTGGCTGCCATAGCGAAATATTTTAAGGCGGCTGCTGGGTCCTTAGGGACGCCGCGACCCTGGAAATATTATACAGTTACATTAAACTAACGCTTCCATATTTTGTGTTCCACTTTGAGAATAAATTACTTATTAGTACCCCCATTTCTTCACCAATTGATTATTGAATAACCACTGTAATTTATCCTAGCTATATCAAAGACAAATCACCCCCAAAGCTTGTACACAACCCCTCCATTATTTCTGGGTCTCGTACTGCCACCTTTTAGTATGCAGTTCCCACAAGAGGGCGTTATCGTCCACTAGGCAAAGATTTAAAACCTTATTATATACCATAGAAGGTAAATAGTTAGTATTGTATAAGTCTTTATATATCATCATCATCAGCTTATCAGAGCCCACTGCTAAGTAAAGGCTTCTTCTCACATGGAGAAGACTTATCACCACGCTTGCTCAAGCGGATTGATGATTTAATATTTATAATTTGTAATTTTAAGTCCAGGTTTCCTCACGATGTTTTCCTTCACCGTCTGTCAGTGGTATCTAAATATTCTTGTGTACATATGCCTGCCTGACATCAACCCTCTTTGGGAATGCATTAATCAGTGATGTCTAAATACTCTTATAAAGTACATATGACTCGGAAAAATCACATTGGTACTTGTAAGGTTCCGAACCCAAACCCTTATGCATGATAGACGGACTTTTGACCTCTAGGCTACCATGGCTTTTTATATATATTTATTTATTTTTAAAACTAAAAATATCATATTAGAGATGATAAGCGAAATATGTTTAATATATGTATATAGTTTAATGTAAATCCTAGTTTTAATGTACATGTATGTGTATGTACCTGTAGATGCATCACTCCGAGTCCACTCTGTCCTATGGGGTTGTTCATCTCAGCGGCCTTCCTGAAGTACCTCATGGCCGTTTCATTATCAGCTTTAATGCCATCACCGCCTTCCAGGTATATCTAGAAAATAAAATAATTAATATAGTTTAAAACTTTATGTTATGTTTAAATTGCATGCTGTCATTACCTGTTAGTAAAATAACAATTGAAATGTATTACTAAAATTACTGCTCTACACGAATTATTGTATCTTTTGTTGGTAGTTCTAAATAAATAAATATGTAAATATGTTGTTGAATTTATATATTCTTCTATTTGAATTAGGTTAAAAGTAACCCAGGCTACTTCTTATGACAATTCCTATCTGTGAGCGACATTACATTCAAAACCATGCCGTTCCAGATGTTAACCGGAAAAAACAGACGCACGAAAAATATTTTGCTCCAAATATACCATACTTTTATATCGGTTTAGATAAAAGCTGAGTATTTGCAAATACAGACAGACGCTTCAATTGTATTTACTAGTATTGTCACGTGACACAGAAAATAAACGGCGTTGACTGTTGACATTTTTCACATATTGTTAATTATTTATCTCCGAATGCAATTCCACATTCAACATGGACAAAGACGAACGTCAAAGTTAGTATTACATATAGGTACCTTTCCCAGGAATGCGTTGGCAACGGCGTTTCCTGTTTTAGCTGCCTGTGTAAAGTAGTGCAGCGCCTTGTTGAGGTCGAGGGTCACCCCGCGACCCCCGGTGAAGTGAAGCTGACCCAGACCGACCTTGACATATTATATTATCGTAATTATGTATTTGACATTGAAACAATGTTGAGGTCATACTTTAATATAATTAGTGGATAAAAAATGAGAAAATCACTATGGAATATTAAGAATATATCATTACAGTTGCTTTACCAATTCAGCAATTGTGTCTCGACTCGAGTCGGTGATTTAATTTCATATCAAAACAGAGGCGCCTTCTATTAGGTTCTCTTATAAAAATCATATACAATAGCATAAATGTATAAGGAAACATTACATAAGACACAATTACTGATATTCCCAATATTCTTGTTTGAATCCCCATAATATAATATCACTGGGAATATAACAATTTGAACATATTAAATGTAAATACTTAATGTCCGTTCTGTCCCTGATGCAGTCACCTTTGGAACAATCATAATTTAAATATTTCGTGCCATATTCGTAACAGGCCAATATATCACAAAATTTTAGACAGTACATGTGTTGAGTTACGCACACATACACATTACTGTTTTGTATAAGGTCTTATATGTATATGTGCAAGTGTCCTTATACACTTGTACCTGTTATGTATGACCACCTGTATATTTGTACAGGAGATTGTATGTATGTGTGTCTGTGTGATGACATGTATATTTGTGTCTGTGTGATGACATGAATATGTGTCTGTGTGTGTAGTGTACCTGTGCCTGCACGTCACCCTTCTCAGCTAACAGCTGGTAGTACTCTATGAGGTCTGTATCAAGGGCGGAAGTTCCTCCCTCTGCTTCGTCTACAAGCCTCACACGCTGCACGGCCAGGCCGCCGCTTAACGTCACTCCGCCAGCCACTGATTACATTATGATAACAAATTAATTTTATTTACATATATAACCTCATTGGTGACTAGAAACTCTTTGGTTATGCTTAATTGATCTTAGTTACCATCCTTCTGTTAGTAACTTATATTTTTCAGGATGATATATTTTGTTGCTACTATAAAAGTGTATGACTTGGCATGGAAGTCTGTTGTTTTGGTATAAATATAAAATTAAATATATATTTCCAGTGAAACTCTTCACTTTTTGCTTCTACCATTGTTCAATCATTTTTAAAATGAAATACTTTATTGATACTAATTGCTTAATGAATTTAATTATATTACCTTTATGAGCAACCTTCATATAGAGGTCCATAGCTTTATCACATGAGGCCGGTAAAGTGACTCCGGCCCAGTATCTATAGGCGAGGGCCATTTGGGCGTAGTCTGAATTAGCTATAGCTCCTATAGTGTAGTGGACTAGCGCACGAGCTTGAGACACTGGAACCGATGTACCAGTAGCATACAAGAAACCCATGCCCTGCAATATAATATAGAATAGATACAACCAAACAAGATAAATAATGTAAGCAACACCAGCTATATAACATGATTTGGTTATTCATTTTTAATGGCTTATAAATACATAAATACATTATTATATCTATATACATCAACAGACTAAAAACATATTGAGATTTAAAAAGATACTTTGAAATATAAGGATACTTATAACTCAGTAAGTCTTAGTATGGCAAATACTTAAAAAAGTTATTGACTTCAAAAGAAAGCATAGTTTGAAAACATTATATTTTCCAGTACTTAATTTTGAAGAATTTGCTTTACCAATGTAAATCACTCACCGCATGAGCTTCAGCATTGCCTTTCTCCAAAAGCTCTTCAAATATTTTCCTCGCCTTATCCACATCGAGCTCGACTCCTTCCCCAAATATATAAGACCACGCCAGTTTAATTTTTGCCGGCACATACCCACGATCGGCTGCATGTTTAATTTGAAGAATCGCACCCACAAGGTCCGGAGCACGCCGTTCCAACTTGGATATTGCGGCTTCATACTGAGCTTTGGCTGGAAAATAATGATTAATATAACTTGACACAGGAAAATATTTTTTGTGTTAAAATATTTGCTAAGAAGTACAAATCGATACCTCCCACGTAAGTCGTTGTATCTCCAAAACTGTAAATTTTCAGTATAGCGTTTCAATGATTCAAATTAAATCAAAATATGCAAAATTTTTTAATTACAACATTAGATATGCGTCTGACAAATCCTTTAAAAGTAGTGTTTTTGTTGTTTTTTACTTTGAATGGATATAATGATTCATAATAGGATATATTTTAGAATAAAAACAAAATAGCATTTTTGTGGCACACAACAACTTATGTGAGAGGTATCGAAATATTCCTACCATTGGTCTATTTCATTACAAGTCTGTATTATAAATGTATAAGCCTCATTTTACTTCCACCTTTAATATAATAAAGTTTTATTATTTTAAATACACATTAAATATTTAATATTCTTAAAGTATTTTATCACTGGAAAACCATTAAAATTGTTAAGAAATGTAAACATTTTTGTTATTTTCATAACTACTATGTATAAATACTTTGTTAATTTGTTAAGTATCCTATCTATTCTATTAAATACAATATTTCTCTACCTTCTTTCATATCAGCTGTCAATTCAAGCTCTAATTCCTCGGATAGTGGTTGCAATGCATCAAGTATTTCTTGAGGATTGAACTCCTTTTTCTAAAAATAAACAATGTATATATAAATATCTCTCCCTCTTTGGGAATCAGCATTGGTACTTGCCCAGGCCACGATCGAACCTGCACACTCGGCAACGAGAGGCGAGCTCTTTAACCACTAGGCCATCACTGACTTTTAATTTGCTTAACATGTCATAGACAAACTCCAATATTGTTATCTATGGTTTATTTTTCATTTTTCAATTGTAAAACATATAACAAAACTAGTGCAAAGAAGAGAATTTGTTAAATACATATAATTTGTTAAATAAATGGATCATATTTATTTTAATTGTGATATTGGAATCAACATTCTAAATTATTAGCTTTGAATATCCTTTCTTTTCTTACAGGTGAGTCTTGTAAACTTTTTAATATGGAACCTAGTATAGATTTTAGAAGACCTAACAATAAAATTCTTTTCCTAAAGAGAAACCATTATACATAATATATAACTCTACTGAAAGTGTGTATCTCACTGAAAATGTAATGGGCTTTATCAATTTGAATACATTTGTTTAACATTTAGATTGCCGTCAGATGGTTTAGATTCACAGTATTGTGGGGCAAATGGGACGGCGGACAGTATTTAGATTGCTTGAAAGCGGACCCCGTCACAAGACGGGATTAACGCTAAGAAGAAGAAGAAGAAGAAATGTAAAGGATGAAGTATATGTTGCTATATAAAATGTCCTAATACAATTAATAATTTTATTCTAAGCTCAACTCTGATTTTTGTACAGACAGACTCAAAGGTAAAAACTAGGCTCTATATATATTAAACTTCATCCCTTATTTCTTGTAGTAACAACATGAAAGTTTTCGTGTCTTTATAAATATTAACATTGTATAACTTGTGCTTTTTATGCATATATGATTTTTTGGCTATTACATCATGATAAACAATTTAATACCTCTGATTTGCTGTTCCCTGCTGATTCCTTCTCTTCTTCAGTCCAAGCTGGATCTGCAGTGCTTAATAAAGAAGTCTTTAAAACTTGCAACTTTTCCAATTGTGATTCCATTTTTTGCAGATCAATTTCTGGCTCAATATCCTGATCAAAAGCTTTAGAAATTTTTATGGCGGTCGCGTAGTCTTGTAAAAACTGTATTTCCTTGTTGAGAGCATCATTGAGATCTTTATAGGTCTCTTGATCTGATTTCGTATTAGGGACCGGGGTTTCCTCACTCTCCTTATTCTCCGTCTTTTCATCTGTCTTCTGACCATCGGGACCCTTTAAGTCAGCCACCGACAGCACAAAGCACAACAACAAAACATATAGTTTTAATCGGTTCATGTTGACAGCATATGAATCAAGAGATTTCGAGATTTTTAACAATTACGTGTCCTTATGATAACTATTTGTTTGTCACGAAAATATTGAAAATTGTTTACGACGTTCGAACATATCTTCGATGAAACCACTTACAAATTTACACGTGTACTTTCTACTACAAATTACATGTTTTTAATTGAAAATTCTTATTTCGTCTCTGAAGTCTGAACACAAATAAGAAATAAGAATTGCAATTTGTCACTGTCACTCTAGGTAGTGTAGAGTGATTGAAATAACTTCAAACTTTAAATTATTTTAAATATACTAAACAAACTTTAGATATACGTAATATGCACTTTTTGTTTTTTGAATAATTATTCTAAATTAAATTACAGGAATTTATAATACAATCACTATAGATATATAAAAACCTTTCTTAAAGCGTTATACATAGGTATATCCGATTATTTAGCTGCTGACTTTGACGTTGCCTTTAGGGCCAACTGATTTTTATTTGCCTGACAAAGTCAAAGTTCAAAATAGGACAAAATGCCAATATTTTATTTTGCAAAATTTTGCAACCATAAAAAGTTGACATTATAGCATTTAGTGACTTTTATGAGGGGTCTTGTAGTGTATAGTTTATTTATTAGATCATAAACGATGTTGCGAGCGCCCGTTTTGAGTCGTTCAGTCCGCAGAAACATTCAAATTCGTATGAAATCTAGCGGATTCATAAGAAGTTCGTTTATAGATTATTTTGTAAATGAACATGGTCATAAAAATATTAAGTCTAGTTCCGTTGTATCTCTATGTGACCGTACAGTTCCTTTCGTGAATGCTGGAATGAACCAGGTAAGATATACTTAAATTGTATTATGAACCTCAAAATGTAAATTAAAATATGTAATAATTTAATAAATTTTAATTACTCTCATTAAATTAAATAAAAACATCAGTTTTATTACACCTTTAATTTGTTTATAAATTGCGTCCTAAATTATTTATTTCATTACTCATTATTTTCAGTTTAAAGGGATTTTCCTTGGCCTCGCAAATGCTCCGTATCCTCGAGTAGTCAACTCTCAAAAATGTGTCAGAGTAGGCGGTAAACATAATGATCTTGATCTGGTTGGAACAGATGGACATCATCACACATTCTTTGAGATGCTGGGAAACTGGTCATTCAATGATTATTACAAGGTGACTATAACTTATGCATACATTTGATATATAATGTTTAAAAATGAAGAATTTAGTTCAAAAGGTTTATTGTTCATTATATTCATATTATTTCATTATTAATATGTTTGAAAACAACTGTCAATCAAAATTTATGATAGCAAATGTTATAAATAAACAACAGAATCTAAAAATTTCATTAAAATTATTATTAAACATGCTAAATGTTAGAAAGAAGCGTGCCAAATGGCATGGGACTTGTTATTGGGTCCTTACCGATTGAAACCAGAGAATCTGCTGGTGACATACTTCTCTGGCGATGCTGTTATAGGACTGCAGGAGGATAAAGAGTGCAGAGATATATGGAAGAAGATTGGGTAAGTCATAGACATGATATTTTTTTCATCTCGGTCAGGTAAAAGTTAGTCTTATAATTCAATAGTTCGGTAGAAAGTATGGTATAACATTATTTCTTATTAAACTATGAATAATTAATTTATTTTGCTCACATAATGAACTTAGCATTTTTTAAATCTGTTTAATTGTATTGTCAAATATATACAGGGTGACTGGTGAATTACTATCAATATTTAAGGAGAATACTCGGTACATGATTCTCGTTTGAATTATGTAAAAAAAATAGGTACTTAATTTTTGACAAAATTTCCGTATAAATAAATAAAGTGTTGACACGTTCCAAGTGTTCCAAGTGTTGACGCGTGCGGCGGCCCACTGATACAACACTACGCCGCCGCGCGCGTATGTGTGAGTGTGTGTGTATACCTAATCTGTAGGGTGTGCACACGATGCGTAATTAATTACATAACTTTTGGTTAACTTTACTTAGAAGTTTATTAATATTTATGTTATATTAATTTTTATTTTGTCATATATGATCGTCAAATATCACGTCCTCAAGTATCGATAGTAATTCACCAGTCACCCTGTATATTAAATTATAATACATTTTTTATATAGTTATATCTAAATATGTGAGCAATTATTTAAAAAATTGAATTAAAACTGTCAATTAATTTATTTTTAATTGTTCCATTATGTTATTTTTATGATTGGCATGTAATTAAATATGTATGTTTTTGTTAGAGTACCGCAAAATCGTCTTAAAGGTCATGGTGCAAGGGATAATTTTTGGGAGATGGGTCCATCAGGTCCGTGTGGTCCCTGCACTGAAATTCATTACATACATCCCGATGGTAGTCTGACAGAAATATGGAATCTAGTCTTCATACAATGCAACAGGTATTTGACATAGGATCTAATAAGGACGTCTTAAACTTTTCTTTTTTTATTGTTTTCTGCCGTGCCACAGACTTTAAATAATATCATAATGTGACATTCATTGTCTCTCTTATCTCTTAAGGATATAGAAAATAATGTTATGTATAGCTTAAAATTAAATTGAATTTTTTAATTCAAATTATTCATTGTCTACATTCGTAATGCCAATCATAGCTATCGGTAACTTTGAAAATTACTTTTATATTGCCGTTACTTAAAAATTACATAATTATTATAGTATATTATTTAATATTTAGTCTTGCAATTTTAAATGTGTAATAAATATTGAAATCAAAAGCTCTTTTTATATCTTTTTGTTGTCCATAATAATTTTAGTACATTTTTGTAATCTACATAGTTATTTATTTGGTCATGAGTATATGTTATTTGTATGTAAGTAATTGTTGGTATATGAAAGGGAGGTAGATGGCTCAGTAACAGCCCTGCGGCAACATCACGTTGACACTGGACTTGGGTTGGAGCGACTCGCATCTTTGCTTCAGGGCGTACCTTCCAATTACGACACGGATCTATTCAAACCTTTAATTAAAACTATTGAAAAGGTGGGTTTTGGTCATTAATTCCATAATTTTTGGTACCATTTCTGGTTATGCAATTCTATGTCTCGATAGAAATCGGAGACACACAAAAGAAAAGAAAATTAAATAAATGATAATACTACTAAATCAGATTGTAGTATATTCCAAATTATTCTAAATACTCAGTAATTTATTTGACTTCAATTATTATGTATGTATATTATTGTATTTATATCATTTTTTTCCAATCATCTAAATACGCCTTCAATTTGATCATACTCAAGATATCGTTTGTAATTATTCTGGTGAAGATTTGCGACATCTTTTCAGTCTGCCAAAGTCCCTGCCTACAAAGGTCGTTTTGGTCAAGGCGCAGAGTTAGACACTAGCTACCGTCGACTGGCAGACCACGCTCGACTACTGGCTATCTGTCTAGCGGATGGAGCCCTACCCTCAACAAAGTCAGTATAATTTAGGACAAACCTAACAAAAATAAACCTTATGTCACTTACATTTACGATATAGTATCCCAACAAAGTCAATATACAGATTTTCATAGAAGTTTAGGAGGAAGGTAACAAAAATAAACCTGTAACTTATATTTACGGCACAATATACCTTATTATAATTTTCTATTTTTAGCTGGTAGAGCCTAGCTGTGGTTAAGTTACTACAGCTCGAACATGGGCTGGCTCGACCGGGGAAGTACCACCCTCTCACAGAAGATCGGCGTGAAGTAGTCAGTAATGACTGCGTTTCGTCCGATGAGTGAGAGAGCCGGTTGCCCTTTCCCTTTTCCCAACCTTTCCTTGTATTTCCTTATTCCCACCCTTCCCTATCCCTAAAAAGAAAAGGTTGGCAACGCATCCGCAACATATTTGTTGCGGATGTCCATGGGCGACGGTAACCACTTTCCATCAAGTGGGCCGTCTGTTCGTTTGCCACCTATAACATATAAAAAAAAAAAAAAAATTCTATATAGATTCTATAAGACAATGTATTGATTAAATTATAATAGCTTTTTAGAAGTATAAGTAGTTACTTAATATGAAACTTAGCTATTCTAAATATGGGCACTAATTTTTCATTTCCATATGTACAAGTTGGTAAGTTGTGTGGAGTTTCTTCCAAGATATGCAGGTTTTTTTCATAGTTTTGTCAGTGTTGCTCCAAAACATGTTACCCTACTTGTATAATTGCAGATATATCTTTGCATCATCGTGTTCAGGCCTTATAACACTACCTATTTCAATTACATGGATTGAAACACCATTATAAGGATGTTATTCTATTTTTTTCAGTCTGAACGTGAAGCAGATCATGCGAAAATCATTCAAGCTCAGTACCGACGTATTCAAAAACCCAAACCTAGTGAATATTTTATATGACGAAGTAGTTTCAACGCTAGGAGACACTTATCCGGAACTGATCGCAAAAGAAAAGGAAGCTAAACTCATAATAGAACAGGAAAAAGAAAATTATTCGAAATTAAGAGCTGATTTGGCCAAGAAATGGAAGAATTTGGCCAAGAAATATCCTGAGGTTGAGGCGTTGAGTGATATAGAAATATCAGGCTTCGCTTTGGGTTACGAGGAGTTTAAGGAAGTTAGTATGTTTATATAACGATAACTAGCTATTAACTATACTTCGATTATATGTCATAATTTTTTCAGTCTCATAATGCTTTCATTTAAAGGAAAAAAATAAATAGTCGTAGCCATTTTACTTCACAAATAACAGATATTTTTTTCCACAGAGTGATAATAGTTTATATTTTTTTTCAGACAATGACGAAAATTAATTCAAAAGTAATACCAGGGGATCTGGTTTTCAAAATGTATGACACTCATGGCTTCCAAGAAGACGTTATAGAGAGAATAGCAAAGTTAAATAATATGGAGATCGATAAAAAGCAATTCTGGAAACTTTTAACCAATCACAAAATGAGACACAAGACGGCCTTCAAGGAACAAACGTCCAAGAACGGTATAAAGTTCGACAAAGCTGTAGAAAAACTAGCGAAAAGCGGCATTAAATATACAAATGATTTGCCAAAATACGATTTTATATACACAGATAATAAAGTCACTTTTCGGCCTTTAAAAACTAAAATAGTAGGAATTCTGAACGAAGACGGCGAATGGCTGGACTTCTCGGAGCCGTGCGAAAATAGACCTTATTACATAGTGACCGAGAGCACAAACTTTTATTGTGAAGAGGGAGGTCAAGCAGCAGACGACGGGGTCGTTCAGATCAGAGAAAATATTGCTTTCAATGTAGACAGCGTCTTTAAAATACGAGGAATTATATTCCATAAGGGAGAATTCAGTTTGAAAAACGCGGAAAATATGTACGTGTCTATTGGACTCGATGTTAGTATGATCATTAATAGAGAGAAGAGACTAAGTATCATGAGGAACCACACGGGCGTGCATCTGTTGAACGCCGCGGTCAGGCAGGTGTTGCCAGATAGTGTGATCTGTCAGACAGGGTCCAGTGTTACCGACAGAGGGCTCTCATTGAGTCTGTCGATCTACGGAGAGAAATTATCGGCGAAGGCTGTTGAAGATGCACAGGCATTGATAAGGTTGGTCACTAACATTATTTTTTATTATTATTTGTCATCTGTGACTCATATTTACAGACTATAATAATTAGTGAAATTCCATCCAGCTAATAATTTTCAATAGTAATGACAATATTCAATGGCATTAAATTCATGAAATTTTCTTAAACTTAAATATAGATTGAACTTAAAAAATGTTAAATATAAAAATAAATGCCTATATACAACTATACAAGATATACGGAAAATGGAATCGAGAACTCCCTGTGTAACTCGGAAAAAAAGTCAATTTACTTCATGAAGTCATATAGCTTTAACTATATTCAATCAAAAATGATCTTTAACGTATAGTAAATAAGGTTTATAATCGTCAGTTCGAGTATATCATCGAACGTGCCGATCCTGACTCGTACTCTGTCATCCACGGAGCTCCCCGGGGAGGGGGACGTCCTCACAGTCCCGGGGGAAGTGTACCCTGAGTTTGGTTTGAGACTGGTCTCATGTACACAACCACTGGCTTCTAAGTGAGTAATACACATTAATATGATCATAACATTACCACAAGTAATGATATCTAAGATTTTCGCGAGTACTCATTTAAATGAAACTAATATTTTCGGATTTTACTTCGCGTATCACTCACATCTCGTCTGCCCGTGATCACGGTTGCTGAAAAGTAGCCGAAACGTCGGGAGTATGTAGTTTACTAATCAAAAATAAATACGCAAAGTAAAATCCGAAAGCATTAGTTTCATTTATTACCACAAGTATATATTCCCCTTTTTCCACCCTTTTCTCAAATAAGGGTGGCAACGCATCCGCAAAATTTTTATACGGATGACCTTGGACGATAGTACTACCTCCATCAGGTAGGCAGTCTGCTCGTTTGCTTCCTTTGACATAAAAAACATATTCTCATATTAAACTGATTAAGAGAAGATTTAATATGAAAAACTTGAAAGGTTCGTTTACAGTCACGTTCGACTTGTGGTACGTATGTTATATATATCTATAATCTGTGTTAAAGTTGAGTTAGGTTGGTTAAATAGTTATTTTTGACTATTTTGTCTATATCAGGTTTTTTTGCATAATGTCTAAGTTTGTTATTCATCATCTATACATTTTTTCCGGTTCCCATGTCACTAATGATGAGTAATCATAATATTTTCCAGAGAGCTGTGTTGTGGTACCCACGTGCCGTCTACAGGTCAGCTACAGTCCCTGTTAGTGACGTCAGTACGAGCCATTGGTTCCAGGTCCCCAACTATATACGCGCTCACCGGCACCGCTGCTATGCAGGTTATATATTATATAAAAATATTTTTATGATACAGTACGTACTAATGATAAGTACTGAAGCTTTCTATCTCCAGTAGTAACTTGAGTTAGACTAACAATGACTTTTATAACAATGTTCGAATGAAAAAAAATATTATTCTTTTCAAATTTGGTTAGTAAGAGAGAGGAGCTTGGACGATGGAGGTGAGTGTTTAACGCTCGTTAGATAGGGGCCCCTTAAACCTACACCTGGGTCACAAGTCCCAGGCACTGTTGAAGCTCCTCTCACTACAACGGTGCATCCAAGGAATGCTTAAAAGTTTCGTCGTTTTAAATCTCTAAAATCTTCAAAACTTAACTACAAATTCAACATCCTATATTTCATTATTGTATGTATCTTTCAGGCCCGAGAACTGTTCTGCCGCGTTCAGAAGCTGGCGGAGGTCATTGACCTCGCTGAGCCCTTGATAGTTGAGGAAGAGGTCACTACCATCAGGGATGAACTGAAGACTCTGTGTGGGAGCAGCGGCGCCCCGGCCGGGGACTACCACGCGTGTCTGACACTGATGGAACACTTGAAGAAGAACGCCGCTAATAGAAACGATACTGCACTCTTGTTAGTAAAAAAAAACATATTTGAGACAAATTATATTCCTGTATTCTTAATACTTGAATTCATCAAATCAGCACATTTCAATCTACTATCGTGTAAATTTACAAAGTAGGATGTGCTGTGTACACATAGAAATCAGATAAAAATTGAAAATATATTTTTTTAATGGATTTTCTATTCGTTTATAATTTATGACGAAGACGATGATTTTTGAAGCCGTGATGATCACTGTTGCTATCAAGTGACCGAAACATCAGGAGTATTTTGAAAAATAATTATAAACCCATAGTAAATCCCAGAAATATTAGTTTCATTTCAATCAATACTCGCGAAACAATTAGATCTCATTATCACATAACAATTTGTGACATGCAAGTTCTACATAAATACTTAATTAAACAATTCTAACAAAATCCGTATAAAAATATAGTTTTCTTATAAAGCCAGTACTTTTAAATATCAATAAAACCTTAACTAGAGCAAACTAATTATTATCTTAAGAAAAAACACCTTAAATTAGTTAAATTCTATTAACAATAATACAAGTCACGTTCACCACATACTTTCCCGCGTTAAAAGAGAACAAGCCAAGCGTCATCGTTAGATTATATCACTTCGGACGCGTTCGAGAACATAAAGGTTCGTTTCGAATAAAAAGTGTGTTCCCTAAATATATATTTTATAATCCACAGAGACATAGCCCGTACTGAGATCGATGAAGCGTGTTCTGAAGCACAGCGAAGCGGTCGTCGCTTCACCGTCCACTTCCTGCGGTGTTCATACCTCATGAGAAGCGATGCTGTGAGGAGTGTACTGGCCGGACCTCACAACACATGGGGACCCGCCATGCTGATAGGGTGCGCGGGGGGTGTTGTCATAGCAACCGCTAAAGTACCACAGGTATATATAGATGTAGTACTTCGTTTATTGATATAGAGAATGACTTAGTTTCTAATGTTCATTCATCCTGTAACAAGACCAGCAACTTATAATATCAATAAGGGCCTCAAAAATTAAAATCCTCTGGGTTATATATTGGATAATATTAATTTTAATTTTGAGACTAAGACAATCAGTATTCCCTTAGTTAATTTACATAAATAATAATAAAAAGTAAACTTTTATCAATATATTTTACTATTAATAACGATTTTCGAATATAGAGAATGACACTTTCAAATGTTCATTCATCGTGTAATAAGACCACCAATTCCTACTAGCAATAAGGGCCTCGAATATTAAACTCCTTTCCAGAGTTATATTGTTAATAACATTAATTAAAGACAAGAGTAATACTAAGTACGTTGAATTCACATATTGTGCAAAAAAGTTTACACAAACAGACGTTTTCCAACTAACACAATCGGTATTTTCTTATTTAATTGACATTAATGAAATATATAAATAACATTTTATTAATATATTTTACTAATAATAGAACAATAATCCATAATAAGCACCTGCTGATTTTGATAACATTTCACGCTTATACACTTTTTCTATTATAATAATATTTCAAGATGTGTCTCTTCTGTGAAAACTATTCCAATCGTATGACAAATTTATTTGATACAGTTTAAAATCATAGATAATTTGATTTCCAATTAAATTTTCGTTTATAATATGCAATTATTATATTCATAATGTTGTAATTAAATTTTAACCGCTTTAACTATTTGACAATGATATCTGCAAGGTCATATATGTATATCTTTACTTGACACTTGTAATCATCATTCCAGGAGCTGGTAACATCATCGTTCACAGCTGACAAGTGGCTGTCCTGTATACTACCAATATTCGAGGCTACAATACTACCGCCCACCGAACAGTTCTCAACACTGACACACGCTGAGATGAGCGCTACTAAAGTAAGACTAATAATACATATGATTCAACATTGAAATCATTTTATATTTAATAACAATATGCAGTTTAATAGTTGAGAAAAGACAGTACTTTACTCATTGTAAATTGCTATGGTATACTATGATATGGTGCATTCATTCCACACTAGATGGTGTTAGTGTAGGCAATTTTTAGTTATCATTTTGATATCATATTAAAACAACATAAGTGTTATTAAATAAATTATTATTAATATGTAGGAAAATATTTTAATGTCGTAATATAACATGATAAAATACACTTATCTCAAAGTTATTAAAAGTAAATTCATACTAGTAATGCTATGTTTCAGGTAAGTCTTATAAACTGCGAGCAGATGGTCCAGGATGCTATGAGGGTCGCCATCAAGTATGCGCAGGCGCACCTCAAAGACGACGAGAGAAAGACGGACGTACGGCACAACTAGACATGTATAATATGGTGCTATATATATAGAAGGAAAAGACTAATTTAGAATTATAATTTAGTCATAATTTTGCAACATAATGTATTTTTTTGTTCTGAATAGAATTAATTAAAGTATGTAATTATAATTTTCAGCGGAATATTATCTGAAATTATTTTCATTTATTTATCAAGAGACTTTGACATCGATCACTCGAAAAAATGTTTGAATTCTGTTCTGTTTATATCTAGTCTGATTAATTAAATAATAAATTGATTGAGTCTTTTATTTGACTAACAGAGAAAATTTATATCTTGTCATATATGTTTGTATTATATTTCAAATGAAATATTTATAAAAGGTCATGTTAATATTCCAATATATATATTTTATGTAAAATTGTTGTTCCACAACGCTTTTGCTGTGATTCAACATACAGTGAGCAACTCTTATAATTTTTCACTCAGAATGGCTTTTGAATGACTGACTTCTTCTACAGCACAGCATATTGAAAGGTTAGGATTTGTAGATTGAGTGATTCTAAAATCTTAGTGGAGTACTTTTGGACCTTGTTAATGCTGATTTACTCTTGCCGTATGTAAAAAGTACGACGGCGGATGATATTTACGACACACACAAAATATTTTATAATAAATATATTTTACTTAAGATAACATAATTAGACTCGGTATTAATTAACCCAATGACATTTTTGTACTATCTTTTTAAACAATAGTTGTTAACGAAAATAAAGCACAAGGAGAAGTATTAAAAATCATTAGCACTAAACAACTGCATCAGAGATGTGACAAAATAATTTGTAAATGTTAAGAACAATATTATTTTAGCCATTCGTATTTTAATGGTAAAATATAAAATACTAGCTTTGCAGGCGACTTCGTCCACGAGGAATAGTAAATTCCGGCAGAAAAGTATAGATAGCTGTGTCCGCGACTCCGTCAGCGTGTAACTCCTTGTGTATTTAGTTAATGTATTGGTAATATTTATTATTATTAGATTGGTAATATTGTTTAAATCGCGTTCACATGAGGCTTAATCCTTTATAAGACGCAGAAGTTAAAAATATTTATTGATTTTAAACTTTATAATAATGTGCTAATGTGTTACAATTCATATTACATTGTTATTTATAAATTTTGTTACATTTTCAAATATAATATTATTATTTTTATTTATTTTAATTATATTATTTAATTTATAATTTTGTTAAATATTTATTTATTTTTATTATTATAAATTATTAATTAGCTAGCAAAGTAATTATACTCTTTATTATAAGTTTTATGGCATTAACATGCATGAACCCCTATGTGAGGGTGAAGGCATCCTCCATAGATTTCCATGCCTATCTTCGGTTTTGTTTTCCAGTATTTTCTTTTTTTTAATCTGCTGCTGCTCGGTTCTAGTTGGTGATTTGGCATGGTATGATTAATTATTATTTGGGATTGTGGTTTTCTTTGGTGGGTTATGGTCGTGATCCTCCATGGTGACCAACCCAACTGGAGGATTTTTTTTGTTTCGTAGATTATGAATATTTCTTAAATTTCCATTCGTTGTTTTAAAGGAGTAGGAGACGTTTAGTTGCTATGTTTGTTTATTTTGAATGTTGTTTTTATTTGCAGTATTTATTACAACATAGTTTAACATTCCTTGTTTTATTATTTCCTCTGAAAAACTACTTGACCTCTTGGGCGGTTCGTTTAATTGCTGTAGCTTATTCTTTTTATTTATTTGTGAATTTGTCTCTATATTCGTTGTTTTTCCTGATTCGGGTAAGGGAGGCAATTTGCGTTAAGTGTTTTTTTTAATATTATTAGTTTATCGTATTTTATTTTTGCTAAGTTTCCTTTTTCTCTTTCCAACTGTAGTTGTTCCTGCAGGTCCCTTCTCTTTTCAAGTACATATTTGGATAGTCTTCTTTAATAGAGTATTGTGTATCTTTTAGTGCTCTTTTCTGTTCCATAATTTTTATTTATATGCCTAGGGTTGAAAAAGTCACTACTATTGGGCGTAATTATTCATCTTTTTTAATTCCTTTTCTTTTGATTTCCTGAATGTCGTTGTAAATTATTTTTACAGATAGATACTGTTCCATCCAGATGGTAAAGTTTTTTTCTAAACTTGCATAGGACTGTTCATTCTTTTCTATACCAAAAAATACCAAAATATATATTTTTTTGCCTGTTTTTCTAAAACTTGTAGCCTTTTTTCTTGACTTTCCACTTTTTCTTTCAAGTTTTGATGATTATATTTTCTATTGTTGAAAACTTCTCTTCAAACATAGTACTAATATTTTGTGTGACCTGCTCTGTAACGTTCTTTTCCTGATTCCCGGATTTCTTGTCTTTGACTTTCCAAGTCATTTTTTTATTGTTTTTAGTGCGCCTAAAATGTCTTCCATGTTCGTTAGATTATATTGTTTTGATACTCGTGGTGCCCTCTTGTGGTTGTAGGTGAAATTACTTGGTTAGGTAGTATTGATATTTGTTGAATCCGATGATCGATTTGTACTAAGCGACTGACGATTTGTTTTATACAGTGGCAGCGAGAATGCGCTTTTTGATAACATTATAATCGAAAACGACGTAACGTATTGTTTTTGATTTCTTTCTTTTTAGTCTCCGAGTTAACACTGAGAAAGTCGGTAATTTTTTATATAATGTGGTTTCGTATTATTATTGTTTTAAGGCACTTTTTGTTAGTTTTTCACTGAAACTTCAAAATATTAAATATGTCCTAGACTTTTTGTACTTTCATTTTGACTCAATATTTCTTTAATTAGCGGAAATAGTTAATACATTGAAATTATACACGGAGTTGACGTTAACCGGCAACCGATACACAAAAATAATCCTTATAGCATGACTTACATGATTCTTTTTTTATTGAATAGGTTATAATGTTATTTTTTTTAATAAGGAATGAGTGATAGTGTTGTAAACGTTAGAGTAGACAAATACAATCAGAAATCTGCGAATTGCTAAGCTATCGGGAGTTTCACGTGTTATTGTGAGTCAACCATAAAAGATAGACATATACTGTCGAGGAATACTTTTTATATAATTTTAAGGAGAATATTTCCGTCACACTTGATTTATATGTAGCTTTAACTTATAAGCCTACACACGCGATGAAAGTTTAAAAATGGAGTAACTTCTCCCGTTTTCCCAATATTTCCCTTCACTGCTCTGCTCCTATTGATCGTAGCGTAATGAAAAGTATACATTAGTTTGTGTCTCCATAACGAATATACAGACAGACAGGCAGACAAAAAATTTTACTGATTGCATTCTTGGCATCAGTAGCGATCCCTAAGCACCCCCTGATAGTTATTTTTTAAATATATTTTATGTACAGAATTGACCTCTCTACAGATTTATTATAAGTATAGATGAAGTACTCTTAACCAACAACATATTTATTTGAATAAAGATTAATATTATTATGTTGATACAACTTAAACAAATTATTTCGACCAAATTAGGTACCTTAAAAACGGTTTTTGTGAGTTAATCTTAAAAGATAGACATATACTGTCGCGGACTGTTTTTTAGATCATTAAAAGAGCTATTATTCTTTAATACATATTTTTAGTGCATCTTGAACCGTTTTCACGGCGCACGCAACGGAAGGCTTCAAAGATGAAATAATTTCTCCCGTTTTTTACATATTTACCACTATATATTTGCTCCTATTGGTCGTAGCGTGATTTATTGAAAAAGAATTATTCAATTCGAACCAGTAGTTTCGGAGATTAGCGCTTTCAAACAAACAAACAAACTCTTCAGCTTTATAATATTAGTATAGATTTAATTTGAAATAATTTAATTGCACGAATATAAAAAGTTGCTTACAAAATTAGCATTTTAAGAACTGAATTCTATTATGATAGCCAAATATCCTGAACACCAAAGAAACACAATAGTACTTTTAATAATTCAGTGTCTTTGAGTACAAAGAACATCAGAGATACGGACGAAAAAGCGCGTTGTGACCCCGCGCGTCGTCTAATGGAAGGACATTTGAGGTATTGAGGAAATCCTGAAATATCATCTCAACTTCTTCAACAAAGCAATTATGAAACACTATGACATCGTTTTGAAGTCTCTGAAACTTAATACGTCGGTTCACTGACTATTATTTGTCTTTTATTATCTAAAATAGAGAAAAGACAACATGCTAGCATATTTTTGGTAAGGATTGGTAAAATACATCTAAGAATTAATGTGCCCATGTCTTTTTACATGAAATGGCTATAAAAGTATGTGTGCCCTAAGTATCTGGTTGAAGAACAGTATGAAATCGTTAATCTGATATAAAAAATAAATAGAACGAAAATTATTATATGTTGATTTAAATAAATTGTTAGCCATTGAGGCTTATAAAAGTTAGTAGAAACAGCAGTGGTCAGGCTGAATAACTATTTACTCTTAATATAGTTTTAAGAAAACAATAAATTATTTTATTTATAGGATTCCTTAAGTGTATCAATCCACGAAAAAAAAATCGATATCAACACTTTTTATAAAACAGAGGGTATGTTTCACATATGTTCAATAAAAAATACCTTAAAATGTCTTCACCACTTTATTATACTAATTTTATATTATAGTTTGAGTCCAGGAGATGTAAAATGAAAAATATTGGATACTTAAAATGTTTTATTTAAACCTCTCGTCATACTTTATCACAACAAATAAAGCCTTTGGAAGTATACACAATACTTAACATATAAAGAATCATTTATTAGGACCTCCAATATGGTATTAAGAATGATGATGATAGAAAATTTTATACATTAATATAAAGTAATGTCTTTACAAATATTATGATGTACTATGAACGTAATATTAATTGTATATACTTCTTTATTCTACTAGTTTTTACGAACATGGTCAAGAAGAAATATTATATCCAACGCATATGAAATCCTTTTTAAGGATTGGCATTAAATAAACGAGAACAGCGAGGAGCTGTTCTGTCACAAACAAATATTGTTAAAACACATCATGAACACCAACAAATGAATCACTATATTTTGTCATCACATTTTTCACAACTATCTATCAATCACATCACTAATAATCAACTTACGTCACTAGACATCAAATAAATGTCAATTCTGTCAGTGTTTTTTACACATCACTAGAACTAGTGATGTAATCATTATTTTATTTGTTTTATCGTGTCATGACTAGTGGTTGTCCATGTATTGTAGATCTGATAGCAGTAGAACAGTGTCTGGCAGCGGGCGAGGTTGTGGAGACAGAATGGTCATCGTCTGACGGTCCATATCAACTGCAGTACTGGGGATTAAGAAATACAAGAATTACATTAGATCCTTACTTATAAAAAGAAACTTTCAATTGTGATTCTAATTATATCAAAACCTTTAAATTGAATACTCAAAAAATTGTAAAATTGTTAACAAATAAATTAAAATATGCCAGAAAACATGAAGGAAAAACATCGTGAGGAAACCTGGACTTATAGTTCCACAATTATAAGTTTGAATTCACCAACCCATCTTGAGCAAGCGTGGTGATTAATGCTCAAACCTTCTTCATGTGAGAAAGAGGCCTTTGCTTAGCAGTTGGCTCTGATAGGCTGACGAAAGATGCCAGACAAAATAATACTGTTTGTAAATTATGAATGTTATATACCATACATAGTTAATTTTTATTGGGATTTGTATTTTATTTTTAACTAGTTTCTGCCCGCAACTAGGTCCGCGTTAATTTCAGAATTATTAATATATGTATAGCTGACCGGGCGAACGGAATTTATAAAGTTTTTTTTTTATAGATCGAACAGAATTACATATCCTATGTCCGTCTCTTGATTACTCCCCACCAATTTTCAATTATATCCCAACAGAAATTCTTCAGTTATAAATAGTGTAACTAACTCCACATTCTTTTATACATATATACTATCAGATATATTACAGTATACGTACACACAAACGAATCCAGCCAAGTTAGTAGCGAGCACGTGGTCGTCTGGTGAGGGGGCGAAGGACACGGCCAGCACCCGGTGAGCGAGGGAGGGAGACGGCCAGGCCGGCACCAGGCGGGTCAGGGCGTCAGACGAACGCATGCCCAGAGGCATACACGAGTCAGGGAGAGACGGCGCGCCCACCTGGTCAAGAATAATAGAAGAAGCTCTGTGATGCAGTACTCTGTATATACTATGAAGATTGAACTAGCTTTCCGACTGCAGCTTCGCCCGCGTGGAGTTCGGTTATATCGCGTTTCGAAGAGAACCTTTCAAAAGTCTTGGATAATACCTATGTTCTTTCTCAATGTCAACTCTATGTCTGTACCAAATTTCATTAAAATCAGTTCAGTGGTTTAGGCGTGAAAGCGTAACAGACAGACAGACAGAGTTACTTTCGCATTTATAATATTAGCAGGGATAACATAATCTGAGGAGTAAAACTAAGTTTTTCTTGTACTCAAGAGTTTTTAAAAAAAGATGGCAGTAAGAGATCTCGGTTGCTGTGTAGGAAACAAAGACACCATTTTTGGGTACCTATATGTATAAAAAGTAATAAATATAGCGTGATAGGCGAAAAACTTGATTCCATTTGAATATGTATACACTAAAATCTTAGATACCATTATAATCTGTGAAAGTAGTATAATAAAATAGTTTATAATGAACTTTATGCAAATAGTATAGAATATCAGTTACATCATACAGAGTGAAAACAGTGAAAGTGTGGTAGTGTTTATAAGATTAAGATCTGTGCTCTATAAACATCTTCCTGATGAAAGCAATTACTAGATACAATTATTACTACATATAGTGTTTGTATCTATTCAATACATATAATACACTGTTTCACGTACCCCACTAGAGGGGCGGCATGCGCTCGGCAGTCTCACGACTAGCGTGGAGCAGAACGGGGACGTGCGCATGCGCTCTAGTCGGGGTAGTAGTGAGCCAGTGATTAGTTATTCTTACATAGAGAACCAGGGGTCCTACACTACATATTACTAATAACTTTAATAAAGTATACCTTATATATCTTAAGGTCTGAGAACTTAACATCAAATGAATGTGGGTAGTATGGAGTCCGATTTCCGTAGAAGTATTCCCTTATACGAGCGTCTCTGGCCTCAGCTCGTTGTGTGGAGGAACGTTCAACTACCTGGAATATGTATAAAGAATAGCATTTAAATAATAATTAAAATTTACTATGAAGATCTTTTATTATCATTTGAATACATAAATTTATAGGTCAAAGTCTAGCAAATATCTTATTAATTAAATACATAAGTAATAAATAAATGTTATTTACTAACCCCTCCACTTTTTGGCAAATAGACAACTTTTACAAACTTTGGCATGTCCCTCTTCAATTCATTGTAAAGACGCTCATTGTCCAACACTAATATAACATCAACCTATAAAGAAAACACATGTTACAACAGGTTTCATATAAATTAATAAGAACAGATCAATTTATGAAGTACCTCAAAAGCCTGAGCAGCATGAGTCAATACTTTGTACCCCGTTCCCTTAACCCATCCACATGTATTGATAATAACTCCCGATGTTGATGCTGGAAAAAAGTAAATACACATAAAAAAGATTATAATATGTAGATGGTATATCCTAACTGTGGTGGAATTACTACAGTTCGAACATGGGTATGCTCGGCCAGGTAAGTACCATCATCTCACAGAAGAATGCCATGAGGCAGTCTTTAATGGCTGAGTTTCGTAATATGAGTGAGAGAGACAGTTGACCTTTTCCCACTCTTTCCTGCCCTATTCCTTTTGCCACCTTTTATTCTACCTGTTCCCCAAAAAAGACTGACAACGCATCCGTAAAACCGTTTTGTGGATGTTAATGGTTCTAACTCCATCAAGTAAGCCATCTGCTTGTTCGTCCCCTTTGTTATAAAATAATATTAAAACTGATATTTAAAAAAAATTGCTTACCTTTCTTATTATTTTCACATCTCTCAGCAATAACTTCAGCCAGACGTGACACAATCATGTTGTATAACTCCAAGTTGTCTCCGGGTGATTTATGACCAAAGTGGTACACTAGAGGGGCTTGCTGACTGAAACCCTCCTCTATAGAGGCTGGACGCTCCACTAATAACGCACCTGAAAGAAATTTGATCATAATTATCATTAACAAAATGTTTAATTACACTTTTATCTAATGAGATGTAGGACTCGCGAGTATTAATTTAAATAAAACTAATATTTTTCGATTACTACGCGTTGTTTATTATTTTGAATTATATAATCCCGACGTTTCGGTTCCTTTACAGCAACCGTGATCATGGACAGACGACATCTCTGAATGTTATCGCTTTCAATAAACGCGCAGTGTCCAAAAAACTTAGTTTCATTTTAATATAATTTTCCCCACTTTCCAAAGATTATGTTTGTTGAATGTTTATTTTTATTTATAGTGATCATATTTTGCTGCAAAGTTTTAAAAAAAACGAGTAGTTATCCAAAGACATTCGTTTTATTTAGGCTTCTATTTCCAAAAACTTAAAAGACAAGTAGACACACACAATACATGCAATATTTTTTTAGAAATATGCAACACTCAACAGTGGCTAATAAAAAGAGTAAATTAATTACCATATTCACAATTTTAATAACTCAGCCATAGACCATAAACTATTGTTTCTTATTTTCCTGCTAGATACAAATCATATTTTTTTAGTCTTCAAACATCTATAATAGCTGTCATATTTTTATTATTATTCTATTTTATACCTTTCCTGCATTATAATAGTCTGTAAGGCACCCATAAGCCCATGTGATTTATAAAAAAAATACTAATAATATAAGCAATAAAAATTATTATCAGGAAAGACTTTTATATGATTAAAATATACTAACCAATAGTTCCTGGAACACTTATATGTCCTTGTCCAACATCAAGGTCTACAAATATGGGTCGTCGGCCCATCCTCACTGCATAATTAAGAAGTATCTTAGTCAATGTTGATTTACCAACATCCCCGGGACCCACAACCATAGTCACTGGCCCTCTTGTGTTTTCATGTTCAGCTGCTACCCTTTGCTGTTCTAACGCTGCATGTACATTTAAGTATACAACCTGAAAAATAAATCAATCAATTTCAATAAAAAGTTTGCCACTATTACGAAGAATTTAATCTATGGGGGTCTAGTGGTTAAAGGGCCCACCTCTCGTGCAAGAGGGCGCGGGTTCGATCCTGGCAAGTAGCAATGTGATTTTTCCGAGTCATATGTACTTTCTTAGAGTATTTAGACACCACTGACAGATGGTGAAGGAAAACATCGAGAGGAAACCTGGACTTATAATTACACAAATATTAAATTGAAATCAGCAACCCGTCTTGAGCAAGTGTGGTGACTAATACTCAAACCCTCTCCATGTGAGAAAAAGGCCTTTGCTCAGCAGTAGGCTCTGATAGGCTGATGGCAATGACGATGAAGAATTTAGTTAAGCTTACCATTGGCGTCTCTTTGGCGACATAACTAACTTCTGTACGTCCTCGCAATTCCACTGTACAGCCATGCCACGTGAACACAGCAACTTTCGCTCCCGTGTGGAATTCATAGGGCTTGCCTTTGACCAGTTCTGTACCGAATAATTCAGCATAACCACTCTTAACCTACGAGTAAAAGAAAGAAAATTTGTTAACAACTGTACCATCTATTCATAAATGAACTCCTTTTAATATTATATTCCTGATATTTACCTCCAAAACGACTTTTTCATTTTTCGTTTCAACTTCAAAACGAAGTTCAGAATCGGGGTCTAATTTAATCTCTTGCAATTGTACTTCAGTCATTTTTACAGGTATTTGTAATTTTTGTAAGTCTAAAAAATATTGTAAAATGTATTCGAGATATTTTTTTAAGATCAAAATAAACAATTCTCAAACTTGATCTCTCAAATTATCAAATTGGCAGCTGCTACAGCAATGTCATCTGTCAGGTACGGATAGCGATTATACGTATCGGATACATTACAATTAAACTTTAATATTGGTATTAAACGTTATTTGAAATAAATGTGTCCTAATAATTAAAATTTTGTCAATTTCTTCTTCCATTTTAATCAATTTATTTGGGAAAACCTAATAAAATAATTTCATTCTACGTGAAATAAGTAGTTTTACTCAAAGTATCAAAACAGTCAGCAACGTTTATTGTTTTCAAATTTTGTTATGATTTTGTGACTTGTGGTGAATAATGATGTTTCTTACTTTAATGTATAAGATTTTAATATTTTAATTATAGCCATAATTGTTATAAAACTCTTTTAGTAATAATGGAGAATTCATATGTTGAATATCGTGATACAACTGGTGTTGAAAGTGATTCGGACACTGAAATTATTGACAATAGTTATACAGACGAATCGTTCGCTAAATTAAAAACCCCTGGAAAAAAGAACCACACGGCATTTGTTCCTGAATCAGATGACACAGTATCAGACGGTATTAAAATATAACACAATATTGTTATAATTTTTCAGTGTACTGCAACTCTTACATCATTCTGTTACAAACTTAAACGCTATAAGATTAATTATAATAATATATTTGAAATGAAATTTATCTTAACCGGTACTTTGTAATGTTTTTTTTAGACGAGGATGTTTCTGAAATCAATCTATCTAAGTCAGTTCATAGCAGAAGCAGTGCTAATCATCATGTTGTTCTGAGTAGTGATGATGGTTTGTAATTATTTCATATTTAACGTTTAAATCTATTTCAAGTGATGAAAATATATGAAAAAAAGACGCGAAATATTCTTTTGCTATTTATACATGATTATGTGGATTGAGCAAAATTGGGCAATTTTATTTTGCAGAAAAAAGTAAAAGGGGCAGTATACAAAGAGAGTCTAATTCTTCAAATAATATTGTTCTGAGTTCTTCAGACGATGAGGGTGAGTTTGTATGAAAGATTATTATATTTTACTCTTTTTTAATAAAGAAATGTCTAAAAAATATTATCTAAACCACCTAATTAAAGAATGTGTTCCCAAGCAATTTGCATATTAGTCACAATAGCATTAATGGGAAAAAATCAATCATAAAAGAAAAAAGATGAATAATTTGTTTCTTTAGATATTTGTCCAGTAGGCAATTATTACTAACTTTTTAGTTATTTACCTTATAAACCAATTTAGTAAAAGTATTTATTTATATTTATTTTTGAATAGAGAATATTAATATAATTCAAACATTAATTAGCTGAAGATTCACCTGAAATAAAACCGAGACGCCGTCCCAAAACTTCTCCTCGGCTATCAGAGTCGTTTATCGGACGAAAAACAAAAAAACGTATATTCCTCATAGAATCGGACACTGAAAACTCTATAATAGTTGAACATGACAAAAACCGTAAACTGAAATGTGTTAAGGACACACCGGCTAAGATTGATAAGAAAGATTTACGAAAAAGTATCTTGGATATAAAGAATATGAGTATACAGAGTAATGATAGTGTGAGGACTGATGATGAAGAAGAAAGTGATGATGATGATGAACGGATAAGTGGTAGTGATAAGGAGGGAAGCCATAGTGATAGTGATCACAGCAATGATGATCAAAACATTGATGATCGAAAGAGAATTAGTGACAGTGGACACTCCGATGACAACACTGATCTTAAGGACACTGAAAGACGTGACTTATCATCAAAAGGTGATGATTTAGATGAAAGTGATGGTGATAAAAACGAAGTGTACTCCAGCGACGAAGGTCCTGATGAAGATCAACTAGTGATGTCAAGAGCTACGAGGATGAGTATAATGGGTATACTGCCGAAGGAGAATGATAGTGATGACTCAGATTACCTACAGTCTGATGATGTAAGGCCTAATATATAACATATTGATTGCTTATTAATACCTCACATATATATAAATTAACTTTTATTTTAGAACCAGACATCACGAGGTAGTTCTTTGGGCAATCCGACTGAACCACCAGTTGGCAATGAAACTCCCAAGAAAGATGAAGACACATCAAGATTGACGTGCTCACCCATCCAGAGTCCACTCCAAAATATTACAAATGAAGTCAATTCAGCTAATAGTTCCAAAAACAGTCCAGATATTTGTGATTTGACCAGATCGGAACCTTGTGATCTACAGAATAGGGTTCTAAATAAGTTGAATAGCACCAAGACTAAATATGTGGAGAAGGTGATTGATGATGACCTCACCATCATAGATGCGAAGCCAGAGGTCATAGCTCTCAGCAGCGACGAAGACGAGGTTATTTTTTATTTTTATATACCTATTATATAACTTGGATTTTTAGGTATTTTACCAGATCCACAGTTTAGTAACCGGCATTGTTTTCGAAACTATAATAAAATGCAAAAAAACTTCCATTTTCAGTTCTGAAATAAAAATAATTTATTTACAGAGGTGAATTTTTAAGTTTTTTTTTGTTGTTTTGCAAAATTTTTAATTCTGCCAATACAGTTTTTAATTTTATTCCGTTTTTATTACTGATGCTCTATTTAATCATGAATATTCTCAATTTTATATAGAATTATTACAAAAATAAATTTTTATACCAATTTTGAAGATACAGACACACATAATAAAATTATTAAGCCCTGTTTAAATTATGTTTCTTTATCTGTACCTATTATAATGGAAGAATATACTTATATTATTTTAAATTAAATATAAACATAATTTTACATTACAAATCGTAAATAAATTTTATTACTGGACAGTATCAGACAATGTCAAAATACGTTATAATTCAACAATTATATTTTGGTGGGTAATTCTAAAAATCGTTGATATTTGAATATGTTTAGTCAGAGTCGAGTTTTAATATTGTTGGTGTTATTTTTATATTTTATTATTTAATTATTTATTATTATCGTTAATTTATTATTTGTGATATATTTGTGGGCCGCCTTTATAACTGTCAATATGCCAAAAAGCGTGAGTTATTTACTTTGTTTTTCAATAAATTCTCTTAGTTTTCATATTCAAACTTAGAACAGACATTACAGAGTTTTTCATTTACATCGCTTAATCGATCATATCTACAATGATTTATATGTAAAATACTGAAAACTGTATGTTTAGTTCGGTAGGAATACTCGTCTTTAGGGTATTGTTTCTAAAATTGATTAACCGTCTATTAATCCATAACGGTTGTTTTAAACTTTATACAAGAATAATTACGTTATAATTAATTACAATACCTAATTCAGCATCATAATTATTTACATTCTTAATAAATTCATTATCATATATTTGTAACATACGACATTACATTATGACGTATAAAAGAATTTAAAAACGTATATATGTAATTAAATCTTAGGTGAAAGATGAAAAGAAGTCTCCCAAAACAAAGACTAACCTCAAAGAAGAGCCGGCATCAGTTAAGAAAGATAATACCATCAAACAGTACCTACTACCGCCCAGCTATCCTAATCAGGTATTATAATATTCCTTCTTAGATTCTTACCATATGTATAGTGTTAATATATTATTTAAGGCCGGCAATGCACTCTAGACCCTTCTGGCTCCTTGAGCGTTCATGGGCGGCGATGACTGCTTACCATCAGGTGGCTAGTAAATATATATTACTAGCTTTCCGCCCGCAGCTTCGCCCGCGTGGAGTTCGGTTATATCGCGTTTCGAAGAGAACCTTTAAAAAAAACTGGGATAAAAACTATCCTATGTTCTTTTTCAAGGTCAACTCTATGTCTGTACCAATTTTCATTAAAATCAGTTTAGGTTTAGGCGTGAAAGCGTAACAGACAGTCAGAGTTACTTTCGCATTTATAATATTAGTAGGGATGTTACTTGATGTAAAAAAAAATAAACTTGTATATTCAAAATAACCTATATCTTAGTTTCTTGTATGAAGCCGTGTTTTTAAATACACTAGTAATGAATGAACATTTAGTATGTTGGTCTTATGATAATAATTAAATTAATGATCACTATGACTTTTGAAAGAGACTAAGTTTTTCAGAAACTACGATATTTTTATTATTTTATAAATACAAACTACCGACGTTTCGATTTCTTTACAGCAACCGTGATCACGGATAGACGATATCTCTGACTGTTGTTACGATTAAAACATGTGTAGTATCCAAAAACACTAAGTTTTATTAAAATTTAATTTTCCTTGTTTTATATAGATAATTTTCATTAAGTGTTTTTTTTTCCTCGATAAATTTGACTACTGACCAAAAACTGCTGGGAGAACTTAAGTACTTATTTGGTGTATCAAGATCAGTCACAACTGATAATTTAAACATTAACACTGTTGGTTATATTTTCACTCGTACTAAAAACACGTGAATACTTACAGTTTGGTGTATAACCTATTCCATCTATTATTCTCTAGGTGGTGTACGTCAAGAAGAATGTTCGTGAAAATGAACTCTCCAAGCTCAATGGACTCAAAGAAGACTTGCAGAATATCAGAGTTAGTAACTTCTGGTTGATATAGCTTACTTTTAATGTTCTTTTTGCTCAGATAATACATGAATGTGACAGATTTAGTTAAACAAAAGAGGTTTTAACTGTCTTTAAATATAGTCTATATCAATATTATTAAGTCCAAAAATTTTATACAAATAATATTCTAAATTTTATCCACAGTATCTCTTGGAAAATATGGATATGAACTCATTACCTGACGGAGGACTCAAGCTGATAGAACGACTCACGACCCTGGAGGGGGAGGTCCGGAAACAGGGGGACAAGGTGGCCAACATGGTGATAGAGCCAGGTAATACACGGACAGACATACATATATAACGATCAATGTTATAGTGTACTAGCTTTTGCCCGCGATTCTGTCCGCGTGGACATCAAAGTTGTTCTTTACCATTATGGCTACTGAATTGGAACTGTACTTCATGTTTCCATCTGAGTGATTTTGGTATCAGGATAAAAATTACCCTATGTCCTTGTCCAGGTTTCTATCTATATCTGTACATAAATTCATCAAAATCGGTTCAGCGGTTTAGGTGTAAAAACGAAACAAACAGGTTGAGTTACTTTAGCATTACTATATAAGCAGGGTTTTATTATATCTACATGTCTTACTCCTTATTTACTTACTAGTAATTCTGAACTGATTTTCGTGAACCATTTCACTAATATTATTATTAAATATACAGGGTAACTGGTGAATTACTATCGATACTTGAGGACGTGATATTTGACGATCATATATGACAAAATAAAAATTAATATAACATAAATATTAATAAACTTCTAAGTAAAGTTAACCAAAAGTTATGTAATTAATTACGCATCGTGTGAACACCCTACAGATTAGGTATACACATACACACACACACACGCGCGCGGCGGCGTGGTATTGTATCAGCACGCCGCCGCGCGCGTCCACACTTGGAACACTCGGAACGTGTCCACACTTTATTTATTTATACGGAAATTTGGTCAAAAATTAAGTACCTATTTTTTTTACATAATTCGAATGAGAATCATGTACCGAGTATTCTCCTTAAATATTGATAGTAATTCACCAGTCACCCTGTATAAGAATGTTTCTTTCAATTGTATATGCTTTATTAATATGTACGTAACGGATTACTTTACGTTATATATAATATAATATATCTATTTTTTTTATTAAGATGAACCTACTCCGGAGGACGTAGCAAGAGATGGCTTCAACAAAGAGAACAAGGGGTTATCCTGGGACGACATACAGAAGGCCAGCAACGCGGTGCAGCCACGGATGTTCGGCAAACAGGGTGAGCTCAATATACAACATACACGACTCATGATGCGGAGATATTATGACTAGGGACCTTGAAAATTATTGATAGGAAATGTCTTTCAACCCTTGAGAAAAGGTTTCTTAATGTATAAGAATGCCGAGTATGTTATAATTATTCACAATTTTTTTCATTTTTACCATTGACCAGACACATAATTCATCAACTCGATATATATACCTAAGTAATTGTTTATGTCTTTCTTCAATTACAGCTTCTCTTAAAATGTTTTTCTAACTCCTTAGTTTTCAGACAATAGTTCTAATAAACTTAGAAACCTAGTAAATATGTATAACTCATTCAATTGTATTCCACTTTGTCAGTAAATTTCCTTATGTATATGTATTTCCCTATATATGTTATGTATGTAATGTTGTAAGGTCAGTGGTGGTCTAGTGGTTAAAAGGTCCGCCTCTCATGCTCGAGGGCGCGGGTTCGATCCTGACAAGTACCAATGGAATTTTTCCGAGTCTTATGTACTTTCTAAGAGTATTTAGACATCACTGATTAATGCTGATTCCCAAAAGAGGGTTGATGTCAGGCAGGCGGCCGGTCGTAAAACAATTAGCCAAAACTATTCACAACATGTAAAGCAGACCCTGGCTATAACTGGGAAATTACCAGGTAGAAGAAGTATGTAATGTCGTCATGGTACGTTCCCAGCGATGGCTACCCACATGGCGGAGCGCAACTTAATCCTGGAGCGTCTCCGCGACCTGTACGAGTCCCTCGCGTCCCGGCCGGCCGAGCAGCACCACCACCCGCAGCCCGCCGCGCTGCTCACCACACTCATGGACCACCAGCTGCACGCGCTGGCCTGGCTGCACTGGAGGGAGACGCAGAAACCCAGGGGGGGCATACTCGGTTAGATGTACACGAACACACACACACACATACACACTCCACGGGTAGGGATACACGGTAGGAACTACACATAAACGCGCACACATACTCAGTATACACATGCACATATACCACGGGGAGGGATACACGGTTAGAATTAGATACAAACACGCACACAAACACACCTTGGAGAGAGATATTCGGTTAGAACTAAACTCACACACACACACACTCATACATACATACACGCCACGGGGGGGGGGGGAAATTCGGTTAGATATAAACATACACATGCACACCATTGGGAGGGATACTTGGTTAGAGTTATATACAGACACGCACACACACGCACACACACACACACACACATACACGCATACACACCTCGGGGAAGGATGCTCGGTTAGAACTACACGCACACACATACACGCTCCGGGGAGGGAAAAAATTAGAAATTTTTCTTCTAGATTTTTCATTAGTGAAATTAAATTCATATAATGTTGTACAGCGAGCTATAGTCCAGGGACTAGCGTACGGTGTTCAATGAACATGATAAATTACGGAGCTAAGGTCATGACTCCGTAATTTATCATGTTTTAAGCGTCGATTTATCATATTTTAACTCGAGTTTTAAGCGTCGAAATAAATATAGACATAGATGTTCAGAAAATGTTTGTAACTCATGGTAAGGTGTAATCTAACATCTCGTTAAACATTCATTACAACCACACCAAAGACAATATCATAGACAAATATCTTTGTTTTTCTTATTAATATAACAGTAATAAATGTTCGTTACAGCTGACGACATGGGTCTGGGCAAGACGATCACTATGATAGCTCTGATAGTGAGTGACAAGGAGAAGAACATTGACCACCGACCAGATGATGATGAGGAGGGAGGCAGGTCCAGATGTTAGTGGAATATAGACTTTATGTTACTTATATATAAGAGATAAAATGACTGCAACGTGGCAAACAAATATATTACATACTAGCTTTCTGCCCGCAGCTTCACCCGCGTGGAGTTCGTTTATTTCGCGTTTCCAGGAGAACCTTTCAAAAGTTTTAGATAAAAACTATCCTATGTTCTTTCTCAAGGATAACTCTATGTCTGCACCAAATTTCATTAAAATCAGTTCAGTGGTTTAGGCGTGAAAGCGTAACAGACAAACAGACAGACAGAGTTACTTTCGCATTTATAATATTAGTAGGGATATAGTAGACCATAGGATTTGTATTCCGTTGTTTGATAACTAGTACAAATTATTTTCTTCAAGTGCTAAGATATCAAACGTTAACTTCCTACCCATTATAACGTGATACACACGGCTGTCCCCAGTGGCTCGCGGCGGCACGCTGGTAGTGTGTCCGGCGTCGCTGATGCAGCAGTGGTCCGGCGAGGTCAGCAAGCACTGCCGGCCGCACGCCGTGTCCGTGTGTCACCACCACGGAGCCGCGCGCGCCACGCAGCCGCACCGACTGGCCAGCTACGACCTCGTCATCACTACATACAATATACTACAGAGAGAGAGTGAGAAGGTATTACAAGAATATTTTATTAGAACTACAATTCTATATTTTTGACACACTTGAGTAACATAGATTTATATTACTACTAGAAGACCCGGCGAACTTCGTATCGCCCTATAATCAAGAAATATCTGTTACGTTTTTTTTTATTTTTATACACACTCACAGAAGGGATATATATATAAAGATAACAATATTTGAATCACGTACAATTTATGACCAGACATCCACATAGGGTAGTTTCCATTAATATTTAAACAATCGGCTACTGTAAACATCCTATACATAAATCACAGCATAATTATATAACATAGAGTTATGTATGCATTTATCCATGGTTGTGGATTGCGTTCCACGTGAAATCTTTCTTTTATTAAAGCAACCTGTTCAACTAACTGACTTGCGTATTTAAAGACGTCCCTGACTCCACACAACATACAAATAAATACGTCACGTTGCATTACATCCCCCCTTGTCACAACTTGTCACACTTCCCCCCCCCTTATGTCAACGTATTTTAAGCCCCTATAGCTATTATATTATTATTGATTTTTAACTTAATTTTGTCCTGTTGTAGTTGTTATGTTATTTTCCTTTTTCGTATACATGTGATAAGTGTTACACTGTTTTTATTTTGTTGTTTGTTGTTAGTGGTGTAATCTTTTAACCAATAAAAGTTTATTATTATTTCCCAATATATTTTGAAAGTATCATCAAGTGTGGATATTTAATCCGTATGTCGTATGTTCCAGGGCGGCGTGTTGACCCGTGTTCGTTGGCGTCGCGTCATATTAGACGAGGCGCACGTGGTTCGTAACCACAAGTCGGCAACGAGCGCGGCCGTGTGCAGCCTGTCAGCGGCGGGTCGCTGGGCGCTCACCGGCACTCCGCTACACAACAAGGACCTCGACCTGTTCGCACTGCTCAAGTTCCTTAGATGTACGCCCTTCGACGATCTCACGGTCAGTACAACTCATTACTTATCTTCTTCTACCTGGCAATCTCCTTTAGCCAGGGTCTGCTTTACATGTTGTGAATAGTTTTGGCTAACTGTTTATACGACCGGCCGCCTGACTGGCATCAACCCCCTTTGGGAATGCATCAATCAGTGATGTCTAAATACTCTTAGAAAGTACATATGACTCGGAAAAATCATATTGGTACTTGCCGGGGTCAGGATCGAACCCGCGCCCTCGTGCATGAGAGGCGGGCTTTTTAACCACTAGGCCACCACTGACTCGTTACTTATATATAATATAGTGAATAACCGATAGTTGCTGTTTATATTGAATTTTGAAAACAATTTATGATCGGAGCGCAAAATAACAGAGTAGGGTTAGGATCAAGTAGGAAAGTCCAAGATACGGATATATTGAAGTCTTTTATTCGGCAAGACGAGAACGATAAATACAAGATCCATGCAATGAGTTTAGAAATGCAGAACGAGTGGTTAGACATAGGAGATTTTTGCATTCCACTAGCACTAAAATGGCGCACCTTAATTCATGACTGGTCGCCAGCCTTGCTAAAATTTTATCTCAATGCGTTCCAGATGACTCTCCCAGATCAGAGTAATTTAGTAAGATGGGGTAAAGGTACCGAAAAAACTTGCTATATCTGTGGAAAGGCAGTTGGAACTGCTAAGCATTTGCTGGTGGGATGTAAGGTTCTCCTGGACAGCGGTCAATACTCACGTCGTCACGATAGGGTTCTAGAGATCATACGTGAAGCGGTTAGTCATTCGGTAGCCAGAGCGCAAAGGGAAATAACCACAAACGAGCGATCAATAGGTTTTGTGAGAGAGGGCACCAGGGCTATAAAATCAAACGTCAAGCCTTACTCTATCCTTAACGCGGCTTCGGATTGGACTATCATGATGGATACGTATGAGAAACAATACAAAATCCCCGAGGATATTTGTGCGTCGGCCTCCAGACCAGACATATTTCTATATTCGCGTATTTTAAAGCGCGTTGTGATGATAGAGCTTACGGTGCCTTGGGAAACCAACATCCCCAAAGACCATCCCATCAAGGTCAATAAGTATTACGAACTCACTAACGAACTAACTCGAAATAGGTTCGTCGTTGATTTGTACGCGGTAGAGGTGGGAGCGAGAGGTATAACAGCTAAATCTCTCTATAACCTACTAAAAGACTTGGGCCTGTCCAGAACTAACATTAATTCATTCTTGGAACGTACGTCGAAGGCAGCCCTAGTAGGTTCTTTTCAAATTTGGTTAGGTAGGGAGATAAACTTGGACAGTGGAGGTGAGCGTATAACGCGCGTTAGTTAAGGGGCCCCTTAAACCTACACCTGGGTCGCAAGTCCCAGGCACTGTTGAAGCTCCTCTCCCTGCAACGCGATGGACCCGGCACCCGCACGGTGAATCCATTGAATGCTAAGAGGTTTCATCTCTGTCTTCGGACCAGTTTTGACTGTCTGTTCCTGTTAATTTTTGATCTATACTTGAATTTCGTTGGCTACAATGTCATGTAGTAAGAACTAATCTTCTAATATATAAAATTCTCGTGTCACGGTGTTCGAACTTGAACTCCTCCGAAACGGCTCGAACGATTTTCGTGATCCTTATCGAGGATGCTAACCAGGGGGGAGAATCGGCCAACATCTATTTTTCATCCCCCTAAATGTTAAGGGTAGTCCACCCCTAAATTTTTGTTTTTATTTTTTAGGCAAAATTTTTTGTTTTTATTTTTTTATGACACAGCCTACAAAAATACATACAACCCTAAATTTTCACCCCTCTGAGATCAACCCTTATTTTTTATTTGTTAATTAAAAACTTTAATTGTTTGGCAATTTGTTTTTTTATTTTTTGATGACTTACAATAAAAAATCTCATATTACTCTAAATTTTTCACCCCTCTACGATCAACCCCTATTTTTTATTTGTTAATTACAAACTTTAATTTTTTGCCAAATTTTTTTTTTTTATTTGTTTTTGGAATAATTTTGATTTATTAATATACCAATTAGAATTCAATGATTGACAGAACATTGTCTGTGGAGTCAGCTATATATAATAAAGAAATTAACATCATTCAAATAAAAACTAACATATATTTCTTGATTATAAGGCGGTACGAAGTTCGCCGGGTCAGCTAGTTTATCTATAAATTATTAGGTGTACAACTTTGCTTCCGCCGTTTTTTTCCGAAATTCGAGGCTTTATTGTAAAAAACTGGTTATACATTTATGATTCAAAGTATTGTCCATCGCTGGCCACTACTTTCTCCCATCTTTGGGGCAGCATACAAATCCCGCGTTGAAAAAACTGGTAATCTTTTGAAGCGATCCACAAATAGATCCAATTTTTAACTTCTTCATAAGACCGGAAGTGCTGGTCAGCCAAGCCGTGTGCCATTGATCGAAACAAGTGATAGCCCGAGGGAGCAACGTCTGGAGAATACGGCGGGTGGGGTAGGACTTCCCATTTCAACGTTTCCAAGTATGTCTTGACCACTTTCGCAACATGAGGTCGAGCATTGTCATGCTGTAAAATCACTTTATCATGTATCTCGTTGTATTGCGGCCGTTAGTCTTTCAATGTTCGGCTCAAATGCATTAATTGTGTTCGATAACTATCGCCTGTGATTGTTTCAGTCGGTTTTAACAACTTATAATGCACTACGCCGAGCTGGTCCCACCAAATACAGAGCATACCTTGGAACCGTGAATATTCGGTTTCGCCGTCGACGTGGAAGCATGGCCGGGATATCCCCATAATTTTCTGCGCTTGGTATTATCGTAATGAACCCATTTTCGTCCCCAGTCACAATGCGATGCAGAAATCCTTTCCGTCTTTGCCTTGCAAGCAGCTATTCACAAGCAAACAAACGCCGTTCAACATCTCTCGGCTTCAACTCGTACGGCTCCCAATTTCCTTGTTTCTGAATCATTCCCATGACTTTCAGGCGTTTTGAAATGGCTTGTTGCATCACTCCCAATGATCCTGCCAATTCTTGTGGCGTTTGACACGAGTCTTGATCAAATAATGCCTCCAATTCTGCATCTTCGAAAAGCTTCTCTCTTCCACCGCCATGCCGGTCTTCGACGTCAAAATCACCGTTCTTGAAGCGTTGAAACCACTCTCGACACGTTCTTTCACTAATAGCAGCCTCACCATAGGTATTTGAGAGCATTCGATGAGCCTCAGCCGCAGATTTCTTCATATTAAAGCAGAAAATTAAAACCTCCCGCAAATGACGAGTATTTGGCTCGTAAGCTAACATGTTTAATCGAGAATAACTTTATGATGCAGACACAAATCGACTAATATTTCGATGGCGTTATGTTTACAAATGCCTAAGCTTATTGTATGACATCTACGATCTATTTATTTCGACTACCACTTATCGCTACAACCATCTATTGCAAAACGGCGGAAGCAAAGTTGTACACCTATGTATATTCATTTTTATAAATAAATAGTTCTGAATGCACAACATTGCGAGTACGACTACTATAAAATTAAATATTTAGTCTAACCCAAGTATTAATATCTATTTACAGATGTGGAAGAAGTGGATCGATAACAAATCCCTCGGCGGCCAGGAGCGTCTGAGTACTATCATGAGGTGCATCATGTTGAGGAGGACCAAGCAGTTGTTACAAGAGCGGGGACAACTGACGTGTTTACCGGAGAGGAGCGCGCACCACGTAGACGTGACGCTGGGCAAGGACGAGATGAACGTGTACCAGAAGGTAGGAACACACACACACACGGAGGACTTGGAAACTAATACATAGATGAGAAAATATACGTAGATCAATGTGTACCAGAAGATACCAACACACACACACACACACACACACACACACGGAGGACTTGGAAACTAATACATAGATGAGAAAATATACGTAGATCAATGTGTACCAGAAGATACCAACACACACACACACACACACACGCACACACACACACACAGAAGACTTGCAAACTAATACATAGATGAGAAAATATACGTAGATCAATGTGTACCAGAAGATACCAACACACACACACGCACACACACGGAGGACTTGAAAAGTAATAAGTAGATAAAAAATATATGTAGATCAATGTGTACCAGAATAGGACCTTCATTCAAATACATGGATAGATATAAAATATACGTAGATCAATGTGTACCAGAAGGTACCAACACACACACACACAGAAGACTTGCAAACTAATACATAGATGAGAAAATATACGTAGATCAATGTGTACCAGAAGATACCAACACACACACACACACACAGAAGACTTGCAAACTAATACATAGATGAAAAATGTATGTAGATCAAGGTACCAACACAAATGTATACATACGAATAGGACCTTCATTCAAATACATAGATAAATATAAAATATACGTAGATCAGTTTAGAAACAGGCAACTTAATGTTTTCGGATTACTTCGCGTTTTTTTTTTGATTATTTCTAAATTATATGCTCCCGAAGTTTCGGTTAGTTTGCAGTAACCGTGATCACGGGCAGACTAGATCATCATTATCGCTGAGAAGTAACTGAAACGTCGGCTGTATGCAGTTTTAAACAATAATAAAAAACGCGTAAAATCGCAAAATATTAGTTAAATTTAAATTTGAGCGAGTAACATTTCATTCAAGTCTTTTATTTAGGTTTGTATGTGGTGTATGTGTTTCTGTAACATATCAGTTCCATTCCAGGTGTTAGTGTTCTCCAAGACGTTGTTCGCTCAGTTCCTCCAGCAGCGTGCCGAACGGGCCGGGGACTCCGCCCCCGGGAAGGACTCGGAGTACCACAAGATGCACAAAAAAATGATCGCGCTACAAGGTTCATGTTAATATATACACAAAGAAACTATTGGAATAAGGATTATGAGATAAATTTATGTTCGTTTGATATTTAAACTGGATAATATTTTTATATTACTAGCTTTCCACCCGCAGTTTCGCCCGCGTGGAGTTCGGTTATATCCCGTTTCCAAGAGAACCTTTCAAAAGTCTGGGATAATATCCTATATTCTTTCTCAAAATCAACTCTATGTCTGTGCCAAATTTCATTAAAATCAGTTCAGTGGTTTAGGCGTGAAAGCGTAACAGACAAACAGACATAGTTACTTTCGCATTTATAATATTAGTAGGGTTTGAAACTCATATTATAGTCCGGTCAATTTAGACCAAAAAATGAGAGTGAAGTTACATAAAGTCTCAACAAGCTGAATTTCTGTGAAATTGTTCAAAACCTAATTATAAACAATGTCTAGAAGTTCCCCATCATTCCCCTGTAATTTTAGTCTTGAAATACTCCTGGAAGTCCAGGGAAGGTTTAAAAGGTGAGAAACATTGGAATAATTGCCGGGAAAACCCTAAAGACAGCCCTTTTCTATTTCCCATACAAACGTTTTTTTTGACATTAGATTTGACAACTAACTAATATGTCAATCATTCTGTTTGATTGAAACAGGAAAAACCTGATTATTTATGGCCTCTAAGACGGAATAGAGTTCGCCTGGTCAGCTATAGCTACATATATTACTCTTGACCAAACTAAAGCGGACGAAGTCGCGGGGAAAAACTAGTAATATAATATTATCTATAAATAATGTATCAATACATTATTTATAGATAATATTATAACGCTAACGATAACGCTCTTCCAATGTCCTGGACCCTGGAGGAATCTTTCACCCTCCTCTTTACTGTAATCATCCAGATTTTTTGGAAATCGGTCTAAATGCGAGCGCAGGAAGTGGATTTTTATGCTAATGCTGCACCCTAATTGTTTCAAATTCGATAGCATGGCCTAACAAGCTCCACGTAGTCGTCAGATTTATTTTTGCCTAAGAAATTACTAATAACCAAAAAAAATGAATTCTAAGGTTTCGATTCCATTTTCGATTCCTTTAGTCATTGATTTGACAAAATCAGAATCTTTCACGAGTTGCCTGATCTGTTCTTGAGGTTCTTGGCTAGATTTGTAGACTGAATAAGAATCTTCACTTGATGAATTTCGTTCGGGTTCACAGGGATTCGGGTCATCAGAAGATTTAGATTTGCCAGGTTGTACCTCTCATAATTTTAATTGGGGTCGTTGGGCAGAAGATAAGTTAGGATGTGGCCACTTATTTCGATTGCCAGGATTAATTCCTTTTACTTTCATAACGCAAAAGTAGCAGTCGTCATGATCGTTTTAAGGTTCTCGCACCTGACCACCTGTGTTTTCAATATTACTGCATCTCTGTTTCCATTGGACCACAATAGTAGCCATACAACACATTTTTGACATACAATATGAGGAATCCACGGCTTGTTCTGATTAAACAATTTTATTTTAAAGTATTGTTGATACACATTTTTCACAAGTTCGACATAGGTTTTCGATACTTTGCAAATACATATTCACTACAAATATAGCAAAAAGAGTCGGGAGTAAGAACACAATATCTTCTTGACGAAGCCATATCGAAAACAGCAACAAAATATGTTGCAGTGTCGAATAAAAAATGCATATGTAGATGAAAGTAGTAAATGAGAGTAGTTAGCTGTAACTCAAAAACAAAAGCTGTTAGAGGAAAACTGTTTCGAAATTTGAAAAATATACGTCAATTTAAGATAGAAACAAAAAAAACATTAAAGGAAACAAACAACTTTTATTTTTTTGTTGACCAGTGTTATATTTTATATATAATATATTTAACAGTCAGCTGATTCGACGCCGAAAATCTGAGGATTTTCTTCTTTCACTCTCTTCATTTAATTTTTCGCTACAAAATAAACATAGTTCTTTGAAACAAAAAGCTGATTCACTGATATGTGATGTAGTACGAGGAGGACTTGCTGTGTATGTACTGGCTTCTTGTTCTTCACGTTGTCTTTTATTAGCTGCAGCAATAGAATACTTTCGAGTATAATTTTTACGGCAATTTTCATATATTGTCACAGATTTCTGATTTTTGAAATATTCCGAAAAATCATCATCTCTTTCGATACTTGTTTAATTAATACCACGTTCAACAGTAACAACTTCGCTGTCAGTTAAAAGTTTACACAAATAAATCAATATTTATATATATATATAAATCTTCTTTTTCTACCTGGCAATTTCCCAGCTATAGCCAGGGTCTGCCTTACATGTTGTGAATAGTTTTGGCTATTTGTTTTTACGACTGGACTCCTGCCTGACATCAACCCTCTTTGGGAATCAGCGTTAATCAGTGATGTGTAAATACTCTTAGAAAGTACTAGCTTTTGCCGCGACTCCGTCCGCGTGGAATAGGGACTTACGGCAGATTTTTGGTTCTTCCCACATAGTTCCCATTCTTGTGGGGTTTTCGGAATGGTCGAGTTCCCGTAGAATTTTCAGGATAAAACCTATGTTTTTTTTATTCACAATGAAGTACTCTTAACTCAAACTCAAACAACTTTATTCAATATAGAAGCATTACACTTTCTTATTGATGGTCATTTGAGACACTACCACCGATTCGGAAAAGAAAATACCCTGACCTGAGAAGAACCGGCGAAAGAAACTCAGCGGGTTTATTTTTTTTAAATATATATACAGGGTGACTGGTGAATTACTATCAATATTTAAGGAGAATACTCGGTACATGATTCTCATTCGAATTATGTAAAAAAAATAGGCACTTAATTTTTGACAAAATTTCCGTATAAATAAATAAAGTGTTGACACGTTCCAAGTGTTCAAGTGTGGACGCGTGCGGCGGCGTGCTGATACAACACCACGTCGCGACACGCGTATGTGTGAGTGTCAGTGTATACCTAATCTGTAGGGTGTTTACACGATGCGTAATTAATTACATAACTTTTGGTTAACTTTACTTAGAAGTTTATTAATATTTATGTTATATTAATTTTTATTTCGTCATATATGATCGTCAAATATCACGTCCTCAAATATCGATAGTAATTCACCAGTCACCCTGTATATATAAATTTGTCTCATATATTATATACACAATTTAATATGAGATGAAATAGCCAGGAGGCGATCGTTTCATTCCCAAGGTGTGCTATCGTTCATAAACTCATTAATTGTATAGTAACCTTTTGCACACAAGCGTTCCTTAATATATTTTTTAAATTTAGCAATAGAGGCATTTTGAACGCTTTCTGGGATCCTGTTGTAAAACCGTATACATTGCCCCACAAAGGAGTTACTGACTCTATGTAGTCGAGTAACAGGAGTAACAAGTTTATGTTTGTTCCTTGTACCAATGCTATGAGTATCACATTTTCTCATGAAATCATTAATATTTTTTCGTACATACATAACATTGCAGAATATATATTGAGAAGCAACAGTCAATATCTTGATTTCTTTAAATTAATTCCTTAACGATTCTTTAGCTCCTAGGTTATAGATTGCGCGAATAGCCCTCTTCTGTAGCACAAATATAGTATGGATAGCGGCTGCGTTGCCCCACAGCATAATACCGTATGACATTATACTGTGAAAGTAACTGAAATATACTAAGCGAGCCGTATCAACATCGGTACATAATCTAATTTTTTTGACCGCGAATGCCGCAAAACTCAGTCTACTCGCCAATCCGCTAATATGGGGGCCCCATTGCAACTTAGCATCAACAGTAAGGCCAAGAAACTCAGCAGAATCAATTGGATCCATCGATTCCCCGTTAATGAGTACATCGGCTTTTACATTATGTACATTAGGTGTACTAAATTTTACAATTTTTGTTTTATTATTATTTAGCCTAAGATTGTTTACACTAAACCAATGTACTATATAACAACATCTTTATTTGTTTATTTGAATAAAGATTAATATTATTATGTTGATCCAACTTAAACAAATTATTTCGACCAAATTAGGTACCATAAAAACGGTTTTTGTGAGTTAATCTTAAAAGATAGACGTATACTGTCGCGGAGTGTTTTTTAGATCATTAAAAGAGCTATTATTCTTTAACACATATTTTTTGTGTATCTTGAACCGTTTTCACGGCGCACGTAACGGAAGGCTTCAAAGATGAAATAATTTCTCCCGTTTTTTACACATTTACCACTATATCTTTGCTCCTATTGGTCGTAGCGTGATGTTATATAGCCTACAGCTTTCCTCGATAACTGGACTATCCAACACAAAAATAATTATTCAATTCGAACCAATAGTTTCGGAGATTAGCGCTTTCAAACAACCAAACAAACAAACTCTTCAGCTTTATAATATTAGTATAGATATATAAAGGTTGCCTGGAAGAAATCGCTGCTTAGCGATAAGGCCGCCTGTTGCATCTCATGCTACTTGCATATATAACGTAAATGTAATTTTTTAGTTTTAGTATGTTGTGCAATAAAGAATAAATAAATAAATAAATAAATGACTCGGAAAAATCACATTAGTATTTGCCCGGGCCAGGATCGAACCCGCACCCTCGTGCATGAGAGGCGGGCCTTTTAACCACTAGCCCACCAATGACTGTTACATATATATAAAATATAACAACTCTAGATGTATATACGTGGCGTACTCATGCTTATTGCTTATTATGACGATAACCACTTTTATAACTTTTTGAATCGTTATATCTCAGAAACGGTGACTCGTAAGTAAAAAAGTATTGATACATTTGTTATAGATAATTTTATAATGTACAATTTTTGTCAGAAGTCCTTCTATGATAAAACTTACCATTTTGCTGAAAATCGCGAAAAACTCATTTTTTTGACCTTTGATCTTGAATAAAAATTTTTCCTTACAGGGGAATGATGGGGAACTTCTAGAAATCGTTTATAATTATGTTTTGGACAGTTTCACAGAAATTCAACTTGTTGGGACTTTATGTAACTTCGAATGTCTAAATTGACCGGACTATTATGTTTTACAGTAATATATGTGATAATGAGAGAATGTATGAAATAAAATCAAAAAATGTGATACAATTTCAGTAGACGCAATCTCCTCAATGCACAAGAAATATAGGGTGCGCCAGAGAAACTTACTTATTTAAAAAAATTACCGCGCGGTGAGTTGGGCGGGTAGAGGGGCAAGAGGGGGCTCATCTGGAGGGGGAAGTTCCCAAGTTTGTTTCTCCCTCCAGTCAGCTGCCATCATGCTCTGGTTTAGAGAGCAGCGGGCCTTCGCAGTTGAGAGCTTCTTTTCTAACGGTCGCTCACTTGTTACTACGCAACGTGCCTTCCGCGCTCGCTTTGAAATTCCTCCTCACAGACTCGTTCCTGGCCGTAATTCGATTCTGTCGTGGTTTAACTCATTTCGGGAGTGTGAAAGTGTCGCTAAACCCAGAAATGGACTTCAACGGACCATCAGAACTCCGGAAAATATCGAAGGAGTGAGGCAGTCAGTTGTGCGTTCTCCCCGGCGTTCGGCTCGCAAACACGCAGCTGCTATGGGAATTCCTGATACCACTGTTCGACGAATTCTCCATAAAGACCTTCAATTTCATCCCTATAAATTGGCTGTTGTGCAAGAATTAACTGAACGCGATTTTGTTGCCCGTCAAAATGCATGTGAAATGCTGATTGACAACCTGCCGGAAGACGCGGTCGTTTTTTTCAGTGTCGAGGCTCACTTCCACATTTCCCTGGTTTATGTCGATCGACCACGGACCATAGCACACCTCAAGAACAACATTCGCGACGCCATTGGCAACATACCGATTGATATGCTGCGAAGAGTGGATACAAATTTAAAAAATCGACTTCATCAGTGTATGCGCAATGGGGGTCACCATTTATCCGATGTCATTTTTAAGACTGCATGAAAAAAAAATTGGGATATTGTATTCTCAAATAAAAAAAAATTAAAACAATAACTGAAGTACTTTTTTTTTATTGACCTTTCAAATAAGTAAGTTTCTCTGGCGCGCCCTGTATAACATGTGAACACTATGTTAAACAATAGAATATATTCTAATCTTCATCTTAAATCCTTTTATATATTTTTACAAACTAGATAACATTTATTTATCTATCACTCAAACAGAAATAACTATTTCCAGGAGCAAAACCGGTCAAATCTCACGAGATCCTGGTCCTATTGCTTCGTCTCCGTCAAGTGTGTTGTCACTGTGGCCTGATAGCGGCCATGTTGGATCCTGATGATACACCAGACGTGGTTGAGGATCAAGGAGGAGCAGACTTGATGGAGGAACTCAACAAACTATCGCTAGAAGACTCGCGCTCTAAGAGAAAGGTTGCCAGGATTATGGAATTAATAACTTAGTGTTGCCAGACATAATATTACAAAATATATATATTATTATTAAAATTTAAGTTTAATTGTTATATAAAAGTATTAAAAATATATAAATGTTATTTGAAGTCTCCCTCGATCGTTATGAACTGAAAATTAGTCTTTTGAAAGGAATTATCTTGTTGTATAAGGTTCTTGACTATATTCTCAGTAAAGATTGGTACAAAATCATCATATGAAATCATTGATGCAACTGATAATTTATAGAAATTTTATTAATTATTATGAAACTTTTAGAACTACATAATCATAGACAATGTTTAAAATAAAATGACACTGAACTTGCTTTAAAACATTCAAACTATATATTTCAGAGTAAAGATAAGAATGATGATGTAGAGGATGATCCCGGTGAGGCCACTACAGCAGCAGAAGCCATCAGGTCCGTGCTGTCTCCAAACAACCCCGTGTTCAACCTCGACAGACAGTCCTCTAAGATAAAGGCTGTCATGGAGTGTCTGAATAAGAACGTCTTCCCTAATAAAGGTACAATGTTGTTTATTAACTTAAAAAATAACTTAGACTGTGTTATATAGTATTTGATTAATATTAACTTGTATATAATTTTTATCAATATAAGATTTAAATAAATGTTCATTAGTGAAACACATTGAACTTTCTTACTATTTTCGATAAATCAGATATATATTTAATAAATGATCAAATCGCCAACCCGTCTTCAGCAAGCGTGGTGATTAATGCTCTCATTTTCGCCATGTGAGAAGAGGCCTTTGTTCAGCGGTGGGCACCAATAGTTTGATGATAATAATAATGATTAAAATTTCAAAGAAATTTGCAATTTATTCATATATAAATTAAAAACAGAACATTTTATAAAAATATAAAAAATAAATATATAATTTTATAATCTGGATGAGGTGATTACAGGAGATAAAAAAGAATACACTCTTTACAAACAAAAGAATTTATAGAGAATAATTAGACTTTCGTAGTGGTTTATTGGTTTGAGGCCCGCCTCTTCAAAACCTGACAAGTACCAATGTGATTTGTCCGAGTCATATATAGACTTTCTAAGAGCATTTCAACATCACTGACAGATAAAGGCAAAACATCGTAAGAAAACCTGGACTTAAAATTCCAAATTATAAGTTTGAAATCATCAATCCGTCTTGAGCAAGCGTGGTGATTAATGCTCAAATCTTCTCCATGTGACAGGAAGCCTTCGCTTAGCAGTGGGCTCTGATAGGCTGATGATGAATTACAAATTATATATATACAAGTTTTTGTCCGCGACTTCGTCCGCGTTAATTTCGTCATTAGTAATATATGTATAGCTGACCGGGCGAACTCTATTCCGTCTTAAAAGCCATAAATAGTCAGGTTTTGATATTTATTAAATTTTTCCTCTTTCAATCGAACACAATTAAATATCCTATGTCCGTCTCTTTGTTCTAATCTATCTTTCCACCAATTTTCAACTATATCCCTACAGTTGTTCTTCTTCTTCTTCTAAGCAATTTCCCAGCTTAAGCCAGGGTCTGCCTTACATGTTGTGTATAGTTTTGGCTAATTGTTTATACGACCGGCCGCCTGCCTGACATCAACCCTCTTTGGGAATGCATTAATCAGTGATGTCTAACTACTTTTAGAAAGTAAATATTACACTATTACAAAAGTAAAGAAAGTTCTCGCACATGTAGTGGTAATCGTTACTCACAAAGATAGATGGATGCACTCATAGAATATCGTAACTATGGTCGTAACACAATATCGTCCATCTTAATATTTTATTCTTTGTTCTGATTTTTTATACATATTATAATATGTTAAGTGTAATATATTTCTATATGTTTCCAGGAGAGAAGGCGGTGGTAGTGTCTCAGTGGACGTCCGTGCTTCATTTGGTACAGAAGGGCTTGGATGCGCGAGGAGTGGGCTGCGTCACTCTCAGCGGCGCCGTGCCCGTGACCGCGCGCGCCGCGCTCGTTAACGCTCTCAATGACGCTAAATCTGATGTTAAGGTGATAATGAATGATTGGAGCAAGTTACTTCGGGTTTAAGAACTTTATTTAAAAGAATTATAAAAATTATTCTTGGACAGTTCGACAATTCGTACGGTACACTTTATGCATAGAAACAAAGAACTGTTGGATGCCTTGAGAATGAATTTTTTTACTATTGAAAAACAAATGTAATTTATCCTAGCTGAATGAAATTATGAATCACGGTCTAGGCCTCTACACAACGCCTCTACTTTATTTGGGTCTCTTACCGCCCCTATTTAAGCTTGAATCACCCACAAGGGGCCGTTATCGCTCACTTTGAGAAAGGCTTATTTATTAAAAGACTAATTATGTGTTAGTTATATAATATGTTGCACTTTTCTATCTTGATTATGCCTAAACTAGAATATATCTTTGGGAGCGTTCAAGTATTACGTAACGCAATTTTGGGGGAGGGGGGGTCTCTCTTACAAAACGTTACGTAGCATTGTTTCTAAAAAAATATTAATAAAAACCTCCAAACTGGCAACTCTTTTCATATACATTACATTGTTGACCAGATTGTATTAGTCTGGTCGATATTTTTATTTGTTATTCCAAGTTTGCAAACCTCTTAATTGATATTTTACGGGGAATACCTAGATTGCATTGAAAGTCTTTTGATGAAATTGATCACCTGAGTGTAACGTAACGTTTTGAGAAGGGGGGGGGGGGGCTACAGAAAAACGTTACTGTGCGTTACGACGGGGGAAGGGGGGGGGGGTCAAAAATCTTCCAAAATTGCGTTACGTAATACTTGAACGCTCCCTTTATGACGTAATAATTTATTGACTTCTGTACACTTAAGAGAATCCTAACTATATACAGAGCATTTCTTGTGTAAGTGTCAACATTTTTATAAAAAAGAAACAGCAAACTGTCAGTATGTCATTAACCATGAAACTTATTGTAAGGCTGCTGTATAGTAACGTCAATTAGACCTACATCTCTGGTAATGTTCTGAACAATACATACATATATGTAATATATATCCAATGCTATACGATATTAGATCGTTCGTCTAATATGGCCCATACATAGGAATGTAATTTTATAATAAACACATTATGGAGTTAATTATGTAGGATGGCAACCAGAGGTTCAAGAAAAACTACGAAACTTACTTATATGCATATTATAATTAAAGTTACATTATGACTTACAACCTACACCTAAGACTACATGATTGTCCCGATGTTAGTATAGGAATACCATTCCATAGCTTGTGTGGCATCAGGAATCTTCTGGTTCACACGGCTTGGTGTTCGTTTCGTATAGTCAGCAGCGTCACTCGTTATATATTTTATCCATACAACGATCTTGCCCCGGCGATGTTCATTTATATTTTAATATGAAGTTTTCATTCCTAGTAATGATATATTTTCCCAGGTGATGTTGTTATCTCTGTGCGCGGGCGGCGTTGGTCTCAACTTGTGTGGAGCGAACCACCTCCTCCTGTTGGACCCTCACTGGAACCCGCAGCTTGAGGAACAGGCGCAAGACAGGATCTACCGAGTGGGACAACAGAAACATGTGCATATATACAGGTACAATACATTATATACTTGACATATACTTATATACATATATAGAAATGGCTAAAGTTCAACCGTTTTCCCTCACACATATATGGTTTAAATATAATCACTATCTAAATAATTTTTCTTTAAATTCAACAAATATACTTATGAACATTACATATGATGCAAATCAGAGTAACTACCATTGGATAATTCCGCGTATCTAAATAATAGTAATAAATAAAACACTAAATAATGATTAAATGTCATTAATATATAAAATATTTCAGTTTAAACTTTCTTCTGATAATGTGCTTCCAATGTTGACACGGAATTATCCAATGGTAGCTACGCAAATTTGCACTGGCCCCGACGATATGTATATTATATACATATAATTGGCTAAAATTAAAGTGTTTTCACTCGCACGCACATAATAATTATGTACACAATTTTTCTATAAATTCAATTCTTATTGAGAATGTATATAAATGCAGCAACATTCTAATATTTGTCTTACAATAATGTTATTGTTTCCTTCCATTGTACATACATAGTCGTGATAAACATATTTCTACTAATTTCTTTAAATAAAAAATTTTAGTTGTGATATTTTAACGGAATAATCTTTATTTTTGTTATATATTAGAAGTCATTTATCTATTTTACACCAGGTCGAGATAATTCTTTTCAGTTCCTATAAAATGCGCGCCAAAATTTTATTGTCAGTTTATTAGTTAAGCTGTGATTTTTTTCATTGTTGATACAAGATATTATGTTTCTGATTAGGTATAGTGAACAAGTACTTTTATTTAATTTTATAAGCACAACTTGCACTTTATAATATATGTAGTATAAACTTTGACCTCTGGCCGGTCGGCGGTCAAACCGAGCGGTTACAATCGTAGCTACGTATAAAAATGAGTAGACGGGCCGGCAGTGTGTTTGTTATACATATATATTTTTTTGCATGTAAAGAAATAAATAATTTAATAAATGAATACATAAATTTATAAATTCAATAATTTAAATAAATAAATAAATAAATAGGTACGCTACATATGTAAATTTTAAGTAGTTTTTTAATATATATATTATATATGTATCTTTGAACAATCGTATATTTTTTTTAATAGTACAAAGAGTATGAAGATCCGGTCACTACCAGAATTTGTTTGAAATAGATATTTTTCTTATGAGTGATGATGTGTTTATTAACAGGAAATCGTTTCGTATTTTTATAATTGGTCGCCAATGTTTTTAGTGTGACGTCACCGCTCGTTAAAACTTCTCTTGGCAGACGAGCCGACAATCGACCGAGTATTCGGAGAATTTGGCTGACTTGATACTAATATTTACACTGGCATCGACCCGCGGGTTCACTTCCCGATCTATAGGAAACATTACCCAAATGATGCCATTATTATTTCTGTATCCGATGACTTTTAAGTATTAAGAAAATCGGCTGCGTAAGATTTCCACGTAAAACGTATTTATGAAATTTTTAGAAACTTTCTAAGAATATCATCAGTCACTAATTTATAAATGTTTTTATATGAAAAGTGCCTTTCGTCTTCTAACAAAATTATTAATTTAATTTTAAAACTAACTGACAATTTTATTTTCTTATTTAAACCTTTTATAATAACAATTTGAAAGCTTTGTTAAGTGTAATTCAGTAACTATTATTATTTAGAATGATTATCGTTTAAAATAGCATTACGTCGTAAAATATTACAAACGCTATGTAAATGTGGTTTTATAGAGCATGTCGACTGATTGAGCATTTGACAATACATTAAATTATTCTCAAATAAATTTATGAGGAAACGAATTTAAAAACAATAATTAATTACCAGATAATAATATTAACATATCAAGAGATACAGGAATAAGAATTTGTTTTGAAAAAAAAAAACATGTTAAATTAAATTTTTTGATTCAAAAATTAATAATCATTTAAGATGAAGTAGATTCACAGCAGTAACAAGATGAAGACACTTAAACGACAGGAGTTATAGTTTAAGGGAATAAAACAATAAGTTAAAACAAAAAATGGATCGTTATTGTAATAAAAAAAACTGTTCAATATGTATTTATTAGGTTAAGAACTAGTTCGGTTCTACTGTTCTTCTAGTCTATTAGTCTATTGATATGGAATTTCTTATATACAAGTTCTACTCATGACTTATCTATATAATATAAATATTTTTTTTATAAATATATACTAAATAATATCTATTACAGTTAATACACACAGATTGACTAAAAACGAATTGTTATAATATAAAATTTAAAGACGAGTAAAAGAAAATTCACACGAGCACAGAAGCTGTTGTGATATTGCAATTAATTTTAAAGCGGTTACAAAATTGCATATAAATTAAAAAAAAATTGTGCTGTATTTAAAATTTTTGATTTTATGTATTGGAGGTCAATTAAATATACAAAAGTAGTTATAACATTACATAAACAAACGAAGTCTGTATCTTGAGATAATAAGAACCGTATGTTATATGTAATCCTACTAATATTATAATTGCGAAAGTTTGTGAGTGTGTGTGTATGTTTGTTACTTCTTCTCGTTTAAACGGCTGAACCGATTTTGATAAAATTTTGTATAAAGGAAGCTGACTTAATAAAACTGTTTAACTCTTTTCCCGCCAGGTTCATGTGCGTGGGTACAGTGGAACAAACAATCAGAAAGCTACAGGACGTTAAATTAAAGATGGCCGACAATGTACTCACAGGCGCCAGGAACACGAACGCCTCAAAACTTACCATCGAGGATCTGAAGATGCTGTTTAATATGGGGCCACAGAACGAAGCATAGATATATAGAAAAAAAATATACTTGCAACTTAATAAATAAAGAAAATACCTTGTTTTGTTAATAAAATTATTACAATAAATATATTAAATTTAATCAGTTGTATTACATAGTCGAATTTACTGAATTAAAACTAAACTCGTACCCCTACCACGAGTCCGAATTGTTGAATTGTACAATTTGGTCTTCATTCATAAATCTTCTCGAATGATCGTATCAAAGTCGACACATTAATTAAGAGTTAAAAATTATTTGTTTTCAATTCGATACAAACTCGTGGTAGGGTCAATGAAGATGATAAAACGAGTTCATTTCCTGGTACGAAAAAACTGAGCCAAATTTTAAAAAGTCGGGTCAACGACCTCCTGTTTAATAACACGTCGACGACAAATAATAATTCTCAGTAATGTTATGTTGGTAATGTGTCTAATGTGATTGTAGATATATATGATTATGTTTCCAATAAATGATTATTTGTTTAATGCGTTTTCCTTTTTAAATTAAATATGAAAATAATTATCACAACTCCAATATGAATGAAGCCACAGCATAAACAAAACAAAATTAAAAATAGTTTATAAAAATACGTGAAAAATCAAACCCTCATCATTCTTTACTATGATTTCCTTAATAATTAAGAAGACAAACTCGTATACAATAAATCATATTGTCGAAAAGTGAGTCATTATGCCGTCCGTATAATTGAGTTGAATCCTGGCGTGGCACCAGACACTGTCACCCGACCCTGAGTAAGGCCGGGAACCTACCTTATATCAGTGAACGTTAAAGTTTCTATAAATAGTTTGTTTCACGGCCGTCTTACGTTGCGACTACGTTAGTGTGTGTTGTGTAGTGTCGTTGGAGAGACGTTCAGTGTAGCTGGCATCATGAGCATGGAACGTAGATCCTGTACGGGCTCCGCGCCTCACGTCACTAAGAGGTTGTGTGCAACTCTCATGTTCTTCATAGGCATAGTTTGTATATTCGGAGGTAAGACCCATTCACTAATATTTAAAATCTTTTAAAAATATATATTAACGTTAATTCTACATGTAATAAACATAAATATTGTGCCATTATCAGCTGTTAAATGTTTAGATTTGAATTTATGCGAAACATCTAAGTCGGAATGTAAGTTTTAAAAATAAACTCAAACGATTGTTATAATTTTCCAGGCTATTTACTGGGACGAATGGCCCGGCACGAAGTGAAGAAGAACAACGACATACTATTCATCAACTTGACGAACGCAGCCGAGAATTTGTATAAAAAAGCCAAACTAATAACACCAAAAGCCGTGCATCACAACGGTCCGGACAAAATAACCGCCAAATTGTTGGACGCATTCCATTGCAACGTACCAGAGTGCGGGGTTATTACACACAACAATTTAGCTGATTTCTTGAATAATGTAATAAATCACGAAGTAACCAAATTAACGAGATCTATACACAACTCCTCGCTCTATTTAGATTCATTAAGGTGACACTCGTTTTAAATATACTTTTAAACGGAATACACTATACGCCGCTAAGTATTAATAATATTTAACAAAAGTATATTTTTTGTTGTTGCCATAATTATCTGTCTAATCGTTTGAATATTTGAGACTTTAAATGCCAATAATTATTTCATAGTCATAAGTTTTTTAACATAAGTTTTAACGATAAAATAGTTAGTATGTATTACATTTATTTCAATATACTACTTTTATAAATTACAGAAGGGGTAAAAAAATTCATATGTTCATATTATGTTTCCAACTGTTCAACAACCATAACTCGCCATTAATAATAATATTATTGTATAAAGCCTTAAGTTAGATTTTAAAAAATGAAACTACGTTTTTATGGTCTTTAAAACTTTACATTTAGGGCCGAGTAAGGAGTTGCTTTGTCGTCGATTATGTACAATGACAGAACTTCTTTTGAAGTTAAAAGAGAGCTTCTAATGTCTAGTAAAGAATAAAATGAAGGGTTCTGTGAGTTAAATGTATAGAAAATATAAAATTATTCCAATTTTCGAGATCTCTCTTGGCATCTTATATAGTTTTGTATTATTTCTAATGAAAATATTCTATACCTTTTTAAAACCAAGCAATATTATGATTGATAAAATCGTCACTGGGTGCAAAAAGAAAACAGGTATATTAATAGATTTTTTACATTTCATTTTTTTCAATAACTTTGTAATATGAGAAAAGTGAAAATGTGCATTTTTAATGTTTTCGTTAGTGACTTATTAAGTTTAAATTAAAACGGATATAATCTTAAAAGTTGTGTTCAAATTATATATCACATGTTTTTATAAAAATATCTGATTATTTCTGAATTAAATATGGAAAATGTGTAAATTGACCAAGTCACAGGTTGGCAAATTGTGAAAAAAATGTTTATTGTTTTTAATATTATAATTCTTTAATAGATACTTCTCCTTGTTTTATTTTGCTCAAAGAACACTAATACTTATTTTTATGGTAATTTCAACAATCATTAGCAAAAGTCCCTGAATTTTTTTCAATTAAAGCAGCCGTAAATATTATTAAATTTTAATATTCACTCACAAAAATATTTTTTGTGACTATAGAGTTAGCATATACCGTTTATTTTTTTTAATAAAATAAGTCAACTTTTAATAGGAAGTATTAGGGCTGTCATATAGTTTTTTTTCTGAGACGTACGGATTTTGTGGTTTTCCACAAATATTTTATTTTATTTAGAACTTAAATTTGATTTGTGGAAAAGATAATAAAATACTATTACAGCTAAAAATGTCACTTAAAATATTACTTTTAATTTTAAGATGCCTTTATGCCTTAATATTGGATGCATCATATACACAAATCAAACTTTTTGCTAATTTTTTAATATAACAATTTTATACTTAAGAAAATTATGAATTACTTTTAAAATTATAAATTATACTGTTTGGACGCTATTCCGATAAAACATAATTATGAGAGATATAGTAGTAAAATATTTTAAAATTCATTATTTAACAAATTAATTTAATATAACATAAATTGGTTCTTTGAATTATCTTACACAGTATTTAAAGAACAAATTGTAGTTTTGATTGTTTAATTTTAAATTAGTTGTTTATTAGAATATAAGACTAGCAACACTGAATAGACAATAATTATTAATGACGTCATAGCGTCATTCCGTGTTTGAGACTTGAGTAATCTATGCTAGCGGCCGGCCATCTTGTTAAGAGTATAAGTGGAATAAGCAATAATCTTGTGAATATTTTGAACACGTGCTTTAATTTTAGTGATATATTTAATTAATTTTTTATTATAATTTACAATGGTGCCGGTAAGTGAATAGTTATAAATTTGGTCAGAATTGTTACGTAAACATCACGTTTCTTATATGTTATACTGCATGTTTCAGCAAACGAAAGTGTTCGTTGGAAGTTTACCACAGGGATCGAAGCCAGAGGATTTGAGAAAACTTTTTGAACGTTTCGGAGTCGTCACAGAATGCGATATAATGAACAGATGCGGCTTCGTACACATGCAGACAGAGGACCAAGCATCAGCCGCCATACGAGCCTTGAACAACTCCTCATTCAATGGCGGCGTCATAATCGTCGAACGCGGTAGGATTAAGGAACGGGGACAACGAAGCGGCGGTGGACGCGGCGGCATGAGGGGTGGCATGCGAGGATCGATGGACCGGCGAGGCGGAGGCCCAATGCGCGGGGGTCCGCCGCCGCGCGACGCTCCATACCCACCGATGCGGGATTCCCGCGGAATGGGTCCCATGAGAGGGGCTGATATGCGTGGCCCGCCAATGGGAGGAGGCGGTATGGGTATGAGAAACGGAATGGGTGGCGGAGCCCCGTACGACCGCGGCATGGAGCGCCCTCCCATGGGTGGCGGGTATGACGACCGCTACAACGGTTACGGAGGAGAAGACCGTCGCGGGTTCGCGTTAATGGACGGACGCGGCGCCAGGGACCAATACGGCGCTCCGCCCCCGATGTACCCTGACGACAGAAGAGGTTACGGTGCTCCGGTAGACGATATGGCCCCCATGTACCCTGATGACAGACGTGCGCCCATGTACCCCGATGAAAGAGACATGATCGACAGGCGAGCCCCGATGAGAGGTGGACCCATGCCGATGTCTTCAGGATACGACCGAGCGCCGCCCCGCGCCGCTCCCATGGGCAACGGAGACATGTACAGCAGGAGAACACCACCACCCATGTAAGTATATCTCATTCTCTCCCTTATAATAAGAAATGTTATCTTATTAATTATATATATCGGTCTCTAGACCCAATACATCTATTACATGATGGGAATTAAGTATATTTTCGTTAAAGATCTATCTATGTATTTAGATAGGCCAAAGTTTAATTTTTCGTATAAAAAATCTAATATTCTGCATTACTGAGCCATGCTGTAGCATTCCGATGTATAATATAACATTATTTATTATCATTTTCCAGGCGTGGAGCTGGTTCAGCGGGTGGCTATGACCGAGACCCCTATGGCCAGGCGTACCCCCCCATGGGACGGTAAGCATCCTCATACTCACCAGCAACCAGAGAGCATCTTATACATTTAACGCTCCATCACTACAACTTGCCATCAATAGGCATCGAAGGGCACAAGTTTGAGTAAATCATTTGAGTTAGTCGCTGTTAGTTATAAATATTTCATGAAACACCATATGTTTATTTGAACTCCGTCTTTATATTCTGGGAGTATCACCTCTCTGGTTGCATCAAGTTACGTTCGAATTAAATGCGACGTCATATAAATACAATAGAAATGAATTTTTAATATTATAAATGTTTGATGATTATGACTCAAAAAATGATACTTTTGCAATGCAGCTAATATATCGGATGTAAGCGAGTAAGATGATTAATTTAATAATAAGTAGTTTATATGAGTGTCGTGTGTCGCGGCGCCCCCCGGCCGGCGGGAGGGGGGGTGTAGACGGTAGGTGGTAGAGTCACGCTTGTTGTGTGCAGCGGAGCCGCGCGCGGGCCCAGAGACACACTGCCGCGGCGCTACTAGCGGTAGGCGGGCACGGACGGTCGACACCACTTACTAGTATGACAATGAATCATGCCATGCGTCTATAAGTGAATTAATTGTATAAGATTATTAAGATGTATATTATTAATTTAGATTAATTAAACTCCATTTTTGGGATGTCTCGTGTCTTTTCTTTGTGTATCGCTCCCGTCCCGAGACATGTTCATGTGCATGATCCTCTCAGCATCCACCTCGCTTGAATCCGCTTCACCTCTGGTTGAGGCTGTGTTTTAACATGTTATTGACTTGCAGGATACTTTATATACATTTATATATTATATATGGTTAGGCCGACCACGTGGCCGCTGTTACATACATACATACCTGTAACTGATTTGATCTGTTTGTAATGAACATGCTTACCACATTTACTGTATTTAAAGAGTGCCCTTGACGTTTGAGTATCGAACTGTCGGTAAAGACGCCGCAACACGGCTGTTAGGTAAAACAGTACGTTCGGTGGCGGCTGCCAGCGCAGCGCTCGGTGTGTCGACGACCTGTGAACATGTTGTGTCTAACGTTATGTACGAGCGTATACTTTCACAACGAAAGTGCGTGCGAGTCCTTTCAGACGTTAGTAGCGGCCGTGCGGCGGAGAGTCTTAGCGATACGACTCCGGCGATACGACTCGGCCCTTAGCGTTAGGGGACGCCGCTGACGACGAGGAATGCGAAACGTGACAACCGTAAGTACGGCTGTAGACGGAACACGTTACGGCGAGCAAGCGATCGCTCATTATAATACATTACATTATATATATGTTCAATATGCTTAGAGTCACTTGTGCCCAGAGTACGCACTCGCATACGTTCTTAAACATCACATGAATGAGACTGGGCGTTGTTTGTATATCAAGTTGCGAGAGATGACGGCCCGGACGCCGGACTTAGTCATGCGCCAGACCTGACGTTCCTTGAACACTCGCTCAAGGTCTAGAGACGAAAGATTAACACTCGCTCATGACAGACGGCTGGCTCGGTGAGGCTTGTACTCAAATTATGTTATATTTGACAGGATGTGGGCTCCGCCGGGCTGAACGAGGGACGTACGGTGATACTTGGAGACAAATCGAGACGAGGAGAAGTGGGGAGAGGAGATGTGATGTTTGAGGCTTAAAGATTAATAAAACTGTGCTGAAAATACCGTTTTTTATTTAAAGTAACACTCACTAATTTCTATATTGGAAGCATATACAGGATTTGATGCCTGTGTCAGTGTTGCCTTCAAGTTATAATTTGGGTGTCTTAAAGACAATTGTAAATAAGCTGATATTGAGAAATAGTGCTTTCATCCATTTATTTTCATTTTGCACAAATATCTCTAGCACTATTCAGTCGAATTTACAATATATGTATAATTATATAGTTCAATGTTTCTTATACTCTTTATTGCACTGTAAAACATGGTTAATTTACACACAATTATTGTTCAGCCATGTATAGAATAAAAAGATGTCACAAGAGCAATAGTACAAACATGTAAATGTTCCAAGGAGATGAGCGGTATGACCGCGTCAGGTTAAAGGATAAAAAGAAACAAACTTGATTTTCATCATTTATTCAGCATCATGTATTGAAAATATAATTCACAGATTAGATTAAAATTGCATTGAGAATTTCACTAATTATCACTTTGTACTCAAGCAAGCTTCATCCGTTCCTAAGCTTCACAGAATATTTAATTTCCTAAATTTAGCTTAAAATTAAATTACCGAAGAGACATTTTCAGATTCATTAAAATGTTTCAACTAAAATTATATAAAAATATTGTTAACCTTTGACTCGCGACGACCCTACGTGTTTGTTACAATAAATATGTTAAAAAATATGAATCAGCTCAGCTGCCAACAAAATACTTTGGTGTCATAATATCAGTAATGCTACATTAAAATAATAAAAAGCTCGCATCACGTATAATAAAACATTTGTAATTAAAAACAAAAAATAACGATTTCATTAAAAGTTCGTTCTAATACTATTTTATAATATAATGTTACTCAGAGGACTAGAATCACTTATTGAATCACCAGCAGGAGGAAATAAAAAAATTATAAGACTCGCGAAATGACTCCAACTGAAAATATACCTTAAGATATTCAGATAACGTTCATATTATAAATACTCGGCATTTTAAAACAGAACCATAAAATTATGTAAAAATAAAAGCACTTCATACATTTCATTTAAGTACACATCTACCGCTAGCTCAGTCTAATATTATACTCATTTAAAACCATCATTCGTTTGTGACGCGATACTAGTCTACCGTTCGTTCCTTATAGCACCTGTAACGTTAAGTAGAGTGCCCGCTAGTAAATATACCGTGTCTTTGGCTCACCTCACTTAAATTTAAATCTATAGATTCACCAATAAGCACATTTGTACGGTTTCAATATGGAAGGCATTATTGGCCACACCCAGTTTTAAATTATTAACAAAATATTTTTTAAATAAAGGAATTGTAAGATGAGTTACAAATAAATCTGTTTTATAATACTGAAACATAACCTTTTTTAATACTTATTTTACCGACTGCTGATATTATCCGGAGGAACTCATTTCATATATGACAAGAATACACTTACATAAATATTAATTTTATATATAAAAAATCTACTGATAATTCTCGCGTAACTAAGTTTGGTAACTCAGATATTATTTTAGTGAGAGATATGAGTGTATCAAGTGCTTGTGTGCATATTCATAGACTCGTGTTAAGCTAGGAAGCGACTCGTTCAAGTTTCTATTGTAAGGGTGTGTTCACAGCAGACGTAATGTTAATTTTTTTTTCATATTTCCGTATCGACTCCTTCACAACAATGTAAACACAGCCTAATATTTGTTTACTTATTAAATTTCTAATACCTAAAAGTCTGTTCTTCGCTATGACCTCGCATACTTCAGCGCTAGGTTGTGCGGTTTCTCTTCTTTAAGCGAATCCTTCAGCATCACGTCGGAGCTGGTGAAGGGCGGAGGAGGCACCGAGTCCGTTGATGACGGCTCTTCCGCTTCCGAACGACTGGAAGTTTCAGTTTCCGGTCTGGAAATAATATATATATATAAATAACATCTATCAAGTATCAAGTGTCAATGTAGTAGTCACCTAGTGTTTAAAGGCCCGCTTCTCATGCACGAGGGCGTGGGTTCGATCCTGGCCCTGACAAGTACAGATGTGATTTTTCCGAATTATATTTACTTTCTAAGAGCATTTAGACACCACTGAAAAATGAAGGAAAACATCTTGAGGAAACCTGGACTTATAATTTCAAATTATAAGTTTGAAATCGCCAACCCGTCTTGAGCAAGCGTGGTGATTAATGCTCAAACCTTCTCCATGTGAGATGAGGTCTTTGCTCAGTGGTGGGCTCTGATAGGCTGATGATGAAGTGTCCATGTATGTATGTATGTGTGTGTGTGTGACTCTGTGTGTGTGTTCGTCAAATCTTTTCCATGTGTGAAGAGGCCTCTACTCAGTTATGGGCTCTGATAGGCTGATGTCGTGTCCATGTGTGTATGTATGTATGTATGTATGTATGTATGTGTGTGAGTGTGTGTTAGTCACATACCTATACTTCCTACAGTTGACGTGAGCTAGTGCGGCGAGGTGTCTCAGTAGCGTGTGTCTGGGCGGGTCGAGCGGTCTTCTTGAAGGCGGTACGTCCACACAGAAGGTGCTCGACCTTCCGTCTCCAAGGAACGTGGCCACGTAGTTCTCCATACGTAGCAGCAGTAACAACACGTCCTCGAGGTCCGCCTCGCTGGAGTAACAGGTCAAGTTACGCTGGTTTCATAATACACGCCTGTAGATTCTTTGGAAACTTGACATATATTTTAGTGTAGTATATTTTGTGTAAATGATTTCGATCTTTCATTTAAATCAAGAAGAATACATGTTAGGCCAGTGCAGATGCCTCGTAAAATGATGAAAAGTGAAAATAAATTATAGTAGAATGAAACACATTAGAAAAGGAGGGGAATATTTTAAAAATTAAGGGAAAAATAATTTATGGGCGATCTGAGGTCGGGAAGGGTACGGGCGTGGGTATTTAAAGGTAAAAAAAGTTTTAGCAGCTTAATGTCAATTTTCTGTAAACTACCTAAAAGAGGGACTATCTGGAGAAGTTCCAGAGTACACAACTATTAAAAATAAATTAGAAAGAGCATTTTCAAACCGATGTCGAGTGTCATTTCATTAAAAGAGATATGATTATTTTATCCAAAAATGGTACTGTAAATGAGAAACTTTTATTTATTTCTTCACGATCGGAAAATAGAGATTTCAATGAACAGAAAACACAACAAATTTTTTAAAAACGCAGTTATTTTGACGGGTGATTACTGATTTTTCGATTGAAAACGAGGCTGATTTTTAGGTATTTATTCAAAATAAGCTGAAAAAATAAATATTTCTAATCAAATAAATTACAGTGCATTTGTTACATCAAAAGGAAAGTTTCACCAAATTGCGTGACAAAAAATTTTTTTTGTAAGAGATAAAAAACCAAAAACTTGGTTTTTCGAATTTATCACATAAATTTTCAGGTTATGTGAAAAAAGTGTAAATACAAAAGTTTTAGATCTTTTTATTACCTACAACTTTGCCATATAACATTTTCCATTAAGACTCTTAGTTTTTCCGGAAATCGAGAAATCCCATTTTTTTACCCTTAAATACCCATCCCCATACCCTTCCAGACCTCAGATCGCCCGTAAATTATTTTTCCTTTAATTTTTATAATATTTCCCTACTTTTCTAATGAGATTCATTCTACTATAATTTAATTATATTTTAAAAGCTATCGGCACTGGTCTATGTACTAATATTATGATTATATTTTTAAATTAAGAATATACTAAAAAAATCATTGACATGAGCGAGATTCGAATCTGCAATTTTCAGTATATCACGTTCCAGTTGTGTTACCAACTGAGCTATCGTGTTCTAACTCGTTTGTGTGTGTATCTATGTGTGTGTGTGTGTGTTTGTCACCTGGCGGAGTATAGGAACTGCGCGAAGTGTATGTTAGAGACGCAGCCCGCCTTGTCCTCGCTGTCGGTGTAGAGGTCCGTCTCTCTGTAGTACATGTACAGGAAGTCGTTCAGTTGTTTAGCGATCACCGCACACCGGTCCTTGTCACACATCTTCGCCGGTGGACCCTATGCGACGCTTGAGCTTTATTCGTGTTTTGACGCCACATTAACTATTCTCGAGGGTTTAAATTAAACAAGACGAAATATAATGACTCTGATGAAATATTTATGATGTAAATATTATTAAAATGACAAAATTTTAATACAAAAATAAAATAAAATGAAACTAATGTACTATTATTATGATGCGTAATCTTGAAGTAAAGATTTTATAGTGACATTTTACACTGGTAGCAAGAATATTGTTAATGTGCATTCTAGTGCGTTACGTGCGTTACATGCGATACACAACTAACTAGAGTCTTACTAGAATGTTGTTAATGTGCATACGAGTGAGTAACGTGTGTTAAACAGCAAGCAAAAATGTAGTTAACATGCATACTTATGCTCTACGTGCATTACACAGATAGCAAGAATGTTGTTACTTGTACCATACATACTTATGCTTTACGTGCGTTAGGGGCCGTTCAAGTATTACGTAAGCATATTTATTACAATTATTTACCCCCCCATGCCCCTTGTCAGCAAAAGTAAGCAAAGCTCTTACCCTCTCTCCCATGCTTACGTAAACATTTTCAATTACTATATATTTTTTGAAACAAAGGTGCAGAAAAAAATTATAATTGTATTTTTTATGGATCTACTCGATGGGACGATTAAAAAATTAATAACTAACGATGACGTAATCGTCATCCAAAATAATCAAAGCAAAGACCCCCGCCCCTCCATAGTGCTTAGGTAATACTTGAACGGCCCCTTATACAGCAAAATATCGTTAATATGCCAGTTAGTGCGTCATATGCATGCGCATGCGTCACCTTTACATTATAAGGCATGCGGAGCGAGGCGGACGCTCGCCGCAGGAAGCGCAGCACCAGCGCCGCGTGCTGTGCGCCCTGCTCCGTGCACGGGGACGAGATGCGCTTTAACACGTGCGTCAGGTACATGCCGAACGCGCGACGGACCTCGCCTCGACTGGAAATGATAATGATATGATATGATATCAGTTTAGATATTGAACGAAAATTTATAGGCATTAATACTATGCCTGGATGAATAAATAGCATATAAATTCAGTAGTGATAATAATTTAATTGATATTTTATTTAATGTTTTAATATAGTGTCTGCAGAACACTTATACTTGGCACTTTTGGTTAACTGTAGAATTTACTGTCTGTATCCAAGAGAAAGAAGCTTGTGATTTTTTATATATAGCATATAATATGTAATTAATAATGTCGTTACTCGTTATATAAAATACATATTATATTAAAAGAGAAGGACTGTTTTTGATATGTTTATATACATGTAGGCTGTATACGTGTGAGAGCAGCCTATAACGCTATGTATGTACTAACGTGAGCGTCATTCCCTCAGCCAGTTGTCTCTTGACCAGATCCTTCGCCCTCCTCGCGTCTCTGGGCGCGGGGGTCGCCGGCTCGGACAGCTGCACGGGGGGCGCAGCACCCGCTATACAGGCTGCTTCATAGCGCTTCAATCTGAACACCATGTATATTGAGTATATATTCTTATCTTAATAATTGTTATATTTTATACCCATTATATTCCGAATCATATGTATTTTCTAAGAGTATTTAGACATCACTGATTAATGCATTCCCAAACGAGGGTTGATGTCAGGCAGGCGGACGGTCGTAAAAACAATAAGCCAAGACTATTCACAATTTGTAAACCAAACCCTGGTTAAATGGAAATTGCCAGGTAGAAGAAGAATTGTTATTGCTTTTGTATAAATAAGTGTTTTGTATAAATACGCATACCCGGCGTTCTCATCAATCAATTATTATATCAAATTAATTAATTTACAAAGCAATATCATTTTATTAAGTGTTCGAGCAAGCCAGTGCCACAACACTTATTTATACAAAATCAATAACAATTCTTCTTCTACCTGGCAATTTCCCTTTAACCAGGGTCTGGTTTACAAATTGTGAAGTATGCTTGGTGACCGAATGAAAACAGAATTAAATTATAAGTTTTTCAGATTTTATAAAAGAACAAAAATAATGATGCGTGTATTTACATGATTTCGTAATTTAACCAGCGTAGCTCGTACAATAAGATTAATATCAGGCTCAAGATATACATTATACATGCTATCTAATAAAAAAATTATGAAGTGACCAAATTTGTAGACCTTTGGCACACAGGTAAAATTTGGTTATACGTATCTTTATATATATAATTCTTCTGTGAGTGTGTATGTCACTGAACTTCTCTCAAACGACTGGACCGATTTTGATGAAATTTTTTGTGTGTGTTTAAGGGGATCTGAGAATGATTTAGATTCACAATTTTGTCCGCTGGACAATGTTTTTTGATTAATTTTTAATTTATTAGTAGTTGTGTTGATACAAACTTCTTTTTTTGACATTAGATTTGACAACTAACTAATATGTCAATTATTCTGTCACACTTAAAAATACGGAGATTTATGGCTTTAATAGGTAAACTCCAAAAATATAAATAAAAAAACGTAACAGATATTTCTTGATCATACGGCGATACGAAGTTCGCCGGGTCTTCTAGTATATGTATATTAATACTCCAAAGGACGTATTATCATTAGTGGTAGTAAGTGTTACCTCTCTGGCGTGTCAGTAAGGCTGGTAGCGACGGTCGCGTGTTGGAAGTGAGGCAGCACGTGCGAGTGAACCAGCAGGTTGTAGTTATGTATGACGGTGTAGGGAGTGTTGTTGTTCAGAGACGTCGAACAGACGGGGATGCCGGTCACTGGGTCTGTGGGGGAAGTAGGAAAAGATTTATTAATAAATGTATAAATTAATGTTTCATTAATACTATTAACTGATTAATAAGAGAAAGGAATGAAAGTTCTTATTTATGTTATTATCTATTAAATAACCTAATAACAAATTTCTCAGCAACATTTTCTTGCGGAGCAGACATCATATAGGTTTAGAGATCTTTGTTTTCCAAAAAAAGACAAGTCACTTACATGGAAACAAAAAATGCAAGTAATATTAAATGTCGTTCTTAAGATATTATTACATAACGAGTTGTTTTACTCATTCAATGTATTCAATTTAAAGTGGATAGTTTTGTATAATATATTCCCATAGTCATATTAATCCATTAAGTACGAGTCTCACCCAAATACTGAGAGTACTTCTGCTATGAAGAGTATTAATATGAAGTACCATTGAATAAAATTGTAGATTAATATTTGATTAACACTATTAACTGATTGATAAGAGAAACAAATGGAAGTTCTTATTTACGTTGATACCCATTAAACAATCTAATAACAAATTTCTCAGCAACATTTTCTTGCGGAGCAAACACCATATTCCTCCACTTAGTTCCACTCTTACCCAAATACTGCGAGTATTTCTGCCAGCTGTTCTGTGAGGGGAAGATCCTCACGAAGCCCCCCCTCCTCGCGTACTGCGCCCTCACCGCGCGCACTATCCTCAGCTCCTCGCCCGTCAGCAGGCTCCCCAGAGGCCCCGCGCCCGCGCCCGCGCCCCCACTCTTGTTCCTCACGCATGCGTTCTCGGCGGAATGCACGCGGCGACACTGATAGGAAAAAATACTATATTTAATAACAGAAATATTGTATACAAGCTTTTGCTTGCGACTCCGTCCGCGAGAATATGAGAGTTTTTTTTGTCACTATGGCCATTAATTCTTATCGCACTTCATGGTGCCATTCATGTAGTTTTGGGATCGGGATGAATTTTTGATAAGCTGATTATTTTAATTAATGGTAAGTATCACTATATAAAAATGTGGTTAACAATTTAACCGCATTTATTTCGGGGTCGGGATAACATTTGCCCATCTATTTGTATACTAAAATTCATCAAAATCGGTACAAGGCTTAAAGCGTAAAAAGGTAACAGACTAACAGAGTTCCTTTCGATTCTTTGTAATGTCTGATCAAGTTCTAAATGAATATATGATAATAAACTCTACTGAATTTACCCAGAAGTAGATATAGAAGGTGCCAGATAATTACATGTTAACTTTAGATGCACGGTTTAAATTATTTAGATTAAAAACATAGTGTAATGAGAGAGTAAAAACAGTTTTTGTGTTGGGTTCAAAAGTCAAGTAAGTATCCATTGACACTTCTGATTCTCGTACAAAATTAAACAAGTATGGTCTGTTTCCATTATCATCATCATTTTTTTAGGTGGTAGAGCCTAGTTGTGGTCAGTCACTACAGCTCGAACATGGACTGGCTCGACCGGGGAAGTACCAGCCTCTCACAGAAGATTTGCGTGAAATAGCCTTTAGTGACTGTGTTTCGTCCGATGAGTGAGAGAGACGGTTGCCATTTTCCTGTTTCCCACCCTTTCCTACTATTTCCTTATTCTCTTCCTATTCCAAAAAAAACAAGGTTGGCAACGCATCCATAACAAACATGTTGCGGATGTCCATGGACGGCGGTACTACCTTACACCATGTAGGCCGTCTGCTCGTTTGCCACCTTTGACATAAAAAAAATCATCTACTCACGGCTCCGATCCTCATCTTCAAGGAGGTCGCTTGAGGTCCAAGTTGTTCTTGTCTGTTGCCAGGAACAGCTGGTAAACCAACCAGCGTAAGTGTATCCGCCAGTAAAGCTGACTTCACTCTCGCATCCAAAGGACTCTCACACGCGAGGCTGAAAAGATTACAGTGTAGGAGAGACCAAGTTATAATGGTTTTAAAATGTAGAATGAAGTTAGTTAGATTTAGTTACATAGTTATTTATTTATATTTATATACTCTTTATTGCACACCAATATAGACAAAAATAATAGAAGTAAAACAAAGGAAAGAAAAATGTACAATAGGCGGCCTTATCGCTAAAACAGCGATCTCTTCCAGGCAAACTTTAACCTTCACATATATTTCAATTTGTCAAGAATTACCTATATATTTTAATATTAACTTTTCTAATTGTGTGAGTAGATAGAGGAGCTTTGACAGTGGAGGTGAGCGTATAACGCGTTAGATAGGATCCCTTAAATCTACACCTGGGTCACAAGTCACAGTCACTGTTGAAGCTCCTCTCACTATAACGATGGACCCGACACCCGCACGGTGAATACATTGAATGATGAGAGGTTTCGTCTCATAATGAAAATAAATTATTATTTACGAGTTAGTCATGAACTTCCTATGGAAGTAAGCAAGTTTTAAGTACTAATAATATTCCAGGCCTTAACTAAATCGATCGAACTTTTATCTTAAGATATTCTTATAGTTAATATTAAAATGATTTACCTCGGTGATAGGTTTATCTCCAACAGCCAGGGCTTCAGCATGTCGTCCACGAGGATGTCGTATCCGAACAGTTCTGACATGAAGAATTAAGAGGAATTACAATAGGACAAGATTACAATTACAATTTTTGAATTTAATGATTGAATTAATGAAAAAAATGATTTTACATCTCTAATATAGTTAATATCTTTTAAGAACTTTATTAGGTGTATTATTTTATTTATACTAACTAAGATAAATTCTAATTTGGTTATCCGAAAATTTATTTGTCATCAAACATCTCGTGTGCGTTAAAACATTTTCGAATGTCGCTCACATACTTCAGGACTGTAATACAATTTAATTTTATCCTTCATATTAAAGGAGATATTTACCGAAGCAATTGAAAAGGCTGGGAACGAACACTCTAGCAGCCGCTGTGATGGTTTGCGCTGATGATAATATAGACTTCACGACTAAATCTTCAATGGCTGCCATCAACGCTGAAGTATTCCGACCTTGCTTCCTCAAATGTCGCAATAAAGCTGATAATGTCCACTTATGACCAATGTTGCCAGCATTCGGATCGTCACACCTGAGAAAGATAGCTATTAAAACATTTCCAAACTTTTTTTTTCAGTAAATATGGTAACACTTACTTGATATAATCTGTGTGATATTTATTAATGCTGTAGTTACACAGATGCATGCACGGGTTCCACAGGTTTTTGTTCGTCTTATCGTATTTGACGGTCGCGAATCTCACCAACCCCTCCTCGTATAGATATATCAGTAACGGGTCAATAGATGTGACGCATACATACAGTCTGAGATCGCACTTATGACCACCGATTAGGAGTGGCTTGTCTATATATTTGGCTACTACTACATTTTCACCCTTTGGTATTTGTTCAGGCTGAAATCAAGGAATAACTTAGTGAAAATTCCAAAATCAGTTAAAATCTTGTCAAGTTTTCCGCAGTTTCGTATTTACCGTATTAACAATATAAATGCCCCGCCCTCTACTCGACGCGGCAGGTTTGACTATCCAAGGTCCTTTGGTTCTGTAGTGTGTGGTGCACAGCTCTTTATACTCGTTGGGCATTAGAAAAGTGGTGGGGATGAAGTCAAAGTGTTTCAGACCACGGAAGTACTGCATCTTTTCTATGTTCTTAAACAGTTTGTCTTTTCTAGTTAGTTCGTAGGACCTGTGGGACATGTTGAAATAGTTATGCGTTCAATTTTTAACTATATCAACTCATTTGAGTGTTTTTTGGGAGGTATATGTACTTTTTTATGGGGATCTTGTCATCAAATTATCATTTTATACTAACCTGGGTAGGTGATTGACTTTTTGCGTCGCTGTGAGGGATGATAACACATCAAAGGGAATAAGATTCGTAGACCAGAACAAGGTCCACGTGGTCGAGTCAGGGGGAGCTTGTAACAGACCGTGTCCGTCTAGTAACTTCTTGACCAAATTTACCCTTACATTGCCATAATTATTTAGGACTTCTTTCTTCGTAGCCTTTATATTCAAAATAATTATAATATTAAAATTACCTAGGGAAATGATTGACACGTTGGTAGGGTGTGAGCGACCTCAACACATCAGGTTTGGGATGAAGCCCCGCCCACATCAGATTGAAATCCTTCGCTTCAGAGGATGCTTCTTGCAGACCGTGAGCTTGTAGAAGTCTATGTAACAGCTTGGTCTCCGTGTTGACCAGTCTGTATGTAATCTTGAGCATCCTTGCTGGCATATTATTACTATCTAAGACCTATAAATAATATATTATTACTATCCTGGCCCGGGCAAGTACCAATGTGATTTTTCCGAGTCATATGTACTTTCTAAGAGTATTTAGACATCACTGATTAATGCTGATTCCCAAAAGAGGGTTGATGTCAGGCAGGCGGTCGGTCGTAAAAAACAATTAGCCAAAACTATTCACAACACGTAAGGCAGACCCTGGCTATAGCCGGGAAATTGCCAGGTAGAAGAAGAATACCTATATGTAAATGTATAAGTGTGTATTTTACACTATTATTTACCTTAACACTGTCTACTTCTTTAACAAGCATGTGTTCGGAGTCATCGCTGTCCAACGCCGGTGACAATGTTCTTTGGTTGTGCGTGTTCTTACGTTTGTTCTTGCCTTTACTCTTCTTGCCTTTCTTATCTTCTTTATCTGTATGACAACATTTTTGGGGCGTTACGAAAACTTATTTCTAATTAAAATTAACAATAAATATTAGAGAACAAAAATTACAAACCCTTATTAACAGACATAGGTTCGTCGGGTGGTTTTATATTGGCCGTTGTATTTTCTATATTGAGATTCTTCTTAAGCGTAATTTTATTCAAATCATTGAGCACGTCGTCTATATCTCTCTTGTGTTCCGTTCGCTCGTGGCCCTGGTCGTCCACGGACATAGTCTCTGGCACCTCAGCTTCACTCACATGCCTCACTACGAACGCCTGTCCTGTGTATTTGTTGGTATTACCAAATGTTTCCATCACGTCGTGCATTATGTTCTTCGGCCGGACGCTGAACGCGTGGGGTTCTGCTACCAATCTTCTAGCCATATTCTTCGCTTTGTTTAGTAGTATCGTTGTGCCGGTGTTATTGCCGACTGTTTTAGTTGTGGACTCAACAGATGGCGTTCTTGTCGCGAGGACACAGGATCTGAACACGAGCACCGCTCCTTTAGACCCGATCGGTCCACCGGAGACCCAATCTGATATAGACCCTTCATTCTCCTTCTCTTTCCCGTTGTGGGTTTCATCGTCATGTCTTCTCATGCTGTCTCTCTCTAATGTTTGAACCCCTGACGTAGACGGATTTGTTTTCTCTGGTGATGCATGTGGACTGTCGATAGAAATATCTATGAATCATAGGCTGCTATTTGTTTTATTATGTCATGGACTATGACGCTGATTATGAAGCGCTAATGGGCCACTATGGAGAGATAAATCAGTGACATCTTGATGGAAAATCTATACAAAGTATAAACACTGGCTGTAAATTATGTTAAATCAGTATGTGTTTTATGTGAGACTATATATCATTCTTGAGAATTTTCAATAGATAACTTTTTTGCAGTTATTAGTATATATAATCATAAGGCGACTTGCATAAAATGAGATATAATTTTAAATCGAATTATGAAATCTCAGCGCAGACTCAATGTTCTCGATCGTTGTAAAACATGCAATATGAAAAGGAAATTTTGCATAAACTAGCAAAAAGCGTTAATAATACATACTTGTCGGGGGTAACACAAGCAATTAAACAAAGTGATTGAGAAACCTTGAATTTATCGATTTTTTAATGAATATTAATTACCGTTAAATGGACTTGAAAGTAAACGATTTTGATCAAATATTCAATTTTACATTTTTATGTCTTGTTTATCTACAACTATAGTAGCGGAAAATTAATTGTTAATTAATGCATCTAGTGATTTAATAATCTCTTGTAAGTACGGTAATAGAATGTTGCAATTATGTTTTTACAATTGTAGTAATCTTTAGGTAATACTTAATTTAAATAATGTAATAATGTTTAATTTACTGACTCTATTGAGTACACGATAGCTTAGTTTCTAAAACAACTGGAACGTGAAATATCCCAAAAGCTTTAGGTTCGAATCATTCCCCATTTTCAGAATTTTTCTCTCTACATTTCTTAAATAACATTTTAATTTACGCATATGTTTTTATCAATAAGACCTCATTTAGAATTATTTTTATCAATAATAAATTACTTTATATTAAGTCTACATATAGTTGAAAACATTTTGACTGTAGTATTTTAATGGTGAAAATCATTGAAATATGTTTAATGTTATTCCTAATCCTACTTGGGATTCGTGTAGAAAAATTTTAACTTATGAATATAAAAATATTTAAAAAATAAGTCGATTTTCATAATATAAACCGCTCTAAATCGCACTATTTAAATTTTATTACGTAACTATATAACTAATAAATTAACAGTTTTCTTACGAGAATTACATTAAAGAAACACATTTTTTTTCTTTGTCTCAAAGTAGATCACAGTTACATCTGGTGTAACATATATCCCTACTAATATTATAAATGCGAAAGTAACTCTGTCTGTCTGTCTGTTACGCTTTCACGCCTAAACCAATGAACTGATTTTAATGAAATTTGGTACAGACATAGAGTTGACCTCGAGAAAGAACATAGGATAGTTTTTATCCCAGACTTTTGAAAGGTTCTCTTGGAAACGCGATATAACCGAACTCCACGCGGGCAAAGCTGCGGGCGGAAAGCTAGAATTCCATATATAGATAAAAAGTGTATCTTGTTCACAAAGTATAGTGAATCAGTGTGGTTATCATATATGGATTGAGACGCCATGTATTGACCATATTTGGTGACTGTTACATTTTATAAGAACATCAAGTACTATATTTAAATAGAAATTAGTTTATAAGACTTGAGAAGAAATAAGATTTGGATTAATGATATTGATGCAAGAAAATATTTCTAATATAATATCTTTCATATAGAATTTTAAGATAATTTATTTGGGAAAGGATGTTTAAAGCTGTTTATCAAGAGTTTACGAGAATTACTTTTTGGTAATCTTCGACTAATGATGAAGATCATGAGATTATCATGATTATATTTAAGGCAAAATTAAACAGCTTCTTAAGTTACGACTGAGATAACAAGAAAGTGAGAAGAAACATGAATAAATTATGAAATAATATCCATTCTATATTAATTACTAAGATCTAAGATTTCCGAAAATTTTATTCATTTAAATGAAACTAATGTTTTTCGGATATCGGTTGCTGAAAATTATCCGAAACGTCGGGAGTATGAAGATTTTTACAAAAAATAAACTCGGATAGTATATTCGAAAAATATTAGTTTCATTTAAATTACTAATATATTGTATTAAGTTAATAATATTTTATATTAATGATCTCGAATTTATTTGAACCTTTTTTTAAATTTCATAGAATATTCAGATAATTACATACGTGCTTAGAACATATCAATTTAATAATTCACTACCGAACCCTACAACACGTGACACCGATCAACCTTGACATAATACTTTAAATCATTGAAGTGTTACCATTCCTTGGTTGAACAACTAGTTAACTCACACGACTATGTCTATCCCTACTAATATTATAAATGCGAAAGTAACTCTGTCTGTCTGTCTGTCTGTCTGCTTCGCTTTCACGCCTAAACCACTGAACTGATTTTAATGAAATTCGGTACAGACATAGAGTTGACCTTGAGAAAGAACATAGGATAGTTTTTATCCCAGACTTTTGAAAGGTTCTCTTGGAAACGCGATATAACCGAACTCCACGCGGCGAAGCTGCGGGCGGAAAGCTAGTTTAATATAAATATTATTTCATTCAAGCAAATATTATTAAAATTTGCTTTGAACTAAATTCATATTATCGAACTCCTGACTTCTAATATTATAATATAAATTGTTAAAAGTAATTTATTAGTCATTTGTTAAAATGACTAAATTACCTGCTAGCTGTCACATGAAGTAATAACAGTTTATAATTGGTTAATAATATAATGTCAGTTTTTAAATATGACATGTAACATAGTTGACTCAAACTACATATAAAAGTATATAAAACAAAATCGTTGGAAATATTCATTAATAGGTAGTAACTACATATTATATTAAAAAATAACTTAAATATTTGGTAAATTTCTAATAGAAAGGAAAATTAATAAAAATAATTTTACCATTTCATATTAATTAATTTAATTGCAAATTCAGTCTTAAAAGATAATAATCGATTTTGTGATTTAAATATAAAATTAAACTAAAATATTTTGTTAATTCAAAAAGACTTAAATAAGTAAATATGAGGCGAATTAATTTTACGTAAGTGTATAGAGATGTCAAATTATTATATACTTACATATACAGGGTGACTGGTGAATTACTATCGATACTTGAGGACGTAATATTTGACGATCATATATGACAGTATAAAAATTAATATAACATAAATATTAATAAACTTCTAAGTAAAGTTAACCAAAAGTTATGTAATTAATTACGCATCGTATGAACACCCTACAGATTAGGTATACACTCACACATACGTGGACGGCGGCGTAGTTTTGTATCAGCACGCGTCCACACTTGGAACACTTGGAACGTGTCAACACTTTATTTATTTATACGGAAATTTTGTCAAAAATTAAGTGCCTATTTTTTTTACATAATTCGAATGAGAATCATGTACCGAGTATTCTCCTTAAATATTGATAGTAATTCACCAGTCACCCTGTATATCTGCTTATAAGCATGTGTGATAATCTTTAATGTGCTTAAAGGAAAAAGCTATCAACATACCCTTAAAAAATTCTTTACGATATCCATTAAAAGAATTATAAAAAAAAACTAAAAAGTAAAAAATATTACTTAAAAATAAGTGAGACGAGAACATTAAACGAGCTTTCTCGGAACATAAAAACCAGAAAGTAAAATATTCATTTATCACTACAGCCTGTTTCTTTATAAGCTACTTTCAAAGTGTATGACGAGGTTTCTAAAATCGATCTATACTCTATATATATATACTTTCTTTATATATTATATATCTGGGAGACCCTCGACCTGGTTAAGCTGGATCACCTGTAACTTAATGGTGATGAAAATTTGACTTCGCAGGTCCAGATGATGATATACTTAAAAACTTTAACAGACATTTTGATGATCAAATTTATGACTACCATATTTAATCATAACAGGATAATCAGAATTAGAAATATAATGTAATTTTATAATCGGCGGTGGTAGCCTAGTGGTTCAAAGGCCCACCTCACGTGCACGAGGACGCGGGTTCGATCCTGGCAAGTACCAATGTGATTTTTACGAGTCATATGTACTTTCTAAGAGTATTTAGACACCACTGACAGATGAAGGAAAACATCGTGAGGAAATCTGGACTTATAATTTCACAATTATAAGTAGAAATCACCAACCCGTCTTGAGCAAGCGTGGTGATTAATGCTCAAACCTTTTCCATGAGAGAAAGAGGCCTTTGTTGAACAGTGGGCTCTGATAGGCTGATAACGATGTAATTTAAGACAAAAAAACATAAATTCTAATGCAATTTGATAAAAATTGCGATGAACTTTAATGCAATTCGATGAATTTTAACCAATACGTCACAATTCATCAGATGGAGAGGCAATTATATATTTAGTGGAAACCAAAACCGAATTACTTTATGTGTGACATTTATAAATGTAAAAGTAGCATTACTTAATAATTTAATATGTTTTGTTTTGTATTACTTAACTCTGACCTCGTTTAATTGTTACAATTTAAATGTCATACCAATTTAGGTAATTTTGAAAGAAATATCCCAAAAAAATATGTAATAAAGATAATAACATTTTTATGTTGAAATTATTGTAATGATAAATTTTATTTAGACAAGAATTTAATTTTTTTTAACAAATATATAAGAGTGTAAAAGATACAAAAAAATTATACTTAGAATTTCAATTATTTTTCTTGAGAGAAAATTTTTGATAATTAAACATGGTAGATAAATAAGTTTTGAAACTAAATTATTTGTTTTGCGTGGAAAATGTAAGGATACGAAGGATAGTGGTGTTACCATCTATCAAATCTCCCTGGTGACGGGGTGGTATCGATTGGGTTCGAGCCGCGAGGGTACGTACCCTAGGTGACACGACGTGAATGGTTAATATACTAATATACACGGAATCATATTAAAAAACACGACATGAAACCTCCTTTATAAAATTATTGGCTGTATGTCAATTTTTTTTAATTGCTTTGTCAATAATTTTCGTAAATGCATTCGATTTTTAAAAATTGCAAATAAATTTATAAAAAATACAGTAACCGTTGAATGTAATTTTGTGAATCATGTTGTACTTAAATTTTGTGAATGCGTGCAACGTAATTAGAAAAAAATATACGTTGAATCATAAGCATCTAAATTTCCGTTTCCGCTCACACCATAACCGAAAATGGATTATAATTTCGCGAGTGTCGTGACGAATCCCCAAATGGCAGAGCGTCGCGGGCTTGGCTGACACGACACAATGCATGAAGCAACTATATGTATAATAGCATTTAATTGTGAATCAAGTTACATTCATCCTCCTTCGTGGGATATGGCTTGTTTTTTTTTTAAATTTCAATCACAAGGACTAATGACATACGTCCGATTTGAACATTCATTCAAACACTATTGGTTACTAGAAAAAAAAACATTGAAAAAATTATACTGGATTTTAATCCACCCGTATATATTGTAATCTTTTCTTATAGATAGATTAAATAAAAATTAAAGATAATTTTTTTATGTATTAATTAAAATGTCACTTTTTTTTAATCAACAGTATTAATTTAGTTTAAAAGATAAATAAATCACGCATCTTTCATGAAAACTAACTTGATATATAGATATAGTAACAAGCACGTAACCTCCACGAAGTACGGTGTTATAAAATATAAAATATTCTTTTTAATTATCAATTGTTACAATTTAATACAACAATGTGACTTGTCAATGTATACATTTAAAAACTTGACTCATTACTTAGGCATTCTCATTAGCATTATTAGTTTCCGACTTACGTTAAAATAAGTCAGTTAAGTTACAAACTAATTCAATAATAATATCAATTTGAAATTTTAGATCAAAATATATAAAACTAAAATATTTAAAAGGTTTTATTTATAAATTCACACGCTTGTCTTAGCTATAGTATAAAAAATACGTCGCCTTAGTTACGCTAATAATTAGAAGCAAACATATATTTAATTCAAATAGTAACAGAAGCGTAATTTGATAAAAAAAAACATAAAAAAGCAATACATATACATAATGTTATTAATTACTCACACAAATACTTTTCCCATATTAAATGGACACAATTACACCGAACTATAATGTAATACGAGCAACCTCACACTAGTCACTAGTGTCGGGTTAAACAAGTTAATTAGACGGTGTGAATGTAACTTGGGGCGGAGTCCTACACCGTCGCGCTCCGCCGCCGACACCCGACTGACAAACAGTTAGGGCTCCGGCCGTTCATTATTAACATATAACATATTACACGTTACTATGACAGCTGATGTGCATATACAGGGTGACTGGTGAATTACTATCAATATTTAAGGAGAATACTCGGTACATGATTCTCATTCGAATTATGTAAAAAAAATAGGCACTTAATTTTTGACAAAATTTCCGTATAAATAAGTAAAGTGTTGACACGTTCCAAGTGTTCAAGTGTGGACGCGTGCGGCGGCGTGCTGATACAACACTACGTCACGACACGCGTATGTGTGAGTGTCAGTGTATACCTAATCTGTAGGGTGTTCACACGATGCGTAATTAATTACATAACTTTTGGTTAACTTTACTTAGAAGTTTATTAATATTTATGTTATATTAATTTTTATTTCGTCATATATGATCGTCAAATATCACGTCCTCAAATATCGATAGTAATTCACCAGTCACCCTGTATAGAGGATTTTTTCCTTTAATAGACAATTAATTAGTTAGGCAGACCCTGGCTAAAGCTGGGAGGGTGCCAGGAAGATTAAGACAATCAATTAGTTCGAAAAATTACATACGTTAAATAGTAGGAGAATAGTTTTAAGTCTATTTTTTTCTTAGCCTTTTTTTGGTTGATTATAAGATTTTTTTTAACTTATTTTCATATAGCTTTCATAAAAAAAAATAAGTAGGAAGAATTATACTAATTCAATTTCTACATGTACTGTGTAATATACATAAATAATGAAAAGTTTTTTCAGATACTTTACTATTTATTTTATATCCACATATTACCTACGTTTCGGTTCCTTTACAGAAATCGTGACCACGACCCTTCGACATCTCTGACTGTTTTCACGGTTAAAAAACGGGAAGTATTTTTATGTGTACACGAAAACCTTAGATACTAACATATGAAATTTATAGTATATTCAGTCTTACTTATATGAAGCTATAAATATTCTTTATGTATTGTAAAGAATAAAGTAAATATAAATCTTCCATACAAATACGAGTATTTACGTTGTTTATTACTTATTATACATTGAAATATAACACAAACACATTGTAAGTATTAGATTACTTGACTCTTCCAGTTGTAATTTACTCAAATATGAGAAATATTAAAAAAATACGAGTATTGTAATACTTATTTATTACGATTACAACTATCTATATGAAATAATTCAGCTTTCTGTAATCAATACTAATTACGAAAATAATAAATTTAAATGATTATAAGTCTTTATAGAGAAGCGAAAATACTTTACTGATACGAAGTTCTAGCTATATCTCAAATATTTTTTCAAAGTAAACAAAAGTTTATAATCTTAGAGAATAATACAATTTATAATATTATAAATAAATTAATATACATATAACAATAACAACAAGTACGTACTTCAGCTAATGTCACGACGCTCACATTATATGTACATACTTCGATGCATATCAAGAATAAAATGCGCATATGCTTGGAATCTAAAAACTCCCTCTCTCCTACCTTCTACATATATGTGTATTTTATTTCTCCCTCTCTCGTTAAACGTTTAACGCAACCTTTTTGGATCTCGCATAAGTTTTACTTCAAAATTATACCGATTCGTATGAATATTTTTGAATACTAAATGTTCTTTCAGAAAATAATAGTACTTAATATCAATATAAATCCGCTTTTCCTTACTACTCGTGTGTATAGACGAACTAAATAAACAATTTCTCATATATTTTTCCATTAATAAATCATATAATATATTGGTATCTGTGATGATTTATAACGTTGACACACAAACTTTCCGTGTTAAGGTAAATGATGACAAGTTGTACTAAGGACAAAATTTTTATGTTATAGATTAAAGGTCAATATCACGCATGTGCAAGCGACGCCGGGGCTCACCGCTAAAGGGGGTTCAGTGGTCAGTCACGGGGTCCAACATACCCCCAAAAAATCACCCCTTGTGTCAAAGTAAAGTTAATAATCGCTTTCCCAACGAAAAAACCTTAACGATTTTATTGACTAATACGTATATATATTTGATTGCCTCTGTTTTCCAAAAACAACAAAGTATAAGACTACTGTTACACATGCTTTAAATAAGCATGCTAAAAAGCATACTCAATACAATAATGCATGGCAGCCGTTTACATTAGCGGACAATAAGCATGCTTGTTTTAAGAATGCTCCTGAATAATTATGCTTAAAGCAAACTTTCCAGATACACATGCTTTTTCAAAGCATGCTTTGCTCTCTGTCAGTTCAAGCAGTCATGGATAATAATCAAACAGCTATCCGTATGGAGACGAATAAGATCATACTTTTGCTGACAATACAATGCATACAGAAGCTTATATGAGGTTGCCAAAAAAAGAAAAGAAAGATAATGATTTGGGTCCGTACTTGGATATCGAGAAGACAGGACTTGGGAGCAAGTGGTCAATTACTTCTAGAAATACGATGAGACGATGTTTCATAAATCATATGTTGCAATTGACTGATCGATACTAGCATACTTAATAAGCAAAATTTACACTAATGTGAAAATAAAAAGTGTTATAATAAATTAATTGCATTTATTTTCTGCACTAGTTGATATCCCTGACTTCGTCGGTGTTGTTTAAAATATTAGCAAAATTTTGGTATGCGCAAGAAAACAAGTGGTGTTGAATAAAATTCTTATTTAAAAGTTTGAATTCTATATGTAATGACGATACTGCAAATATTCTTTTGCCAGTTTAAGAAATAAATTTAGAAGGATGCTGCTAAGATCATAACATAATGGCTCCCCAAAATGGGGTAATTTTTTGCATTTTCCTGAAGGCAAAAAGAAAGGTTTAAAGCGAACAATTATATTATTATGTATATAAATACAAATTTACGATGTTGAACGTATAAATTAAAAATGACGAGACCAATTGGGCTAATTTTTAAGGCCTTCGGAATGAAAATACGATAAAATTGTTTTACAAAAATTTCGTGAGCAGTCGTAAAACCAATACTATTTTCAAATAAAAATTTGCTGTCAAATAGTTGACGTAGTTTGTCAACGTCAATATAAACAAAAATAACGTTTGGATTATCTTCTGTATATAGAAGAGATTTCCATCGATATATCGACTCATCACGATATTTCTGGAACTGGAATATTAGGCGTAGAATTGAAATGTGGTAGGAGGATTCCTTTCGCTGAGGAGAGGACCTATTTTATTAATTTTCCCCTCAAGTTGTATTGCCAGGGAATCAAAGAGTTTTATAATAACTCATGCATGATAATTACCGCGAGTGAGAGTGTAAACAATGTAAATTGTTAATTTTCAAGCTCCTACAGAGTCCAAATTCTATGATTTTTTGTAAGTTATGCAACAATTATTTTTGAACGAATTTTACGATGTCCAACGTCACAGGTATTTTTTTTTAATTTCTGTATTTAATGCCTGTAAATATATATACATATATATGTGTGTGTATGTGTGTACAGGCTGATTTTCCATCAACATAAACTATATATTATTTTACTGATTTTAACATAACTATAATAGTCCCAAAATCCCAGAGCCCCCAGACCTTATTTATGTATTTTTTGATACACAAATCATTTATTATAAGTTAACATTTGTGTCTTCAGTAAATGCATACATATCTGCAAGCTTGTACGAAAGGCTAATTCTCAGATATCAAGTGTTACAGGTAAGTAAAAATTGTACTCACTTTACTTACAGTCTGAGCTCTGATTTCTACTTATGTTGTAGCAAATTTCAATTAAATACTGCCACAACCCTTCTCTTGGCTGAATTTTTGCCAGACACTTTAAATGTGACAGCAAAAAACACAATATTACTTACAATCTGATACTTCATTTTCAAATTTAAATTTTAGGGAACTATTTAAACGTATTTTGTATGTTGCCAGACTAATCCTAGGCCCCAAATATCTATTATATATCCATTCAGCATTCACGATAATTAAGTGCCTTTTAATACAAAACTATTACGTATTTTATCCAATGAATGTATTTAATAATAATTGATTATCATCTAACTGTCCAATCGATTGCAAAATAATGCTAAAATCTTTAATTTTTATGGATTTTTTGCCGTCGAAAACATATCACGCGACGTCACTTACAGTGTATTGGCGTTCGACATGCAATTTGGCGACATAGTAGTAGCCTTACCACATGTTTCTTGTTAAATTACAAACGAAATTCACGTTTGATAGCAGTTTGGCGCCATATCTGTTTATACTGCAACAACAGTTTGCGAAACCAAATTTAGCACAGTTTTTTTTCATATATGGATAACTGAAAACTCTCTTTCTGTAGTGTGACGTTACGAACTTGTGGTAATGACAAAATATACATATATTAATACGACAATATCGGCTGATTCACAGACGGAAAATGTGGGTTCAATGAACCTATTAAGAGGTTTTACTTTACGGGACATTAAATGGTCAGTAGGCTTATTGCAAGTTGCATATCAGACTACACGCAGCGGTAACAGTTTTTTAGTCATAAATCTTCACGTATAAAGTGGATTATTGAATAAGAAACAGGCGACGCTACGTACAGCTGCGTGCAAAAGTATTAGGCACCCCTATTGTTAGTCACTATCTCATTATATTGCGGTCAAGTGTGTGTTTTATGGTTTGGCTATTGTATTAGCGGCAATTTTTAACCAAATTAAGATAAAAGAAAATATTTATGACATCCAGGTGTGCTCCTAAACGGTGTTTCTTCGAATTTGCTTTTTTTGTGTTTCGGGTTATAGTGTGTTATCAGTGCTTGCAGTGAACATACACGTCTTCTACGCAACTATTCCTATCACAATTCTAAAGACTAACATTTAACGTGTTAATCATGCCGAAAAAATCTGAACTTAGTGCTGAACAGCGTCTAAGAATTAAGATTTTACATGAACAAGGCATGTCTCAGGTTAAAATAGCCCGAGAAGTGAAGTGCTCGCGATGTGCAGTTCAATATGCTATAAATCGCTTCAAAGAGACTGGCACCCATGAAAATAGACCAAGAACAGGCAGAAAAAAAGTTACTACTGAACGGGAAGATCGATTGTTGATTAGGCAGTCTCTACAAAACAGGAAAAAAACTGCTTTAGAGCTCGCTGCAGCATTATCTGAGGCAAAAGGAAGCTCAGTGAGTGTTCATACTGTGAGAAGAAGACTTCTTAAAGCTGGATTAAAAGGATGTAAAGCAAGGAAGAAGCCGTGGCTGTCAGAACACAATAAGAAAAATCGGTTGGAGTGGGCACTCAAACATAGAGATTGGTCAGTAGAAGATTGGTCCAACAAACTGTGGTCAGACGAATCTAACTTTCAGGTATTGTTATTTATTTTATGTACAATATTAAAACACATAAATGTTTTTAAAATAACGTACTGCAAAAAAAATAATAACTTTGAAAATAAATGGTTTTTTTTCGTTTGGCATAGGTGTTTGGAACACCCGGTGTGACTTATGTTAGGCGAAGGGTTGGCGAAGAATACAACCCAGAATGTGTGGTTCCCACTGTTAAGCATGGTGGAGGCTCAATATTGATCTGGGGCTGCATGGCTGCCGACGGAGTGGGCGAAATGGTGTTGTGTGAGGGACGAATGAATAGTGTTAAATACACTGAAGTTCTGGAAACAGCACTAGCAACGTCGATAACGCAAATTTTCGGTGATACAAACACCGATGGCCTGAAATTTCAGCAAGACAACGCCACTTGCCACAAGTCCACGCATACCATGAAGTGGTTTGCTGAAAATCATATTGATCTTTTGGACTGGCCACCACAATCACCAGACCTCAACCCGATTGAGAATATTTGGTCCATTTTAAAGAAAAATATCCGCAGGCACTCGATTAGCAATAAACAAGCTCTATTGGCCGCGTTACAGCAGGAATGGAAAAATATATCAAGAGAAGAATGTTTCAGGCTGGTAGAGTCAATGCCAAAAAGAGTGGCTGCGGTTATTAAGTCAAAAGGTGGACCTACAAAATATTAATTATTTTCTTAAAATAAACTATTGTAATCATAAATGCAGTTTTATTTACACTTGCTATGCTAAAACACTCTAAAACTTGTCCTACTGTAGGGTGCCTAATACTTTTGCCCGTGGCTGTATGTAGTGACGATACAAACAGAATAAGGATATAGCTGACTGAGTATCATGTTACTACTTACATGCTAGTAGAAGATTTCTTGAATAAGACTTCACTAACAGTAAATATACATATATAGATATATACTTTGTGTTTGCTATTTTTGGTAAAGATAAATTTGTATACAAAAACATAATTCTTATGTTTAGTATTTGATTACATATACATTTTATATCTATTCTCATTAATTATTCAAAAATATATAATATATTCTATAATATATGTATTTACTAAATTTTATTTATATATGTGTTTTGAAATATATATATTGAGCATACATTTAACTTAATTAGGGGTGATAATATTCACATAAATAGAGATATTTCTCAAATATTATAGACTTTTTGAATTGTAGTCAAAACGATTTAATTATTAACTAAGAAAACCAACATAATATAGTATAAAGTAAGTCAGTTCAGAGTGTTCAAATAACAAACTAGATGTACCAGACAACTACACTTTCATTTCCAATAAATGATCATTATTTTAATAAAAAGCTGGATAGATTTTTAAAGAGAAAGTATATACTTAGTTAAAAACTGGGAAGATTTTTTTATCCTACTGGATTGTATATGATTTACATATATGTATATTATATTTATAACCTATATTCCCTAATAGTATATGCTCTTCTCATGCGGCAGTCTCTGACAACATTTAATCTATGCACAAGTAATTTGAATCCAAAGTATCACAATAATATTTAAAATTATATGACATGCTGAAGACAAAATTCAAATTGGAATTTACCAATAAATATTTGTGGACACTCCTGACTTATCTGACTGACTTATTTAGATCCAAAATTGAGGATTAAGCATTCAAATAAAATTCACACAATAATTGAAGTCCGGTTTACAATATTGCAAAAGTGAAGTTAAATACAGAAACAATAAAATTATATCTAATTTATTATACCTGGAAATATAATATAAGATTGTATGGATATAGAATTCATATTTATTTTAAATATATTATAATTTTGATTCTTGATATTACAGAATCGTAATTTTGTACACCTTAATATTTTTATATAATTATTTCAGAGAAAATAAATGGTTGTAATGTATAAAAAGTTCATGTCTTTGACTTACTATGCATGAAGTTTCATAAGCGGTGCCAAGCACGGTGACATGAAGATTGAAGAGGTGTCGGAGGATTATAAAAGATTTTCAGATCCAAAATATATTTTAATACCATATAGTGTTAGAATTTTAAATTAATATATTTTGGATACTGAATTATAAGAAATATACTAATAGATAAATATAATATAAAATAACCTGGTGTGTGGACGGTTGTGGTTGCATTTTTTGTGTATTTTTGGTAAATCATCGGGATCTATCTTAAACTGAGGCTTGAATTCGTCTTCCTGATCCATGGCTGACATAATGTGGGCAAATATAAAATAGCCTATAATTTATTGATAGTTTAAGAATCTATACGTCCTTCAATATATACATAAATTTAAATATAGGTAGGTGGATATAAAATTATCTAAATGTACTTTTAAAAATAGACAGTTATCGTAAAATTAAAACAGCCAATTTAAAATTACAACTGTATACGACAACCATTCGAAAAGCGGCTAGCAGTAAATTATAAAGGCAAACTGCAATTTTTTAAATCGATATCGTTATGCGGTATTTTAGTTATAAACAATTTATCTGTCATATGTTACGAGAATAGGTTACTTACCACTGCAGTGCCGATTTAGTTCGCCGGTAAACTATGGACGTGATTTGTTAGCTCACAAAAGATTTCACATTTCTATTTTTAGTTTAATTTTGTTTGTTTTGTGTTTATAATTTGTAAATCAACTAGAATTTTGATAGATCCATATTTTAATGTTTCAAATTTAGCACTTCGGGCACACGTCAAACCATACGTAATGGCTGCGATCAGAATTATTGTTTTAGTTTTCTTAAAATATATTAATGCTTTTGTTATAGGACTTTTAAAATTAGCTTTACATTTTTTTTTCTTTATTTCGCAATGTATAATAATGTAGTGTTTCCTTTTATTCGAGTTCAATATTACATAAAATATTATGTTATTTTAATCATCAAATTGTCAAAGAGAAAACCTAAACTTCTTACATTTATTATTTGTAGAGAAAGAAATTTAATATTGGTGCTGTTTTACAACATCAGCAAAATATTTTATTCATTGTCTATAGATCATTTGTAACAAAGAAAGCCTTTGAAACTGTGATATTTATAATAACCCTTAGCATATTGTATTTTTCTAAGTTCACTTATTTTACCCCTTAATTTGTTGACACACCCAAAAAATTACACTCAAGGTTCAAACCCCATATAAATAAAACGATAGATAGTGTTACTATAATTTTATTATTAAAACTTACACATTAAAATCTGTTAATTTAAGCATAATAGCTGAGATTGGCCTTTTTCTTGGCCTGTACTTCAAGGATCGCGTCCATGAAGTCTTCGTGAGTCACGGCAGTAGCTGATCGTCTTAAGGCTATCATACCAGCTTCAACACAAACAGCCTTACATTGGGCACCGTTGAAATCATCAGTAGAACGGGATAACTCTTCAAAGTTAACATCCGGGGATACATTCATTTTTCTGAGGATTTACAAAGAATGTTATAATATATTTGGTGTACACAATCCCTACTATTAATATTATAAATGCGAAAGTAACTCTGTCTGTCTGTCTGTTACGCTTTCACGCCTAAACCACTGAACTGATTTAATGAAATTTGGTACAGAGATAGAGTTATAGGATAGTTTTTATCCTAGAGTTTTGAAAGGTTCTCTCTGAAACGCGATATAACCGAACTCCGCGCGGGCGAAGCTGCGGGCGGAAAGCTAGTTTATAATAAGAAATATAGATGTTTTATGATGGGTAGGTTTTACCTTTGATCTTTAGATAAAAAAATATCCTTACATGAGTTATAAAACTAAAATATACAACATTTAATCTTGTATGCAGAACAAGAATCTTTTAACTTTCTTGTCAGCTTTTTCGAACATGTTCTAAGACTATATGATGATATGAAAGAAATTTAAATATAGAAATATAAACATATACCTGTTTAAGTATAGGAAATTTAGTTTTTTGTGAAATTCCCTGTTACACTGATCTTTAATATTCAACTTAACAATTAACAAGACTAAATTTAGTTAAAATACTAAGGCCAAATTTGTATAATCCCAAGATTATGATTTCTTTCCCATTAGTATACATACCGGGAGTGAATTTGCATGATCCTAGCCCTAGCCTCCTCATTGGGGTGAGGGAATTCAATCTTTCTGTCCAGACGACCGGAACGAAGCAGGGCTGGATCCAAAATATCTACTCTGTTTGTGGCAGCTATGACCTGAAATAAGAATAAATAAACTGATTATTTTAACAAGTAAACATTTTTAACATTGTACTATTAGCTGAAATACATACTTATTGTTCAATATTAATTTATTTGTAATAGTCATTAGTTTTTTAATTTAATTTGGTACACATGTAATTTATTTTCATTTTCACACTAGGAAGTTTCACTTCTTCCATATGGAGGGACTATACAAGCAATTTTGTGTATAATATTTTTTTTAATGCTAGTTTTACAACATTTTTATTTTTTCCTCCCCTGCTCAACATTTGTTTCAATGTATATAAATATCAGTATAGCAATATTTTAGATACTACATTTGTGGAAAAAGGTTTTATCTTAGATCCAAAAAAAATTTATTAACTGTTCTTATACCTTAATATCAGCAGTAGAGCTAAAACCATCTAACTGATTAAGTAGTTCCAGCATAGTTCTCTGCACTTCACGATCACCGGCCTTCTCCGAGTCAAATCTCTTTGTACCGATAGCATCCAACTCATCGATGAAGATTATTGCTGGTGCCTTCTCCTTGGCTAATGCGAAGGCATCTCTAACAAGCTTGGCTCCGTCACCTATACAAATATGTATATAGTAATTAATAATATATTACAAATAAAAACCATCATAGATTAATGAGTCCATTTAGAATTATTTTATATTTATAATTTTATTATGACCTTTTTTGACTAGACTTATTTATTCAACAACAAAGTGAATAAAAGACATGTGCTTTGAACTTACATTTCAACTTACTTTAATGATTTTAGAAGTTTATATACTATGCAAGTTGTGACATTAAATATTTGGTAATTTATAATTTATATATTAAAAATAACATAAATATACATATTTATATACATTCTTCTCTTCTTCTACCTGGCAATTTCCCAGCTTTAACCAGGGTCTGGCTTACATGTTGTGAATAGTTTTTGGTAATTGATTTTTACACCCCACCGCCTGCCTGACATCAACCCGCTTTTGAGAATGCATTGAACAGTAATGTCTGAATACTCTTAGAAAGTACATATGACTCGGAAAAATCACATTGGTACTTGCCAGGATCGAACCCGCATCCTCATGCATGAGAGGAGCCCTTTTAACCACTAGGCCACCACTGACTTAACATAACTATATAAATTATAGAGAATTATATAAAACCCACCGATGAACATTTGTACAAGCTGAGGTCCAGCAAGCTTCAAGAAGGTAGACTTAGTTTGAGCAGCACAAGCCCTAGCTAACAAAGTCTTGCCAGTTCCTGGAGGGCCATACAAGAGCACACCCTTCGGAGGATGAATACCGAGGTTGACAAACTTCTCCTTGTGGGTCATAGGTAGTACTACTGCCTCTATCAGTTCCTGGAATATTAACATTTTAGTTTAGGCATATAAGTTTGAAAGGATTGATAGAAAGTCTAAAAAGGCGATATATTGGATGTAAAATAATATGTAATGATAATATGGTGTTACTTTATGTTAATTATAAACCAACCTGTATCTGTTTATCCAAGCCACCGATATCTGAGTATTGTTCTGTAGGTCTCTCGTCTACTTCCATAGCTTTGACTCTGGCGTCATACTCAGCGGGCAGAGTTTCCAAGATCAAATAAGAGTCTTTGTTTACTCCAACCAGGTCACCGGGCTTCAGTTTTTCAGCATCCACAAGACCAATCACGGGTAAGAAATATGTTTGTCTGGTCGAGGTCTTAATGACGGCGCATTTTCCTTTCCTCTGCGAGTCCAGGTCTACTACAGCGCCGTCTTCTTCTTCCTCTTGAGGGTCAACGTCTAGCAGTTCGATAACATTGGAAACGAGGTACGGAAGAGTCTTGTTCACTTTAATTTTCTCTGTGTTCTCCTTGATTTTGTCATTTTGTGCTTGTAATTCATGAGAAATTCTCATGACTTCACTCTTCATGATCTTAATTTCATTGTCCAGCAATCGTGTTCGGCTTATTATCTCATCTGTTGGCATACGTAGAACTTCCTCACTGAGAGCTTCTTCACCATCTTCCCAAATAGACTTGTCTTCCAGTGTTGTGGCCATTTTTTAAATATATCTTATGATCTGTTTAACAATCCGATAAAACTCTAACAATTCTTCAAAACTGCAAGCAAATCAACCTAAATGAATTGTCATTATTTACAAGGGTTACCTGTGTAGATATTTAAGTAATAAATTAATTGCAACAAAATATTATTATAAATTTGAAATATAAATTTAAATAGTATTAAATAATGGTATAAAAAATATTTTTTGCCAAAAAAATTATGTATTTATGAAAATATATTTGTTACAACACGAGAGTAGCCTTGATAGTTATGTTAAGGTTGTGACTTTGACAAATACATATATGACAACGTTTTGACAGCCACAGGGCACAGTTTTGTGCCTAGACTGATCGGCCGAACGAAATTGTTATTAAATTTAGTGTATTTCGTGGTTAAGTGTAAAGTTTAAAATAATTCCGTTAAATTTTTAAGATATCTTTGAAAAATGGCCTTCTCTATGTTCCTTCGTACCCCTGGTAATTACAAAACATAATAACGTTACTGTATAACAATTACATAATACTTGTTTTCGTTGCATAAATGAGTTCTCTAATGAGAAAACAATTGCTTCTTTTGATATAATGACAACATTTAGTGATAATAACTCTTCATATCACCAAGAAAATTGTTAATATATAAAAAAAGGTTCACTTATTTGTTAGGTTAGAAACTGGCAATTTATATTTAATATATATTTTTTGTAAGATAGTATCACAAATGTTGCCTAACGAGTTTAAATATGAATATTTTTGTATATATTTTCAGCCTGTGCCAGCCAACTACTATCCCAACAAGTGATGAAGCTGGGCACACAAGCCTCACTAAAACCTGTTCAGACACAAAGAACGCTTAATGCTGTTAACACACTCAAGAATACACTCTTGAAGTCTGAAACAACACCTACATTGAATGCAGTAAGTATTATACATACACATATCATCGGGGATAGTGCAAACCCGCGTAACTACCATTGGATAATTCCGTGTCTCTACATTGGAAGCAGATTATCAGAAGAAAGTTTAAGCTGAAATATTGTCCATATTAAATATGTTTAAAGTATGTAATTTTTTTTACAATTAGTGATTATTTACTGTTTAATTTATTTCAGCTTAAAAGCTTAAACTTTCTTCTGATAATCTGCTTCCAATGTTGATATGCAGTATTATCCAATGGTACTTACCTGAACTTGCACTATCCCTGATGATATATATTTTTTGATATATTTACTGCTAATTTCATAGATAATTCACAATATATTATATACAGGGTGACTGGGGAATTACTATCGATACTTGAGGACGTGATATTTGACGATCATATATGACAAAATAAAAATTAATATAACATAAATATTAATAAACTTCTAAGTAAAGTTAACCAAAAGTTATATTATTAATTACGCATCGTATGAACACCCTACAGATTAGGTATACACTGACACTCACACATACGCGTGTCGTGACGTAGTGTTGTATCAGCACGCCGCCGCACGCGTCCACACTTGAACACTTGGAACGTGTCAACACTTTATTTATTTATACGGAAATTTTGTCAAAAATTAAGTGCCTATTTTTTTTACATAATTCGAATGAGAATCATGTACCGAGTATTCTCCTTAAATATTGATAGTAATTCACCAGTCACCCTGTATATAATTGTATCAGGTCCGGTCATTCCGTACATCAGCTATAAGGATGGCAGCTGCTAAAAGCGATGATCACTCTAAGTTGTGGGTGATTGAAAGGATAACATCGGCAATACTCATCCCACTCGTCCCATTAGCTTTGATGGTACCCAACAAGGTGTTTGATTCCCTGCTAGCTGTTATCGTTGTAGCCCATAGTTTCTGGTGAGTTTTTGTATTGAATTATTGTCGGAGATAAATTTATATTTAATTCAATATAATTCTAAATGTTTTATGATACCTGATGATGATCATATTTTATTAGTTATCTCATTAGTAATGTATATTTAATTATCCAATTCAGTCTAAAACAAGATAAAAACAAATTAATTCTTGGAATACCTCAGAAGCTGTAATTACAAACGAGGTTTTATTATTATATAAAATAAAAATTTAATAGTTATAAGATGAAGGCATGCACATAATCACTACAGAAGTCAGTACATGTAGCAATAATTAAACATAATTCAATAATAAATAATCTCTCTAAATACATGATTAAAAATTATTCACATGAAATCAGAAAAAGTGAGCAGTGTGAATACACAGAAAACATGTTATATCAGTAACCAGACAAAAAAAGCAACATCTTAAGAAAAAATGGTTTATGAGTAGCTGTGCCTTTTAAATCCCAAAATGCAGAGATGCTACACACACATATTTAGTTGATTGTTTGTTTTAAGTGTGGCTTTCATTCATGCAAAGATGTGCACAGAATATTTTACCAGTGTCATATAGAATGAAAAAGGCAAGATCAGGAATTAACTTATGAATGTAATGAAATATAAATATTTTCTAGTATAAAAATAGTTATATCGAGACTAAACGTCAAGTAATAGTTTTCACGGCCACATAGACTGAAAGGCGGCGCTAACAGCGATCTATCATTGTTTCTGTTTACACTCGATAGATGGCACTTTTACCAAAAATAAAATTGAAAGAATTATAATTCTTTGGGACATGTGATGTGTGAATTAAGCATATGTATAAGAATATAAAATCGTAGATTTAGTGGCATCATGTGTAGGATATAGTGCTTACTCGTATTTACCTTTATTGAATGTACTCTACTAATGAAATTGATTTTCAGTCTTAAGTTTGTTCATAATATACATTAATCAATTTTTTTCGTATATTTTTTATCTTAAGAAATATGAATTTATAAAACTGTTATGCTATATTAATAACTAATTTGTGATGATGTGCATCTTCCAGGGGCCTAGAAGCGATAGCAGTGGATTACGTTAGGGCCTCTTTGTTCGGGCCCGTCATCCCTAAGATAGCCATCGGCCTGGTGTATCTGATCTCCATCGCGACCCTGGGAGGCCTTTTCTACATCATAACCCACGACATAGGTATTGCCAACTCCATCAGACAATTCTGGTCGATCAAATCCGGACAGAAAGCGTAAATTTCTCTACTGGCAACACTTATCAAATTCTGTTTAAATTATTTTAGAATAGTAAGTTAGTTAAATGGACGAGCCGACAATAATTATGTTTTTGTTGTAAATAATTGTGATTACCATACTCTGTTATAGCCTAAAGGTTTTGTTATATTGATTCTCAAACTTTTTTTTGCCTTTTGAAGGATTTAAACCTATTTTTTTCGGTACTTAATGCGTAGCACAGGTTGGCGGTGGAATTCGAAGTATTAAATTTTTCTTTGTTATAAACAAAACTATACTCAACTTATTTTGGTAAATTTTCTAATGACTAAATATTGTCACATACTGTATAAAATCTTCATTATGACTTTAAATCAGAACTCTTTGTTACTTAATAAAATACAGACCATATAGTTTCAAGTTGCCTTTTATTGAATAACCTTTTTCTTCACTTTGTCCTTTTGTACAGGCTGAGATGTTTAATCATGAGGCCTATTCACTAGTATTTTTTTACCTTATTGCAATTGATACTTATCTCTATTAAAGAAATCTACAATTTATGCACAGATAACGTAATTTCAATATGCAATATAATTTTTACTATCTGTTTAATGAAAAATAAACTTTTTTAATCTATAAATTTAATTATTTATATTCTATAATTAATATATTAATTGTTAAGGAATTAAATTAAAGACGTAACAAATCAAGGATAAACAACGATCTCTTAAAATGAAATTAACTTAATTATAATGTAGTCATGGGTAAATTAAAAATAGTTTGTTTTCTTGTACATGTTTATATACATCAATAAATAACTCTCCACCATATTTGGAAGCATTTCTATAAACAATATATCTGTAATGAAATATCTTTCAACATAAATACTATGTTACAAGATTACTGATCAACTAGCTGTTTGCCGCGACTTTGGTCGAATGTTATTGTCATAAAACAATAATAAAAAAACGCACAAACATGAAATATTAAAAAATACTATCAAAATACAATGAATCCCTTCATAATATATTATTTAAAAATAAAATACATGTCTGAGGTAATATTGTTTTTTTCTAAATCCTTTAAGTCCAGTCTAATAACAATAATTAAATTTATTTATACTCTGTATCTTTTAGTCTATGACTAATCCGCCTCCTGTTATATATTATCTATAATCGTATTGTCTATGTCTTGACGTGTCTATTGTAAAATATATCTAGCGCCTGCCATTGCTTCGTGTGTAGCAGTATGTGTGGTCGGCGAGACTTCATGTAATCTACAGCCTCGTTTGGAGACCAGCCGTTTCTCTGGAAATATAACACATTAAATGTTAATTAACAAATATTTATTTAAGGGTATTACTAATATAATAGTACAAAGACACTGTGATAAATATGACATGTATTGATATGAGTTCTCAAGGTATATCATCATCAGCCTATCAGAGCCCTCTGCTGAGCAAAGTCCTCTTCTCACATGGAGAAGATTAGAGTATTAATCACCACGCTTGCTCACGACGGGTTGGTGATTTCAAACTTATAATTTGTAATTATAAGTCCAGGTTTCCTCATGATGTATTCCTTCATCTGTCAGTGGTGTCTAAATACTCTTAGAAAGTACATATGACTAAAAAATCACATTGGTACTCGCCAGGTTTCGAACCCATGTCCTCATGCATGAGTGGCGGGTCTTTAACCACTAGGCCACCACGAGGCACGACTTAGCTTTATGGAGAAGAATTTTCGAGGTTAATGTATTATATAAGTTCTTACCATCATGAGGTAGCACCCGACCAGTGTAGCGCTCCTTGTACGACCTGCCTTACAGTGCACGTACACGGTCCCGCGAGTCCTATCATCACTGGTTGAGAGGCTTTGTGATGATTGAGGGAGAAATCTTGTTGGAAAGATATGATAGAAATTAATTGCACTGTGTTGGCATTAGTATTAAGTCAGTATTGAGGTGAAAGGAGTAGCTAAAGTACAAAATAAAGTCGGTTCTTCCCATTTGTACAATGTAAATATTTTTTTTTTAAATGAGAAGTAGAACATTTTTTAAGTATGGAACTAAAATTCTACAAATAAAACTGATATTTTCAGATAATTACGGGTTATTTTATTATTTTAAAGCGACGTACTCTCGACGATTCGATTACTTTTCAGCAGCCGTGATCACGGACAGACGACCTGAGAATGTCATCAAAACGTCGGGAGCATATTGTTTTTAAAATAATAAAATAATGCGTAGTAATCTGAAAACATTAGTTTAATTTAAATTTATGCTCGCAAAGGTCTTAAGGCCTCGGCCTCGAATCTCGCGGGTAGCGGGGCGGCAGCGGCGGCCGCACGGAAACGCATACTATTCTCCAAACTAGCGGGCAACGGGCACGGAGAAATGTATGCGTTTTCGTGCCGCCGCCGCTGCCGCCCCGCTACCCGCGAGATTCGAGGCCGAGGCCTAAGTCTTTTAAAAGTATATAAAATAGAAAAGTTATTAAAAATAGTCTAAAACGTAAATGTTACCTGTTAATAAAACGTACACCCTCAATAAGTTTGTCTTGGTCTGGTGCCTCGAAGATATCTGTTGTTGCCAGTTGAAGAAATTCAACACCGTGTTCCCGCCATTTCTAAGGAAATTACGTAATAGTATTAATTTCATTATGAAATAATTATTTATGGCTGAATAAAAGTTTTATTTATATTAAATGTATTATTTATTTTTTAAACAATAATAAATATTATAAGTGTCTATAAAGTTATAAAAACAAATCTTAGCGTATCGCAATGAGATTAATAATTAATAAAGCGACCACAAAATAAAATTTACTAAGAACATAAAATATTAATTATGATCTACTGATTACTGAGTGATCTCACGAATTTAACGATTAAAATTTGTTTTCATGAAGTGTTAAAACATTTCTAGGTGTTTTGAATTATTTTATATCTACATATTTCTGAAATTTCGGTTCCTTTACAGCAATTTTGATTAAGGACAGACGAGATCTCTGACTATTATCACGATTAAAAAACATATAGTACCCAAAAAACTTAGTTTCATTTAAATGAGTACACGCAAATCCTAAATATCATTTAACGGTTAATCAAAACTCGTTTGACAGAATTAGGATAACTATAAAAACTACATACCTATCTACAATAAATTATAGAGTGATGAATACAGTTATTTCTCTAGACCCAATTTTGAATATATTACAAAAATGGCTATAGATATTAGAATCTTTATTTCATATTCAAGTTATTTATTTCATAACTAAGCCAAGTTTAATTCCATAACCGAAGATCTTCCTGATAGCCCACGTGTTACATATCTCGGTAACAATTAACATAACAACAGTCGGTTACATCACATTTTATGTTCATGTTAATTTTGTTGTTAAAAATAAAAACGATTTTGTACATCTTATATTTTTCTAGTAAATGTAAGGTATAGTTGTATTAATTATAAATCTTCAGATTAACCAAGTAGGTTTTAATGTGAGTTTAATTGATTGTCCGTTGACCTGTTGACGGCTAGCTTGTTTTATTTTGTATGTAGTAACAGAAAATCATTCCATACTGTATATTATATATATGTTTTGTGTAATGAAATAGAATCTACTGCTGTAATCCTGCTGTACTTTTAAATTCAACCCTGTTTCATTTCCATACTCCTATTTTATTAGACCGAGAAAAACCAATAGGGCTTAAAAAGCAACTGTGTAAAATGATTTCTTTGTTAACAAGTTTTCCTTACTTTTTGTCATTCGCTTTGTTATAAAATTATATAAATTAAAAGTTGTTAAGTTAGCAAGATGTATTAAAGAAGAAAAAGATAACTTTTCAAGAATTTTCATGAGATTGATAGATTTATATTGTGTGCCATTATTATACAAGTAAGATAAAAATAGTATTTTTAACAAGAGACAGGTTAGATAAGGTCGTAAACATTATATATTGTATTTTAGGAAGGCTAAATCAAAAAAATATTTATATGTATATGTTGTAGAAAAATTGAAATGAAAAACATTATCATATTATTATGTACAAATATAAAGTTACATTCCACACTTAATACCATTTAATTACTAACTTACTATTTAAATAACATATTTGTAGCCATTTTGTTGTAAAAAAGAAATATTTTCTGGAATGGTATCTAAGATTTTCTTGTGCACACTTTTAAATGAAATTATGTTGTATCCACAATGGCCTAATTTATATATTGATGTTATAAATCTATTTTTATTAATATAATCATAGTATATTATGATAGTATTGTAACACTCACCTCACCATCATTGGAAAATATTTTTAATTCATATGTTTCATTCATTGAAACGACTCCTTTAATGTTTTCTTCTTCTATTAACTGAAATGCATAGTTTTATTTATATATAATCATTGTATGTTTAAATAATATACTTCTTGATATTATTTAAGTATCTAAAATGTTATTTAAATATAAGAAAGGGTTCTTTTGTGTTATTTTAGTATATGACCTACTAAATAAAGTGAGAATGTAAGTTTCACTTCTAATAACTGAGACACCCTACTTGTTTGGTCATTCCTTGAAAGGGCAGAGCTCCCAGGATGACTGTATCATCCATTCTGTCGTACCATCGTCTGCTGGTCACCTTTTCCATCAGCACATTATACAACAGAGTCGGATAGAAGGTCACTCTCGCAAACATAGCGGTACCCTGTCACAGAACAGTTATCTTAAGACAGGCGGGAAGCGAGCGAAGCACATCGCGTTTTTTAACAAATATCTTATTGGGCATCCTACCATGGTGAAAGCTTGTCGTGGTGGGGATAATATTAAAATTCAATCCTCGTACGCGGTGTGCTACCTCGTTTGTTATGACAGACGACGATACGTCAAAATATATGTCAATTACTTTCTGACGTTCAGAAACTGTATAAGTGTAAGAGCACGATGGACTAATAATTATTAGTAAAGTAACTTGAATAGAATAATCCGGAGGTTTCAGGTTCGAATTTTGCTTTAGGCACTGAGTTGAATATTAAATATGTGAATTTTAAATAAAGTTTTAAAGCTACATTAGAATAACGTCAAAATATTATTTTTAAAATTTAATAAATTGAAAATCGGAATGATCGGAAGACAATCGTAGACGAATTATACAATTTAATTATGATTTACGTCCAATTATACAATTTAATTATGATCTACGTATTTCAGTCTAGAATATTAGTCTTGACAGCCCTTCTGAGCCTCTGTTTCTCGACCGTTTGTAATTCAACATGTGATAGAATTGCGAAGGAAAGTGAGACAAGGTATTTACACAATAATATTTTAAATTTACTAATAGGTAAATTGTTGTAAGCTTTATTTTAGTTAAAATATATACTTACACTTTTATCTGATGCTGCAAAAAATATGGTAGTAATTTTTACTTTTAAAAGGTTTAATAATAGTAAATTAAATTGTTTATGATGAAAGTCCACTCACGTCCTCGCGATTGTTGATACTGCAGAGTAATCGAGTCGTCAGATAAAATGTAGAAAAATAAAATCAAGTAGGAAGTTTTAAAAATATAGTTTTATTTAAAAGTAAAGTCTAATAAAAAATATTATTTTATATTTACATCATTTATAATTTATTAGTGTTGGTAACACCTAATTGAGTCTTTTTGGGAAATTAAGTGTTAAGGTATTCGATTTTTAAATTTATTTCAATCCCCAAAATTGTCATGAGGCGCAGAGCATTTTAAGAAATTTATGTCAGGATAATGAAATAGAATTTTATTATCAAATAATTAGTATCAGTAATATTTTTCTATTACTACTAAAGTGATAAAAAATACTTTAACTGCAGTACATTATAATTAATTGAGTATCTACAAACGATCTGGCATGATTGTCATTGTTTTTTTTCAAAAAGAAATGCTTTTAATTCATAGCATTTGTTTATAATTTAATTATCTATATTTTCATAAATATCTGATAATTATTTTAAACATTAATATTTCTGAGCAAATGTATCCGACAGGCATTTTGCTATAAAAATATAGCAGGAGTTTTGATAAACAAAATATTTCGTTCTATAAAAATACTTTCATAAAAGTCTTATTTGCAAAAAGTGAAGATATCATTCACAATAGGTTTAGTTTATTGGTAGCATTACGTTTTATTCATCATAAGAAGGAGTTGTAAAAATTTAATGTTTTCTTTCATGTCGTATATTTGAAAGAAAGATTACCCGTGTGAGTGTTAAGCTACCCTTAAAAATATATATTAAAAAGCAATAAAAAAAGGTTTATATTTAATGAAGGTGCTTAAGAGCAAATGAAACACTGTAATAATAATACGAGGACAAAAGAATATATAATTTAATATTTAACTAGTTAATAATAGGTACGCCTTGTTTCACCTTGGAAAGCGTCAAAATATTTTTATATAAGACATTAAAGATATATACCTATCATAATTTTTAATATAATCTGATTAATTATTCAAATATTTGAGCAATTTTTATTCGTGTTATCGTATAGATGATCAACAAAAATTTTAACTCCTTTACTAACTTCACCTTTCGAGTATCGGTTATTATTAATACACTGTCCGGGGCGGGCTGGTTACAAAAATTGAATGAGATATCATCGTCTTGATGTATCGACGCCATTTGTAACGCGGCGGGGAGCGCGCTTGAGCGGGAATTCGAAATTAAATTAAACCGCGGAAAAAACAACGCGTCGGTCGACTTGTATTCAAATTCGTTAGATTTGATCTGCGCTAATTTGTCTATGACTACCGTGTTCTGTGTTATTTATTACGAAACAATGAGATGTTTTTTTTGTATTTTTTTTTAACTATAATTAAACATGTATTCAGTTTCCGAACTTTAATTTTGTTTATACTAATGTTATAGCTATTTTTAATAAATAGTATTATTACTCGAGCGTATTGTAAGCTTAGCATATCAAATCTAATTCTCAGTTCATTATTAATATATATTTTAAAACGATTGGATGTGCTCGATAAAGAAATAACTTTTAATACGAATATAATTTACGGTAAACCTAAGTATCTTGTTGTATTTTTTTTAATATCCAACAACAATACTGATCGATATAGTATTCCGACAAACGCATTAAGCCGAGATACGTTATCTCATCTGTCATCATTAATGCCACAGTATCCTAATAAGTTTGCTACAATAAATAAAACAGAAAAAATATCAAAGAGTTGCGGCCGGTTAATGGTTGTAATTGTGGCTAAATGAAATATGGCGTCCGTGGATACTCTGTCGTGGGTGTTTCACTGGTTTAATATCGTTTACACGCTATAAATATATTAAATGATTATCATAATGCTCGATTTGATATCATTTACATAATACTTGGAGTTCTGGAGCTTGTAGCTTGAAACATTCGCACCAGATATAACCTGTAGTAGGAGCGATGCTCACATAAATAGTAATATGTAAAGCAATGAGCTACTTCTTTATGTGACTCCTGTTGAAGAGACGCTTATTTGTGTCCGAAAAGCGTTCGGAAGACTGAGAGGCCTGATGTATGGCGAGCTTTATATTCAAATGCTTTCTATTCAAGTCCTGCCGCCGTCTCAGCCGCTGACAGTCCCATGGCTATCAAAAAAGGAATATTTCGTGTATGATATCATTGAAATTTTCGCTTTTTCGTACTGCGATAGGCATCTGGCTTCTGGGGAAGGAGTGCTGTTGTTTTATTACGTTTCGATTGTGTCTACACGTGATATAGTTCCAAGATGGAGAGATTTGACGTTCGGGACTGATAAAGTTAGTGTTATTTTGGACGTTAACGAGATGGTGAGTAATGAGACTCGCCATTGTGGTCTGAACAATGGTTGCATCGAACAGCCATTGTTATTGTTGAAAATGATCGCGTCTTGTTACTTGCTGTTCAAACTTTAATCTGCGCCATTACCAATGTGATATTATTATTGATATTCAATAAAAATCAATGATAGTAAATCTATATTCTATATAAAATTGATTATTTTCTTTGATATAATTTAAAATATTTCATAAGCTTGCTGTGGCAACACTGATATACAGAGTATAATATCATCTACATAGCATACAGTGTCTAATATAATTAAATATGCCGTGAATACCATCCCAAAGTTGATGCAAATCCGTTGAGCTGCCTCTCATCTGCATACAATGCTGCAACGCTCCAGTTTGTAATTTACTGCCGATGTCGTCCACAGATAGTCGATGCATGCCTAATTTAAAAACTTTAGTATATTTTTATCAGGCAACACTAACCTTGACTTTGGCTGTTGTCCGATTCCCTCTAATGACTATTCGCCTTAAGTTAAGGGGATGGTGAGTTGGTTCAATGCGTTTTGGATTCGTCTTTCATTATAGAAAAATATTAAACATAAATATTACTAATTGGTGAAACCTAGAAACTAAGTTATATACAGAGTAAAAGTCGCCTTAGTATTTGTTGAAATATAAAGAACGTTTTAGATGATTCTTAGTGCGTTGTATCACAAAACTAAATATGTATGAACAGTTTATCAGTTTTCAACTAAAATGATTGACAGGAGAATATACTTGAATTATTAGTAAACGATGAAACAGTCGAAGTTCAGTCAGTGGTGGCCTAGTGGTTAAAATTCCCGCCTCTCATACATGAGAGCGCTGGTTTGATCCTTGCAATTACCAATGTGATTTTTTCCGAGTCATATGTACTTTCTAAGAGTATTTAGACATCACTGATTAATGCATTCCCAAAGAGGGTTGATGTCAGGCAGGCGGCCGGTCATAAAAAGGATTAGCCAAAACTATTCACAACATGTAAGACAGACCCTGGCTTAAGCTGGGAAATTGCCAGAAAGAAGAAGAGATATAACAGTCGAGGTTTAGTTTGGAGTATGCAACTTGTTTTAAGGGTAAAATGAAAACAGACAAGTGGAATACATACATGTTTACATCTATGTTACTTCAATTCTATATCAAGTCCCTTATATAGATAATAAATACAACTACATATATTTGTTATACTTCAGACACAATTTTTTAGTATTTTAAAAGATTTTTTTTAACATAAAAATTTATTTTTATCTATAAAAATTCTAGTAATACTTCGTAAGAACTTATTTTGACTATAATTAAAACATTAAGCAAAGTAATTTTTTTTTAGCCAATAGCACGAGTCCACACCACAGGTCAAAGGCGAAGGTCGAAATGTATGAATAATAAAAGATTTTTATTACTTTTCAATTAACATTACACACAAATCAAATGTACAGTGACAGTTTTATATTTGCGGAATGTAAATAATACTGCAGATGTTCTTATTGTGAAATGTGTAAAATAATAAAATGCCATCTGAAATGGTAAAAAAAACATCTGCCGTGTCTATGGCTAATTAATGATTCGACTGTTTGACATTCAACAAGTAGGTAGCTGTGTTAAAAAAATATCAAGACATGATACCTACTTTCCTTATTAAATATAGAAATTATAAACTATTATAGTGTTAATTTATATAAAAATATTATTTTATTTGAACATACAACATTGTCATTGGCAGTTTTGGGAGAAATTTTCGATGTTATGCCTAAAATAAAAAAAAATGTGATGATATGAGAACCTCTTTTTAGTATTGGTAATTAAAACTATTGTCACTGTCAAAATAAATAAATATTATAAAATTCGTGTAGAAAAGAATAATGTCATTATTATTTAGCACAGAATTAAAGAGATAGTAGAGTTGCTTTTTATAATTTTATGTCTATGAAATGGCTGTATATATAAAACATGGTTCTCAAATTGATTAAAAAAATATATATAAATAACTAGGATCATTGTTCTGTCAAAAATTCGTCACACAATATTTTTTTTTATCGTCATAAGAACGACAAAAAGCATGTGAGTTCTAGCTATTAATTCACATTTCACCCTATTTCAGCCATGTTATGGTAGAATAATGTTATTATTGGACAAGTAAATAAATGATGTGGGCGTTTTCTGAGCTGATATAAACAAAGCTACTTTTTATCGGTCCTTGACCACCAATTACGGTGTACGGAACGCCCTCCCTGACAAATTGTGTTTCGCGCCCTTTGTACAACATGGCCGCTCACTATTATTAAAATAATTGGATTTTTAAAAATCATACCATAATTTTAATGTTACAATGCATTTTATATCTCCTTGTAACTTTTTTATTTGATAATGTAATTAATTAATTAAATTAAGTGTCATTTTAATGATATATAAATATATTAAAATTATCGTAAGTGTTAATTGCGTGAATTGAAAAATAAAATAAAAAAAATGTCGTCATTCGCATCGCAGGTGTCGGCAAGCTGCGAATGTCGGTAATAAGGAGGTCTTAACCAAACAGTTTTTATTCTCAAATATAAAAATATTAAAAGACTTTTATATAATTTCATTCAGACGAATAAAGTACGATCCTTATAAATATATCACCGGAGCTATTAATATCGAACGAACTAATAAAGATCAAAAGCTTTTTGTTACCTTAGATTTATTAACACAGAAAACTAATTAATATTTTTATAGCTCCGATTGGTGCTTAAACATTTTATGGGACATTAAAAAAATATACATATTATTTTAAATAAACGAGGAAATGTTATTAAAAAGAGGTGACGGGCCAACCGAGCGTGGTTAATTTTTACGATAACTGTTGCTTTTATTACAGTTTAATGATTTAACAGCTGTGGGATAGTTGATTGTAATAAAAATACCATTATGATATTTATACCTCTGCTCATTATTAGCTAATAGGTATCACCAAGGTCGCCTTGTGTGTAGCTGCGTGGGAAATCAACGAACGGTATCACATTATTTATAGCTGGATTAATTTAAATAATCGTTAAAACCGTACGCAAATCACCCATATTATTCACTGTCCGCTCGATAGATTAGCTCAAACAAAACGCTAACAGTTACGGGAATTCAATTCAAATTCGCCGCCATTGTTGTCTGCTGTTATTTTATTTAACCGATTTTTATTATCTGTGACGTCCGACGGAATGTTAATGTCAATTAATTCAACTCACCAACTCTATTAAGTTTTGACGATACGTCACTGACAGTCAATCTCTGTCACAATACATCAGCGACGCCATTGTCCCTGTCAAATTTTTTAAGCTTCCGATTATGTTCATTGACAGTTGGTCGCGTTTGACAGTCGTGTTTGACAGTTTGACTAATGCTCGCCTATGGCGGAATGTTTGGGGTTCGAAGTTTGAATTGAGGCGCGAAAATAAATGAGCACGTCATCGGACAGTATTAATGATTGAGGTTAGATTTTTTATTGCATATTGATGTATTCAGATCAAAGGTGCTGTCGTTTAGAGAATTTATAAGCTATTATTATAGAGATCCTAATATTTTTTATATTAAAATAAAGTAAATGTTTTAATCGAGTACAATTTATATATTAGACTAGCTTTCCGCCCGCAGCTTCGCCGCGTGGAGTTCGGTTATATCGCGTTTCCAAGAGAACCTTTCAAAAGTCTGGGATAAAAACTATCCTATGTTCTTTCTCAAGGTCAACTCTATCTCTGTACCGAATTTCATTAAAATCAGTTCAGTGGTTTAGGCGTGAAAGCGTAGCAGACAGACAGACAGACAGACAGACAGACAGACAGAGTTACTTTCGCATTTATAATATTAGTAGGGATAATAGTTATGTTAGTTTTATGGCAGCTATCTTTACGGCTTGTACCGAGAATTAAAAATCATTCAAAATATTATCTGGCATCGAGTTATGTGAGATAAATACGTTTAAATTGAGTCATTTCGAATCGACAGTCGAGAATGTCGAATGTTTAGTGTGAAGTCGTACTCGGGAAACGACACCTCTATTACTTTGTAATAAGGTATATTCTTGCTTGGATGATTTTTATTAAAATTTTATATAGTGGTTAGTTCGATCGGTCGCTTCGATTAAGTCCCAGATGCTTTATCTTTGGAATAACCAAAGAAGTTGGAATGTCACCCGCCTTGTGTTCTGTGGTTTTGTTAATGTAAAGATAATTCTAGACAGGGCACTGTTTGGAGTCGCGGTCGATGATATGAAAAATGACGTTGGCTTAAAACTAGAAACTTTCGTCTGTATTCAATAATTGTTAGAAAAAAAACCATTAATTTCTAATTCAATTAAAAATATGATTAAGTCAAATTTTTCTGTTAATAAATGTATGTATGATAAAAGAATTTAATGCAGAACGATTTACAAAGCTGTTTGGACATAACTCACTATGTCAATGGGGGGCGGTGATTAGGGAGAGGCAATTAGTGCTGCACGCTACCTCCAACAATATCGATGCATTAACTTCTACCGGTTCATGTTATTTACTAAATTTACCGATACATAATATACCTACCTATTTTCCTCGTATGTCAAACGTAAATGACATTACAATTTGTCCAAAGAGGTTTCGATCTATTAGGTCCATTTAATCAAGTAATTAAAACTAGTTTTAACGTCAGCATGAAGCGATGTAGGCTCAGACCTAAATGTCAATGGGGGTAATTATGGGGATGGGGGGGGGGCACACGCGATGTGATAGATGACGGTGAAATGCTGTTTGCATAACTGACGTTATAGAAAGTTCAGATTAAGGAAATGTATTCAAGAGTGCATTTTAATTGTGTGGATTATGTATTATGATTGCATGGTTTTTATTTTACGCTTACCACGAGTTTGGAGAACTGTATAAGTACGAAGTTTTAACAGTTTTTTGTTAATAGTTTTGCGTATTTTATATTAACGTTGTTTTTGAATGATTAACGAGAGACTATGCGTATGTAGTGTGTCGATACAAGCTAGTACTTAGCATACCGTACTCTTAGTCCGAGTAGACTTAATTAATTTCATTTAGAATAAACCAATGTTATAACGCTTAAACATTATGTCTGTCGGTGTAACTTTAATAATAAAAATAAAACAAAAGATCTTTCTCCATTTTATAATGATAAACTGAGTTCATGGAGGTTTTCTTAGGAGTTTCCACTGCAGTTTCTTTCGTGAAGATTTAGAAGGAATGTACATATAATAAAATGATCAAATTTTAAAACAGAATAACTATAAGTATTATAGTAATTTACGTTTAGAAACTCCTAAAGTCTATTCTATAATATATCTTGTTTAATATTTATCGTACAGTTAGTTATATTGGCGTATTTACAGTGTAAATGGTTTCTATTAAGTATTATATTGTTTGTGTATTAACACTACACGTCCTATTAATATTATTGAGAACTAACCAATGTTTAGTTTACCTTGCCTATGTGTTTGACACGAGTTGTCTCTTGTGTTGAAACAGCGATAATATGAAACAATTTATATACATAATAGATATATAGTTTATTTATTAGGCAATATTAAGTAATATATATTTTTCTTTTTATTATATGATCAGTTTTTGAATGTTTTTTTGACTGTCACAACAATGACAGAAGTTATGAAAGTTAAAAAAATTAATTTTATCTTGCTAGACAAATGCATACATGATAAAAAAACAATTAGCCGAAACTATTTACAACATGTAAAGCAGACCCTGGCTAAAGCTAGGAAATTGCCAGGTAGAAGAAGAGACAAATGTATATATATCACAAAAGGCGTTTTTTTATTATACATAACTTCCTGTTTTATTAAATAATAGATATAATTAATGAATGACGTAACTGTATTAGCAGTTAATTCGTAAATTCGATGTTTCTCAACGTACCGCCATGTTTATTGACGGTGCGCGCGAAATTATCCAGATTTTGCGCTGCCTTTGTTTACACATTACAGAAATACATTTAGCACAAGCATTGTTATTGTGTTATATTTTTTTAATAATTATTTTACGTGGGGGTAACAGTTTTAGAGTTTTCAGCTGAGATTATTTTCTAATAAATATGATTTTATTTTAATCATTTTCTATTTACAATTTGACGATCTATTGATGAATGTAGCTTGTATGTTTGTGAATCTGTGGTGTATTCATAGAATGAAAGCTGAAAGGTATAGATGTTAGCTTCCTTTGATTCTACCATAAACACCATAGAACGGGTTTAATTAAATATTTATGCTACAACAGTTTAGCTTATAAATATAAAGGCGAAACTAGAGTTTGATAAATTTACATTTAATGTAATTTTCAAAATCATTTTACATAAGAATACAGACTAAAAATATTGTATTTAATCTATGACAGTTTCTTACTTGTCATTTATGGCGTCATGTAAACATGATAAACATGACAATAGATAACATAAAATATATACATCCAACATTATAAAGAAAGTTTAACAATTACAATAAAATGAAATAGCAAAATCGTAAATATAATGCATCAGGTGATATATTTATGGTCATATTAAATTCGAATGCGCGGGGTCACTTAATTTATGTTATAGAAAAAAGTATGTATAATGACCCCTTGAAGCCTTTTGAACTTTGTTGTATTTTTTTTTTTCGAAAAGCCGGCATTAATCCGTCGGCATGGCTGGGACCTGCCGGGCCTCGGCGGGGGGCCGGCAGGTGCGTATGCGCATCGGTGGGACTACGGAGAAAAAGACACAAAAAAATACTCACAATATCATGTCTTTAACATATGGTTCTGTAGGATTACTTTCATTAAGAAAAACAGAAAATTTAACACTATTATTGTAATTAAAGCATTTATTTATAACAGTATGTAAAGTTAAATGCCTTATATTTACATATATATTCTTTATATGATATTTTTATATAATGTATATGTATTTTTTGATCAAAAATTATTTATTATTAGCTCGCGGTACCCGACACACGAGTCCTCATCTCCAGATCCAGCCAGAACCAATCGCTCAGATATAATGTCAGATTATTTCTTATTTTTGGTGTATTTCGCTCCATCACATGACGTCATTTCACACGAGGCTTATTGTATTGAATGTAATGATGACTTATTGCTTTACAGTTATACCTATTTACCAGCGTTTGTACAAATAAATTGTGTGAAAGACTTACTTCGATGATATGGCAATCATTTTTCATTATTAACTAAATTTCTATAATGAGTTGCGTCGTTTGTACTAAAATAACACGATGGGATAATTAACAGCAAAATAATCTGATAGATATAAATTAAAATGTGATTTGTATGCAAGATTTTTTAAGTGTAGGACGATTTTTTTTTTATCCCAAAAAGCTTATGTTCTTATATTTACATCCATAAAATAGTTGATATTATAACTGTTTTGTATTAACAAAAAATGTAAGTTTAATTTAATACTAAGAAGGTATACAGAATATATGTACGATGTCAATCCTGAATTTTATTGCGACACCAATAAACTCATAAAGAGATTTCCTTAAAACCTGATATATAATAAAAAACGCGATATTCCTCGTCGTAAAAGGTGGAAATCAAACGGCTGTAATTCGCGCAGCGGGCGACCGTCCTTGTGAGACGTTGGCTGTATGGGATGGTTCGTTGATTGTGCGTTGTATTAAAAAAAAAATATTTAAAATATTGCATCTGTCATTTGGAAGTGACACTTCGGATGACTGTAAAGTAGGTATTACACATACAGCCGAAGCGAAATAACTTTTAGTAAGAGGCTTAATATTATAATTAATGCTTTTTGGCAATATTTGCTATTTAAATAATATGTATATCCAAATTATTGCAAGTAAATTGTAAAAATTTATTTACATGTCCCAATTTATCTTTAGTCTCCCTTAAGACTCCAGATTACAGAATAAAAAAAAATCTGACTTGTTTGAGTTCAAACAAACAAAAAACTAATATGTATAAGATTTTGTTATATCTTTCTTTACATCACAAAAAAATAGCTCAATAAATTTTAGGTGTAACATTTTTTTAATTAAACTATTAATATGAATGTAATTATTACGTGACTTTAGTAGCTATTTAGAATAAATAATTTTATAACATTTTAGTAATGAACCTATAAATATGATTACAATTACTTTTCAATCCACAGACGTACTTATGTTCACTTTCAAAATCAAAGTCATATATCGAACAAGACACCAAAACAATTAATTAAAATTACATAATCCGGACGTTAATATAATAGCTCAATAATACGAGCGGGTTCAGTGACACTTAGATCCCTGGCGGCGAAAGTGAACGTCAGCTAGCCATATCACTGTACCTAGGGCTTGAAAGTTGTTTCTAGAGAAAGTAATGTAGATTAAAACGATACGCTTTATAATAACATGTATATTAAACAACAACTACACAATAATCAACAATTACAACAGGCAGAACATTATGGTGCACGCAATAAATATCACAATTATAAAAAAAGGAAATACGAAACAACAAATATATTTACAATAAGACGGTTTGAACCGGTTTAAACTGGTTATGACCGGATTAAACCGAAGACGGTTTTGGCTTAGTGCTTGTGGCCTTTGTGGTGGTAGATGTGTTTGTAAACTGGAACATGGACTGGATAGGGCTTAGGGATTGGCACCTCAACTTTCTTCTCAACCTCAACGGGGTAGGGCTTCTCGACTTCATAGGGAACTGGCTTTTCTACTGTATAGGGCACCGGCTTCTCAACTATTTGAGGTACGACCTGAATCAAGAATGATACCAATTACTTAACCTTTTTAGTTGTTACATCGGCAGAATAGATTTGAATTTCTGTTACAAAACTCACGCTCTACTAACCATGTCTTTTGCTTTCATCTTAACATAACAAAAACTGTTCAACATTGAACAAGCAATAAAAACACAATGGCTCTGACATAATCGAATCCCACGATCACGTTTGCAATTATTTAACTTTAGAAAATATAGTAATTTCTAAACGTCATTACTATCTGTTCTTACGTTAAGTCAATCACATAAAAGTGTAACTTTCTTTATGAAATAACCTTATATCTTTTGTATGTTTATCTTTTTATATTCTGTAAAGCAATTACAGTTTTTTTTTCTGCCAAGTTTATCAATATTTGAACAATTTATTTTTCATGGTAAACTATATACTCCCGACGTTTCGGTTACTTTACAGCAACCGTGATCACGGGCAGTATTTTTTCTATTTTCATTGTTTATAGTTATTCAATTTGAACCTAATCTTGACAGTCAAATTATTGACATCATGAGACGAAGAATCTGTCTAGCTAATATGAAGACTTAAAAGTTTAACTATGTTCTTGCCAATAACTTGTATATCTCTTGTATCGCTCACCTTGTATACTGGTACATGTATCGGTTGCTCCACAGTGACATGAACCGGGTAGGGCTGAGGTATAGGCACCTTCACGTATTGTGGAACAGATACAGCTATAGGATGAGGTACTGGGACTCCGATTTTCTTGACCACGGTCACATGGTAGGGCTTCGTGTGTTCAGTGTGCGAGTGACCTTCTGGCTCCCATTCCTCGGAAGGTCTGGCGCTGGAGTATGTTAGGAAGAGGAGGATGGCGGCTGTTCTCTGAAAAAAATCATTTAATATATATATTGGTGATATATTTGATGTTTATTACCTATAAAATTTATTATCTACGATATTATGTTAGACATTTTAGTCTAGATGTCTAATAATGTGCTGAATGCTAGCTGAGTAGCGGTAGTTACAATTAAAAATGAATCTCGTAAGTGCTTTCAAATCCTTTCACTGTCGCACCCATCACTATTATATAATAATATCCACAATAAATGACTCATAAAAATAAATTGACACACAAAAAACAGTATAAACACTCAAAAATATGTAAATTTTACGTAATCTGGACGTTTTTTTTGGTTTAAAATTGTAGATAAGTAGGTAATTGTAGAATTACAGCGTCAGGATGGTAAAATGTTTGGAAGAAAGAACTTACGAAAGCGATCATGTTGATAGATGAGTTCTGGAGGCTTCGTGGTATTGAATGACGCTGGTCGACAACCCACCAGCGTTTTATACTTGGTGAAAAGTTACTAAAGCCTTTCCATTCAGTGATAGGTTTCCTACACTACGTTGAAACAAGAACAATGTTTTTATATCACAATCGCTTTGTATCATATACATTGACGCTTTTGTATCCAATAATAATAACAATGTAAGGTACTCTCATACTTAACAAGCAATGTATATCGCGTTTATGTAACTTTCGATTGCTATTGTAACTTGGTGTTAGATCTGATATGCTGTTACGAGGAATGCTTTTATTTTCAAATTTTTACATATATTTTTATTTCTATTTCAGTTATAACATAGAAAGTATGTGTTACAAAAATTACGATTCTGTATACGCATAATAATAATACAAAATTATGTAAATATCAACTAGGGATCGTATTAAAAGCATTTAATATGAACCAAAATTAAACTAAGCAAGTTTAAATAATATTTATAAAGGTCAGTTATGTAAAGAATAAAAACATTTACTTTTTATCGAAGTCGGTTAATTATTATGAATTGTCTTAAATTCTTTGGAAGCTGAATGAGTTATTAAAGATATATTTATGTGTATGTATATGTATGTATGTCTGTGTGTGTGTGTGTGTGTGTGTATGTCTGTTTGTACGGAACTCTCTACCGGGATCTATTACGTCACTAATGATATCCGGGATGTTTAACGTTTTTTGTCCGTACATCAAGTGAGGTTTAAGAGTTTTATGTAACAAACACATTATGTACATTCTTATAGTTCTTTCTGTATTACCATCTCAAATTAAATATTTTTTCCTTATATTTGTTTTAAATATTTAACTTTTTTGTTGTTTAAGTTTTTGTTAATTATTAACTTTATATTTTTTTAATTAATTATATTTTATTGAAGATATTATCATAAATTTTTTGTCTTAAATTGACATAATCATTATTTTAAACCTCTTGGTTTTTGAACGTCATCTTTATATTGTGTTTGTTTATGAGTTATAGTCTTGTTTTCGAGATCAAACATACATATAATAATACTATACAATGGAGATGAAACTCTGTTGTACTAATAAAAAAATATCTCCTTACCACAAGTTTGCTACATCGAACTAAATACATACATTAACGAGTATTTCATTATAATATTTACGTTAATTGTACTATTAAAAACTAACTTTATAACGACTATGTCTAGTCTTTCTTCATAAACGAAATTTCTCATCATTCCATGTATTCACGGTGCGTGTGTCGGGTCCATCGTTGTAGTGAGAGGAGCTTCAACAGTGACTGTGACTTGTGACCCAGGTGTAAGTTTAATGGACTCTATCTAACGCGTTAAACACTCACCTCCACTGTCCAAGCTCCTCTCTCTACCAGATATGAATGAAGAACGTAAAACCATTTCGCGAGTAGTGGAACGATTGAAACTAGTATTAAACTTACTAATTACTGATCAACTTGAGTATTTTCTAACAGAGATACAAAATGTTTAATCAAATTGAAATTTTTCGCTGTTCACGTCTTTAGCATTGTTTTGGCCTTTTAAAGTTTAACTAAGACTTATTATGAATATAGGTAAATTAATTGTTTTTTTTTGTATATTTTTAATCTATAAACTAGATCGTAACAAATTTGTAAATAGTTAATATATAAAACACGCCGAGTCATTAGATCGGACTCAAGTGACGTAACTGTACTAGCGTGTGGTCTGTGTTGGGAGAGGTAGCGTTTTATGTTAAAATGGCTTATTTATTAGTTATATATATATATTTAATACACACACACATACACACACACCACAAATATATATAAAACCATTTATAAAATTATATTGTATTTCTAGTAATAATTTCATGTTAATTGTTCAAGAAATTCTTTTATTGTTATCATATATATAATTTTCTTGGATAAATAAATTCAAAATAACAATTTATTTAACTATAACTTAAACAATAATATATCGTAATTTATTAAAACTCTCTCCTCCAATATTTTAGACCACGCCGAATGTCAAATCAGTAATGGCGGTTTTGCTCTTATTTCAATTCATATATAACAATATATTATAGGAAGAGCCTTTTACTTTACACGTTGTGAACACTTTCATTTTCATTTAATTATTCCAACAGTCATTTATAAAGGAATTAGTGAAAAATAACTTCTAGTTTTTTTTTCCTTGTACTATTTTGATTGCGTATAAGATGTCGAGTGGACGAAATTTTTATTAAAACCTTCGTGGTATCACAATTAAGACGGGTAAAAAAAAGGTGTTATTGGTATGTAGGTCTAGAGAAAATTTATATTAATTGTTTATAAATAGTAAAAACATATTTTTTATATCATAAAGAACATAATAGTTCCCATTTTTAAGAACAACGCCATCTATGGACGTAGTTCAGCTTTAGTTTCCTATTACAAAATTACAAGGAAGACTTTGTAAGATGAATAAACGACTTACATAAGGTGAAGTTCTACATGACCATTAAATATGTGTATGTGTGAATTATAGAATAATATAAAAAAGCGTTAATGGTACGCCAAGCAATCTTACTTATACAGGGAATCCGCAAGGATCTAGTGATAAATAAATTTATTGAATTGGTTTTGTATTTGGTATAAGAAAATAAACTATCTTTGACTTTTTTATTTCCTTACACACACACATACACATACACACTCACACATTTACGTATATACATTTATATTCACATTTCAGTGTAAGGAGTCTTATAAGATTTAATAAAATTATATGTAATTTGAATGAAACTAGTATTTTTCGGATTATACTACATATCCGTACCTTATTATTGTAAAAAACTAAATAATATCATATTTCCTCTGTCCGTGATCACGGTTGCTGAAAAGTAACCGAAACTGCGGGAGTAGGTATGTAGCATTATAAAGTAAATACGCGTAGTACATATAATTCGAAAAATATTAGTTTCATTTAAATGAATACTCATGGAAGTCTTAAATAATAACTTATTTTTATTTAATTTTTCTATTTCCTACAGAAATTCCAAAAAAATTGTACTTAAAGTTAAAAAGTTTGAAGCAGATTAAAGCTAGTTAATTAAAAAGACAATTTTCTCGTATAACTATATATTTTTTTATTTATAAGCTTCTTCAAAACAAAATTGTTGCTTAAGATGGATGTATCTTATTTATAAAATGGGCTAAACATGACAAATTTGTCATAACGCCTTAGACATCAACGATCTCAATGAAGCTAGGTGATGGAGACTTATAACATATAAATAATTACAATATTCTTACAAATTAGTGTAAGCATAATCACGCTATATACAGGTCGTTTGGTGAATTACTATCAATATTTAAGGAGCATACTCGGTACATGATTCTCATTCGAATTATGTAAAAAAAATAGGTACTTAATTTTTGACCAAATTTCCGTATAAATAAATAAAGTGTGGACACGTTCCAAGTGTTCCAAGTGTGGACGCGTGCGGCGGCGTGCTGATACAACACCACGCCGCCGCACGCGTGTGTGTGTGTGTGAGTATGCCTAATCTGTAGGGTGTTCGCACGATGCGTAATTAATTACATAACTTTTGGTCAACTTTACTCAGAAGTTTATTAATATTTATGTTATATTAATTTTTATTTTGTCATATATGATTGTCAAATATCACGTCCTCAAGTATCGATAGTAATTCACCAGTCACCCTGTATATATTATATAGGTGGTAGAGCCTAGCTGTGGTTACAGCTCGAATATGTGCTAGTTCAACCGAGGAAGTACCACCCTCTCACAGAAAATCGGCGTAAAGTAGCCTTTAATAGATGCGTTTCGTCCGGTGAGTGAGATAGTTGCCCTTTCTTGTTCCAACCCTTTACTCTTCCTCTTTCACAATTAATATCCTCAACGCAAAATTCTTCATATTAAAGATTACAGGAGAAGGTAACTTCCATTAAGGCCGTCTGCGCGTTTGCCGCCTTTAACATAAAAAACATACAAAACTTTTTCAGTTGTTGTCCGTAAACGTTCAATATGACACCATTTACGTAATAGTAATCAAAAACTTCAAACTCGCCGTACGTAGTATTGCGAGCTCGTTCTAAGCACATATTAATCTCTCTCCCAAGTCCCAAGCCTCCACTTATCATATAGATATCAAACGAACACATGTCATGATACCAGTACGTGTTTTGACTTAATTTAAAAAACAAACAAATTCAAATCGATAACGTTTCCGGTCGGACACCTCACTAATTTGCATTCAGTTTTAATTCAATTAAATTAACATAAACAAGTCAAACAAATAGCGGGTAACTAATCAATTAATATATAAAGCCTTTTTGGTTATGCTTCGTTTAACTGAACCATTGTTTGTTGATTATATGTATTGTTAATGATATTTCGTATAAAGTACTGAAAGTAAAATAAAAATAATTATAAAATTACTTGATAGTAGTAAATAGTCTATATTTAGCTTATACGTTAAAATAAAAAAAGCTATAAAATTTTTTATTTAGGCTAACGTCGCTTATATTTATTGTATTAAAAATTATCATATTTTTTTAATTCACGTTATTTTAACATTGAACGAATAAATTAATTGAATTTTTTTGTATTTGTATTGTAGAATAAAAATTGTCGTTGTTTGACATTCCGTGACACACACATTGATATATTTTCACGAAATGAAGTATTACATGTGACTATCTTAGTGGATAGTTGTGGCCTAGTGGCCTAAAAGGCCCGCCTCTCATGCATGAGGGCGCGGGTTCGATCCTGGCAAGTACCAATGTGATTGTTCTGAGTCATATGAACTTTATAAGAGTATTTAGACATCACTGACTGAAGAAGGAAAACATTGTGAGGAAACTTGGACTTATAATTTCACAATTATAAGTTTGAAATCACCAACCCGTCTTGAGCAAGCGTGGTGATTAATGCTCAAACCTCCTCCATGAGAGAAAGAGGCCTTTGCTTAGCAGTGGGCACTA